AAAGGCCGGCTCATTCTTGCGTGTTCAATTTCCCACATTCCACTTTCCACTTTTCACTTTCAGGGAAATGTGATTTTATGACTTGCACTCCATTTGATCTCTGTCCTTCGCTTCGGTTATAAATTGAATCCCGATTTGTGTGCCCCATGCGTGGTCGAACTTTGTCTAATACACTTAAACACTTTGGCCAGAGTTTGTGGCCTCGCACACCCCATCTTTTCCATCTATCGAATGGATCTTTGTCTCGCATCGAATCGCCTGGCTTGTCATTGTTTCGCAATTTGGGAAAATGTTGGGGTGAGGAATTGCGACTACATGATTGGAATTTGCAAGAGGTAACCGAATCGCAGGCCAAAATGTTGCATAGCTAGGGGCGCTGGGGCACAAAGGCTTCATTAGCAAGCCAAAATCAATGGACTCTGGCTGCGGTTTTTGGGTATTTCATCAGTTGTGGTAGAATAATAGAGACACCACCATAAGGTGTCTCTATTATTGGTTTGTCTATCATCATTGTTTTCAACTTAAAAGCATTGCATTGAATTTACTATTTCAAACGTTTATAAAATTCGAGTGTATAACATTTCGTAAACATAAATAAAATAATAAAACAACTGTCAACTTTGTTGCCTTTGTGTTTACCACAAAAAATAACAAGTAAAACCCTTTAATTTGGTTTAATATTCTCGGATAAATCTTTAAAATTAATGATAAAATTGTGTTTACCAAAACTTTATTTAAGGGTCGTGAATCAACAAAATGTCAAAATGTTGGCCTAATGTGAACCTAACGTGATTTTCCAACGTTTCCCCCTTCGAGTTTTCCCATTCGCTCCTCTTTTGTCTTCCTGTTGCAAACATCCGCGGTGGAAATGCGGAAAAGCGTCTATTGGGCCGTGCCTAGTTCCTGGCTTTTGGCTTTTGGCAGCGACTTTGGTTTTGGATTCCGTTCAGGGCCAAGAAGCAAATTGGCCTCGATATGAAAAATCATGTCTGGGCAGGCTTGGATGGGTCAGTTAATCAGATAGCACCAGCACTCACATGAGGCTATAGATGGCACAATACAGCCACGGTCGAAATGGTGGGGTTTTAACCGAATTTAAAATATACAATAGCCTGATCTGAATTTTAAAAGAAAGTATCCATTTTATGAACGAAATTATTGGAGTGGATTTATTATAATTGATAAGGGAATTATAAATATCAGAGCTTTTTATTTTCCTAATTTATTCATAGCCAAAAATACGTTTATAAATCAATCAAATTACTTATATTATTTATTATAAGTATGTAAATGTAAATGCAAAAAATAAAAAATATTTATGGAATAAAATTATGAACAAATTGTGATTCGCAGAAGTTAAACCTTTTCTTTATAGTTAATAGCTAGAAATGATGATTTATGGGTTATTGTGATGAATTTGTTTATACCAAATGCCTGCCAACATATTGTAAAGCATACAAATTGGGCCCTGAAAAGTGCTATTATCTTGGCTGCAACCGTATTTTGTATATAATGTATAAAAAGGGGAGAAAGTGGGGGAAATGGGCTGGGTTGACTCGAGTCTAATTGGCCGTTTTGTCGTTGTGTGTTATTCTGGCCAACAACTTAATTCACTTGGCCTCTAACTTTCTCCGCTGGACAACTTTTGACAAAGTGAAATTTTTCACACACACACACACACAGACAAAGGAAGAAAGCTCACACACACACACATACGTGGAGCGAATCGACGACGCCTTCAAGTATGCTACAAAATGCTAATTAAAATGATTTATGGCCACTCATCCCCTTTTTTTTTGCCATATGTGAAAAGGAGGCTGTTGCCTCGTAATTCGAGCTTTACTCCTTTCCGCTTCCTTGGGACTTTGGCTTAATTAATAAATAAACTGACTTGTGTCATCGCAAACGGGCTTGAGGAGAAACGGAACGGAAACAAACCCATAAAATAGATAAATGTCAATTGCTTCATGGCCAGCTCGTCAACAAAACCAATTAAAACTTTGTGTTTTCTGCTCCCAAAAAGTGATTTCACTTTAAAGCAGCTTATCCCTCAAATAAAATACTTTGGAAAAAAAGGAGACACCCAAAAGGATGACGCCATTAATGGCTGGTATGCTTCGAATTTTATTTAAAAGAATTCTTTTAAAAATGATTAAACATTATTCTTCAAGTACATAAGTAAACTTCGATTTGTTGAATTTAATTTCTGTTTTATTTTTTAAGCAGCAAATTAGGCTTAAATCTGCAAAATAAATCTGGGAATCTTATTTTTATAAAACTTCTAAAAAACAAGGTGGTTTTTTTTTTGGTTTGCAGAAATCCCAAGATCATAATTCAGAGGTTTTTATGGGACTGAAAACTTGTTTGTAAACTAATCTCAGGGGTGAAAAGTTTTTGTCGCTGGTCAAGTGACTGAAACTGATTTCCGGCTGGAGAACATTGAAGAAAAACTATGAGAAAACTTGAATGTCATGTGATATGCTGATGTGGACAGTTCCGTTCACGTCCCAGGATTCATTTCCGTTTAACTCTAACTTGGCAGTTTCCGGTGGGTTTGAGGTGGGTTAAGGGGTCGACTCAGGGGTCAAATCAATGCAAAGTAAATTTCGAATCAAAATTCAAAACGAAATGAAGTGGCTTTTTAAACGACAATCATTTGTATTGATTTTGGAAGTAATTGAACTGCATTTACCCTTCATTCTTTTCCTTATATAAACAAAGACAATCGTTATTCTCAGCTGAAATGATATTAAAAATGTATCATTACAATTTCAACAGCTTAAACACATTTTTCTTCAGTTTATTAAGAGAGGGAAAAGATCAAGCGATTGGGGCCTGGGTAAATCGGAACATAAAACAAATGCTATTCCCCATGTGAATTTGAAACAAATTTGATGAGCCATTTAAGTGAGAAGTGCGCATAATTGGCCAACATGTGGTGTGTGTGGCCAAGAGATTGAAGGGTGCGATTCGATCCCAATTCCTCGACAATTCATATGGATGCGAATGTGTTGCCTGATTAATGCATGGCTTTTGTGGCCAGAAATCTGCGCAAATCGCCAGATATAATAGCGAGGTGTTGATAGGGCTGGAATATTGCGGGGGAGGGGGTTTGGGAATCGGAGGGGAACACAACTTGATATAGCACGGAAATATCCAAGAATTCGAGGCCTCATGAATCATTTAGTTGCCAAGGCGGTCAATGGAAGTCCATAAAAATAGAGTCAATTTGGGCATAAGCCTGAAAATTTGCATACAACATTTGTAATATTCCTCAATTATTCTTCAAAATATTACACCTGTAGGAGTGAAATAAATAATAAATTTAATTGTTAAGGCAACACAACAACTACCGAAATTGAAGGAGAAATATATATGTATATTGATTATATTAAGTAATTCAAAGTGAAATGAACATATATTATATATTACATATATTAAGTAAATTAATGCCAATTCAAAAACAATAAAAAACTTTTGATTATTAATCTAGAATTCACAAATAATTACTATTTATTAATTACTATTACTGTTATATTTATTTAATAAGAAAAGTATGACAAGGATTTGTATATTTATCTGTGATTTCTCTAGCATTTATCAATGTTTTTGAATGTGCAAATGTATTAGATGCCTTAAGCACTGGTCTCTCAATGCATATATCAGCCATCCTAGATAAGCTTCGACATCCATTCATTCGGCTCATTTTGCCCGACACCCACACCACATCCACTTCACATCCTGTCCCATTTCCCAGCCCGTAATTGGCGGTGCTCGAGGAAATTGAGAGGCTATATAACAAATACCTTCCCGGCACGACACTCGGCCATATGTCAAGTCGTGGGACACAACAATTAGGGCCCATTCCTACCCCGATATTGCCCCGGATTAACTGCAGCTATTTTGCAGTCATGGACAACTGACGACATCAATTTCAAATACAGTATACTTTTATTTTTTTTTTGCGCGGCTAAAAGCTGAAACCACGACGTCATTGGGCAAAATGTAAATGTTTAGACAAGGCCAGAAAGCCGGGACGTGGTCCGCCTGATGCAGTTCCTCCTGCTCCGCCAGCCAGACAGATTTGGGTGTTTGGATGTCTGAATGTCTGGATATGCAGTGGCAATTAGGGGAGGCGGGGCACTTAAATGTACAAAATAGTTTTATGACTTAATTTTTGGGCTAATCTTTAGTATTTCCACTGCAATAAATTTTGGCTCTGTTTGGATTATTGTCTTTATTCTTATTGGTACAGTAATGCATCGAGAGATTCATAACTGAACATTTCTATAACACAAGTCAAAAAGTAAAAGGATTTCGAAAAAATGGATGGGAATAAAAAGCCAAAGAGTTATTCACTTTAAGCCAGCATAATCTGCATTTTTTAATAGTAAATTCTCACTCTGAAATTTTCGAATTAATAAGTATTTAAATAGGTTTTAACTCTTCATAAATTCAACACTCTTTGTGTACTAAATAAACGGCTAATCAAAAAGATTTTATTTATGGTTGTAGTGCTAGAATATGATTTTTAATTCTGCTCAACCTAAACTTATCACCAAAAAATAACCAATGGGTTTGAGTTGATTTAATATATTTTAAATAAGCAGTTTAAGCCACTCTTTCCACATTTTCTTGAAAATGTATTGCTTAAAAACACAATATGTTTAATAAATACATTTAAGTAAAAACGTTTTTCTATTGGTAGGCACTATTTTTGCTTAAAACTTGAGCTTAACCACTAGTTTTTTTTTGGAAAATATTTCTTTTAATCCTTAATAATCCCTTTCCTCGATTGGGTACTGTATTAATGTGTTTTGCTTTTCTTTCTTGCTGCAAACAATTTTAACGCTCGCCGTTTTCGGCTTTCGGCCCAATACAAATCATTTTGCATGTTCGCGGCAGCCGCAAAAGGCGAAAAAAAAAAACATCGAAAATAATTAAATATTTGTTTAGTTATGTTCGGGTCTGGTGGGGACGTGGAACACACGTTCGCTTACCAATCCGCCCACGCCGCAGTAGATGGACAGCGAGACGAGCAGTCCGATGTGATTGAGGGTCGACTTCCACTTCATCGACTGCCAGCAGGCGGTGCTCCTCCGACCGCCCGCCGCCCCCTTGGCCACGCACCCGCCCTCGGCGGCATCCACGCGGCGGTCCAGGTGCTTCAGCTTCTCCAGCAACTCGGTACTGGCCTCATCCTGCGAATCGTACTCCTTCACCGCCACCTTTTTGATCGGCATTCTCCGCTCCTGTTTATCGCTTATCCCTCAACTATTCAATTTGCAATCATTTAATCTTCAATTCAATGCCTATTTCATCTAGTTTCCTAGGGGCCCGGCCCCCTTCGGTCCTGCGAGTCCAACATTTCTTGGGGCACTCTCACGCAAATGGGCAATATTCGAAATTTCTCGCACTCGCGCCAAACTTTCGGCAAATCGACGCAGCCCCAGAATCCCGAGGAGAACCAACCGTCAACAAGTCAAAGTTGCGACTGTTGTGTTTCCGCGTTGAATACACAAGCCCCCCGAAAAGATGGCCACTTTGGGGCCAAACATGTGGCAACGTTGCTCGGAAAGCTGAACAATATTTTGAAATTAGTCCAATATTTACTATAACAGATTGAAGAGGAAAGGTGAGCAATTCATTCTCACTTTTAAGTGTTTTTAAAATGTACAATTCTATATTCTATATACATATGTGTATGTTATTGATTCAAACCAAGCTTCGTTTAATAACAATAAATAAGTAAACTAACATTTTATCTAATCCAAATGATATTTATTTTGGATTCAAAAATCAATAAATTATTGCTTAAACAATACTTTGTTCTGCTCGCTAAGATTGATAAAATAAAAGAATTAAAAATATTATAAATAACCATATACTTAGTGATAATACCAAATAATATGAATAAAATGAAATCAACTATACAAATGCACTGTATTAATACAAAAAAAAATAATTTAATAAGATTTCCTGATAGGTTATTAATATATAATTTAAATTCTGTTAACAAAAACAAGCAGTTTTTAAAGATTTTGAATTGAGTTTCAAAAAAACGCGGGCAAAAGTCGCTTCACACGCACTTTCCCAATTTAATTTCATTTTGAATACCGCGCGCAAGTCACGAAAATATGGCAACATTCTCGGGAAAACGGAAAAGGATTTTATTTTAGGTGACTACAAAGACATTTTTCGGAAATTTGGAAAAAAATGACAAAAAACCGAAAAAAAAATTACATACCCAGATTTGAATGCAGTTTTTTAGTGTATAAAATCACAAGACTTTAGAGGTATGCCACTTCAAAATCGGACTTAAATTAGAAAAGTTATGGACTTGGAAGTGCAGGTTTTAGGTCACTTTTCTGCAAAGCCAGTTTTCGGAAATTTGGAAAGGGGTTTCATCATGAAAAATGACAAAAACCGAAAAAAAATTACATACCCAGATTTGAATGCAGTTTTTTAGTGTATTAAATCACAAGACTTTAGAGGTATGCCACTTCAAAATCGGACTTAAATTAGAAAAGTTATGGACTTGGAAGTGCAGGTTTTAGGTCACTTTTCTGCAAAGCCAGGACATGAAAAATGACAAAAAAAAAACGAAAAAAAATTACAAACACAGATTTGAATGCAGATTTTTAGAGAATTAAGCCACAAGACTTTAATGGTACCACTTTGAAATAGGACTTAAATTAGAAAAGTTATGGGCTTAGATGTGCAGGTTTTTTGTTAATTATTATCATAATCAGATTCACATAAGGCCAAATCCAATAAAAAACTTTAAAAATATTACTATCCTTTTTGTTTTTTTTTTCTTTATACATACATACATACATATTAGTTTGCTCATTAATACATTGAATTTACAACTAATGATCCATACTTAAATATATATATTTATATTTTATATGTGCATGAATGCATAATTTAATTTTTTAAAATTATTAGTTTTCAAAAAAAATGTGAGAATTTGAACAATCGTCTTCTTTTTGCATATAACTAACATAACGATCTGTTTAAGTAACTTAAACATTAGATATTAATTTCTTCATTCTTTACTTATTTATTTATTTCCGTTTTTTCACTGCTTTGTGCACAATTGCAAAATGAGTGAGTGAGTGGTGTCGGTCCATGTTCAGTAAGCCGACTAGATCAGCAACTTATGTGCAAACTAATTCAGGTTTGCACTATTTACTTCTTTTTAAAAAAGGTACATTAAATGTATGTCACTTTTAGTACCGATTTCCAAATGAAATGTCTTTAAAAATAACCATACGACTATTTGTTGATCATAAGGGGGTTAAATTACAATTCCAGACTAAGATCAAACTTAATCAGTCCTCAATCCACCTCCATTCGCCTCTGTGAGTGTGTGTGTATCTATGTCTGCGAATCCTTTGTGTGGGTGGCGTGTGTATCTGCGAGTACTTGGTGCGCTATTCGGCAGCTTCTTAGGATTCTAACGCAGTCATTATGTCGTCCAGCGTGCCCCTGGAGATGGCATGGCGGCTGGAGTTCAACTGGAAGTCGGGTTCTAAACGGCAAAAGCGCACAAATTAATTAGTAAAAGGTATATTCACATAAATTAGTACAAGTAAATAATAGAGAGCAAAATGTTGGGCCTGAAAGGGCATGGTTTCCCAAATGAATATTTTGTATTATAAAATAAAACGTCAAGCATGGGAATGTAAATATACATTATATCCAAAACAACGAAACAATAATTGACTTTTACTTTAAAGATAAAGGTAGAAAATCGATGCAGTTTAAATATTTAAAGTTAATATTTTCTAAACGATTTAAAAAAAATGTTTATTTTATTATTTTACCTCTCCAAAATAATTGTATTTTGTTTGCAATTATTAACTTTTTATTGAAACATGTACTATTAAAATGTAAATTTGTTCGATTTTTTTTCAATTACAGCTTTATGATGCGATTTAATTATACTTGATTGTGATACGTAGCTCGTTAGAAGGTAAACAAAACCTATAAAGTAGATCTTCCAATTGAACTGTACGTAATAAGATGCAGTCACCTGATGGAATGTGTGACTTTGAGTTAAACCTATGAACAAATGTCTTCAACTGAGGTGTTAGCTGTAAGCCTAGGGGAATTTTATGAAGTGCGGCGCAATCGGAACAACGTAAAAACAGGTAATTGACGTACTTAAGTGGCTTGAAAACTCAAACATCTCTACTTGAAATCTACAAATAAATATGATATTAATTGTTGTGTATTCAGTGGATCGCGGAGTTCGCCTGCCACTCACCATCTAGCTGGCCAAGGACCTCGTCATCCAGTGTGGGCATTTGCTCGAGGGGGGAGTAAAAAGGCCCCGATACACTGGATCCGCTGGTGGGATTGCTGCCATTTAGTGTCCTGGTCGTCGAGGGCGGGGTCATCAATTCGGCGGGCAGTTCGCCGGGATTGAGGGTGTCGTCGATGATCGGAGCTGCGGGTGCTTCTTCCTCGGCTTCCGCTGGTTTTCCCTCCTCCTCGACAGCTGCTTCTGCTGCTACTCCGGCTGCTTGTTTATCGTGATCGCTGGCGGACTTAAAACTGCAGTCGGATTCACCGGAATCCTGACGGCTGCGCGGCTTCGGCGTACTCTGGCGGGATGAGGGCGTGTGCAACTGACGGACATCGTCCAAGGACGTCTGGATCTCCAGGACATCCTCCTGGTTGTCTTCAGTGGTGGACAGGAGCTGTGGTGAGGAAGCCAATTCCCTAAGCTCCTCAGCCTGTTCAACTTCCTCCTCCACTTCCTTGAGTTTCACTTCTTCTGTTGGTTTTTGGGGGGATTCATTGAGGTTTTCAGTGATTTCCTCTGCGGTTTCCTTATCCAGGTTTTCCACGGTCTCCTCCTGCGCAGCTTTTTCCTCTGTTTCTGCTGGAGTTTCCTCTGGTTTGTCGTCTGTCGTTTCCTCTGCAGTTTCCACTGGCTTATCATCAACTTTTTCCTCCTGTTTGTCTTCGCTACTTAAATTTCTTTTTTCATCTGCTGCATCTTGTGCTTCTCTGTCTCTTTCTACTTCATTTGTTGCATCGGCGTCTATTTCGTTCTCTTCCTTTTTTGACTGTGTTTCCTCCTCTGTTGGCTTGATTTCCTCTTTATTGGCGGCTTCGACTTCCGCCGCGATTAAAGGAATCTTATCCTCTACAATCTCATTTGACTTTTCCGTTTTCTCCTTTTCCTTGAGCGATTTGTCGGACTTTTCTTTTTCCTTTGGCGCTTTATCGACCTTTTTGTTGGGTGTCTCTTTGAGGGGCTTTGCTGACTTTTTAAGAATATCCTTTTCCTTGTTTACAACCGGCTTTTCATCCTCATCGTCGCTGATGGTCGTGGTGAAGGATATCTTCTTTTTCTTGGGCGGAGGTGTTCCGGGTCTCTGAATGCCCGGCAGTTCGTTGGGCACTGGTCGTGAAAATGGGGAGAATTGCATTAGTTTTAGCATAGATCTTCTTCGATTTCAATTGGGCAACACACCTGACAGGTTGCTTCTTATTCATTTCTTATTCATTTGATATAATTTGTGATTCTTTTCTTATTTGCTCCATAAATATAACAAATTTCTGGTGCTCATCCCAATTTGTATTAATGACATTGTCTTTGGTTTAAATAAAAATTCAAGTAATGCTTTTATGAAACTTAATATATTTAAATGGTTTTGGAAAATGTGCACGAAAGGAGACATGTGATGTGCGTGCATTTGATATAATGTTTATTTGATGTCGACAATCATTAGTTACAGACATGACATGGAATAAGTGAGTGTACATGCAAATTATAAATGATTTCATATCTCAATTAATTATTTTTCAGTTCCAACTTGTTATTAAAATGAAGACTTGCTTATTTTGATTTGCGATCGTCATTCTTGACCTCTAAATTAGGACTATTTAATCTCTTGTCAGCGTGCTTATTGCGTCTACCTACCTATGTACTCCTCATCTTCATCCTCGGCAGCCTTTGGGTCGTCATCCAGACGCAGGCTGGCCAAGCTGGAGAGCGACAGACGCTGGTGCGGTCGCTTGAGTCGTCCGCCCATCGGCGAGCCGTTGCAGGAGCGGCGCTTGTTCTTGCCGCGCGGTGATGCAGAAGAAGACGAGCCGGCGGGTGGAAGAGGAAGCGGCGTGGAGGTCAGGGCTATATCCTCCAGCACATTGCCAGTGGCATCCACACGCTGCAGACGTGTCGGTTTGGGGGATTTCGATGAAATCGAACCGAAAGTGGCACGTCGCGAGCTGCTGTCGCTGCTGCCCAGGATCTCGACGGCCTCGCTGAAGGACACCGATAGATTGGACTTCCTGGAGCGTCCCTTCTTCACCCCGCCAATGGGACGCGGACTGCACTCGGGCCACTTGCTCGGCCAGGGCGTCCTCTTGATCTTCACCACGCAGCCAAAGAATCGGGCGCCAAAGCGCTGGATCAAAGCCTGACTAGCGTGCCGTCTTTGGATCGGCTTGGTCTTTGACTTGGGCTTGGGGTTGGCCTTGGCCTTGGCCGGCACCTGGACCTTTTGTGGCACCACCCTCCTGGCCAAACTGGGCGGTGGTGTGTGAGTGCGGGCCAAATGCTGCAAGGTCCGTTTCTTCGTGCCATTCTGCAGAGGAACTTTGATGTGAAAATTGTGTTTTGGCGGCGACTTGTGCTTCTTGGGCGGCGATGGCGCGTTCTTGGCCCTGCCACGCCCCTTACTAACTCCGGCCTGGGGGGAGTCGACGACATGGGCAAAGGGTGAATTGGCCACGGATTCGAAAGCCGAATCGATTTCCTGCTGGGTCAGGCGACGCACTCGCACCACGCATACCCTATCGAAGTTCGGCTTGGCCAGCAGCTGATCGCTGAACATCTTCTGCTGCGCCTTGGTCTTGGTGGGCATGGCGGTCAGTAGTTGGTCCTCCTCGGACTTCTCCTCGGTCTTCTCCTCGTCGCCCTCATCCTGCACGTCCTCAGTCGGCCTTTTTTTATGGTGTTTAAAGGGGTAGGTGTCCGCTGTCTTGTCCGCCACAGCCGATTTCTTAGTTTTGGCTGGTTTAGCTGTGGTCTTGGGGGATTCATCGCTTTTCTTCAGCTTCTTGGACGGGGTGTTGTCCTCCTCCGGCTGCTTCTCAATGCGATTGCTTATATTGCCCATAGCTTTTTCCAGTTCTTCGATATCTTCTTCAAACTTTTTGAGCCTTTTTGGTATTGTGAACGGCGATTCGTCTATGTTTTGACATGTGTCATCTGGCTTTCGTTTGGGTATTTGAAAAGGTGACTCGTCTAGGGTCGCCTCCTTATCCAAATCATCCTCATTCGATATAATACCACTCTCCAGGAGGTCTGCAAAAAAAAAAATAATCCCAAAGTAAGGAGAAGCACAATAATGGTTTATTTTTTGAGAAAAACTCATATTTCTGAAGGAAAAGGTTATTTACCTATGGCGTCTAGTGGAGAATCAGGGGGAATTGGAGACGGAGTGGACATCTTGCTCTCCACTGGATTTATTGTTTGCGGCGGCGGCGCCGCCTTTACCATATCAAATATGTCCATTATCGTAGAATGCCGCCCGTTGCGATTTTCCCACGGAAACGAAACGAACGCACGTTTGCCACACCGTTTATTTGGCTATATTGCCTCGATTCTGACCAATTAAAAGGCGCTTCTCAATATGGACAATACCTGGCGCGGGACGGGCACCCAGTTTGTCTTCCCAGTTATCGGATGCGCTCGAAAATCGCGTTTTCATTCAGCAAAAAAATCACTGAGATTTTACAACATTTAAAGACGCCATCACCGGTGTGACCCTGGCGGACATAACGCGAAATTCCTCGCGCAAATACACCCCCGACATCGGGGTTATTTAGGCTATATTATGCGCTGTCGAAGATAACCTTAAAATTTAAAACAATAAAATATAAATCAATGAAAAGATAAATGAATTAGATAGATTTTCGATTTGAATTCGAAAGAACTATTTTTTTCTTTTTCTTTGGGACCAACACCTGCTGAGAATTATAAACAACTTTTGGTTTCTAACAGTAGTTTTAAAATGACCGCTCAATATTTGCGTCGGATTAATTTGGAAGATCTTAGCAAAAATAAACCAAAATAAATAGTTTTTTACGTTTTTTTTCAAGAACTTGGCCTTGTCGCTCACCTTGACCTATTTACTCGTCATTAGGGCCCCACTTTCCATTCATGGATCTTCAAAATTTAAACGAGATCGGAGGTCATGGCTTTTCGGAAGTGTACTTTAAGTTTGACAAGAAGATAAACATAGATTTATGTATATTTGGAAAAGATGTGTTTTCTTATAGTTGCCACGAGGTTCATTTAGGAACTCGCATACTTTTTCCAGCAGCGAAATTTAAATTTCCAATTGGATAATTCAGAGACTCATTTCGAATCTGATATACAAATTTGTTTGTTTCTAATTCAGCCTAGGGGTACATTTATTATCTCAAAAAAGATTGATGAATTGGAAGGGCTGTTTAATTAAGCCTAAGTAGGTATGTTAAATTAAATGCAAAAGTTTTTAGCTTAAAACAACATAAATTTAATCATAATCCGAATACGTTTGCCACTGTGCGTTGGTTGGAGTCTGCGCTAAATGGTTGTTGGGGCTATGCACTTTGTATGGTATATATTTTAGTATATATCGGTATTTCAACCAGGCGAAACTAATCGATAGTTGAGGCGAAAACCTCTATAATATCGAAAGCACTTTAATTTTGGTTCCATCGCTAGCAGTGGGCGAAAAAAAAACATTCGTCAATTCACCGTCGTCGATCGAACGCTGTATTTTTTTCCAGTGCAATATTCGGCCGATGAATAAAAAGAGTGATTAAATTGAAGTACTCCCTAAAAAAATAATAAATAAATAAAGTTGAAAAGAACGGCAGAGAGAGCGTAATAAAAAACGAGTGCTGTTGCTGAGGTGTGTGCGTATGCGTGTGTGTGTGTGACGTTTACAGCAAAAAGTTCGGAGGTGTCAAAATTTTCGAGTATTTTAAAGTTAATGCAACCGACTCCCGATCGGATATGAGCTGATCGCTAGCAATCGATCTAATCGGATATGGAAAAGTATTGCTGATTGCAAACAAAACGAGGAAAAACAATAAACAACGGCAATTTGTTGCTGCCGCAACAGCATACTAACACCACCACCCCCCGTTCCAGCCTAACGGTTCATTCACAGTGGCAGAGGAAAGCAAGAAGAAGAAGAGGTGAGTTCCAGCATCTTTATTTATATTTTTTATGTGTGGCTGTTCTTCTCTGAAAAACTACGTGTGTATGTAAACATTATCAACGAAAAATGGAGTGAGAAAAAATACTGAAACTTTCTTTCGCTGTCTGTGTGGCATTTTGCTTGCGAGTGTGTGCGAGTTGCTTCTGCTCATTTTTTTTTTTACAAATTAGCGAAGCAGCAAAAGAAAACTGGTACAAATTTTTTATGCTTTATTTTCGCGCATTAATGTAATTAAAAGCGTCCATTGTCCATCATCATTCATCAACGCTTCGCAGCTTCGCTGAGAAACAACAACAATGATAACAGGATAGTCCTGCCCTTCCTTTTTCCATATCCATTCTTATTGCGATTCCCATTGCCCACTTCCCATTCCCACCTTTCTTTCCCTCTTCCACTTTCCACTCCCACCACATCAGCTGCTGTCCTGCAGTCGTTGTTGTTGTGTTGTAACCTTGCCTTGCTTTCCTTTACTTTCCACCCACTTTTTGTGGGCCCACCGCACAGTGGGAGAATTTTGTAAGGCAAACTTTTTGTATTCTGCAATTTTTGCTTTTTAATACCATTTTAGAAATGCTGAACCGTCAAACCTTTATTAACGCCCCTAACTCAAAGTCCCTTTAAATCAAACTTATATTAAGTCTTGATAGAAGTTAACAACATTTTAGGAACCGGTGAAATCCAAGCATATAGTTGAGAAAAAGTTCATTAAATATTTACCAGTTTTTAAAATTTTGTATTTGTGGCCCTAAGCCACATTCGTTTACTGCCCACTGTGCACCACTCCATCTCGCTTTGACGTTCTCTGCGCCTGCGCATTGCCAACACGGCGACACCTTGCACACAGCGTTGCCACCTTGCACACGGCCCACGAAGACACGACAGACAGTGGGGGTGAAAATTGTAGTAATGATTACTGCTTGGGCTAAAGTCAATACAAAATTTGTTGTTAGCCCGTGCTCTTGTTATCTGAGATCCTCGGTAATGAAAGTTTAAGTAACCTACAGCCCAAATCTTATTTTGTTTTGGTTGTGTACGTTTATTTTAAGAACTTACCAATAAGGTGTTTGAACTATAATAGCGCTAAACCATTTAATTTCTTAAAATGTTTTTAAAGATAACGAGAGCTTTATTTTTCATCTGCCGGTTTTGATAACCTTGTGTTTTGGTTTTCACCCGTATATAGATTAAATCTACGTGCAGTTTGGTGGTTTCTTCCAGTTTCGATGATATTAAGATCTTAAAGACAAGCTAAAGCAGAAAATGTCTGATTTCAGAATTCCACTACGCGGTTAGAATTATGCAATCGAAATATATCAACGTCTGAAGTTTAAATTAAACATGGGTTTTCCCATTAACATACTTTTTGAGTATTAGTGAGTTGAAAGTTGAGTCCCTACTACTTTGACCGTTGCTGTACTAGGCAAGTCGTACCGTACTCCAGTATTTTGGTTTGTGTGCGGCGAAATGTTGCGTGCTTATTCAAATTTCAGTTGTGATATTTATTTAAATCACGAGCATTAAAACTAGTGGAACACATGGAGCAGAAAGTCATCGTCATGTTAATTATGATCATAAATTTACAGTCAGTGTGGGTGTGGGTGTATCATCCGTCATTATCTGGGGAAGGTTGGAGCAGGATAGCCTTCATTCTGCCGTCTCTTGCCAAAAAAAAAACCAAGTCACTTTTTCGGTGTGTTCCAATCGGAATTCTTTTTGCTTTAAGCGGGTTTTTCAACTATCTGCTCAAGTGTTTTCGCCATGTTCCATTATTTGTATTGTTTTATGATATTTTGGCGGCTGTTTGTTAGTTATTATGTTGCCTATTTGGAACGCGAGTTTTCGACCTTCGCAGCAAAGCCGCGAATATATATATGTCAAAAATAATTTGCACTTGAGTCTGTTTCCCTATCGCCGGTTTTTTTTTTGTACATTTATATACATATAATTTTTAACGGATCATAACAAGCGGTTGCCAACATGTTTTCGAGCAACCTTACTTAAACGCAAATCAAGTATGCCAACTGGAAAATTACAGTGATCCATGGAGAAATGAGGAGTCCAAAATAATAGTAGGAAGTTGTAAAAGAAACATATTTTTCTAAATCATTTTTGTATATGATAGAAATATTGAAAGTTACTTCCTCTTTTGTTTAAAATATAACTTAATATATTTAAGTTTACATTTTTTTATAGTTAAAAGCATTATAACACTTACTAAACTAAAAAATGTATAATAAAATAATACCCCATTTCAAAGGGACCTTCAATAAATAAAATTACTGAAATTGGTGTTAATTAATTCCGTCAAGTTCATGATTGGGTTTCAACCCTTTTTTGGGGGTTTAACAAAGCAAGTAATTAGCGAGGCATCACTTTATCGGTCTTTAGTGGGCTTCCTCTAAATGTTGTTTTCAAAAAAGATTGACAACCACATGCTGTCTCTTGCGATTGCGCAGCTTCCTTTGTCTGCCGTCCCTTTCTGTCGAAGCAAAAAGTGCCGTTATGTAAAAATTCAGGCAATAGCTTCCACAACATAAAAACATACACACAAAAACCACCAAGCAATATCGAACAAACAACAATGGGGCGGCATCAGCATCCACAGTCAGAGCCAAGGTACAGTGGCCACTTGGCCAACTGGAGACTTACCTGATTTAGCTGCCCCAAAGCATAGAAAATCAGGTAACAACAGAAGCGACAATAGCGATTCCGATATGTGTGCCAATCTCCACGCAGACGTGCTGGCATTTCGGCCCACAGTAAATGCCCGTTGATAAAGTCGGCTGTGGTCTCGAGAAATTTCTGCCAAAAATTACTACTACCTATTATTTTTCTTAAGCTTTATTATTAAAATCACAATATTATTGATATCCAAATATCATCAATGTAGAGTTTAAAATGGATTGATAGGAAGTATGGAATGTTAAATTATATATGAGAAACTAATAAAACTGTATTTTTAAACCAATATTGGATTTGCAGATATTGTTTTTCTTGGGCTAATACCCACTGTATTTGGTTAAATTCAAGATTTGAAGAAATGAATTTACAGTTTCGACAACAATGTGGTATTTTTTTGTTGGTTATTTCTCCAGCCAGTTTTCTTTCCTGATTTGTTAGAGCTATTGCTGGTTTTTATATTTCTTTTTCATTCATTCAACAGCAATTGCTGACACATATCGTTTTTGTTATTTATTATGGCTCGGAACTGAAGGAGTTTCGTCTGTTTCCATTTTATTTTCAGTTCGGTTTCGGTTTCTGGCCGCTGTTGAAATCCAAACCGCTCCAATATTGCGTTGAAAACACTTTTTATTGAGGCACTTGTGAATGCTACTGGGGAAATATTTATTTCAGCCAATAGCAACTGAAACAACAATGGGATCAGTACACTGCCAAAGGCTATAGTCAATTCTATGTAGTAATCATTGAATTCAATGTATAAGATTTAATCGTGTCGTAAAAATCCTTTTTGGAAATAAACTTGACATTTAAATTTGTATTATTTTTTCTGCTAATTAAAATGATTAAGCCCAAAGGTCAATGCTTTTCATGTTCTGGTACGAGTTCAATAAAAAGCCATGATTATCTCATTAAGTTTTAAAATAATAAACAGTAAAAAAATTATATAAACAAATTACTTGTATATATTGTTTCCATATTACTATAGCTTATCTCAATTGTTTTTCTGAGTGAAGTAGTAGCATACAGCAGCATTTTGTGAATAAATTATGTTAATGACTTGGGAGTCAGTAGGGGCTTTTGAGGGGTGGCTAAAAACTCAGGGGATTTGTGTTTCATAATTTCATTTTGCGTCTGCTTTTTCCGTTTGTTGCATATTTTTAGTTTACTCGGTTTTTTCATCGTGCCGCCCTTTTACCCACACTCTTGCAATACAGAAGCGCTTAAAATAGTGATGTTATTAACGTTGCAAATTATTTTTAAAAATGTGTTGATAGTTTAAAAAAAAGTAACTATTTGAGAGGATTAATTTAAATAGAAATGTAGAACTTATTAGGGAATATTAGGGAAAGAAATTCTATTCTAAATCAATCAAATATTTTGACGAAGACCAAATCCAATGCTATTATTTTGCTTGCATCTGTAAGTGCAGATTGTGCGACAAAGTTTCATTGTTCGAAAATCTCTAATTGTACTCGAGCGCAGTGCGTCTTTCTACTGATTGAAGAAATCGTCGAATTCTTATCTGGGCCTCTTATTTCCCCCTTCCTGCTTCTGGTTATATTATGGGTACGCCCTATCAGTTCCTCTGCTGACTTGTTTTTCACTTGTTTAGGATTCGTGGCGATAAATGGGAAATTGAGTTCGAGCTCGGGCGACACTTGGGACTTACGTTACTACATTAGCATTACCACTAATTGTGGCAAGCAGACAGGTAAATGCATTTTCAAATTACCACGGACTTACAGTGGTCGCTGGTTAAGAGGAAATATAATTATGGGATCGGCCCGCATACGAATCAAACTCTCCTCATACGCGTTATCTCAGCGTTCTTGAAAGTTAACTGATTTTATTGTCAAAAATAATTTTATAAATAATTCAATAATTCCACTATTATAATAAATAATATACATAATTGTAAATCTGTCAAAGATGCCTCTTAAAATTATTTATTGTAAATTTTCCCAAAATCAATTAAGAAGAATATTTTATAGTTATGACCCTTTTTGCTTGCTTTTAACTATTTTTTTTTTATGAAATTTTCTAATTTCCTGGATGTTTCCGTTATTGAGAGGCCACTGTGGCTGACGTCACAGCATTGCCAAGGGCTCAATTGCAGTGCGTCGGAGTGAGATAGCCACTGAGCAAACAATTCAAATTGGGTTAATGAGAGTTGGCCAACTCAGGGCTTGGTTCTATATGTATCCGTGTGTATCTGTGTATACAAGTGGGCGAAGGTAGGGGCGTGGGCGTGGCATTCATGAATTTTTGATGATTGGGCTTAAATTACATTGGGGACAAAATGCAGAGCACACAGACTGGCTGTGATATTAGGGAACATTCTTATACGGGTCAGACATATGATTAGGGTTCTTCCATCCCGCTGGATTAATTCATAACATTAACATGACCCTTTGGGAATTTGGAGAAGAATTTGTGTGACAAATTGCTTAAAGATGCTATGGAAATTTTGAATATTTGCGAACTTCTTGTAACTACAAACTTGTATTTGTTTTTCCCGTGGGTTGAAATGAAACATCTAATTTTAATTAAATAGTTTAGCAAGCTTACGAAAACCCATAAAGCAGACATTAAAGTATAAAGTAAAACATTTTAAGAACGGTTAAATGCCAAACCAACTTATGTGACCTTTCTCGCTACGCTCTTTTATTGATCCGGTTAATCTGCAAAATGCCAGTATGTGCCTTATAGAAATGGATGGTACTGTAGCGTGAGACATATGGCTCGGGGGCGTGACTCGAGATGCATTTGAAAATGTAAATGCGAATGCAGATGCAAATGCAAATGCGATGTGTGTGCGTGCGCAAATTAGCAAGACAACAAATGAACTCCGCTAAATACTTTCGTCCCGGTCACCCATGTATTATTCATTTTGTCCGCAAAAAAAAATCCAAACAAAAATCGGAAACAAAACAAAATAAAAACAGCAAATGAGCAAATTGTGATTTGTTCGAAAGTCGCCGTCGAAGAGGAGGTGACGAGGGGCGAAAAATTAGCTAAAGCATTCACCATCAGGTTTCTGACTAATCGCCTGCTACAGTGCAGTCCATTTAAATTGTTCATAAGCATGGCATCAGTCAGAAAAAGATAGTGAACAGATGTGACTGTGGTCGCGCCAGATATAGAATTTAAGCAGACCACAGAGATAAAATAAAATAACATTGCAATGAGGCTGGCACAATATTAACTAACAATTGTTTTTCACGATTATTTAATACTCTCTATTGAAGAAAATAGTTTTTTGAATTTTTAGCATTTCACTTTTTTTGCTTAAACTTCCGGACTCAAAATAAAATTCGATTTAAAATGCTACAGTTTAAAAATAAATATTTTTACATAAAAATATCTATATATATTTGTGGTTTTTTGCTTTTTATGGATAAAGGTTAATTTAAAATAAACTTAACTAATCTTTTAGTATATATGAGTTTTTAATAATTAAAACTTTGGATATAATTTCTTTAAAAAAGAAAGGTTTTGCAATGCAGAAATTAGCCTAAGATATGTTAGAAATCATCTCTATAGTGAAAGGGAGAGGAAACAAGTTTCGGGCATATTTAAACCACATTTAAAATGCCATGAGTCATAGATCCGAGTTGGAAACGTATACCTGCGACAAAGCCAACGGTCGGATTAAAATACCCTGAAAATAATCGAAAAATTGTGTTGGTGTTTTTATTTATTTTTTCTTCTTTCTTCTGTGGGTTGCCGACGTCTAACGGTTGTGCATATATAATGGTAAATCCATGGGTAGTCGGCTTGGAGTTAACGATTCTGTTTTTCTTCCAGCAATTCTCATAAAAGCCACCGACTTCAAACGGAGAAGAAGGCGAAATGTGAAGAACTTTTTATGAATGAATTAGACTGGAAATAGTGCAGAAATATCTGCCAACACACATGTGAGCGTGCTTCAGTCTATATGTTAGCATGAAATTATATGTATGTACACATATGTATGCTTATATATATATATATTCATATGCCTGCACTTAAGCTTAAGGCTGTAGAAACTTGAGAGGTCTTAGAACCCACAGTGGGCGTTAATAATTAAGGGGCCCAACTCATAGACCATGCAAAAAAAATATATTTTTTGCCCCCTGTGTCATGTGCGGTTTCAATCGTTTAAACTGAAAACTTAAAGAGAGCTCTTTCCCTCTTATTAAGATTCATTAATTTATTTCCAGAGGGGACGATTCATTATTCCGCTGGCAGGGTGTTAACATCTGTTAACAGACTGTAACTACAATTAGTTATCGTTATTCTCCCGGAATATATGTATACACTTGTCTGCTGGCATTATTTTCGCTTGATTTGTTGCTGTCGCAATTATCTTTGCATTGAATTGATAGCGGCAGTGAAACAATGTTTAAGAATTGCCAATTCAGCACAAAAATATACAAACACATAGTACAGTGGTTTCTAGTTAGTAATAATAGTAAAAAACTCCAAACAAAAAAAAAGCTAAGTAAATCTTTAAAGGAACAAAATATATATAAAAAAATTATTAATTGTAATTAAGTTTCCAAAAAAAATTGAATTGATGTGGATAAAAAAAATTAGAAACTATTCTAATTAACGAGTTCGCACTGTAAGGTAAATTTGACAGCCTAAAAGTATGACGACTTTGAATGGCAGTCAATTGACACACATTCTAATCGATTTCCATTGATATAAAATCAGGTTAAATTTCACGTGTGACTTTGTGACGTCAACGAAAACTTTTGACGGCATATACCCAATTTCCTTTTAAACTAGTATCGAGCGTGGCCCAAAAGTATGCCTTGGATTCGTTTCTATTTCCCATGCCTAAATGTGTGTGCGAGTGATAAGAGGTAAAGGTGTTATCAATGGATCCAAAGTAGACTCGTCTATAGAAGGGAGTATGAACAAATATTAATGAAACCCGCACTAGAAGAGTGACTATCAGCTTTACCTTTTGGTCTTTGCTCTATCTTCGATTTTATTACCATTTTCGATTTTATTTATATAAAAGTGTTTTATTCGCTCAACTCGTTTGAGTACCTGTCAATGATAATCCCACCTGATGTGGGGCGACAGACGAAAATGAAAAGCTGGTTAATTACAATGTACTGAAAGAAATTGTTTGGTATTTTCTTGGAATTTTATTAATTTACCTGTGGAATTCCCTCACGCAATAGGTCATATCCCGTAAATTCAGAAATTAAGATCTTGGACTTCAAAGTAATTAACAATCATTTGTTTTAGCTAATAAGTCAAGCAATTTCTGGCCTTATATACAAATAATCATGAAACTATACTTTGTATACCTATTCAATTCCAATAATAATTTTGTTTTCCTTTTCAAGCCCTTATTACGAATACAGTTGTTATTCTATACAATAAACTATGAACTTGGAATACGATTAGTGTTATCATCGCCAGCCAAATTGACATTTAATGTTATAAATGGTTTCTAGGTGTTAATTTTCCGTCTTGTTGGGTAATCGTAATCCCTACCGAGCTGTTTTTTTCAGGGTTAATCTTGACAATCGGTGTTTGTATTAACACAATTATGAAGTATCCCTCCACTTGAACATCGACCAGGTGCGTTTTTATTTGCTTTCGTGTTGGTGCTTTGGAGGCTCCTCAAGGCCCCAGTTTGGCGTTAATATCGATAAAGATCGGCATGCAACCGGATGGCCGACGAACTCGCCCCAATTCTGGCTGAATAAATCGTCTCCACGGCAACAAAACACTTGCCAAATACCATTAACACTTGTACCCGCACAATCTCCAAATTTGTATAGCGGTTATTTGTTTTATTCGTATATGTATTGTTCTTAAAATAATTAACACTATCAACCGATTAAAACAAAAATGATTGAAACCAACTTAACCAAGTACTTAGTTCATATGTTAATGTATTTTTTTTGATACATTGGCGAATGAAAAAAGTAGAGAGTTAATAGAACTTTCGTATATATGGGATTATTGGTTGAAGTACATTTTGCAATTTCAATAGTTTTAATGACAGATAAACATTTAATATCAAATATTAGGACTACAAATAATTATGTTTCTACAACATTATAGACACCGTTTCTTAGAGAATAAATCTAAACATATATATATAACTTACAAATCTAAATCAGCTTTTGAATGTAGACATGGACATTCACTGAATGTAAACAATGTTTATAATTTCGATTACCCTATCGAATGTTTATGGTTAAGTGAAATGATTGAATGTAAAAGTTTTTGCTGGGGTACAAATATCTTTAGAGAGTTTGTAACATAATTATTTAATTCAGTTAAAGTGCTTCTTACAAAAAAAAAGTGTTTTAAAAGTTAAACATTTGACGAATTGATCTAGAGCAGCAGCTATTGAATGATGACATTCACTGAATGTAGTTAAATCAAATAGGTAATTGTACCTTATCACCCCTCGCACCAGGTATATTGTATACACGATCACTACTGACCACTGGTGGTCATCACATTGACCAGGCCGGGCATCACCTCCGCCTGAATGGGTCCGTAGTCCACCCGTTCGCCGTCCACCACCAGGATGCCATCGGAGCTATTGGGTTCAATCCTGAATGCCCGGCAGGGCACCACCTTGATGAAGGGATCCTCGCCGATGGGCAGATGGGTGCCCGTGTTCAGACTCAGCATGAAGTTGAGCAACTGATGGCGACTCACGCCACTCCGGATGATCACCAGGTAGATGAGGCCATCGTCCAGCCGGGATTCGGGGGCAAAGAAGACGTCGGAGGAGAGATGGGTGGTGTAGGCGGCATGGACCATCACGAAGTCCCCATCCTCGCAGACCCACCCCTCTGTACCCTGGAGAGGCACCTGCAATCCCGGAATGGTGCCCGTTGGCACCTTCTCCGCGAACTCCGCGTTGGCCGCCTCGATCCGCTGGCTCACGCTCAAGCGACTGCGATTGGAACGCAGACTGGGTCCTCCGAAGGAGTAGTACGCCGTTCTGCGGGACATGGCCGAGTGCCAGCTGTCGGCATGCTGACGATAAACGGAGCGATCCATGGATATGGCATCGGCGAACTCATCCGCATCGAGTTCCCCATCTTCGTCGGGTAAATCACGAAATTCACCGGTATTTATGGGCAGCGATGAACGGACTGTTGCGAGCGATGGCCTCTTCTCTTCTAGTGGAATCTCCCTGGCTTCTTTGGCCACTTCTACATTCTTTGGGTTCTTGGCCAGTAGGTAGGACACCCGGCCCTTGTAGGTTCGCAGGGTAATCAGCCTTTTGATGGCCCACAGCGTGAATCTCTGGGCTCCAATCGATCGCAACCGCTCGCTCTCTATGTCGATGTCGGCTATCAGACCCCAACCCACCGACAGGAAGGAGTACATCACAAAGTGCTTATCCCTGGGCGCAAGTTCCACCCTGACCACATCCATGGGTGTACTTTTGCCAGCAATGCAAGTCAGGGTGGCATGGAGGATGGGCTTGGGCTCGTACGGTTCGTTGCAGTGGTGGGCCACACTTTTGGCCAGGCCATTGCCGGAGCCACAGGGTATGATGCCGAGTGGCAACATCCGACAGGCCTTGCGCCAATCCATGCGCTCCATCAGGCCGTTGAGTACTTCGTAGAAGAGGCCATCGCCGGAGGCGACCACTATGCCGGAATAGCGTTCCAGCAGGTCCTTCCTGGTCCGCACAAACTCCTTGGCATACTGCGGATGCGTGGTGATCTGCAATTCGTACTGGGCCTCCGCTTCCGTCAACAGGGGTGCCACCTGTTTCTGGAAGAGCTCGCGACCTTTGCCAGAGCCGGACTTGGGATTGAGTAAGATGAGCAATTGTTTGCCTGAATCAGCGGGGGAACAACTGTCGTCGCCGCGCTTATGTTTGCGGATCGTATGATGCCATAGCTCTGCGGTCTGGAGATTGACGCCATAGTCATTGCTCGATCGGAAGCGCAGAATCCTAAGGGTTTGGACGCGCCTCAGGGGTTTTTCCTTCTTCAGATAGGCATAGATGTATAAATAGGCGCTATTATCGCTGTCCGGTTCGGGTTCCGCCTCCTGACCGGGAACATTGGGATTACGGCAGGAGTTCAGACCACCACGGGCACGTTTCTTGAGGCGCGGCCCATAGCGAGATCCTATGATGTCATCGATCCTGATCAGTTGCTCGTTGATGTGATCGTCTGCGTCCGTTTCGCGACGCAGATAAACTCCTTCGGGGCAGAGTTTAACCTGGATCTTGATGCTGTGCTTGCGGCGACTGTTGTCCACGAAAAAGATCTCGCTCAGTTCGGTGGGCGTGCCACCGCCTATTTCCGTTTCCGAGGTGGGCGTGGAGGGCTCCTGGGGCTGTCCACTTTGCCCCAGTAGATTTTCCTCCGACGTCGCTGTGTTGGCCGTCATTTCTTTTGGTTGAATATTGTATATTTCGTCTTTGCCTCTTCTGTTAGCGCTTCTTTGACCTTGTCTTCACATGCAAAAAAATAAACAAAACAAAAAACACAAAAACACAATAGTTATTAGGTGGTGCAAAAAAAAATAGAAGAGCGGTTGCAAAAAATAAAATAATTGCCAACTTGAAAACTCGTTTATTTCGGTGTTTTTTTATTGTGCGTCGACTTTTACTATTATTAGTTTTGTTCCATCTGTGTCAAATTGGAGTTTATAAACAGGTTTTCGTGCCAGTAAATTATATATAATTATTTCTATTTGCTTTGGATTTATGTCGAAATTTTAAAGGTCTGCGATTGGTTGTTATAAGATTTCACTTGAATGGTAAAAACAAACTCTGAAATACACAAAACAAAATTGTATTTGGGGCTTGTTTATATTTGATTTCGTTTTATTCTTTATTTTTGTAGACTTTAAAAACCAGTTAATGATTAAGTTCCTTTCTTTTAATATTTGTTAAAACCAAATTTTTCCATTATCTTATTTGGTTTCTTTGTGTTTCTCAACAATTATTACAAATAACAAAATGAAATCGTGCTTTATTTGAGTTTTTGCCTTGTAACTTTGAGTGCGTTGCTCATACTTTTAAAAATATTTATGAAATGTTCAGATATATTTTTGGAGCCTTTGTTGTTCAACTGAAAATATGAAATATACTTCATGTATGTTAGTAATATATTTTGATTTAAAAAGGGTATTTATTAATCCCTTTGGGTTTGTTATATTATTTATTTACGGAAATTTAATAGTTTTATTTACACTTGTTATTTGGCGGTTGTAACAAGGGATTGTTATGTTAACGTTATAATTAAATTAAGGGTTATTCTTTGTTGATAACTGGGCTCGTTGTTGCCGATTGTTATTCGCGCAGCTATTCGCTTTTTACTATTTTTGTTTGGCATTACATTTAATTGTTTGTCCACATGCGATCGACGCTGTTCACCGTAAAGTCTGCGATGTACATATAGTACATATGGGGCTCCGATCCGATCCAATCCGATCCGGGTTGCGATCGCTTCCTGTGCGCTTGACACGACAATTCGTACTGAAACTCTGAATCGCGAGGGTGAACTAACCTTATTTTCAATGGAGATTTGGTTTTACGATTGCATTGTTGCTATTGCCTTTGCTTTTGGCTTTGACTTTGCTTTTACTTTCTCACATACACAAAAGCACACCCCACACACTTGTTGTTTTTTGTTACTTTTTTTTTCTGTTTTTTGTCGTGTCGAAATCTAATCACCACGTATCGTATCGATGAGATATTACCTTTGGCTGACTTTGCCATGTCTTTATCTTTGCCAGTGGCTGCTCCACTATTATGGTTTTATTATTATCTTTACATTTATTCGATTTACTTGGGAGCGTTAGGCAGCTTTTCTCAGTGTATTGCTGCAATTGAACAATTTGCCTTTGACTTTGGAACGAAAGCTTTTTGGCATTGCCTTTGGAAATGTGAGAATGTTGCATTTTTTCACTCTCTCTAAGGTACAGTAAGTACTCGATATTTGGCAAGTTCTTGGTTCATTTTGTATACTTACTTTTGCCCAAAAGTTCTTTAAAAATGGCGTTCGAAAGTGACAAAGCACTCACAAAAACACTGCAAGACAATAATTAAATAATTAAAATAAAACGTTGGTTTTGATTTAGTTATTTTTGATCTTAACACGACAAATAAAAACTCTTAAGATCTTTAAATTAAAATTGAAAACTCTTTTATTAAATTGTAATTGGCAATGACCACTGTAGTCTTGGCCTTCCGCATGCAATAAATATGGAAATGCAATGCAAATTACCAACAATTCAAAAATTTGGATAACCCGTCCATACGACCACTGTGCATTTTCCTGCCACATGCAATAGCAATGTGCCGACAGTGCAATTGTTTGCTTACATAGACAATAAAACACCACTTAACCCCAACAGGGCCTTTCTGCTGTGTGCAGTGTGTGTTCTATTGGTTTAATCGATCATTTCGCGTGGGATAAGTGAGTAATAAACAGTGGGGGGGTGTATTGCGGCACCTGTTGCGTATACGTCATGTTGGTCTTCAGATCTTATCGCCTATCATGTGTCCTAATGATAGCTTGCACCTGGTGACTCATTCCATCAGAATTCGCACGATATGTCACATTTTATGCGTATAATGGTTTCCCAAAAAAAATAAACAACCAAATAACCATTTCTGCAGAATTGCTTGGCAGGTGTTAGATTTGAATTAGCTTGATATGGTTTGACAATTTGTGGTTTAAAGGGCTTGCCATAAATAAATCGCAATTTCTAAGAATAATCAAATTTCTATTTGTTTGCTTCAGGCAGGTGCACAAAGCTAATTTTCAATATTTTATATTTGCTTTTAAACTGCGCGTTTGTTGATATCAGTAAACGAAATAAAGATTGTAAAAGTGTAGTTGATATTGCCGACGGTCATTCTTGGGCCGAAACAAACTACAGTAAGCACTCGGAAATTAAAATGTTACAGAAATGTTAATTATCATAAATACGCTGTACCAGCTATACAATGTAATATTATTACTTGATAAGCTATAAAATTTTTTGACTCTGATGTCTCATTATTTTAATCCCTTGATCTTAAATGACACATGATTTAAAATTTTGCATGACGATTACAAAATTAAAAAAAAAAATAAATAAAGGTCCTATAATTTATTAATTTATGAATGTAAATATAAGCTTCAGTGTTTCCTTGGCATTAAAGCATAAACAAGTTATAAGAATGATACGAAAAAATACCAACGCTCCCAAAAAAAAAAATAAATAAATATCAACTATAATATTTCCGTTCTTGAATTTTGTTTTTTTATAAGTACAAACGCACCTTAACCTTTGTTTTCTTTTTCCTTAAACATACGAAAGTTTTAACAAACCCTTGAAATAGACAGTAACACACCTGTTAACAGCAATATTGACGCAAGTGACTTACCTACCTGTATTTTACTGTAGTTAAATTGAGAGATACGCCTTGTAAGAGAAGACACGCCAAAATGGAATTTATAATGGGTTTAAATTGTTTGACTGACTGATTCATGGAAGGTTTTGCGTTCGCACCTAAGTGAATCAGACCAAAAAACGAATGCAGACACAAGACCCCCTCCTAGGCAATTATAACTCGTTCATTAGTCTTAAAAACTTTGATTTATCATTTGAAAAGGGAACCACTCAAGTGGTTACTGACTGCATCATACAACCATATACCACATATATGTACATATACCATATGTATGCACTTGCTCACGAAAAGCCGTATTCCACTGGCTTGTTTATCGTTTCCTGACCTACATATCTATTTGAATTTACTTTGCCTTTCAATTGTATTGAAACCGACTGAAGCAGGAGCAGTTTTCTGGGGGCAGGGCCACCACAGTGGAGGGGTGCGGCATTGTCTGGCCAGAGGAATCCATTAGATAATGGCCAGACGGAGGCAGACGCCAGCCCAAAAGCAAAGGCGGCTCAGAGTGCCTCCAGATATAGACAGCTGTTTTAGAGGGGGCTCTATTGGGGGTTGGCACGAGGTGATGGACTGCAAGTGTATCCATTAAAAAATGTGTAAGACAAAAATAGTACACCTAAAGATAAGCATTTTTGTTTTTTACAAAAAGGTTGGTTTAAAGCTGATGAAATAAATACAAAAAGCTGTGGGTGAAAACTGAAAGTGAATTATTTTTAGATTGCAGCTTTTTTTTTATCAGCCAAACACTAGAAATTAAAATGTTGATCCCTTTAGATAAGATCATTCCATGTGGCATACTAACATATATAAATAATATAAATGTAATGTTCAAAGGCGCAGGGAAACGAATCGAACCCCGAAATACTCCATTTCCTAAGAATCGGGTAATGGGAAATGTAAGATTAATAGAATAAATAACATCGACAAGAACCCTAGATTATCACAAAAGTGATTAAAGTGCGGTTGTTACGTTACGTTACCAAAATTAGAACACTCCGCAGTCTTCTGCTGCATTAAAATCGAACTGATTGATCAGTGGAGAATAAAACCACAAATTGACTGAATGTGGAACTTATCAAAAGACCAAAAGCAACGTTATATTATAAACAATCTAATAGAAACAAAACTGCGTCTATTATTGTTTTCCTACCGTCCTCCGCAATCTTTTGCTCTCTAAATTGATAGCTGTTTTGTTTTCAACAAGTTTGAACTTCCTCTAGATTTATTTTGGTTTTTTTCCGAGAGAACTAGAAAAGTCGGAAATTCTTGATAAAAAATGGGGCTCTCTTTGGCGATTGTGCCTTTTTATTTTTTACAAGTACAGTAAGTCCACAAAATTCATTGGCACTTGATGTGTGTAAAGAACTTTTAAAATTTGAAATGTAAAATAAAAAAAATGATTTAATTGTATTATTAATTTTTTTTGTCAACTCAACTAAAAGTTTTCAGTTGCCAACTCAACTAAAATTTTTTAATCACAATAAAAAAAAATTTAAGTGACCTACACCTCGTTTTATAATTGATCTACATACTTTGATAGTGCTTACAGCAATTCTCTTCTTTTATTTTGATCACTTATCTACCCTACTTTTGTTTCGAATTTTTTTTATGGATACTGAGAGTGAAAAAGAAGAAAGTTAAACTTGATCTAGTTGCGTGGTAAAGTTGAATATACCCGCTCGGAAGAAATAGCCGCGAAGGCAATCAACAGAAAGCCCTGGCAGCTTTTTCCATTGTTCAGTTGCAGGTCCGTCCCCCTTCAAACCCCCTTTATAAGCACGGGTTTTGTAGGGCGCACGAATAATAAACAAAACAAGAGGAAAACAAAAACACAGAGGCTGGCAAACAGACTGAAATACTTTGCACTCGCTTCTATTTGTTTTATATATTTTGTAGTATTTCCATTAAGTGGCACATGCCAGATCTCGAGAGGAGTTCATTTCACTGGGCTCTCGAATTCCGGTAACTTCAGTTTCGCTGGCAACTATCTGCATTAATATATATGAATAATATGAAAAAAGGTCTAAAATCCAGAAACTTCTTTTAGTAAATTGATAGTTTTCTAAAGATGTTATTTTCTTTTACTTACAGTGTGCGAACTGGGAGCATCATGTGGCGGTTTTAGAAAATCAGCTAAGGATTAATCATCGCAAATCAGGAGCACCACAGATCGGACCGGTATCGGTATCTTGGAAACGTAACCCAGGGACTTAAGCATCAGCAGGGAGTATAGACTGAGATCGGAGATCGTCGTTCTGCGTCAGAAGATGACCCTGACCACAACGACCACTGCCTCATCAGCCGAGAGCCAAGCGAAAATGGACGTGAAGGGCGGCGCACTTCCCGGCGAAGAGAACCTGCCCACCTCCGAGATGGATCTGCTGGCCAAGCTGGAGGCGGCCAACAAGCTCATCGAGAGCGATGCCAAGTCCCTCAACTCTCTGCACTCCACGCACAGTCGCAAGAACTCGGACACAAGTCAGATCAGCCTCACGTCGAGTAAGTATTTGTGTACAACAAACAAGGGGATATTTAAATCAAGCTATGCTTCAAATGCTCTTATTTTATTTTGTCATTTAATTAAAATGTTAATTTTCTATACCCTTTTCGATTATATAACTTTCAAAGATTATCTATGTTATCAGCTTGAACAGTATTACTACGATTATCTTTGGTAAATATTAATACCATTTTTTATTGAGCCATGATGAATTCCTACAAAGTAATAAAAAGTTTAGATCTACAATTTCGTGATTTCACATTTTCATGATAGTAACCAAAATTTACTGCGTAATCATTCTATAGCAAAATCCATTTTAAAAGATATTATCGATAAGGGATTGCGTATGATAACTGACTGGTGACTAGGTTGTGACTAATATTAAATCAGATTCTGACAAAAATCGATGACTAAATGTACACATTTCAGATAGATAAATAAATTACAATTTACTAGATTTGAGTTCATTTCAATTTGAAGTGTATATAACTTTGTAAAGAAGAGAAATGTCTTACTTCGGTAGTTAATATTACATCATAATTGTTTAACTAATAGAGCTTGATGACTAACTAGTTTCTTTTTTTACAGGTGGAAACTCAGTGGCGGAGGAGGACATATGGACGACGTGGGCCACCATTCTGAATGACTGGGAGGGAGCCCTGAAGCGCAAGAATCCCTGCGTGAGCGAGCTGGTGCGCCGGGGAATTCCGCACCACTTCCGAGCGATCGTGTGGCAGCAGCTGAGTGGAGCGGCGGAGGCAGACAAGAAGCAGTATGCGGAGTACATCAAGGCAACCAGTGCCTGCGAGAAGGTCATCCGGCGGGACATTGCCCGCACCTATCCCGAGGTGGAGTTCTTCAAGGAGAAGGACGGACCCGGCCAGGAGGCCCTGTTCAACGTGATCAAGGCCTATTCCCTGCACGATCGCGAGGTGGGCTATTGCCAGGGCTCCGGATTCATAGTCGGACTGCTGCTGATGCAAATGCCCGAGGAGGAGGCCTTCGCCGTGCTGGTACAGATCATGCAGCAGCACCGCATGCGCCACATGTTCAAGCCATCGATGTCGGAGCTGGGCCTGTGCATGTACCAGCTGGAGAACCTGGTGCAGGAGCAGATACCCGACATGCACATACACTTCCAGCAGCAGGGCTTCCAGACGACCATGTACGCCTCCAGTTGGTTCCTCACCTTGTACACCACCACCCTGAACGTCAATCTCAGTTGTCGCATCATGGACGTCTTCCTCAGCGAGGGCATGGAGTTCATCTTTAAGGTGGCCCTGGCCCTGCTCCTCACCGGCAAGGAAACGCTGCTCTGCCTGGACATGGAGGCCATGCTTAAGTTCTTCCAGAAGGAGCTGCCCGGTCGCGTGGAGGCCGATGTCGAGGGCTTCTTCAACCTGGCCTACTCCCTCAAGCTGAACACCAAGCGCATGAAGAAGATGGAGAAGGAGTACCAGGACCTCAAGAAGAAGGAGCAGGAGGAGATGGCTGAGCTGCGGCGACTGAGGCGGGAGAACTGTCTGCTCAAACAGCGGAATGAGCTGCTCGAGGCCGAGAGCGCCGAACTGGCCGATCGCCTGGTGCGCGGCCAGGTCTCCAGAGCTGAGGAGGAAGAAACTAGGTAAAGATCTGGGACTAGGCTAGAAGGAGAAATTATTATAAGCTATTTTAAGTTCTCTTTTTGTGGGCGAACTTAATATGCTAAATACTTAAATATCACATTTATTGATCTAAAAATGATATGATACATTGAACGAATAAGAAATTATGAAATAATATTTTAATGTTATTGTATATTTAAGCTATGCCATTCAGACGGAGTTGATGCAGCTGCGGCGCTCGTATTTGGAGGTCTCCCATCAGCTGGAAAACGCCAATGAGGAGGTCCGCGGCCTGAGTCTTCGCCTTCAGGAGAATGTGAGTATATTGTGGCCCACGTCACACTCTAAATATAATTGATCCCCGACCCCTTGTCTCGGTCATGTGTCCTGTAACTAAAACGGAATCTGTTGCTAATCTTCTGTATTCTTTTCTATTTTATTTGATTTCTTATGGTTGTGGTGCTTCAAAATACACACACAAAATGTTCGCTTTAATCTGAAAAAAACAAAAAATCAAAATAAATACTCAAATCACATACAGAACGTATCCATCGACAGCGTAAGTATCTCGTGAGCTACTCACGCAACCTTGTTTCGTAGTTTGAATGAACAATACAATAACTCTGCCGTTCTGTTGTTTTGCATGTTTATTGTTTTGCCCTAAATACATAAATAGAAACACATATTCGTATTGGTAACCAGTAGGCTCAGAAAGTCCTTATTAATATTTTATTAGGAAATGACATGTCCTTAACAATCTGGATTCATAGTGCCTTTAGTACCTAATTCCATTCTTAATCATATTTTGTATATTAGATTGCTAAATTTGTTTTAAAATATAACTCAAATTCAAATATATACAAAATTTAATCATGCAAAAATATGTCATTATAAATAATCATATTAAAACAGGCTTTTAGAAAAATGATTAAATATAATTTAATTTAGCTACTACTAACGAAGAAAAATCTACGATAAGTACATAATCGAATCTCTTAACCATGTAAACTCGTTTGTATCACAGCTAACCACCCACACTCTGCATGCCCGAAACCCACTCAATATTGTCGTGAAACAGCTTAAATTAATCCCTTTTTGTTTGCCATTTAGAATAACTCCCGGCAGTCGTCCATCGACGAACTCTGCATGAAGGAGGAGGCTCTGAAGCAGCGCGACGAGATGGTCTCCTGTCTGCTGGAGGAACTGGTGAAAGTGCGTCAGGGTCTGGCCGAAAGCGAGGATCAAATCAGGAACCTGAAGGCCAAGGTGGAGGAGCTGGAGGAGGACAAGAAGACGTTGCGGGAAACGACGCCCGACAATTCGGTGGCCCACTTGCAGGACGAACTGATTGCCAGCAAACTGCGCGAGGCGGAGGCCTCACTCTCCCTGAAGGACCTCAAGCAGAGGGTGCAGGAGCTGAGTAGTCAGTGGCAACGGCAGCTGGCGGAGAATCAGCGCAGCGAGAGTGAACGCACCACCAACGCCGTGGACTCCACGCCCAAGAAGCTGCTGACCAACTTCTTCGACAGCTCCAAGAGCAGCGAGCACACCCAGAAGCTCGAGGAGGAGCTGATGACCACGCGCATTCGCGAAATGGAGACGCTCACCGAGCTCAAGGAGCTGCGACTAAAGGTCATGGAGCTGGAGACGCAGGTTCAGGTGTCCACCAATCAGCTGAGGCGGCAGGACGAGGAGCACAAGAAGCTCAAGGAGGAGCTCGAAATGGCCGTGAACAGGGAGAAGGACATGTCTAACAAGGCGCGTGAGCAGCAGCATAGGTGAGGCTTTTATTTTAACCAATACAAGGAACATCGATATAGTTTAAATCCTTTAATACATTTACAGATACTCGGATCTGGAATCTCGCATGAAGGATGAGCTGATGAACGTGAAAATCAAATTCACCGAGCAGAGCCAAACGGTGGCCGAACTGAAACAGGAAATTTCCCGACTAGAGACAAAGGTAAACCTGACATTTTTTCGTATTTTCTACGAATTTTATTTAATCCACTTCCTTATTGTGATCACAGAACTCGGAGATGCTCGCCGAGGGTGAACTGCGCGCCAATCTGGATGATTCGGATAAGGTGCGCGACCTGCAGGACAGGCTGGCCGACATGAAGGCGGAGGTGAGCAAGGGATGCCATTCGATGCCCACAGCATTTGCCGCTAATCCCCCACTGCTTTTGGTTTTGGTTTCGTTTTAAGTTCATTCAAATGCCAGCAGCAGCAGCAGACATTCAATAATAACCCGCACACCCACTTTACACCCACTCACCCAACTGACTAAACCAAAGACCAGAGTCATATTTCCAATCTGGAGGAGCGGCATTTCAAATATTTCACCTTAATATGCTTTGTTGGCTAGCTAACATCAGGTCAAATCTGTTTGTTTTTAGAGATTCAGCAAGTATATCATTTAACAGCAGAATTTATTGAATTGCAATCATTTGTATTAACAAAAAGTCACCAAATAACTTCCCATTTGTTATATTACATTTTTTGAATATATTTATTTAGCTGTTGAGCTGTTAAAGTATAACCAATGAGGCCTCTCTAAAATAACAAAGATATCTCTATAAAATATTTATATTTGACGTGAACAGTTTCACAGCTAATCAGTTTGTATAGAAAATTATTTATATTCGCCCCCGCTCGCTCACTGTGGCATATCAACAGATTTTTGAGTTTGCTAAGCTTTACTGTACACCTCTTTTGTTTTCGCTATTCTGTGATTTTATTGTTTTGTTTTATTTTTGGTTTGGTTAAAGCCCATTTCGTAACCCATCTGTAAGCCAAGATAATAATCTGGTATTTCTCATTGAATTTCTTTCTCACACGCAAAAAAAAACAATGCGTTGTTGGTTTTGCTATATAGTATCCCACGCCAATAACCAGCCCCGACACTGAACCGTGGAAATGGATAAGCTAAACTAATTTTAACACAACCCAAAAACAAAAAACCAATTGAATGAAAACGAAACTAAACGAGCAAAATTAAAAACAAAAAAAAAACCAAATAAAAAAGCAAACTACCGAAAACCAATTTGAAACTCAAGAAGCCACAAATATCCTCTAATCTCTATTGCCACACACACACAACTCCCGAAATTATAAAAAATCCAACCAAAAGCAGCAGGCCAAGCTACAATTACCAGGTCTCTATGAAACTGCTCAAAACATTTCAGTACTTTTAACCATTGCGTACTTGTAGCGTTTGTTGATCCTAACTTCCCATAGTTTGCACGTTCTATAGCTTCTAGACCCTCGCCATTGCCATAATTTCAAAATGCATGAATGATTTCAGTTGCTTACTAAGCAATTTCGATCTATCTTGGTTCCAATATAAAAAAAAATAAATTTTCTAAAGTAAAAAATTGTTGTTGAAAACCTACAAAAATTTAAAATGAGCTAAACGTTTTTCATAGTTTCTGTGAATTTCATTTATATACAATAATAACAAAGCTAATAGTTTAAAGTAACTTAAAAATGCATGTTTTAAAAAAATTTAATAGGAATAAAAATACTTATAATTTTAATTCTTTTAAGAAATGATTCGTTCGAGGATTATTTTGGTTTTATATATACATACATATGTACGAGTGTTTAGACAACATTATAACATTTAGCATAGCAAACATTTGTAGAGCTCTCATAATAGGTATAAATGAACCCTGCTGCGTAGTGTAATTGTCAAAGCTATTTGCGAGCTTTGAGCTTATACTCAAACCACTATTCGTAAATCTTTCTTGTTCCGATCTAGAAAAACTTTGGATCTATTCTATGCTTTATTTTCGTGTGGGTCAATGACTCCAATCGTATTTGCGCTAAGTTCGAGTGCATCGGATGCTAGTTGTTGCCATGGAAACTGCCTGATTTTAATCGATCTTCGCTGTTGTTTGTTTTGCATACTTGTAATGACGTATTGTGATCGTTGGTCTTGACATGAGTACATGTCATCAGTTGATGCTGTTTTGACACGAGTTCGTTTTGGCCTTGCTATGAATTTCACATCAGAATTGAAATATTTATATAGATGTTTAAGTGAATTGTTATAGTCCCTGAGGGAGCGTTCTAGACCTGTGATTTATAGAAATGCGTTTTGTAATATTATTAATTTTCTGCACGCTTGCATGCTTTCTTATCTAACAGACATATTCATAGCAACTAATCAATAAGGTATTTAAGACACGTTTCTGTACACGGACACTTAATCAGATCTATTTGTAATCGGATCTATGTTTTTCTTATTTGTAAAATTACCAAGTTGAAGCAATTTAAGGCGCTTTTTAATTAAGTAGTAAAAAGTAAATACATTTTAAAGCTTATTTAACTTTAAAATGTATAATTGACAACTATTCAAAATGTTTATTTAACTTTATTAGAAATTGAAATTTAAGATTAATTTATTTCTTTCACTTAATCGCCGCATGACCAAAATTAAAGATTGCTTTGGCCTAGTAATGGTTAACATTTATTTTCTTTTTAGTATGTCCTTTTAAATAACATTTAAAACTAATGAAACCTTTTTGATTTACTATAGCTGACGGCGTTAAAGAGTCGTGGCAAATTTCCGGGCACAAAACTGCGCAGCTCATCGATCCAATCGATCGAATCGACCGAGATCGACTTCAACGATCTGAATATGGTGAGACGCGGGAGCACGGAGCTGTCGACATAACCTAGAGAACGACCAGATCCAGCAGATCCTTACCAAGCAACAACCACAACCAGGAGAATAGCAGCGAGTGAGAGGGGAGAGAAAAATCAGGGCAGTACAGGATACACCCATATGAATATGGGGGAGCGAGCTGAAGCCGATTTTTATATATATGCTTCGATATATATGTAAGGGCAGGCCTGTGATCACAAAAGCGGAATCGTATGGAGCAGCATCGGGCACAGCAAGTTAATTAAGGAGCGAGGAGGAGACAGCAGAATAGTTGCAATCCCATTACAATATTATTTATGTATAATATTCGTTTAAACTTTACTATTACGATACGGATATTTTAGAATGATTATTTTTATCTACTTTTTTTTTGGCAATAATTTTATTACTGTTATGTTTTGCAATCGAAACACACTCATATTTATTTATTTTAAATCCTAATTGAAACGATATTGTGAGTATTTTACACCCTTGTACATTGATCGATGGCAACTAATCCGATGCGATGGATTGGAGATAGGAGATTGGCATTTGGATATCCCCAAGATATATATCACATATGCAATGCAATGAATTTTATGTAAACCCCCCAAAACCCATTTCCCAACCCAAGCATCCTGTGAACCACTTTTAATGTAAGTTTTAAGCGAATCAAATTGTTCTTTGCCCAGACGGAGAAAACGTTTTTAATCAAAACGACGATTTTTTGAAAGTGTACGAAATTTTCAGTTTATCCATTCGATTTACATTATGATTTCATCCCCGTAGAATGATATTAACACTCATACACACATTTGTCTGGAATGAATTTTGTAACTCTCGTATAGTAAGCTAAACCAATCTAAACCTAAAACTAAAATAAAACCAAGTGCGAAAGACAAAGTAACAAGCGTGGCCAAATGCAGAGAGAAATGCAAGATGAGAAACTGAAAAACAAATATTATACAACTATTCAAAATAGTTTAAAACGATATGTGAAAGAACCACGAAAAAGGGGCCCCCATTTTCTCCCCGTTTGAGAACGATATTACGATAACGACTACGATATTCACACTAACGATATTCTACTTAGTTAACAGTAGCGCTTTTCTATACCCCTAAAACAGAAGTATGATTTATATGGTTCCTTTAACCCATACCAATCTTAAACGATTTGGCAGCTTGTCACGAAAACCGATTTCGACATCGGGTTTCGAACGATTAACGATTATCCGCAAACAATACAATTATTCAGGTTGAGCCGTTTTCCATGTGCAATATTATAGTTTTTTATGTTTCTATTGAGTTTCTTATTCTTTATCAAGTCTTTATTATCATTTGTTAGCATGATGTCCTCAGTGTTTAGGTTTGTTACTTACCGCGATTAAGACCGATATAACCAATCGTTTAAATTAATTTGTGTAATTGAATTGATTTGCACATCATGACAAACCAATTAGAAACATCGAGAGAAGTAAGAAATCTATGTAATATGTTTCGTAGCACGTAAGAAAAGCGGAAATGATGTCACAAAACTTTGTTATGTAAACACTAAGTATATGTAATGCTTAAGTTTTGTTCCCGACTTTTGATAAACTATTAGAATTTTTTGTTCTATGCAATAATTAATGATTATGATTATGTAATGAATGTACTATATATGTATTTCTGCGGCTAAAAGACGAGGCTGCTGGGGCAGTATTAACAATCAGCAGCAGTTAACAGACATTTAAATATGAAACATTCCCGAGAAAGTTAAATTTCCCATAAAACAGATTCCCCAACAGCCTCGAGTCTTAAGAAATTGGCAAGTTTAGAGTTAATTGCGTATTATGTTATGGCAAGCGAAGGCACAAATTATACGATATCTAAAATAGTTTATACAAATTTATACCCATGCATATGGAGCATTGTTGGCCAAAGTCTAGACTTGGCTTGCGCATAGTTGGTGTTAACTGATTGACCAACAAGTGTGGAATTTGTGAGAAATATTGATCAAATAATTGCCCCACTTAGTGAATCATCGGTGAGGTATAATGAACCCCCGTCAATAGCAGCTAATTTTAATGCCTTGTCCGTTCGATTTGATAAATGTGAAAGACTTTGCAGTTTATCAATTTAGCGTGCGAATGCCAACGACTTTGGGCCAGACAGAAAGCAGACGGTAACGATTTGTTGACCCTGCCAAATGGTCGAAACTCCTTTGAATCCAATTAATTAGCGGGCACACTCGCATATAGCATATACTTAATGCAAATAAATCAAGTTCAGCTTCCATTGAGCAAATCAGTCTTCAATGTTCATATTAATTTGCACTTATTTATTGCGTTTCTTGTTTCATTCATTGTTGATCATTGAGCAAAACCCAACAAACCAACCAACAAAATTCAAATCACAAAATGGAATGTAGTTGACAAAATACCACAACAAATAGTGTTATATACTTTACATATACAAAAATATATATATACATAACTATATCAATATAACGATAAAACTGACAACTGAAGAGCAGAGAAAACTCGCAGGGCTACAGCATGAAACAAGTAAAATTCAACTAAAACTACAAAAATCAATAAAATTAAACAGATATACAAAACGAAATCAAAGTTACAATTTTTAGTATTAAATAAATAAAATGAAATGCAAAAATAAAGCGTTTGCTTTGGGAATCCGGCAATTTCAGCTTATCGGACAGGGAAAAAGTCAACCCCATCAATGAACCCCTCTACTGAACTTCAGTTTAATCTACTTGCAATCTATTTCTGTACAATATACGCTGTATAATTCAGCACGTGCTGGCGACCAAAAAGAAGGAAAGTCGGTTTTTGAAATACTGTTGCACATTGTAAAAGCTAACATTATTGCATTTGCGTTTTGCGTTGGTTTTGTGGTATTCACGAAATATGTCGTTATTTGGTCTTCAACTGCATTTGCGATAAGTTCTCCCGAATCCAAATACTAAGTATGAAGATAGTTTAGCACTACAAATTAGAAAGATTACAAATACCGATGATAAAAATTACAATGGAACAAGTTAATGACTGTTGATAAACTTGTCCCATTGTAATTTATATTAAATTATATTTCTACTTCGGTTCTAATCTAGTAATAGAACAATTTTATAATTTTTTTATTGCCAAAAACCGGGAAAAATCATCTAAATGTTCGGTTTTTTTTCCAGTGTTTAACACTGGGAAATAGTAGTCTCATTTTGGAATGTCATACCTCGTTGAATTCGCTATAAAATTTCCAACAAAGTCCCATTTACAGAAAACTGCTCCCCATTCAAAGGATAATTTAAATCAGCCAAACCAGTTTTTTGTATTGTGTATTTTTTTTTATTTTTTAGTGCATTTACTTAACTAGAGAGTATATGTATGTAGTGTAGGATTAAAGTTAATTATTTAATATCATTAACAAGTAGGGGGTAGGGGTTTGTTTTCGGGGACTCAGGGGAGTGTTTGATACTATAGCTTTATGTTTTTTTTTGTGTAGGATGTTGTGGATGTCTTTTTGGGTTCTTGCTATTCTTGATCTTATCTTCATCTCGCGGACCATTTATATTTATTGTATTGCTGGTCCAAAAAAAAACTCACACTAAAACCTAGGTAACAGCAGCTAAAAAAAAAAGAAAAAAAACATGGGAAATATCAGCAAGATGGGCTGCCTTACGGTTCTAGTTCTGGGTTGTGGAAAATACGTTAGGTAAAAACTAAGCCTACGGTATGCATATAACTTCGCGTTCGATGTTCGGGTGTTCGTGGGTCAGTGGATCAAAGGTGGTGGTGGTTTAACAACAATCTATAAATCGATAACAATTCTGGAGACGGTATATCCCCCCACATCCCCCCTATTCGTCCAGGCAGATGGTGCGCAAGATGGCCTCGACCACGGAGTAGGGATCGCAGTTGGAGCTGGGTCGGCGATCCTCGAAGTAGCCCTTGCCATCATCGTTGACGCCGCGGGGAATGCGTATGCTGCATCCGCGGTTGGCCACTCCGGCACTGAAGTCGTTGATGGAGCTCGTCTCGTGCTTTCCGGTCAGACGACGGGCGTTGTCCTGGCCCTGCTTGGGGTCGTAGGCGCGGATGTGCCGCTCGTGGCACTTGGACAGCTTGGCCACCGCCTTCTCGATGTCCCGGATGCCGCCATCCTCGCGCATCGCCTTCGTGGAGACGTTGGTGTGGGCACCTGCACCGTTCCAGTCGCCGGGCATCGGCTTGGGATCCAGAGTGGACACAATCTGTATTTGAAAAAAAAACGTTTAGAAAAAGATTTAATATTTTTCACCATCTTTTTGGTGTCGAAATTTTCATTAGATCATTAAGTCTTTGATCTATATCATTAACATTATTCAATTGAATGTCAAAAGGCACTCCATTTAATAAAAAAAAGGGCAAGCAAGTAAGATAAACATTTTTTTTTTAATTATGCAATATAATTATTTGAAACTTACGCCAAACTCCTCGGAGATGCGGTGCAAGAGGAAACGGGCCATCCAGAGGTCGTCGCCGATGGAGATTCCCACGCAGGGACCCACCTGGAATTCCCACTGGGCGGGCATCACCTCGGCATTGGTGCCCGACACCTTGATTCCGGCGTACAGACAGGCCCGGTAGTGGGCATCCACAATGTCCCGGGCGTAAACCTGAAAAGGTTACAATATGTATGTTAGATATTGCTAGAATTTTGTAAAAAGTTTTAAAATTTAAAAAATGTCTTTATAAAAAATATTACGTATACGCACCACTGTCTTCTACGAATAATTATTTTATTGTATTCGACAAATGATTGTTAAAACGTCGTATTACTATTACTATCTGCTTTGCTTTTTATTTGATACAAACATAAACAAAACCTTAAGAGAGACTACATATAATATAACAAATACGTGAATGCAAAAAATTACGTATACGCCATGTTGGTTAAGAATAAGTGAAAGATTTGTTTTGATTTGAAAGTATGTTGTTGACATTTATCAGAATCATCAAGAAAGCAAAGAATTGTACACTAGCTAAATCCAGAAATAAATTGCAAGACTCACCTTGTTGGCTCCAACGCCGCAGTAGTAGGGTCCCTGGGGTCCGGGGAAGCCGTTCTTGGGCCAGCCAAGTGGATGGCCATCGAAGTCGAGGAAGGTGTACTCCTGCTCGATGCCGAACCAGGGCTCCTCGTCCACGCACTTGTTGTTCACCTCCAGGCAGGTCTTGCGCTTATTGGTTTCCGTGGGGGTGCCGTCGAACTTGTAGGTGTCGCACATCACCAGGATATTGTTGCCGCGGCGGAAGGGGTCCTTGTAGATGGCCACCGGGTACAGGTAGGTGTCCGAGTTGGAGCCCTCGGCCTGGTAGCACGAGCTTCCATCGTAGTTCCACACGGGCAGCTCTGTAATGGTAGGGAAAAAAGCAAAAGAACTGGGGGTTAGTCCATGCCCATTAGTCGTTGCTGGGGGGTTAATTTTAAGGGGTGACCTCGTCGCTCACTTAGCATGCGATACCCTCGAATTAAGGGTAATTGATGGCAATTGAATGAGTTTGGAATGGGGTTCGACGGGGTTCCGTTTGAAAGTTCGCATCTCCCTATTAGAAACCCCTTATTTCAGCCCTCAACTCGTTAACGTTTTGTTGTAAACCAAATTGGCCGAGAAATTAAACTAAATGATCGAAATTATTTGTTACTAGATACATTTTAATATCTGATAAGATTAAAATCTAGTTATTGAAAATAGTTATTATATCGTTATTAATAGAAATCTCAGATAAATGTTTATCAATTAAGTAACATTTTTAATGTATATATTTTTGATTTATAGATGCTCTCTAATTTGAAACAGCAGGGTATATTATATTTTAAATTATTGCACACCTTTCAGTTGTTACTTTCGTTTTTATGAGTTATGAAGCACTTTCGGTTTTTAAGTAAAATCAGTAGACAATTATTTTAGCTAATTATTTTATTTTGATTGATTTATGACAAACTTGAAAACGATTTTTGTTAAAAATGAGTTGACTTTCTCCTAAAAAATTGGGGTAGGCTAAACACTTATATGTATTTTATGTGCTTCAAATGGATATATCTCCCCCTATTTTATTAGATACTTAGTGTACTGTACCCTTGTTTATGCAAGTGCATATTCAAATGACTGAAATTGTTGTGCGCTTATTTAGTTTCAAAACGCAAGCTGCAACCCCCCGACCAAAGCCCCATTTCCCCTCCTATTTAACCGAAACTCGCCTGGCATTTTGATGATCCATCTGAAAATGGGGCTTGTAAGTGAGAATATAAATTTAAATAAAGGGGATGTGGTGTTGGGTGACTGAGGTTTGTTTACTCGGTAACTCGTTTCCCCATTGCCTGTTGTTTATTATAATAAATCGTTAATTCCCCGTATGTAAATAATGCTAATGAAAATACTTCACTTATGCAAATTTCTGGGGGAGTGCAGGGGACGCATTGCATTGTTGTAACAGGCGGGGGGTGACCTTGAGCCAGCGTTTTCATTTACAATCTGGTATCTCGTGTTGGTTCTCTATCGCTATCTCTATCTCTATCTGTATCACCATCCCCCTCCCTCCCGTTGTGCCTGTATGGGTGCTCGAGTATCTGTGTGCCACTCGAATTGATAAACAGCTGTAGAGTTTTCCACACACACAGTGGCACCAAGAGCGACTGGTTCTCAAATACAAATGTCAGTGTGTCACTGTGCCAGTAGCACTACAGTTATTAGCCTTGCCTTGCTCTCCAACCAGCCCCCACCACCCACCACCCACTCCGCCCCTCTACACTCGTATAACCCTTATACCACCTCAACGAAATTCTGTTGCTATTTGCTTCCGATTTCTGTCCTACACAAAGCGAATAATATGAAATTCAGATTGCCCTATCTATCATTGGAGATTGCACTTTTCAAGATCAATAATCTTGAAAATTACTAATTGAAAATGATAAATATAATAAAATTAATTTAACATTTCATGGAATCATTAATCTTAAAATGTTATATTTGTGATAATGAACTCAATTGGTTCAATCTGAAAACGTTTTAAAATGTATCTCAAGCATTTTATAAAAATGTAATATTTTTCAAATCATTTGTTGTATACAAATAGATTTTTGAGATATGATTTGAAATTCTAATAATAAAAAAAGGAATAAACACTATGTTGTTTAAGCAAGCCCTTTTTCCTAAGTGTTGTTTTTTCAAGTTTTGCAAACTGTACTTTTTAACTTACTTATTTATTACTGTCCATCTCTTTCTGACCTACTCATCCTTGAGTGACTAGCAATTTTGTGACTGAAGTGTTTAGAAATGCAATCGGACTAAAAGTTTTCAATTACTTTTGGTTTGGGGAGGGGGTGAAAGCTACGAAATCGATTGTCCTTTATTGAAAGGGGCACGCTTCAACGATTAAATGTAATTTGTTGTCAATTGCTTTTTTTTCAAGTGCTCAATTAGAATTTCACTTTGAACTTGAAAGGTGGAGGGGACATATGCAGTTCTACCCCTGCCTTTTCTTATTGGGGTTCGTCATTCAGTAATCAAAGACAAAATCAAAAAAAAAATTTTAAATATAAAAAAATTTGTCTCACACCTACGCGCTATATGTCCGTCTTTTTTCAACGCCAGTCAAATGCACTTTGTGTGAGGAGGACAGTGCGAGTGTGAGTGCGCCTTCTTAATTAGTAATTGTGCGCATTAAGTCATTTGTTTTTATTTGTGTTTTGCTTTTGCTTTCAAGTGCAAGTGTAATAATCAAGTAGACAGGTTGATCGGGGTTTACAAAGTTGGGGGTTTTTCTTAAGCTGAACAGACAAATGTCCGTCCTTGTCGTTCGGCTGATTGGGCTTGCGGTCAAATTTAACAGTTGCAAATGTACCAACTGGAACATTTCTTATTTGAATTTGTTTATTATTTTATTAAAAAGTTTTATTTAAACTGAGATTTTCCACCAACTAAACATTTGTTTCGTAGGCAAATAAATAAGTTTCTTACAAGGTCAGAACTGCCAACAAGTAATTATCCCTATTGAAAAAACACACTTCAAAAACTAAATTAAATTCATATTTTCAAATATACTTTCTGAAAAGATTTCGTTTAAACGATTCATACACATTTAGGATTATGCTTTACCAAGTTTATCTTAGCTTGATGGGGTTTGTTATTATTATTTGTTTGTGTGATAAGTTAGAAGTGTTCATAAACGTGTCACAGCTAATGTTGAAAGTTTAAAATTAGTTTACAGTACCCCCAACATCCATAAGCCTAATTGCTTCCTCCTTTTACTCCGTGGCTAATTGCACATTAAAACGCAATCAATTAACACCGAGCACGAAAAACTCTTTCAAGTCTGGACGGTCTTTTTATTAAGCCATCCGATTAAACGGCATTATCAGACGCGAGTCGTGAAAATTCTGTTTTTAGACCATAAAGCACTTCCCAGACGTTCGAAAAGCCGAAGACCCGCCGCCGGAATCGTGCCAAGGCAAAGGTCATCGCTGGGGTTGTATAACCCCGTGTGAGGGATCAATAAAAAACCGCAACAGACGAAGCCGTTCATTGCCACAATTTTCGGGGCGTTTATGGGCTAGATTTTCAGACGCTCGTAAAATCGCACAGATCTATTATAGTATAGCCATAGCATATAGAGCTATTGCGTAGTAATTGCTGGCAAATGCGAATTTAAAGCGAATTAGAACTGAATATTTTCCCCGCGGAAGATAGTGGTCTACAATATATGTCATGTGTATAAATACTTTGTGATTTTGTATGATTTATAGCCATTGTGGGTTGTTAAACCTTATAAAAATAATAAAATGCTAATCGTGATTTACAGATTTCTTGAGAGTTTAACAAACCTTTTGGATTTTCTCAACATTTTACTTCTATAATGGATATAAAAAAACCTTGACTCGTGAAAAAAATCAACACATCTTCCGAAATTAGAAGTTTACTCAATTAGCTTCTAATTTAAGATCGAGCCTGTATTTCTGGTCATTTAATGTGTTTGACTAATTTGGAAAAATTAACACCTGGCGAGACATCATTTCTTGCAGCCATTTCTTTGTGCTTTATTGTTATATTTCATTTATTTTGGCAGCTTTCCAAATGTCTTTTAAATTGTAACTTTTAATGATCAATAATTTATTTAACGTTTAATTAAATTTGTCATAATATAGTTTTCAATTTATGGGTCTTCTTAATTGTTCTCGCTTACTTCCTTTCTAATCCAACTCGAACTCCTGTTCTTTATTCAAGTTCATTCACACGCGACCTATTAAATCCCCATTACGATTTTCAGCTGCTTATAAAAACGAACACTAGTGAAATACCGCGATAAATCAAGCTAGCGCCTGAGACGGAGACATTTTAAAGTCTTTAGCCACTCCAGATAAGATTACACTCGCAGAAATCAAGTATTTCGCACATAAATCAAGTGCGGGCGCGACCTATGTTGCGATAAGGAGAAACTACTTAATGTAGGTATTTGAAGTACTTAATCTAGGCACTATTTAACAAGAAACTAATCGGGAATTATAATTATAAGGTTCACCGAAAAAAAATATGATATTTGGCCTATAAAGTAGTAAAGCTAGTTGGTGAATTCGATTGAGCTCCACCTTTAATGGTAAGTTTTTTTTATCAAATATCAGGATGTCTTGTTTTGCTGATTTTCGAGTGTACTTTTGGGATTGCCACAAATCCAAAAATTCTATTCGTTAGAAAAGCAAATACTTTTACTGAAAATATAACAATTTGGTTTGTGAAAACCTAAAACATAATTCCCTGAAAATTATCTAATAATCTGAAAATGGAGCTATCTTACATTGATTTTAAGCTGAAGAAAATGATTTATCTTAAAAGTCAAGACTCGTTGTAAAATAATTTGGCTAGGTCTTATTTAATATTAAATTGTAATATTTGTAACATCGAAATTTAACTGATTTTAATTTTATTTTATTAATGTCCGAATTTGTTGTAAGTAACTAGTCTATAAACTCTTTTGTAATGGATTTTTTTGTTTGGTGCGTGTGGGGGGTGGGGGGACTTACCCTTGGGGCTCTGGGGGATGAAGTCGAGGGTGCGGTCCTTGCAGCGCAGGTCCTCGCCGGTGCCGTCGATCCACACGTAGGTGGCCTGGACGATATTCTCCTGCAGCGGCAGCGACAGGTAGCGGTCAAGGATCGTCTTGTTGATGCGCGCGTTGGGCGAGTCCTCCAGGATCCTAGCGGACATACTGCTCTTTGCAATTAGGGCACCCAAAAAAAAATGGACATACAATTCGAAAGCGGATCAGAAATAAACAAAGTTCTTTGGCACTGAATTCTTTTCTCCTGTGGAGATGATCTGCACCTGATTTATTTGCACTCTGATTGGGCCTGGTTACAATCTGATTGGTGGCGGGACGATAGCTGCGTCCTTTCTGATTGGGATTTGGATTTGTTGTGCGCGGAAGCGTTGCTGGAACACGACTAAGCTGGAGCCCCTTGTTCCAACTCAATTTATAATGACCAACAACAAACAACAAAGCAAAACAAAAGCAACGCGCCCGCCTCGCCTCTTGTTGTTGCTGTAGTGGTTGTTGTTGCTATTAGTGTGGTATAAGCTATACTATACGCCATATACACTATACACTATCCACTATACTCTATACACTACACACCATACTATACTTACAGCAAACTAGCAGCGACTGCGACGCCGGCAGCGACGTCGACAGCGCGCCATTGAAAACAAAAGCAACAGCTGTTGTCGCCGCGACAAGAGCAGCGCTGTGGCAGCGCAGTCGCCGCACGATCAACGCCCCCTCTCTATCGCTCTCACACGCCCGCCCTCCCACTCCGACCCACTGATTAGACGCTTTGCCGTTTGTCGCCGGTGTCGCGTGCAAGAGCGAGAGGGCACGAGAGCTCTCCCAATTGGATTCCTGGCTAAAGCTTCCGGTTACACGCCCAAAAAAAAAACACCTAGTTTTCACCAATTCCAAACCAAATTGTTATTTAATGAAGTAAGCAATAGCGCAAGAAACTGTTAAAAAATCTAAGCACAGCTAATTGTAATTTTAAAACAAAAAAAAAATGTAATGTTATTGAAAAAATGGATATTTCAATTTATAGTCGTAATCTAAAATATTGAAGTAATAGTAAGTCCCAAAGATGTCTTTTAACACAAAATTATAATTTACACAATTTCTAATTAAATCATCAGTAATATATCCAATTAAAATGTAAAATTTGAAACTTTATATCTCTTTGTTAATGTTTAAAATTATGTTTAGTTTCCATATACCTGTTTCAATATATTAATATAAATGTATAAATCACTTTGAAATATTGAAACATCTCCTATTAAAGTAAAGAATCCACTGATTTTTGTTCTGTGTAGATTAACAGTTGCAGGTTGAGTTGCCAAATTGTTTTGTTTATTTTTAATTCACTTTTGATGTGCGAGCAAATGCGTGTAAATGAGTAAATGTCGCTTATCAACTGGATCGCCAGCAAATGAGTTGTATTATAATTTTTTTTTTGTTTTTGACAAGGACAAGGACAGTCGGCTGATGTAATGATGAACAACTTACGCTGAATGCATTTTGTTGTGTGTTTTAAATGTTTTCCCGGTCTCCTAATGAAAGTATTTTTGCACTCGCGAACTTTGAACTGGCACTTGGATTGAATCTTTATAGAACACTTTCTTAATTCCGATGAGGAGTTGCGAATTGAGCTGATACAGTGGGCACTTCTTTGGAGCGACTGCGCAGATCCAGCGGCAATTGATCCGCTTTTATAGGCTCTCCGATCCGATCACTTCGCACTCGGACAACTGGGGGGATGTTCGGATGTGTGACTCGATTTTTTGATTATTTTTATGGCGCATAAAGCAAACACGACCATGTGCTAATTACCTTTTCAAGATTCTCACATTTTTATTATTATTTGGCGTCGCGCTCGCCTCGTCAAGTTGAGAAACAAAAATAAATACCGAAAAGGGAGCAACTCCTTTGGCCCACTAAAATCGCCACCCCCTTAACCCCTGATGGGCCCACACTGTAACTCCTTAACACCCTCATGCCATTGCGTACCACACACCCACCGCAAAATGTTGGCCATGTTTGCAGGCCGAAGGTGTGAAAAAGTTAATTGCAAACGAGTTTCACACAAAAAGGTTAATTGTTCGAACGGATTTTTATGGCTTCGTCTAGTTGATCGGAATTGACAACTTATCAGGGCAGTTTTCCATATTCAACAAAGCACTGACATGATCTACCTTAAATGGTATTCAAAAATATGTTTCCTGTGGCATTACATCCACAAAAAGGTATTGGAATTACTCTATTATAGGTTTCACATATACAATATATGTTAAATCAATTATTTAACAAGAAAAAATTATTGATATTAAGGATTACAAAAAAAACTGAATAACTATTTCAATTACATTTTGTTTTGCTTTAACAACGATTAGTTTTCTCCTTTTTTACATTTTAATCTATTAAATAAGCTATCACTATATTTAGTGATACATTTGTTTGTTAAGCCCATTTTCTCTTTGGGTGTAACAAATTCGCCAGCTGATCTAAATTTAAACGCAAATAAAAACGTCTGAACGGGCAGACGGTCGCAAGAAACAACAACTTAACGTATCAAATAAATTGCGACAAGCTACATTTTATTTCAATTTTAAATGCACAATTAACATATGTGCCGGTCAGCCGAAAATGGACAGACAAACATAAAATAAAACAAACAAGAAAACGTGAAATAATTTTCTATTAATCGTCTGCTGCGTCTTCAATTCGGCTCAGTGTTGGCAAGAAAACTTTTTTTCGTGGGAAGAAAAGGAACAAATGATTGAATATACCCTATATTTATATGATAATATCATTTTTAATTAAATTACTCATAAGTCACGTGTGCCTATATATATATGAAGGTGATCAACACTGCGTATGAGTTATTTAATTTAGTCATTTCGTTTTTCTGACAATTTCGAGTCTCTTAATGGCAATGTTTCATTTTATTCTTTGAAAATTAAAAATATATGTTTGTTTTAAATAAATAAAACAGCAATTTTCAACAAATAAACAAAGTCACCAGTGCGTATACGTAATTTTTTTTAGCCAACTTAAGTCAAGCTCTAATTTAGCTATAATGTAAACTTCTACAGATTTTAAAAATTGAGAAATATACATACTGTTAAACAAATTAATAACTCCATATATATGAAATTTAAATAAAAATTCCTATTTCAAAAACTTAATAAACCTTTATTTTTATTTTTTTTTTTGCAACACCAGCTAATTTAAAAAAAGGCCAGAAAAGTGGCTAATTAGTCAACGCTGGCTATCTGATCACGTGAACGGCGCATGCGTTTCCCGCTGCGGTCATCACCCGTCTCCGTTTCCCCCCTCCGTCCCCGCTTCCGTCACCGTCTCCGTCCGCCGTTTGTCGATTGTCGTCCGTCTTCTGGTGTTTGCCCGCATTTAACGAGGCTTTTTCGCGAGCCTCTCTCTCTTGCCGGCTGCATTCAAATTGGCTTAGGCGACGGGCAGGCGATCGCGGGGCCATAAAGCCCGAAAGGCGTTAAACTTCGATCTGCGATAGTGCTGGCCGAGATTAGGAGGGCCCAGGAGGTGGCCCGCCCTAAATACCCGGCTAGAAGAAGAGCCGGCGACGCGTGGCAGCGATAACCGACTTAGCGGTAAGTAGGTGAAGGCAACGGCTACTAAATGGACCCATTTATATTGATACACATATATGTATATGACTAATTGATTGGCGCAGACTGTGGTAATTGGGGAATTTGAATTGGCATTACTACTTCTCATATTTCACATTAATTTCGCCAGCTTAATTGGCGATCATCAAGAGGCAATTTATGATCGAGGCCCATCATCAGGCGTTAGTTCTATTTTTAGAGCACGCGTTGGGCGCCAGTTTCCCGGTTGACCAGCTCATCGGGGTCACCAGTTCGGTTGGATCCGATTCAGCACCAGATCCAGGCGGTGGGAATAATGAGAATAATGTAATGTAGTCAATACATTGCTAATAGTAAGTGATACTTTTACAACCAGAAAGATTTCAATGTCACGTTTTGTTTTGTATTGTTATCTCTAGTATCTGGGCTTATATATACACACACATTTATTTATCTTTCTACCTTACTGTATAGTTTCTTGTTTAGATGTTTAAATTGTTGTATTCATTAAAAAGGAAAATAAACACCAGTTGATTAGTTTATTTTTAGACAACGTGTCATTCTTATTTGTAATTTGTAATGCTTTCCGACCAAAAAAAACATGTCTAGAATAGCTAATACAAATTATTGGGAATTTACACGCCCTTGATTTACAAGATAAGATCTTGACTTACTAATACGAGTTTAAAGCTTATTTAAATCTTTTCTTGAATAAGTCTTTTCTATTGCTATCTAATGCAGATTTAAAGATTAAAGTCTGTCAAATTCCCAGGAAATTTTCTAGAATCATTATCAGAAAATCGATGGGGGTCATGGCATTGTTATTGGGCACCATTTTCCATCGAGTGGATTTTATTCTTTTCCCATTTAGCTGCCTCTGTTTGGGTTTTGGCCACTTGTGAGCCGCCATAAAGTTGCATAATCCGTCGGCCGATGGCCGATGGCCGATAGCCGCCGGCCAGCCAAAGATTGGAGGCCTATAGTGCTTCTGATTCCGGCCAGGGACCCTGAACTTTGCCAGTGTTACGTATTTCTAGCCGCTTATCTGGAAAGTCTGTGTAGGGGATGTGGGTCTGAAATAGAAAAAAAAAAACCCGAATTATAAAATGCGACACTCTTTATGCCCCCAATTGACGTATAAACTCTATTAAACAATTTATGCTCTAAACTGTCTGAATTGCTTAACTTCTTTATGGCACTCGCATTCGCATTCGGTTTCGGGCCCGCACGCTTATTTATTCTATAATAAACTTATCTAATAGTCATGTGCACTATATGCCGCTGTATTGTTTTTGGTTCTGGGATGTTTGTGGTGGTGCCAGCTCAGTTCGGTTCGCCTTAGATCGGCTTGTCATGAAACAAAACGGAACAGCGTGATCGGATACTCTCGTGCCCCCAAATGCCCAATTCCCCTCGTCCAAATTAAGGCAGCTCCCTCGGATTCATTGGGTTCCACTGTTTCTGGTGACTCTTCAAAAACAATGTCAGGCCATCTCAATTGGGATGAGTGCTGGGAGCTTCCCTTCGGATACACTTCAGAATCTGTGAAAGTACAGTGATCTCTAGGTTGTGTTCTAAGATAGATTTAAAAAAAAACCACAGAAACGGATACAAAAAAATTTAATAATTTTTGTATTATATAATATGTAACCATTAACTGTTTTTAAGGTTTAAATTCAAATCTAGCCTTTCGCTTATTTTTATTAATTTGTTTCCTACAAAACATTGTTTTTGACGTATGTAGCTTAGCTTTTAAAATTCTGAAAAACTCGTTTAAAATTCTTGACATTTTTTGGAGGCTTCCCTGTACCTGTGTTGCGTGTTAAGTAGTGGGTGTGCGTGTTTAGCAGGGGGTGCGTGTGTGAGGGGGAGGCACTTGGGGGCACTTGCTTCGTTGCTAGGAAGCTGCGATTTGGTGGTGACTAGCAATAAAAAAAAAACGAAAAAAAATATAAACCAAATGCATATGGAAAAGGGGCAACTACCGACGACTGCTGAACAATTGGCGTTGATTCAATTTGCTATCCATTTGCGGTACTCGGCACTGCCGTTGCAATTATGCCCATCAAATCTATCCCAATCCCGCGAATCAAGCAATTTTCCCATCATCATTATTATCATCATCCAGTGTTTTATATCAATTTGATGCCCTTGTGTTTTTGGAGGAGGGGTTTTTTCCATATAAAAAAAGGTTGCCTCTTAGGATATGAAAATTAATTTTAAACGGTATTTTTATTACATTTCAGAGAATGAAAATAAACAATTGTTTTTGTTTTGGTGATATAATTGCGATTAAAAAATATATATTAACAAAGGAAGATAATGTTTTAAAATTCTTTCTTTATTTAAATATTTTGTATGACAATATTAAAGGAATTCAAACTTCCTTTTGGCATAAGTTTCATTTTGATTGATTTAAATTTGTAAGTGGTATGTAATTTGTGTGTGAAAACCCTTTGGGGGCTGAAACCATAGAGCAACCTTATTTATCGCTGCTCAAGATCGACCTTCGATGGCGTCGCGGCTTTTTCAAACCCGATCAAACTCAGAAAACCTCCAGGTGTGTGCGTGCCATCGCTGACGTCACCAGCCAGCGGAACGTGCGCTGCTAATCTAAGTATATATGCTACATAAAAAGTGGTATAAAATGAAATACTTAGACTCGTCTGTGGCGTTGACAAAAACTTCAATACATCAATGGTGGTCGCACTCGAAAGCCCCGAACACACATTGGCGGACAGGTTTGCATGATTTATGACTCCGCCGCTGACAGGCTTCATGGCGAACAGGTGCGGATCTAACACGCGAATTTCAGGTGCTCCAATTACCAATTTCCATATAATCCAGTTCAAGTAATACAGGTATTGAGCGGTTATTTCAAGAGAATTGGGATTTTCAAGTCTAGACAATAAAAGGATTTTAACTGAGACTTCAGTGCTTCATACTTTTGACCTTGCCAACATTGCTGTTTTTTGTGAATAAATAAAATAAAATATTTTAAAGGAAATAATAAAAGATTTAAGTTTAATTTTCTTAGTTACATTTTTGTAATGCTATTTTTAAGAAGCTGTTGTTGTTTTATTACCAATATAAAAAATATATTAAGAAAATTTCTCAATTAAAGTTCAAGAATGTACCAAGATATCTATAGTTTCCTACCTCAATTGACATTCCTTGGAATAAACTATTTCCTCTTAGATCACGTGATACAAACAACAAAAATGTTTTATATCCAATCTGCTTGGCACTAGATTTCTGCTTGTGATAAGGCCACCTATTATGGGTAATTACCCCTTATCAATGTGACTCATCAAGGTCATCATTTCAGGCTCCGTCTGAATGGCATGAAGAAAAGTTGCAAATATGTATGTATTCACTACTTGGTGATAAAAACAATAATATTTGCTTTGGATAAATATGAGATGTAAGGCGAGAACAAGCACAGAGATTACAAAGTAAAACAGCACTACCAAGAAATTAGATAAGTTGTTTGACTTTAGTCCGATTAAAGGGGAAACCCAGCAAATTCATAGGTGATAAGCCAGACTAGACCCTAATAAGAGTTAGGGAAAAATCAATAGAGTGCATAGTAGCTGAAGGCAAATCAAAATACACATTTAGGTATCCAGAACTTGCCGAATCCGCTCCTGAAAACTCATGCTGTGCGTGAGTGGGCTTGAGATTAGTTAAAAACGCACGAATTTGACGAGTCCGACGTCCGAGTGCCTTAATCTTGATTTGTTTGTATTTTGATTACTGAAATTAGCGGCTAGCGCTAATTGATGCATTAGCTCTGATTGCGACTCATTCCCTGCTACTTGTGCCTGTCGTCTACTTCGAATCCCCATCTGTCCCAAAAAGAACAAAGCGAGCAGCTCACCAGTCCCAGGGATTCGAAGGTTGCCAATTATCGCGGTCTCCCAATGGCGAAAGTCACTGGATACTGGTCGAACTTTGGCAAACTTTGTCTGAATAACAAGTCAATTAAGTGGACCTGCTCAGTTTTGAAGTTCAAGTGGGGTTACACTCTAAAACAATCTGTATTTAAAACCACCTACCTTGTTAATAACAATGTAAATTAATACGTTTTACAGCTCAATACATTTTGGTGTTTTTTTGAAATCTAAAACCTGTTATTTTTAAGAACACGATTAACAAGCAGTAAGTTATAGTTTATAAAATTATTAAATTATTTTGAGAGATTTATTTAATGTATAAAACAGTACTCTATAAATAAACTAAAATGCCTTTATGTATAAATTTGCTTTGTATTTTTTTCTCGAGTGCACAAGTTCAATTTCAGCTGCCTATATAAGGGATATTTCTTGCAAGGATTTGATTAAAAGGTGTATCCACCATGGTCTCGTGGTTTCGGTTCCTCAAGCGCGATCAGCAGCTGTCCGTGTATTTTTTTGCTGTGCCGCGTCTCAGCCTGGACATAATGGGCTATTGGCCCGGGAATCCGGGGGATAGCCTTCCCCGGCGATCCATCGTCCACTTCGTGATCCTGTCCATTGGCGTCGTCACGGAACTGCATGCGGGAATGCTTTTCCTGGACCAACAGCAGGTCACCCTGGCACTGGAGACCCTCTGTCCAGCGGGAACCTCGGCGGTTACGCTGCTCAAGATGTTCCTCATGCTGCACTTCCGCCGGGATCTGTCCTCCATGCTGAACCGGCTGAGGAGCCTCCTCTTCGATCTGAAGTCGGAGCGGTCCGATAGGCGGCAAATCCGAGTGGGTCACTCGGTCAAGGCGGCCCGCATCAACTTCTGGCCCCTGTCCACCGGATTCTTCACCTGCACCACCTACAACCTGAAGCCACTGCTGATCGCCTTGGTCCTGTTCCTCCAGGATCGTCTGGACGGCTTTGTCTGGTTCACTCCTTTCAATATGACGTGAGCAGTGTAATAAAAACCCCCCTCTTTTAAGAAATTACTAGATAAACTAACGAAAATGAGGGGCTCTTAATTAAAAAACTATAATATTTTATACATTTTTGATTATTTTTGGGGGCTTTTTTTAAATTCGCTGCGTTGCAAAAGGTATTACATTCCGTCCCAAGTTTTTATATACTGAAATTAAAGTTTGGTGACCCCAAATAATAATTTGCAGAAAAGGAAACTTAAGTACTCAGCATTGTACCTTTTTTTACAGAATGCCCTCGGTTCTAATGAGATCTCCATTTTTCCCCCTGACCTATATATTCATTGCCTATACGGGCTATGTGACCATCTTTATGTTCGGAGGCTGCGATGGTTTCTATTTCGAGTTCTGTGTCCACTTGTCGTCGCTTTTCGAAGTGCTACAGGCGGAGATACGATCCATTTTTAGGCCATACAAAGGTGGGTTTAAGAATACCCAGAATATATATATTTTGATTCCCATACTGTTAAAGATCACTTGGAGCTTTCGCCAGAGGAGCATTATAATTTGGAGCAGCGAATGCGGGATGCCATAGTCAGGCACAATGCCATCATCGACCTGGCCAGGTTTTTCCGGGACCGCTATACGATTATTACCCTGGCCCATTTCGTGTCCGCTGCGATGGTGATTGGTTTCAGTATGGTCAATCTCTTGACAGCTGGAGGCAATACCCTGGGAGCCCTCCTCTATGTGGCCTACACGGTGGCTGCCTTGAGCCAACTGCTGGTTTATTGCTATGGCGGCACTCTGGTGGCCGAAAGTGTAAGTTGGAGTTTAAGGTGATTTTTCTGGTATTACTTAATAGCCTTAAACCTCCTACTTATAGAGTGTGGAGCTGTGCCGAGTGATTGGCTCTTGTCCCTGGCAATTGTTTAAGCCACCACAGCGACGCCTCGTTCAACTGATGATCCTCAGATCGCAGCGACCCGTTTCCATGGCAGTGCCCTTCTTTTCTCCTTCACTGGCCACCTTTGCTGCGGTAAGATACATAAATTAAGAAACCTAATTATTCCAAATAATTAAGTAGCTTAAAAAACTATATAATTTATATTCCAAATGACATTTGGGGTTCTCCAAAAAAATTCTAGGGTTTGGAATCACTTATTAAGGTGTCTAAAAGTATGCAATAAAAAAGAGAATCTTGAATTTTTAAATAAACCCTTCGAATTTTTGCGTTTTTAACAAATTGTTGACACCTTTATAAAGGATTTTAAAATCCCTTGTTATTACTTAGATTTTATTTTACCAATTTTATTTATTTATTAATTTACCAATTTAAATTTAAATTAACGTTTGTCTCCTGCAGATTCTACAGACTTCGGGCTCAATTATTGCCCTGGTTAAATCCTTTCAGTAATTAAATATAGTTCAAATAAAACAAATTATTAAAATGTAATTACTTTGCTTGATAAAAAATATTGTATTTTGAAAGCCAATAAAAATAACATGCACCCCTGATTTTGTAGTTTTTTTTTCTTTTCGTGAAATCAATTTGAAGTCCTGTTTATTCACACAACCAACTTTGGTTCGAGCCTTGCGTATCGGCCATCTCCAATAATTTGGTGCTGACTTTACCATTCCCATGGCCATTTCCAATCCACTGCCGAAAAAACACGCAACGCGAACAAAGGACTTTCTCAGTTGATTGCGAGGAGCGGAACCGGAATGACTTCACCGGATGAGTCGACTTTCTGGGAGCGGCACGAGTTGAAGTTCTACCAGTACGGCCATGTCTACGCCCTGATCTATGGCCAGGTGGTGATCGACTATGTGCCCCAGAAGGCTCTCAAACGTGGCGTCAAAGTGCTCCTGATTGTGTACGGCCACCTGTTCAGTTTGCTGCTGATTGTGGTTTTACCCGGTTATTTTTGCTACCACTTTGGCACACTAACCGATACCCTCGATCTGCGCCTGCAATTGCTCTTCTATGTGACCTTCGCCAACACGGCCATTAAGTATGCCACCGTGATTGTGACCTATGTGGCCAATACCGTCCACTTCGAGGCCATCAACCAGAGGTGCACTGTGCAGAGGATGCACCTGGAGCGGGAGTTCAAGAACGGGCCGCAGGAGCCGAGGAAACCCTTCGAGTTCCTCATGTACTTCAAGTTCTGTCTGATCAACCTGATGATGATGGTGCAGGTGTGCGGGATATTCCTGCAATACGGCGAGACGGAGAAGGGTGCGATGAACCAGGTGCGGGTCCACTTCTCCATCTACGCCTTTGTGCTGTGGAACTACACGGAGAATATGGCGGACTACTGCTACTGGATCAACGCCTCGGTGCTGAAGTACTACAGGCAGCTCAACCTCCAGTTGGACGCACTCAGGCAGGAGGTGGACAGGCTGAGACCAGGCGGCGGAATGCTCCTCCATCGCTGCTGCCTGCTGAGTGACCGGCTGGAGGAACTGCGTCGCCGGTGCCGGGAGATCCACGACCTACAGCGCGAGAGCTTTCGCATGCACCAGTTCCAGCTGATTGGACTCATGCTGAGCACCTTGATCAACAACCTGACCAACTTCTACACCCTGTTCCACATGCTGGCCAAGCAGTCGCTGGAGGAGGTCAGCTACCCGGTGGTCGTGGGCTCCGTCTATGCCACCGGCTTCTACATTGACACCTACATAGTCACCCTGGTCAACGAGCACATCAAACTGGAGCTGGAGAACGTCGCCCTCACCGTGCGGAGATTCGCCGAGCCACCGGCCAGGGATGAGCGGCTCACCAGGGAGGTAATTGATTTATTAAGATTGATTTAATAAATTCAATAAATATACACGAGCATTTTAAATAGAATAAGATTTCGTATTACATCTTGGTCATGCAAAACTTTTCTCAAAAGAGTCCTTATTAGATTTTCTAAATTTTGATTAATTCTAAAACGGAAACTATTTGGCCTCTAAATTAGGAGTAAGGTTTGTTTTGCTATAACTTGGCCAAAATACGACGCACAGCCAAAAGAATTATTGTTTTGTGCAGCGGAGAACCTAAACTATTGATTCCAAGTTAATTTGGAAAAATTTATTTTCTGTTCTTGCCCTTTTTTATAAGGGGTTTTACAAAACCTTTTTTTGCGAAAAGTGGTCTTAAATAAAATTTTTCGGCTGAGAATACAAATCGATTGAAAATTTTGAAACGAATTCTACGAGGTATGACATTCCAACATACGACCACTATTTCTCAGGGTTTATATAAAAAAAAACCGACCGGTTTTTTTTTCTCTAACTTGGCCAAAATACGTCGCACAGGCAAGCACTAACTGTTTTGTGCAGCTTTATTAATATATAATTCTAATTTTTTTCATTCCTATCCAGATAGAGCACCTTTCGCTGGAGCTACTGAACTACCAACCACCAATGCTCTGTGGACTTTTACACCTGGATCGTCGATTGGTCTACCTTATCGCCGTAACCGCCTTTTCCTATTTCATAACTCTGGTGCAATTCGACCTCTATCTCCGCAAGCAGTCGTAGCCAACGAAAATGTCCCTAAGAAGCCGAAAAACAAAAACGTAATGCTCAAAAATCCGAATTTATAACACCAATTTAAAAAATATTCACAATTAAAAATAAAGAAAATAATTTCTCTTAATGGTAAAACCACAAAATAACTGCGATTCGAATTTGGGGAAATGGTTTCTCTAATTTTGAATTTTTTTCACACTTACATATTTCTGTACAACTTTTATAAAGAGGTAATAATATTAGTTTAGTTTAAAATCCTTAAAAAATAGTAATTGATAGAAAACCTTATAATTAATATCGACTTATTTTTGCACTAGTTGTTCGATTACTTGATGTTTGTTGTTTATGCAAATGAGTTAGAGAAAAGTAATAATGGCGGAGAAGTTTTTCCTGTTGGATGAGGCGTGTCCTTTGAAGATAGCAGTTCAATGGTCAGATAAGTGTTTAAGTGTATTGCGGTGCATTCCTTTCGGGACGATGGCTCTTCTGTCCTCCGTTTAGTTGCTGGCCACGATGCGAGCCCGCAGGTTGTGCCGGATGGCACTGCGCTTCTGGATGGGACTGGTCCTGATCCTGGGAATGTCCAGCCACTTCTATAGCCCCACCCGACGGCGACTGGTCCACTCCCGACTTCTGCAGATCTACAACTGGCTGATGATGGTCGCCAACTTTATTTTGTTTTACACCTACCAGCAATACGCCGTGGATTATTTTGTGGCTGGAACATTTAAGCGCCAGACATTCGTGGCTATGGTAATTTTGCACTTTTTATTTAATAATATTAAATATTAAATTAATTGTTATTATTATTACACCATAAGGAGCAAAAGGTTAAGTAGCCCTTTTTAACGGCGTTGATCGTTTTCATCCTACAAGGCTATTATTTTTAATAAGAAATACTTTAAATATTATATACATTTCGTTTCTTTATTTGAAGGTGTGCGACCAGAGTGTAAATCTTCAGTTGGTGACGCTTGTAATACAAACTTTATTGAGGGTCCTGCGCGAGCGACAGGTGTGCCAGGTGTATAACGAATTGTCGGGGATTTTGGAGAGGGACCTGAAGTTGGAGGAGCACAGTCGCCTCTATCACGTGGTCTTTCTGGCCAAGATCCACAATTTTGTGCACAACTTCAACTTTGCGCTGAGTGTGCTCATCATTTGGGGCATGCGAACCTTCGGAATGCCAGACTTCCTGGCCAACCTGTACTTCGTCTACAACAGCCTGGCCAGGGATGCGGTCCAGGTGGCCTACATCCTCCTGCTCCTCGACTTGAGCGAGGCACTGCGTCTGAATGGCCAGCGGGTGTCGAGTTCCTACGGCCACCTCATGGAGCAGTTGCGTCGGCAGGAGCGATTGATCGAGCTCGTGCGGCGGGTGCATCGCATGTTCGCCTGGCTGGTGGCAGTCACATTGTTCTACGAACTGTACTTCAACACGGCCACCATTTACCTGGGCTACGCCTTCGTCAACCAGCGACACAGTAAATCGGGGCTGCATATCCTGACCGTGAAGGTCCTGCTAACAGGCATCTGCTTTTTGGTCAAACTTTCGGATGCCCTGCTCCTGCAAATCGTCTGCGAACATCTGCTCGGGGAGCAAAACCAGGTCTGCGCCAGTCCAAAATTCCAGGGGCACAATGCGGATGCCAAGGCAGCTCATAGACAGGTGAGCAAAACGAAACAGGATCGCAGGACATTGAGATCATATTTCATATTATTATTATTAAAACAACAGCAATCAAAATGAAATTATATATTCTATTCTAAGAGTAAAACTTTTGTCTTTTTCCTTTTCATTTAACTAATATTTTATGTATTTGAGTAAAATTAAAGGGTACAATTTGATGAAGAATATTTGTCTATTAATTTATTTATCATTCTTTCCAGTGGGAAATGTCCCTTTTGAGACGAGCCATTCGACGAGCTTCGCCGGAGAACAAAGTGTTGGGAATGTTTAGAATGGATATGCGGCGTGCCTTCGCCCTGATTAGCTGCAGTTTGTCCTATGGAATCATTATTATTCAAATTGGATATGTCCACAGTTGAAATTGTCTTCACCTTATCCCCCTTCTCAAAGGAAAAGTTGCCGTGGTGTAATCAGCACTCAATCGGCACTTCGGTTTAATTAAGTAAATTACCAGGATAATCTATGGAAATGAATCTCTGGCAAAATAAAAATAACTCACCGAATATATAAACCCATAGTTTTTATGGTGAAAGAGGGTAAATGTGCAGAAGTGCATTCAATTTGTGTCTATACATTTATAAATTGTTTAAAAACATTTAAAAAGAGATAATTGTACTTTGGCAATTTTTATTATTGAATCGATTTTATTATATTATCCAATAAATGTATTATAGAAGTTGATTGTAAACCAAATATTTGCAAATTCTTTGAATTTATATTGTTGAAACATCCATTAATATGTAAGGACTATTGTTTTCTAAAATTATTTTCAATTTGGCAACAGTTCCGAAGGTCCTTTACTGAGCTTTGTAGTCTGTTTTTTTGCCAAGGCACTTGATACGTTGGAGAAGACATCAGGATTTTCCACGGTTGCCAGTGAGAAATTATTAGTCTGATTAAGTGACAGAGTACCGTCCTTATGAAGGACTCTTGTAAGAAAGGATTTGGGGTCGACAATTAAGGAGTTCGTTGGTTTGTCTGCATCAGTGGGCGTAACACCCTTGTGCTCCCTGATTTTCTCCAGTTTTATGTCAACTTTCGGCACATTTAAATGGCACTTTGCCGCTTTTAAGCTGTCCAGTCGTCTCTGCTCCTCCTTGATGAGATTTGCGGCTGTGTCCTGGATGTTTCTATTTTCGGTTTCCGACTTTTGCCATTGCCTGGGACTCTGGATCTTGGCACACCGGATGCGCATGTGGTAGGCGTGGGAGGTCTGCAGGGCATCGCTCATGCGATTCACGGCAAAGGAACCCATGGAGCTGCGGCAGTGACGCAAGCCATTCCAGTCCAGCTTGGTCTGCATTCTGGAGATCTTTAAGTCCTTTACCCTGGAGTCCCCATCACTGTGGAAATGTCCGAGGGAAATGGCTTTCTTCAGCAGCTCCATCACCGCATTGGACTCCGTTTTAACCTTGGTTTCGGGAACCTCTGACTTTTCGGGCTCATCGGCTGATTGCTCCTGCTTCTGATCCTTGATCCGCTCGTTCAACATCCTGGCCTGGGATTCGCGGACCATCCTCTCCATATTCCGGGTCCTCATCGAATCGATCACCTCCTGCGACAACATCCTGCGATCCCTGAGCGGATGTCCCATCTGACTGCGCTCCCGTTGGCTCATCTCAAGGATCTTCAGCGGAATGGTGGAGCTCGGCCTGGGGTGGTCACTTGTGTCCTGGGATCGCACTGTCCTCGCCAGCTGCTCCCCTCTTCTCTGCGCACTGTGTGCCCTCATGGTGGCCGATTTCTCGAAGGGCAGTCGCTGGTTGGGCTTCTTCACCTTCTTCTCCAAACATCGGGTTAAGGGGTGGATCCTTACAACATTAGCTGAGTTAAGAAAAGGGAAAAAGGTAGTCATTTCAAATCATAGCTTTACCAAAAAATTACTTAAGGTCCTGCACTTGAAACCCATTATTCTTCTTATTGATATCCGATTACAAAGTGCTATACATCTAAAAGCTTGTGGCTTAATTGCCTAAAATCTGCGTTCAAAACTTGGTTTGTGATTTCTATTCGATTTTTTGTTATCTTTACAATTTTACCAAATTTCTGAAAAACAGCTAGCTGAAAAATGACTTAAGCCCTGAACATCTAAGCCCATAACTTTTCTAATTTAAGTCATATTTTGAAGTGGTATACCTCTAAAGTCTTGTGATTTAATTCGCTAAAAAACTGCATTCAAATCAGGATTTGTAATTTTTTTTCGGTTTTTTGTCATTTTTGATGATAAAAACCCTTTCCAAATTTCCGAAAATTGGCTTTGCAGAAAAGTTAACTAAAGTACGATTTTGAAGTGGCATAAAAATCTGCATTCAAATTTCGATTTGTATTTTATTTCGGTTTTTTGTCATTTTTTACAAATTTTCGAAAAACGGCTAGATTAAGAATGACCTACAACATGCACTACTAAGTTCATAGCAAAATGTACCTACCATTGGGGGAAGTGTTGACCCTGAAGGGTGTGTGGCGTTCGTTGAGAGATTGTGGCTTGTTCTGGGGCTTCGCCTTGGTCCTTCCCATTCTAGGAAGATCATTCCCACTGTGAATGGAGCCTCCGGTGGCCATGCCCGAGTTATTCCTGATCAGCCGCATCAGACGCCTCAAAGGTCCCTGGTTGGAGATCCGTGTCTTTCCAGCTTCGTCTGGCAAGTATACAATACAATGACAAATGAATAATCCTTACAATAATAACCCTAATTAAGCCTACGCATTTGACGGCATTGTCTGGAACCGCATGAATTCAGGCTTTTCCTTATCCAGTCCAACCTGATGGTGTACGCCATCGCTGACTCCAATTGAAATGCGCAAAGAAAAAAGGAGAACGGAAGAACAATTTTGAGACCGAACTTCACATAGGTGTTTATTTAGTAGTATCTATTACCAAACCAAATAAATCGACATAAAGTCTAAAGCCTGCCCAGATTAATTTGCGTAAGCTAAAATGCGGCCTACTTTTAGGTTTTCAAATATTTCAAATCAGTAAACAAATAAGCCATATATTTTAAATGAATCTTAAGAAATTCCTGAAAAATAAATAATAAAAATCCAAGGCATATGATTACGTATTTTTATTACGGTTTATTTCGAGTGTGTTTTTGGGGTGTGGGCGAGTGTTTCATCCGCTGATGAACAAATTACATTTGACATAATACATAATGAAAACGCATTTGAGGCCCAATGGGGTCTCTAATTATTTTCTCGCACATGAACATGAGTATTGTACATATGTTGGGTGTACTTGTGAGTTTTTGCCCATTTATATCAACCCAATTCCTAAACTCATACTTTCCTTCGTTTTTTTTTCACTATCATTTGTAGCATATATAGCTAATGCCGATCCATACGCGAACTTCAACAAAATTGAATTTGATTTATTTTCTTTACTCATCGCTAAGGCTAAAGTTTTCTTCTTTCTGTTTTTTTCTTTTGTTTTCGTGGGTGTATGACTAGCGAAAAACCCTTGCAAATTGATGGAGGTTGGGGTGGCAGTGGGTCAGGATGTAAATGTGATGTAAACGGGATGTAAATGTGAGCGGAAACCATACGAAAGCTGCCCGTAAATGTGTCTATGTGTGTGTATATTTTCATCGATATTCGACATTCGATCTTCGATTCGATTCGATTCGACAACAACAACAACAAAAAGAAAAGGCACAATTTTGATGAAACGCTTTCCCATGCTTTGTATGCGCGCGCGTGTGTGTAAGTGGATAGGATATACATATATCATCTGGGGCGAATGGATCTTTGACAAAGAAAGTCCTCTTTATCAGCCGCTCCTTGATCTAATTGTAATATATTTTGTTTATCTAGTTGATAATTGCTTGATAGTTAGTTCTCGAGGGTTTCATGTTTGTTAGTAAAATCTAAAGCTAGTTGGAAAAGTGATTTGGATTTAGTTTTCGTTTTTTAGGGGGCGTCTCTCGGAAGAACCGATTGGAAAATAGGCCTTCCCCTTGATTTAAATATTTATGCTTGAGCGAAAAAAATCACTTGCTACGAATAGTCACCCAAAAAGAAGTGGGGCGCACCCTGTTAAGCGGTTATCTATAGTTAACTCCTCTGCTCATCGTTTAATGTTAATGCAATGCTTTTCGTATGCTAGTTGGATGTATCAAATTGATTAAGAAGTTTGTTTTTTTTTTTCTTTTGTTCATTACACTTAGGGTTCCTCCGCTCTTTTCTTTTCTTTTGTTTTGTTTTGTTTCGTTTAGAGTTGAAATTATTCGAATAGTTTTTTATTTTGTTTTTCATTGTTTGTCCTTTTTGTTTTAGGTTGTTTATTAAATATAACAATGCTCTCGGCGCATACATTGTAAAAATTATAATGAATTTGTTTTTCTGTATTTGTATAATAGTTATATGTATATATTTTTGAAATAATATCCATAGCTACTGCTGCTGTGGCGTCGTCGACGTTTTTGCAATATACAAAAAAAATTAAATAAAAAAAATGTTTAAGTAGGAGTAAGAGAGGGAGCAAGAGAGATGGACAGAGTAAAAACAATAATAATATTTATATGCCTATACGCATGAATAATAATGTTAACACTCAACTTGAATTTTGCTAAATTTTCTCGAACAAATTTCGTATGTATTTTAGCTTTCTGTGCGTTGGCTATAAATCGTAGATTGGTTTATATAAATTAATCAGCAAATGTATAGTTATCTAATTTGAGTTGCTCTCATCTCCAGCTCTGCTTCATCTTCTTCTTCTTTACTTCCGCTTCCGCTTCCTTATTTATTTATTTGCCTTTGCAATTCGATTTGTCTTGTGTGTGTGTGTTGTGTGTATAAAAGTAGACCGCAACGGTAATCCATGTATGCTTGTATGGGTTCGTGTGTGTTTGTATGTGTATTATCTACATCCTATATTTGTTTCATAGATTGTTAAATATACAATATTTTACTCATTACATAGATTTAAATCAACGCGACAACAAGATCCATTTCTCCTTCTCACCTCCTTTTTCTCTTTTCACCCGGTTGCTGCCGTAGTTTACATTATGCAGGTGTTTCGTGTATATTTATATAGTAAAATGACTTTGTTTCGACGATTTCTTGCGGACTATAGGCTAAATGGTACAGATATATAGTAAGTAGATGTGTGAATGAATGTCTGTGGTTTAATATGTAACTCTTCCGCTAGTTTCTAGTATTTATCATACGCATGTTTACTGATTCTTTCTGTTTGTTGTTTTTTTTAATAGTTCTTGGTTTTACTTTTGTGTTGCTTTTAGGCAAAGGCGAGTGGGAAAAATTACATACATCTAACAACAAATGCACCAACGTTTTTCATCATCTCCATCGTTATTAGCTTCGATATTCATCAATATATTTATCATTATCATTAGATCGTAATCGTAAATCGTTATCGTCATCCTCTGACTATCCGCAAGATCTGCAACCGTAACCGCATTCGCATCCGCATCCGCATCTGCGTCCCGTCATCGTCGTCATTTATTCGTAGTCAGCTACTAAACATTGTCGTACTTAAAGTTAACCACCATGCAATGCGCTCGTGCATCATCATCACCATTACCCCAAAACATCGGTGTGCATGGGTGGGTGCTTGTGCCTGCATGTTTACATATTTATATAGATCAATATATATCAAAAAACACATTATCGTCAACATAACTAACTCGCTATAACTCTTGGCTCTCGTATATAAACATCAACATAAACAAACAACACTCTAGCGCTTAACGAACTCCTCAAAGCCTTCTTCATTCCGCTCGACTCTATGCTTTTATATTCGGATCTTAGTCTATATAAGTGGTGTGTATATATATAATTCGCTTCATTTTGTTTATATCCAACTTTGTTCTAACTAAAAACTATACACCTTTGTCCGCTTCAGTTTGAACACCCATATCTCTGATCTCATATTACTACGATGCCAAATGCTTTGCTCTGATGTTTCTCCATCTCCATCCTCGTCTAGCTGCTGGATATACGTTCACCTGACCGTACATCAATGAGTGCATCCATAAAAATTGCTTTGGACAATTTGCTACATTAAGTTGGCTGCTGCGGCTGCGTCATAATAAATTTTACTGTCAGTGGTCAAGTTGTTAGTCCGTGGTTGCGTTTCCGTTTTCCGTCGTTGTCACTGTTGTTATAGTTGTGGCTGCTGTTGTTGTTACTGCTGTGGCTGCTGCTGTTGTTGTTGTTGTAGTAGTAGTTGTTGATGTTGTTGTTACTGTGATGCATCATCAGTGCGGCGTCTTCTGTTGCGGCTGCTGATTTGTTGCTGCTGCTGTTGCTCCTATTGTTGTTCTCGAGACCGGTCGGCATCGAACTCGAGGCGGCAGTGTCCATGTTGTTGTGGCTGTTGGTCATAGAGATTCCTTGGAAGGTACCCAAATGGTTGGTCCCGACTGGGACCAAATCATCGATTTCACTTTGCTGTAAATCTCCTCGATGGTGTCGCCCTGGACAACGCCTGTGGGATTGGCAAACAAAAAGATTATTACTGGATGTTCCAAGATTTAATTAAACTTAAAAAAGTATAAGCAAAAAAAATACACTCTTTTTTGATTTTGTCGAGATTTTTGAATTTCGTTTCCAATATTTTCTTGACTTACCCGTAAAGTATTCGCCGAACTCCTGCTCCATTTTAATTGCCCGCTCGTAAGTCTTCTTCGCCTGCTCTTCAGTCATACGACGATTCATCTCCCTATGGAAAGAAAAATAATTATTAGCGGAAATTATCAACCTCTGGGCTTTCGACAAACTCACATCACAGAGTCCACCGACTTGGGCTTGATGAAAACTGCGACGGGATAGAGCTGGGCCACTTGGAGTCGCTTGATGGCATTGCCGGATACGTCCAGGATGCAGTGCTTGCCCTTCTCGGCGACTTCGCGCACACTGGCCACCGAGGTGCCGTACAGATTATCGTTGTACTGGCCCGCCTCGATGAACAGATGGTTCTGGATATCCCGCTCCATTTGCTCGCGGGAGGACACAAAGTGATAATCCCTACCATCCACCTCGTACTCCCGTTTGGGTCGGGTGGTGTCTAAGGAAAAGAAATGTATACATTTGCAAATAAAATACACAAAAATTTGTACGTTTGTAAATAAACTAAGATACAAGGTTTCGTCGTTTGCGAAAAAAAACGTCGGCTCAACCGCGGGCGCCTTAAAAGTAATACTCTATTAGTTTTCAGACTTTTTTATATAAAAGTTCGAAATAAATTATAGTTTTAACCGAAGTTCAAGCACTACTTACGTGGCACACAGGAGCCGAACTTGTCGGGATACTCCGATATTAAGTCATCGTTGATGCGATCCTTCAGCGGTCCAAGGATAATCACCGGGCGCGTGTAACTTATGGACAAGCGCTGCACGGCCTCGTAAGACAACACGTTCTCTTCGGAAGCTGCAAAGTAGGTTAAGCAGTCGGATTAGGGCCTTGACGTGCAGGTGCTCTACATCATCGCAAAGTGTTCTAAATGAGTGGGAATCGGAGGGGAATGGGAGGTGGGATTTCTTCAGAGCAATAATCTTGAGGTCTCGGGGCTCTACAAAGCAAAGTTCTATATTGGTCTATGTTGCAACTGGGGCAAAAATATTAAAAGAGATCCATACAGATCAAGGCAAGTCAGTTAGAGTTAGAGATGTACTAATTTTTGTTAAGTTTTTAACTAATGTTAATTGCCATCTACAATATCAGGGGGAACAGTGGATTAATTTGTTTATATAAGTTAGGTTCCTTTGGGCTCTCACAAACAAGAATTTACAATTGTTAACATTTTTTTTTAATGAATTCGCAAAATAAAAATTTGAGAAACTGCTTAATACTTGTTAAGTTATATTTCACTTAGCAAGCATTTACTGAAATTGGCGAAAAACTTATAAATCGAGCAAAGGAAACATTCTACAGCAATAATGTTCAATGCTATTTAGGGTCCTATATAGAAGAAGTCACTTAAAACTTAAGGTATAAAATAAAATGACATGAAACTTAAAATCGAAACCAAAAAGCAAATGTAAATGCATAATGTGGAATGGTAACCAAAGCAACTACACTTATGTATGACTTGGGCCATATACATAAAGGATATAGAAATGATAGTTAAGTAGACATAGAGCAGGCGATCTACGAGCAAACAGTTAACAGACAGTGGGCACACTTGGTAATGTCTTACATGGATACATATTACATACATGACATCATGATGTTACATACATGGCACACAAAAACTTGGACAAACATGAAATCAAAATCTGTGTGTTGAGTGTTATGAGTGAGTGTATAATTATGTTTAGAACATTAGAACTAGCTTAGGTTATTATCTTGGCTTTGGATAAGCCCAGTTATTGGATTTTCTTTTTTGGTTGTTGTTGTTGAGGAAACGCAGTCGAACTTCCTCTTTACCAGGGGAGGGGGGTTATGGGGTTTACTCACTTGACGCCTTGTAGAACTCACGGACTCATTTACAGACACACGTACGTTGAGTGCTACGGGGTGGATTAACAACTGATCGGTTAGGCAAATAAAACTCCCTCGATTTGTACAATTCCTTTATTTCAGTTTCAGTTTCGGTTTGATTTTGGCTTAGGTTTCATCGTAACCCGCAATTATTTCACAAATATCTCAGAAGCCTAAGACGAAAGGTTTTGTGGGACTTAATCTGACATTTCTCCCTTAAACAGAAACAATTTTTGCGGTGGTTCGGGTGGAGATAACATGCAAAAGACACGGCACGAGACGAGCAATACATAAAAACAACAACAAACCAACTGAATTAAAAGCGGTCCAGTATTCTATATATGATCTATATAGATGCGTGTGGACCAGGTGAGTGTGTTTTAGTTAACTAAGAAAAGGACAGGGACAAAAAACTAACCAGGCAGAGGGATAAAAGTACTCTAAGCTCTCAAGCTCATTCGGGTAGCGTTCGAATCTTTTGATCCATGGGTCAACGTCTGTTACTGCTCGGGTGATACTACGCATTGTGGCAACCAAAAAAAAAAAGGCAAACGATACAGGGTGTGAGTGTGACAGTTGTGTGTTTCTGGTGGGTTCACAATTTTTCTATCATCATTCGATTCTACGCAACTATCAACAATTCACAACAGTTCAGAAACTTATAAGCAAACTATAAGGTTTAAGAAGACGAACAAAATATATATGGTTCAAGTTGTGTTTCCAAGGAACTTTTATGGATGGGTTTGCAATCTTAAAGACAGTTTGTATGCAGCATATGCATGGTCTTAAATAATATATTAATAATATTAAGAAAATGTCTCTGCTAGTATAAAAGAATCGGTCTACTTGATAGAAGAGAATTGTAGTCAAAATATTCCGAAACACAACAAAAAATAAATTAAAGAAAGAAAAAGAATATTCAAATTCTACTGAAAGCCTTTTAGAAAATTATCTAAAAATATGTATTCTCTAAGGACGAAGAGCGATAGAGATAGATATTTAGCAGAGAAAGAGTCAGAAGGAGAGATAGATGGAGTGAGACAGCATGAGTGAGAGACAAAGCAAGAGATAGGCAGAAATCAAAGAAAGAACGAAAAATATAACCAAGAGGAATAGATCTTGCAAAATTTTGTTTCTTTGTATTCATAACTAAATATTTAACTTTCATTCTTTTGGTTTTTTTTTTTAAGTAGAAGAAAACATAAGCTTTGTTGTAATTTTCACTAGTATTACAAAAAGAGAAGAGACTTGTTGCTGTATTTTATTTTTGCTGTTGGTTCTTGTGGTTGTTTTATATATTTTTGTGATTGTTGGTTGTTCAGATGCTCGACTTACGATAGTCAGCATCATTATTCTCCAAGTAGATCAGAGTTATCTGCTCCATATCGGGTAACTCCACCCTGTAGATAATCTCGCCTGAGCAGTGATTAGTCGATAGCGAGGATAGCGCAGATTTAGAAGAATTTAGTAGTTGGTTGTTGTCGCAGTTCGTGAGCGCATGGTTATAACAAATATATATTGTATACATATAGAGATATATATCGTTTGGTTGTTGATTGGATTTTAATCAGTTTGTTTGGTTGGTTGGTTGTTGAGAAGTTAAATATTTATATATAGAGCGATTTATTGATATGTGTAATATGGGATTGTGTGTATTTAGAACAAGAGAAAATTTCGTGAGTTAAACAGAGGTTTACAAAGAACAAATCAGGGATGTGTATTTCGGTGTGGTTCCATCATAGATATATAGTTTATATATATTTCAGAAACAGAGAGAGATGGAGTGACGTTGCGTTTGCGTTACGCATAGTTATAAATCGGTAGTAGATATAGTAGCAGACATAGTAGTAGAATAGTAGTAGATTCGAACGGTAGTAGTTGTTGTTGTCGTTGTTGTTGAAGTAGTTGTTGTTGTTGGTTGGTAGTAGTTGAGTAGTAGGCAAACAACACAAGAATTCAAAGTAGTTCACAGACACAGGGGTTAAATGTAATAGAAGAACAAAAATACCAAAGGATTAACAACAAATCGAAATCGAAATCACCTTTTATTCATGTCTTGTACTGTCTGTCTGTGGCTGATTGAGAACTTAAAAATGGAACTTGAAAAGGAGAATGGGGGAGTTTGGCTGAGTTCCACCCTGTGTGTGAGTATGGATTTTTCGTGTGCATCCCGAGCTTAGAATTGTCCTAGAAAAACTTTCTTTCGGTTGGCTGTGGTGTATCTGTATGATCTGTATGATCTGTTCTGTATTCACACCAAGTACGCCATTCCAGTTACATCTATATGTACATTATATATCGCATCGAGTGTGGCAACATTGAAACACGACGTGATACAAGCGGATAAAAAAGGAACAGTGAGTTGAGATCGAAATGGTATTGTTCTTGTTCTGTCTGCAATGTCCGTTTTTACTCAATGTTATGTGAGCAACCAGTGGATCCAAAGTTTTAACTTAAAAAAAGAACACAAAAACCTAAAATACAGAGACCTTGTCCTTGAAAGATCATAGCTGGATGTTAAGGAGATTTTATGTACGGATTTCCTGTACAGCCTTTTGTGTAGGTGGTAGTATCTATTCCTATATTCTATGCAAATCTGATGTACATCTGATTTTACATTTTTTTAAATTCCTTTATACATTTAGTGTACATTTAATGGACATTTACATGCATATGATAAGAGTTCTTTCGAAAGTTACATTTGGACGACCCAAATATTTCCGCAACTTTTGCGGAGCGGTTAGGTATATAGAAATTAGAGGCTATTTATGTATATTTGGAGAGTCTTGACATGTATTTATAGCGATAGAGAGTGATGTACGAGTAGAAATCGCAGATACTTGTGATGTACAAATGTATAGATGAAAATAAAAAGCACTGAGAACCGAAAATGCTTACGGAACCAACAAAAAATCAAATTACAATTGATCACGTGTGATGTTTGATGTATGCATGTATGTAAATAAGTATGTTATGTATGTATATATGCAGGTAAGTGGTTAATCGTATGTGTTTCTGCTGTGACTGTGTTAGTTCTTACAGCAAATGCATTTCTCTGTATGTAAATCGAAAGTTAGCACTTGGTTAAATGTTATGTTAAGTCTTTTTTATGTTCAGTGAATATACTCAGATATATAATTAGATAGTTATGTATAAGTTGATAACGATATGTATATGTTGGTAAATTCTTCTGATCGAGTACATACCTCCTTCAGCATTGGCATCGTCTTGTGTGTAGCAAAGCATAAAGGCTAGAAAAACGAAACGAAACGAGAAACCGAAAGGGAAGAGAAAAGAGAGAAACAGAAGAGAAGAAATCGAAAGAGATATGTTTTGGTCAGTTTAAAACAGAATAGCGGTGGAAATCGGTTCATTTGGGTAGACACAACATTAAATATTATTATAATTGGTTATAATTGTGATCTTAGATGGTTCTTGTTTGTACCTAGCTACCGTCAACGTATCGTCAAAAACTAAATACTCGAATTTTGTGTTCTTTTATAAACAGGGGTTCAGATAATATAAAAATATGTATATAATTAAATAACAAAAAGTGAAATTATGGTAGCTGGTAGGTAACTTTGATGCAAGGACCATTTAAGATTTTTGCAGATTAGATAAACCATCCTTTTATTTCTGTTTGTATTATAGTTAAAACAAGATGGCAAGTAGACAAAGGTTGTTGCCGGTTTTCATTTAACTGTTTAAAATCGTTGTGATGTAGATAATGAAAGCAGCTGGACACAAAGTTTTTAGTTTTGATTTTTGAAAGAAAGAAGAGCGATAAGAAGATAAATGTACTGTCAGTAGAGAGTAGCGGGGAGAAAAGCTTTTAAAATGAACGAAATCAAGTTGGTTTCATCTCGATGGGGCTGGTGATGATGTATCATATGATGTACATTGATGTAGAACGTGCAACTCTGCCGCTGAAGAACGCTCTTCGGATACAGATACTTTTTTTTAGCTTAATCCAAGACTATATACACGATGATGGCCATGAGCTATAGAACTCCCCGCGAGGACTAACGGTTAGTAAGATCGTGTGGCTATAGCTTACTGTCTAAAATGTGTATGTGTGTGTTCGTTTACAGGTGTTTTGTGTGATTGTTAACCAAGACTAGACCATCTGAGAAGCCCTAACACCTTGATACATTTACAAGCGGATAGATCTTGATATATATACCGCCGATTTCGGCTCCGTTCGGAAACATTTCCACTTGATATCGTCGGCACTTACGTTGCGGTTCGTTCGCTTGGTTGTTGTTGACATTATTGATGTCAATTTCGCTGGTGCTGCTCACAACTCCATTGGCTAAACATATAGTTCGGGATCGGGGCACACACAAGATAATACGACATCCAAGCACATCGAATGGGACAGGAAATGTGTGAGCATGTGTGATGTATCAGTGTGGTTGATTCGTCGTTTCATCGATGGGATGGATTCAATCGTTCCATCCAAGAGTTGGTGAATGTGGTAGAATGAGTGTTTGGACATCACGGGTTTCGGTGGGGGAAAACATATGGAAATAAACAGAAATGTAAATCATATAAAATGCATAACAAAACAAAAACAAAAATATTGAAACGGTGGGTAAAACATGTTAACCAAAAACAAAAAACGAAACTTTTATTTCATTTCTTTTTAGCAATTGAAAAACATCAACTCAGGACAGGACAAATAATATATAACAAATGGAAGGTGAGCAAGGTTAAGCTTCTGATGACTATTCTTAACAAATATTAACTGTATGTAAATTATGTTTTGATCCTTTCATGCCCACAATTGACTTAATTAAACAAAAAAAAAGTGAAAAGGGTATAATGAGAAGTTCTCTGACACATACAATTGGGGTAGTTAAACATACTTTAAAAACATAGACATATATTATTAAGGCATGAAAGGCTTAACTAAGAACAATCACCATTGGCAAAAAAAAAAAACTTGAAAAGGACGTCGACAGTGAGGTATTGTGCAAATTTGGTGCTCTTCGCGAAAGATGTCTCAACATTTATATATTCTTATCGTAGTTAAAACAAGCACACTCTTAAGTCAATCGAACAACCGCCCAAAAGCACACACGCACATCATCCAGTCAAAGATTCAGTAGAGAAAGCGACAGAGGGAAAGTCTTTGAGCCTTAAGTTTATAACTAAACCAAAAACGCCTTGAGCTTGAGTTGCTTGATGTTCTCCCATTATTGGCCATCTCCGGGAAAGAGCGAACGATCGAGACTGTGACAGAGACGGACTGCTGGCTTCCCTTGGACTTGGTCTACTTACGCTCTTGGTCGCTGCCATCTTCATTCTTCTCATCGCGACTCTTCATAAACGGAAATTTGCGCGAGAATGTGAAATTCTTTTTCTTGCGGTCCAATGTCGATTGCTGAAAGAAGAATTAATATAAGTTTAGTAAGAAATCTAATCGCAAGATAAAGATTTAATTTTACACAATTAAGACAATTCCTCATAAATGAATGTTTTTAACCTTATTTCTTGAATCCCACTTACCTTATCCAGATTATTATTAGCTGCCGCATGCCCCTGGAACTTGACACTGCGATCCCGAGCTCGCATCTTGCGCTCCCAGCGCCTCTTCGACGGCACAATGCCGATCTGCTCGTCCTCATTGTCGCCCAGGACTCGTCGCGCCTGCCACCACTCGTCGTCGGAGGCGTTGGTCACGTGCAGGATATCGCCGTGCTTGAAGGGCAATCCTCGCGAGGGCAGTCCATCGTCCCGATTGGGATCGTAGTCGAACAGGGCCCGCACATACAGCGATCGCTTCTGTGTGGTCCGCAGCAGGGTTCCCGATCCTCCGGCGCCGAGGGCAGCCTGTTGTTTTAACTCTTGGATGCGTGCCTCGAAGCGGTTGTACTCCTCCGGACGGTACTGCGCCAACAGGGTCACCACTCCGCCGGAAGTCTGCAATAATAATAATAATTGAATAACATTAAGTCATTTTGCTAAGTTTTGGATTTAAAAAAGCCCATTTTCAAATGAAAATAACGCGAAATAATAAGATTAAGTCCATTCCCTCCTCCTAATTCAATATGTATTTTATAGACTCACTTTGAGCGCCTGGGCCGCCTCCTCGTGGGTGGCGTGCGTGAGGTTGACATTGTTCACGCTGAGCAGCTGGTCGCCGCGCTTCAGCTCGGAGCCGAGATCTGCAGGACCGCCGGCTAGGATGAAGGACACGTAGATGCCCTGGCCATCCTCGCCGCCAACGATATTGAAGCCCAGGCCCTGCGGTCCCTTCTGGATGGTGATCGTGCGCGGTTCCCTGCGGAAATAAGACTTTGTTATACCCAAGACACACTGAGAAGTGATATGGACACTCACCTGGTTATATCCTCGGTGCTAACGGCGCGCGGAGTTCCTGGCGGAACGGCGGCTAGGACATTTGTGGAGGCGTATCGCGAACCGGGCTCTAGTTTGTTATCAGAAATTTGTGATTTTTGTTTAGGTTTATCGGTCGTTTTTTGTTGCACATTGAATGAGAATAATTATTGAGACATGACATAGATAGATAGACAGATAGATAAAGAGGGAGACAGAGACAGAGAGAGAGAGAGAGATAGAGCGGTTAATAATGCTTTGAGAAATATAATGATCTCTTGCAGATTCAGCGCGTCCAGAAGAGTCCAGACAGAGACAGACAAACGCAAAAGGGACAGAGACAGCAGGCATCGCCGAGAAAGAGAAACAAACTGGTTAAAGAAAAAGACAGCGACAAAAACTAAGGCCAACGGAAACGGAAACGGAAGACAACTGAACGGAAACTGAAGATTGCATTTGATTTCCCCCCACAACACAAACACACACTATACACAGGCATACACGATTCCAGGCACACCAATAACGCTTATTAACACCTTAATATACAGCACAACAAATCAACAGAGATCAGGGGATCAGATAGTATGGTCTGATCCAGAACACAACTCTAGAGGGCGGGATGTTCAAATCAACAGCATGGCGGTGAGGAATCTACGGGGAAGGCGGGAGCAGCTTTCAGCGTGTGAAAATGAGAGTGATCTCTTCTAGCCTCAAATTACTTGGCACAGCAGCAATAGCATTAATTAGGACACATATTTTGCCGCAAAAGGAAGGAAATATTGGAAGGAAAATATAAACGGAAGGAATATTTGTGTGGCAGGATAAAAGGATTCGATTTGGTCTCGTAATTAAACCTGACTCAAGTGCCTTTACTTAAGGAGATGCCATAAACGCACTCGAGCAGGTCAAAAACATACACAAAATAGTAATAATGCAAACAATACTAATACAGAAATCAATTGGATATTAAATTAACAGAGAAAAAATTAATAAAATATGGTTAAATATGATATAATTTTCAGCTATTGCATTTGGTTTCATGAGAGATTGATTTTGAGCAGGATTGAAAATAAATGCAAGAAACTAAACTAAGAAAACAGAAAAGTATGGTTACATAGAAATAAATAGAAATAATAATAGAAGTATAAAAGAATATGAACAAACAACCATGATGGCTAATTAAATAAAAGTAAACTTAAAACAATTAGAGAAAAAATATTGTGTTAAATAATAAAGTACAGAAGAAAAGAAAGGAAACAAAGTCGAATGATGGAGCCCAGCGCAAGTGCATTTATTCGAGGAGATCGCAGGACCTCCGATAAACACCCTCGACCGGGACATTGATGAGCGTATATTAATTACAACAGAAGATCGGTTAAATAATAAACAAATCAATCGCTTACGGCGCGGCTGGGGTGATTGGGATCGGTTGTTTGTTTGATTGGATTCGACAGGCAGGGCGGGCATGGAAGCATTGTTATAGAAGGTGGCGGGTGGAGTGGCTGCTGCTGCTGCTGCTACTGTTGGTGTTGCTGCTGCAACTGCAACAGTTGCCGTCGTGCTGCTGCTATTGTTGTTGTTGATGTTATTGCTGTTGTTGATGCTATTGATGTTATTGCTATTGCTGTTGCTGTTGCTATTGCTAATGCTAAGCGACGGCGGCAACTTGCTGCTACTGTTGGTGGCTGTGGCCGTGACTGTGGTGACTGTGGTGTTGCTGATTGTGGTGTTGCTTGCAATGACTGATGCAGATGCAGATGCGATTGCTGCTGCTGCTGCTTGTGGTGTTGGTGGTGAATCGACAACCGTCTGTCCCACACTGTTTAGCGCACCTGTCGACTGCGAATTGACCATCGGCGTCTGATGCTGCTGCTGGTGCACCTGACTTTGGCTCTGGCTGGTGGCCAACTGCGACTGCGACTGGGACAACTGCTGTCCGGGTGTGAGTCCTCCTCCTCCGCCGGACGCACTGGTGGTCAGGTGCTGCGTCTTCCCGATGATCAGCGTCACCTTGTCGGTGATAGACTTCAGCGTGGCCACCGCCAGTTCGTGCGTTACGTTCTCCAGGTTCTTTTCGCTCTGTCGGGATATAACAAAATCAAATTAGATGCGGTGGAATCCATAGTCGAAAGTACCGACTCTGTTTTGCCAGGTAAATGTATGGTTATTTGTTTTATATTAATACGATTATATAGCTTAAGTAATATAGAAATATTAAATCATGAATAAAACTTTGCCTAATGATTATTAAATATTATAACTCTCTAAGGAAAAAAGGTTTCCAAAAGGAAAAAAATTATTTTACACTTTCTTGCTTTCATATAGCTAATAAATTCAAAGATATAAGTATTCCAGAATACAGAAAATTAATCATATTTCACAAGATAATAATTTGATCTCGCTTACTATATAAGTTACTAATTAGTAAAGCTCTAAACATAGCTTGTTTTTAACAGAAAACAATATGAAATAATTCCTGCGATAATAGCATTTATCATAAAAACGGACCGACCTGGAACTCTATAATTTTTGAACCTATTATATAACTCAACAAATACAAAATACCGCTCATGAATTACTGTAATTACACCCACCCCGTTGGTGCGGACTGCAATCAGCTTATCCCCAATGGAGAGACGTCCGTCCACCTGCGCTGCTCCGCCGTCCATCAGCTTGGTCACATAGATGCCATTATCGCCGGGGATGTGCTGGTTGCCAATGCCGCCGGCGATGGAGAAGCCCAGTCCCTTGCCGCCCTTGACCAGATCGATTTCGATGACCTTCGGCCCGCCGGCCGCATCCCGGGCATCTCCAGCTGCCGATCCGGCTGCTGGTGTGGTGGCCGTTCCACGTTTCCGCTTCACATGCAGCTTGACCACGTTGCCGGCCTTCTTCAGGGCATCCACGGCGGAGGCATGTGGCACATCCACCACAGACACCTCGTTCACGGATACGATGATGTCGTTGATGCTCAGCCGTCCATCGGCGGCAGCTGCTCCGCCGGAGATGAGCTTGGTGATGTAGATGGAGGTGTCGGTGCCGATGTGCGGATTATCCGTACCGCCGGCAATGGAGAAGCCCAATCCGGAGTTGCCGCGCTCCAGCTGAATGTCCTCGTATAACCAGCTATCATCGCCATTCACCTGGAGAGGATTGAATATCTTTAGTTTGGTTCATAAGTAGTTCGGGGGTAGGAATATAATTACACAAGGGCCACAACGTTGGACTAATAATGGGTGTGTGTAAGTGTTTTAGTGTTTCATAATGTGAAAATGTAATGAGATGTGTTTTTATGTGTAAAATGGGTTCTGTTTTCAGATTTAATTAGTATTCAAAAATGTAAAATATATTTACAACAAATACATTTCTTTGATACCTAACATTTTGATAATTTCGCATTTGCATTCTATAAATTAATGGAATAATTAAAAGTGATTGTTAATTAAATTATATATTATTATCAATATAATCTTAACCATGTCTGTTTTATTTAAGATTATACAATTATATAATAATATATTCATCCAATTTAATTTTCTATTTTATTAATAGCAATACAAATGTAATTGTTAATACTGTAATGTGTCTTCATAAGTTCACTTTCTTTTTAAATAATGTAGTTGATTGTTAGAAAATATCCCAATATACGCCCTGAAATATAATTTAAGAGCTGTAAATGACCAGATGCGAATATGACCTTCTCAGCTTTTCAGTGATTTGTGATGTCATAGCATGGATAATTCAGTTAGGCGGCGAATACATAAAACAACATGAACAAAGACGAACACACGGCGATCACACGAAAAAATGCAAATGCAGTTAAAACGAAGACAAACAACGTTGATTATTGCCTGTTTCCATTCTCGATTTCTATTACATTTTGGTAAAATAAAAATGAAATCTTAAAACAGTATTTTTTAGAAAATTGTAATATATATAAAACATTAAAATCTTTTAAGACGTTAGCATGACATTATTTGATATTAATAGCAAAGAGAAAACATTTAATTTATAATAATATAAAATCCGAAAAGGTCAAAAAACTCATAAGTTCAAATTTAAAACCAACATAAATCTTTCTTTAATTTGAAATTTGGATGTGAAAAATAAAATAAGATTATTTACAATGATTTTAGGTAGTATTTAAAATGTTTTATTAAAACATTTCAAAATAAAGTAGATATCGACAATGGCAACAGGATGGATTATAAACTTTTCTGGTTTCGGATCCAGCGGGTGGCTTACCTTTGCCGACGACGCCTTATGGAGCTGTAGAAGGTGATGAAAGTGAAAGAGGAAAGTTTAGAGAGGATCCGATCTATTCGGTGACTAATAAATATACATTAACCCCCGAAAGCCCCCAGGCCGCACCCTCGCCGGAGATGGAAAATCGTGTCAATGGCGACTTTTGAAATATCTTGAATTATCTGGGCCGTAGCCAAAACTCTCGTTGCAATTAACAGGCGACCAAAAAATGAAAAACCAACAACAGTGCGCTAAAAATGGCAACAAAAACAACAGCTTGCACAACTCGCTGCGATCTTGGAGGGTTAAGGGGTGGGGGTTGACGGGTTATGGCATCGTTAAACGAGTTCAATTGATTAGCAGCCCAGTGTAAATGAATTCATCAAGCGGCGACGACAGCAACATTAACCCTAAGAAACTGGGTGCAGTGCAAAGTGGGCGCTGCTCTCCCTCTCTGTTAACCCCCCAGTGCCCCCATATCGGTAGCTCTAGTCTAGCGAAAAATTGCCAATTAACCCTGGGAGTGGGTCAAGTCAAGTATACGCCTAGGGAACTTAAGAAGGCGGGCTAAAAATATTAACATGCTCTGTGGGTTAATCGCTGGAGGATACTCAGTGGTGGGACTACAGTGGTGAGTCGCTAAATGGGAGGTTTTCTGCTCTAGGATATTTTTGTACTACCGTTCAGGTCTCGTAATTGAGCATAGAATTTATAAGAACTTTAATAAATTAAATCTTAACAGATGTTTATTATTTATTTAAGAAACAACCAATAAGAAACTTTCAATTCTAATTGTTGATCTGCAATTTTTTAGCAGACTTGCTATAGAACTATTTCCAGTTTCATCTGTTACTCATTACCCATTGGAAATCAAAGAGCACGAGCAAGGCAACTTCTTGGAAAATGAACGCTACGCTTCCAATTGTATTTTAATCTTGTAATTACAAGAACGACGTGCTACTTCCATAAGGTCCCATTAGCGACCCAACACTGTACATGGCACTTAGGCTAACAGGTTCGTGCCGCTTTGGCTTCCGCTGACAACTCTGGTTACACTTTTTTCCAACCCAAAAAGAATTATAAAAAGAAGAAAAATTACATCATAAAGTTAACAATCGGAACTCACTTAATAGGAGCGGGCGTGTTTCGGAGGTAATGGGGTAAAAGTGGAAGGGGTGTTGGGACAAACACAAGACTTTGAGCCAACTAAACCCCAAGCAAAAACAAAAAATGTGAAAAAACCACAACAACAGCACGCTATATTAACGGGGCCAACGAGCTACAATCGGTTTTTTTCTGCTTCTGCTTTTTTTTTCGTATGCCTTGTTTTTTTTGTAAAGTTGCACACCCTTGAAATTAGTAGCTGGCACTAAACCCAAATCATATCATATATAGAGCGCTTATCTTATCTATGATAAACATATGCTTGGGGGCCACAAGCACAATAAAAATGCGGAAAACCGAACCACAGACGATAAAATTCTTAAGCTTTTGTAAGAAAGTCGGAATTCCAATGCACATTAGAGATTGTCGTAGAGTGAATTGAGATGCTATATATAATAACAATTACAAACCCTCAAATCAAACGAGTCATTAATATATACTCTATTTCAAGTACTTTTTAGATTACACGCTTTGCATGCAAATCGGGAATTGAAATTTAATACGCAATGCACTAGTGTAAATTTGTAAACAATGGCTGTGTTCAACAGATACAAATTATCTTTTCTAGGTTGTGAAACTCATGGGCAAAATTGGTTGGCTAAGTGATTTCAAAAACATGAAAATAAAAAAGAACTGTCACCGAAATATTTTTATTTGTTCATCCCAAAATCGTTGAAAATGCTTTCCATACAACAGCTTGTTTATATAATGAACATATAGAATAGAAAAACCAAAGACCCAATTATCCAAGATAAACAAATATGACTCATAGGAAAATTGCGTGAATAAGGAATTGTCCCAACATAAACACCCTATATACTATATAACATATTATTAATAATCCATAGATGAGCAGGGCCAATGAGAAATTTGAATGCGTCAAGCTGCGTTGCACTTCATTGATCAAATCAAATACGAAAATGTTGGCATTTTGCCAAGGGGTTTACTATATGAGATCGGACGTACGAAACGGGACGTGACGATGATCGTAGTCGAAACACCTGCGAGAAACGAAACCGAAACGGAAACCCAAAGCCATTATTCCATTATTCCGACCCAGAGGGGGTGGGAAGTACTAAAATTATGGTTCAATATGTAAACTTGTCCTTCGGATTCGGATTTGTTGTTGCCACTGCCGACTGACGCGTGATTTGTTTATAAGTTTTTTGAAAAGCGGACTGGTGTGATATACTGAATCCACAAAGTTAATTGCCTTGTGTCTTAAAGTGGATATTGGTTTAGATAAATTAGATTTTTATATGTAGGTCATAAGCAAAAGATAGCAATTGAGATTTATGACTAACTTGTGTTTTATAAATTTGTTATCTATCTATCAAACGTAGTAATACCTTACTCTTTTATAAAACCTACTATTTGGATGCTTTTAAGTGTCATTACTTTCCCATGTAGCTGACGTCCACTGTAAATTCCTTTGTTTTGTGGGTGGCAGAAGACTTAAAATTAAAACTATTTCTGGCAAAAAACGAGCGAGATGGAAGATCGAATTGGGGACAACGACAACAAGTGCAGTGGCTACGCCTGCGCTGAATATTAAGGGCACCAGCAACAACAACAAGAACAACAGTAGTAGAAGAAGCGAAAACAATAACAAATCCAACAAAAGAAGAACCGTTGGCCGAGCATTAGAAAGAGATGGTGAGAGTCTTTCTAATATTTTTTTTCGCTGCGAACGCAATGCAAAGACGCTAAAACGATGACAACGCACCCAATTGTGTGAGTGTGAATGTGCGCACAGTGGCGAGCAAAAAGGTATAAGCATTTGTTTTCCAAATAAACTAAAACCCAAGAAAACTACCTGAAATTCTTATTGACTAATAATAATCAAAAAACTATTTTAAGTTCATTTCTTATTGACTGAATAAGAAAATGTCAATATACGTAACGTCTTTTAATGGGAAGTTCCTATTGTTACTTCTTAAAATTGGTTTTATTTAAATTTTTTTTTAAATAAATTAGCTTTTTTTTAATATCTCGCTATAAATATCGAATAAAAAGGTTTAAATTATTTAAAACAGACAATCTTAGCTTTTTAAAGCTAACAAGTTATAGTTTGCAAGCTTCAGGGTAAGTTTACTGGTAATACTTCACGAGGTAAACAAAGCCCCTTACGTGTGTAAACAAATATATAAATGTTTTAGTTGGCCGTAACTAAACAACCTTTTTGAGAACTTGTATAAACAAATGCTTCTGCCATAAAACGAAATGCACTTCAATGCACTTTAAACAGGAAGTAATAGAAGTAATATTGGTATTATAATTTTGCCCGCAGCTGTTCGCACACTTGTATATTGCTTTTGAATCGAGGAAAATCGGCTAGCTTTCAGTCCGTCTGCGAATTTGATTTAAAAATAAACCATGGAATCATCGCGCACTATATAGATCGCTGATGCCAAGCTTTTCCACCAGATATTGTTGGCTATATAAAGCCAATGGATATGGATAATGGATAAAGATCCGATTTTTACCGAATCCAGATTGAAGAGCGACGAAACTTTCTTGATAAATCCGCCGCCGCTGCCGCCGCCGTCGCGCTTCTTTTTCCGTGTTGTCATCGCTGTAGTTTTTGTTTAATTATTTATATATCTCAATTTTATATACTTTTATGGCAGTTCAAGGGTTAACGTTTCAGCCACACAAACACCAACACACGGACAAAAGCCGGCGCTGCTGCTTCTTCTTCACTCCGTTTCGTTACTATTTTACTTTAGCTTTTATTTGCTGCCTCTGGTTATCCAACTTTTTGCACTAGATAAACAAAAATGCACACATTTCGAACGGTTAGCGGTTTACTTTTTATATATTATATTTAAATCGCACGCACGGGCGTGTTGTTTGTGTTTTAGCGATCGGGAAACTAAACTAAAAAAAGAGGCCGCTGCCGCAACAACAAACACAAAAAATAACACAGTGCGAGAGAGGGAGAGAGCGATTTTTTTTTCGGTATACCGACGAAAATTCTCTCTCTCTCTCCTTGTTTTGTTGGCATTTTTCCCCCTCCGTTCCGATCGATAGGCGGCCTATCGATATCGACACACTCCAGTTATGTACATAACTGCCGACGGAAATAACTGTACACTGACTCACGCAAATAGAAATGATTGTGTTTTGCAATTCACATTTCCAGATTCCGACACAAAAAACAAACAAAAAAATAACGAGAGAGGCGGCGGAAAACCGAACGCGACGAAAACAACACACCCAACTAATCTAATAGCGCTGCAAAAAAATCGATAGCGACGCCTATCGGAGATGTGACCGTTTAATGATCTTCGTCTTATACCAAAAAATACTAGATTATAAACAGAGCCTTTTTAAATTTAATTAATTTTTTTAAGCAATTTAGATTAATAAAATTTAAAATTTTTTTGGGGCAGTAAGATTTTAACAAATATATCTAATTGCCTGCGATCAGTAAAACACCCTGAGAGAGGGTTTGTTTCTGAATACGGTTTGAGTCACTGCTAACTTGATTCGTTATAATTTAAATAGTAATATTTAAATTGTATAAAAAATCCACCCAACAGTTAACGAAAAAGCCCAAATGTTAATCCTAGTTTAAAAAAATATTTTTTGAATATTCATTGTATTCAATAGTCCCACAAAAATAGTAAGAATAGTTGTCAACCCATGTAAGTCATTAAACATGAAACCAATGTTATGAATTTTCATGTTGATATGTCAAAATATATATTATCATTATTCCCATTTATCACTTGTTTCGTATTGCAAAGTCTAAAAAAAACTAAAATTAAAAATAAAAATCAATACAAACCATAAATCATCAATGCAATAAAAACAAACAATCATGTCAAATAAAAAGCGCAAAAATGTATATATATATTTTTTTTTTATGTTTCACATGGTAAGTTTCTTAAATTAAAATCAATTTTTTATTTGGCAACTAAAAACATTAACATAACCAAATCATGCATAAAACTTAGGCTTAAATTACAAATAAATGTGACCAAATTGGCTTTATTACAAGGTTTTTTATTCGCTGTCAAACACAAATCAAAATTCATTTGGAAGATAGCATAAACGTTACGGAATCATGCACTAAATCCTTAGTATAAACAACGTAAGCTTTAATATAAAGAAAATGTGTTACGCCTGTTGGCAATTTTCCCGCTTTCCGTTATATTTTCTTTCTGGCCAGGTTAGCTACAACGAGCAACAACAACGCACCGGAAACGGAAATGGGCGACGCTTGGCCCACAAAAACGAGGAGGCCGAGCGCCTTAAGCGTCTTAAGTAAGTAACGATTCGTTAAAAAGGCAGCAAAATGGGGGAAAAAAGGCGGATAAATGGAGGGGGCGGCAAGGTATAAAACAGGCGTGCTCCCAATTGCACTGGCTTTTCCATTTGCGATTTAAAATTGTGGGCGGTCTAGTCTTCCTTACTAAATGAATAATTGAGCTAAAAATGCGGTTGCATTGTAGAACTGCAACTCAAAGAATGGTATTGAACAAAACATTACATCATATTTGTTCTCTGAATTTCAAAAGAATTTAATACATTTGTAACAATAAAACTGGTGGAATTGTATAGCTATAAAATAGTGAGGATAATTGGGTATAGAATAAAAATTCTGTAATTTATAAAATAAAATTTAAAATTTCAAGGTTAGTCAGTTCTTAAGATCGCTTTGCTCATTTAAAATCTCTAAGTTAAGTTCTAATGTTCTAAAGATCTACTTTATAAAAAATCGTGAATATAAATTTGATAAATACAATTTTTTTATATCACATTTTTGCTGATTAACAGAACCGATTTTAATTAATTAAATAGTTATCGTTATTGGCTTGTTAATTTGTTCGTGAAACCGCCAAACGAAGTGCAAATGGGAGCAGCCTTGAAAACTACAAACTAATGAATTCTTCGAGCAGGGGGCTAATTACACAGCCAGCTGCTTCCACTTCCTCGGAATGTTCTTGAGCTGGTTGTTCTGCCCTCGAGGACTTTTCCCCGCCGGAAAATGGGTGGAAAATTTAGGTTGACTCGAAAGCACGCTTTAGCTTTTTAGCTTGATTGCCGCTGTTAAGGCGAAGTTGGTAATGGTGTTGGTATTGATGTTGGTATTGGTGTTGGTGTTGATGTTGGCTTTGATGTTGATTTTGATGTTGATGGAGGCTTACGAGGATTCGCTTGCGTTGCTGTGCGTGTTGGTGTTGGTGTATCTGTGTGAGTGACTCTATCTGTATCTGTGATTTCTGCTATGGGTTTTTAGCTAAAGCCGTTGGCACAAATGATTAAATTGCAGCAACTTACAGTCTGCGACCCGCTCCTTGACTTGGATCCCTGCGACTGCGATTGCTGCTGCTGCTGCTGCGGATTCTGCTGCAGCTGCTGCGGGGAGCGGGAACTGCGCTGCTGCTGCTGCTGCTGCTGCTGCTGCTGCTCGGCCGACGGCTCCTTCGCATTTTCCGTATCCGACTCGATGCGCATGCGCTGATTCTGCGAAAGAAAATCAAACGAAAGGCGATCAGGATCAAGATCATACAAAGTACTGAAATTCAACTTGAATTATTCGCTTTTCAAGCCATGTAGGCATTGAGTAAAATTTATATTAATAATAATATAAATATTAAAGAAATAGGTATTGAGAGAATTTAGGTCATAATCCCAATTTATTTAGAAGCTTCATTTTCCCCAATTGATCCCTATTTAAAAGGAGGATATTTTTGCCCTTTTACCACTTACATCGTCTCACCCATTAAAACCACATACATTGACATATGATATATAATGTTAACAAAATTAATGTCCCCCATAATATCAATAGAATTATTGCTTATCCCCAATTGATCCCCATTTATGAGGAGTATCCTTTGGTGAAAGGACACCACTTACATTGGCACAACAGCAGGCATACCGCGAACCGCCCCCGCCCCCCGATTCCTTGTCCTTGTCCCTTTCTTTATCCTTTTTCTGGCGATCCCTGGATTGGTGTTGCTCCTGTTGATGTTGCTGTTGTTGTTGTTGTTGCGGAGGCGGAGCGGTCAGTTGGCGTCGACGGCGACGCATCCGCACTGGAGATCGCGCACCAACATAATTGGAAAAGCGACGCCGCGAATGCCGCACTATCGACACCCAGTCAATCATTTCTCACAGTGCAGTGCCTGGTTTCCCAAGCGATTTTTACCAATTTATATTGTTTAAATAAAATAAAGCTCTCGTGTTATTTTAATCGGTGGGATAATATGTTCCCTTTGATTGTGTTTGAGTTTTTCACTTTGTGCGCTTCATTTTCGCTTAAAAATATTTGAAATAGTTAGAAAACTAGTATTTTTCACACCAAAATGGTTCCACAATTCGGTTACCTTAGGTAAATTTATTTATAATTGGGCTCTTTTATTCAATTACACATTAAATTGAAGTAATAAATAGCCTATTATTACAAACACCTGTTTTAATAAAATATCATCATCTTTTGTATGCCTTGCATTAAATTAGAATTTTATAACCGAATTAAATGAGAGGACAACATCAAGAGGATAATGTGATGCCTTATTTTTCCTTTGAAGAGTTGCGATAGCAACAAGTTGGGTGCAAACAGCCGGAAAAGCGGAAAAGCTGGAACGAATGGGATTGAAATCGGCATCCTCCCTGTCTTTGTTTGTTTTTCACCGATTACACACACAAAACCAGATGAAAATCTGTTTGCCATTTCAATTTTTGCTACACACAAAAAAACGAAACATACATATGTACATATATAGTGGATGTTTTTTAAAACCCAGTATTTTGGTTGCCATATAAGAAATAATAGACACAGTTAATTAACCGGAATTAACCGATTCCGGTTGGTAATCGTTTCGAAAAAATACTAAATATTTCTAACGAATTCATTAATCATTTCATTATTTTCTGTGGAGCTTGTTTATTTTTTTTAGCAATGAGAGAAAAATTGATTTGTGATCAGTTTGCCAGAATCAATATTTACGTTCTCAAATTTGTTATTTATGATCTAATATTTTATTTAAACTGAGGACTAAATTCTAATCAAATTTAATTTCCTTGTTTAGATTACTTTTTATTTAATTATATCTTCATTAATAAATTTAATTAACATTGACATTTACTGATATTTTGATGTTCGGGAATTTCCATTTATTTATCTTTGAGAATTTTATAGTGATATTTGTCATGACTTTTAGAATGATTTTATATTTTATGTTTAAAAATGATTAAAATTGGATGCCAGTTTGACTTTTGAATTACTACTGTTTTCATTGCTTTCTCACAGAAAGTTCGTATGGCGTCAGATTTGAATTAAGTGTGTGGCAAGGTCCGAAATCAGAATGCCAAATACTTTTTGTTTACAGCCGGAGTGGAGAAACATGTGTTCTTATGAGCGGATGTTCTAAATTCGAAAGATTTTCGTTGCTGTAGACGAAATTAGCAGCGGAAAATCAAAATCCAAACGCTATTTGGCATGAAAGAATAGTCTGAAAAAGCAAACGGTGCGAGCTGCCAAAATAAATAGATTGATATATTGCTCGTCTCGTTTATGTTGCTTTTCTTGTTGCTTTAACGATGTTTTCCAATGCCAGACGGCCATGAATGAAAAACACAACAAAAGGCAGAGAAAAAAAACGAGGGAAATGGGAAAACAACGAGGAAACTGAGAGAACTAAGTAAGTGAACGAAATAGAAAACCATTTAAAGTTTATAAATCAGTGAATTCTTTTAATAAAATATATCAAAAAGTTTTATAAGAACTTTTGCTTAATTACCTCGATTTATTTATTTATGAGAAACTATAACACTTTAAGTGTAACATTTTAAATTACTTTATATTAAAATGGGTTACTTATGCATTCATTTATGTTTATCCATTTAAACACTTTAAATGTTTCATGTTTCATTAGTTTTTTAGCTGAATATTCAACGGCAAATTAATGTCTTTATTAGTTTTCATTAACACTATAATTTAAGAACTAAATAGTTTCATTTAAAGCTAAAGTTTTATGCACATTCTTAGTAATTTCTTACGGAATTTCGCATCATAAACAAACGTGTCAACCATATGCTGTGAATTATCACGATTTCTAACAATTAATTAAAGTAATGGCTCAATTAACTGCTGTGCAGGTTTAATCACTTTTAATTTGCGCCACCTGGTGGTGGATTTAATTGGTGGGCGATTGCTGTGCGGCACGTGGGGCGTATACGTAATATTTGGAAGTCTGCCTGTTGTTCATCCGCCCCGTAGTTCACCTGTCACCTTGTAATGCCTCCAACTTGGTCTTGCCTTGTTTTGTCTTGTTCTCGCAGTTGGTTGCTCATGCGTTTTTTTTTTGTTTTATTATTTGATGTGTACATTCTGTCTTACAATTATGTAAAATGTTTGTTTTTTGGCGCCAAAGGAGATGAGTGATGGACACGCATGTGTCAAAGTCACACAAAAAAAAGGAAAAAAAATTGAAACCGACCAACGACTGATAACAACGCTAAAGAAAGAAATAGAGAAGAAGAACACGCTATGGCTCACACAGAAAAAAAAACAAGGCAATATTTCAATGTTTATATTGAAGTAATATATTGCATATCATAAAAAAGATAGGTAGTAATGTCATTCACAAACTTTAGTTGCTCGATTCACTAGAATGTAATTGAAACGAAGCTAAATTTAATTTTATTCTTTTTACATTTTTCTTTAATAAATTATATTTAAACATACTTGTCCCATACTTTTATTACTTCTCTGATCTCAATTATGCTTTTTTTAATTCGGAAAAATGCAACATATTCCAAATCTTATTATCTTATAATATTAAGCGGAAATGATCGGCAGACAACATAAAGTGGAATTCGATTTCTTAAGTTCTTTACATTTATTATTTTAAAACAATGATTTTTCAAGATTTGTTTTTATATATTTTATTTTGGATTAAAATAAAAACAATTGGTAGAAAATCAACCGAATTGTGGAACCACAAGTGTTTGTGCTTTATTTATTTTTTGTTGTGTCGTTGCACGCTTAACGAGGGTTAAACAGCGTCTGGGGGGTTAAAGGGTATTCCCCGCACCCACGCACACCACTAACACCCAACAAACACACATATTGAAAGGCAGACAGACACGCGCCGCTATGCAAAATTGTTGTACGACTCGACGCGTCAACGGCACGACTGTTACTACCGCCTTTGCCGTTCCGTTTGCCGCTGCCGCTGCCGTTTTTCCTTTGCCGTACACACACCAACCCCCTCCCCTTCCCTTCCCCCACTGAATTACCACTCACCGCCCCCTCTGAATTACCACCCACCACCCCCCAGAGGCATGCCATGCCATGCCATACCACACCACACCAGACCAGACCAGACCAGACCCACGGGTCCGGGGGTCCATGTCCGTTCGCCAAAAACCGAGAGCGTTCGTGTTTTACCGCCTCTGCCGATGCCGCCGCCCCCCGCCCCCTCCACGCCTCTGCCGGCGTCGCTGCCTCGGCCCGGCCAAACAAAAAACAACAAAAACATAAAAACAAAAAAGCTGGCAACAAAATATAGAGAGCGCCAAAGAAATAAGTAATGGGAACCTTGGGCAATCGTTCATTGGTTAGCACTGATAACAAACATTTGTCGGCATGCCGGCAGCATCCTTCAAACCTAAAGACAAATTCTTGCTTGCGCTACAGTGATACCTCGCTTTTGGAAAAATTTTCAATATTTCTTAACCTTACATTTTTTGTGTAAGTATATTCGAATCAAATGAGCTGTCTTTTTAGTTCAATAAAATAAAAATTCTGGTCAAAAACACCCTTTTTTTTTAATTTTTCCATTAAAATATTTTGAATGTAAAGCAGCAATGTAAATTTAAAGTATTTTTAGAAAGAACAAATTTGTTTGGAGGATTTCGTTTCAGGAAAACCAGATAAACGTACTCTGTGGTAAAACTTACCATAACTTTCTTGCATTTGTCTCTGAGTTTTCGGGATTACAAATTTATCATAGCATACTTTTTGAGACCTTTATAAATGATTTCAAAATTCTAGATTTCTGTGGTACCTCCGAGTAAAGATTTCACCATATCCAGAAAAGAGGAAAAAAATTAATATAAATAAATATGCAAGTAATCCAACCCAGGTAACAGAGGTTTACCAACAGTCAGAGCCCACTGTACCTGTCAACAGTTTACCGTTCGTATACCGTCTATACTATCGCTTACCGTTTGCCGATTTCTGACGTACCGTTTCGCTATTTCGCCGTTCCGATGAACGTTCTACGGTTCCACGATTTCACGATTTCTGAATTTCACGACTCGACGACTCGACGACTTGACGACCCTCCGATTTTTAGTACGCATGTCCCAGGCGACAAACAACAAAAAGCAACAAAAAAGCGGGCGCGAAAGGACAACAAACAAAGTAAATTGCTAAGCGGCAGCGGGTGCAAGTGAGATGGCAGCAGTGGGTGCAAGCAGGACGGCAGGAGAAAGCGAAAGGTTGGAAATCTGAGCCTTTGTGTCTGCTCCTGTTTTTTTTTTTTTAATGTGTAGGTATAGTATAGTATAGTATAGCGACATCAATCACCTCGAACCGGAACCAAAAATATTCGACATTGGGTTACTCTTCAAGTTCATAAAAAATATATTGAGAATATTAAAAATATTAAGATATTAATCCTATCATTAGTATTAATAGCGTAACTTTGAAAGTTATATTGATGGTAGTTACTAAAAAAAATTTATAATTTTTTTTTTTTTATATGAACATTTTTATGTTGTGGTTATATTTTTTTCAAAAAGTTTAAGTTTCTCAGATGTTCAGAATACTTTTATCAACAAAGAGCTTCAGGCACTTCTGTACTAATCTTAATCAAAAATTATAAATTATATTAATTATAGATATCCATTCATTTTATATCCCATAATTTCTATTCAAAACGTAAATGTACCCAATCCATTTAAGGAGTAGCGTATATATTAAATATTTAAGTAATGGGTATCCAAGTGCCATGATTACCGGCGTGGAATGGGTGCACCGGTTGTCATAGCCACTTAAGCCGCAGCAATTTTTAAGGGACATCTGGGCGTAAGGCGTAAGGACATTCAACCGCCTCTCTCAAGGATTGAGTACCACTCCCGCCCATTTCCATCCACTCGCCACGTGCTTGGGCCCTGGGACATGTTCAAGAGATTTCAATTAGCTTCGGGCCATCTAATGGTTCTGCTCTCGATTTTTTGCATCCACTGCAGGAGGCTAATGGGGCTCCACTTTTATGTGGCGGATATTAACCCATTTATTCGCTAGATTAAGAGTTGCTGAACAGCAGCTCGGCTTTACAAAATTAAATAACACAAATTAAAAACTTTTCCTTTCCACCAATTAGTTAACAATTTCTAAATCAACAGTTAGTAAACAATTTCCTAACAATTAGTTAAATATTGTGCATCAACTTTGTAAAATTTATGTGGCAATTGTTTGAAAAGCATAAATTCTTCTCAAATAAAATAGTAATTAAATATTACAAATTTGTTTCTCATTTAAAATTTCGTTTTTAGTTGAAAGCGACGTGGAAACTTTATACCAAACGAAATACTAATTAGTAAACAATTGTGATTTAACTTTGAAAACATTCAAGACAACTATTTAAAAAGTATACCTGTTGCTTAGCTAAAATAGTTAATATTATTTTATTTTTCATTGAAAGTTATAGCCCCAAGAAATACTATAATTTACTATCTAAATTAATAGTAATCTTCCCGATAACCCGAAGTGTGGTAAAAAAAAACTGGTAACAGAGTTAGTGGCGATGCCAAATGGATATAGAATATATGATTATGGTCTCAATGGGATGTATGCAGTGTGTATCTTACCAATATCTCTTCCAATTCACTCTTAAATGTTCTGCTGAGGGCCTCGGCCTGCGCTTGGGCACTGACATTATTCGCGATCTGATTCTGATTGAGGGCTGATTGGTTGGTTTGATTGGATGAGGCGTCGTTGTTAAACTCATAGGCGCAATTGCGATTTAAATTTGAAGTTTTGATAAACTGTGCGAGTTTCGGGGATAGTAAGTAGTAGTAGTAGTAGTAGTAGTAGGCGTGATGTGGAAGAAGAGAAGAACAGAGAACAGTATAGAGTAGAGCAGATCGAGTGAGATGGAAACAACGGCGATAACAGAATTGGAATCAGGAACTAGAAGAAATCAGGGGTTCCTTGAAGATTTCTAGTGATTTGAAAACTTAAGAAATTCGGTAAAAGATTGTACGAAAAAATGTAACATCGGTTTATCGAAGACAAATTTATCATAGCATACTTTTCGACGCTTTTCTAAGTCCTCAAATCTTTAGAAAATTCACTGATTCCTCTGAATATGTAAAATGGTTACAGGCAGAAAAGTATAGAATTAAATACATATACATAGTATAAGGAAAACGCAAAGAATTTAAGTGATCTCAAACGGAAACAGGAGAAAAGGATTTAGATTGTATTACAATTCGAAAGGGCAGCCGAAGAATATAGGATTAAGAAAGATGTACAAAAACGGGGGCAGAATTAAACGCATATAGGTATAAAAGTTAAAGAGAACCAGGCGAAGAACTTTATAATAAAACCTTAGGAAATATCTATAAGTAGGTATATCAAAGTAAAAGCTAATCGTTGAGGATTTAATTGATCTTAATACAAAGCGTAAAACAGGAAAAATATATTAAAGTGGGTTTTAAACGGGTTTAGAATTACTATCGTAAGGGAAGAATAACAGACGAAGAACGGTATAATATAGTAAAACATTACAGAAGAGATATAAATATAAAGTATAACCAAGAGGTTATGGACTTTTAATCCAGGAATATAATTTATAGATGGGAGTTGAACTGATTTATAATTAATATATAGTTTTTGTTAAGGAACATGTTGAGAACAGTACAGTATAGAGAGTATAACAAAACATTATAGAAGATATATATATTTAAGTGTATATTGAAACAAAACTCGAAAGAAGAGCAGAATATATAGATGAAAGATGAGCGTTAACAGATGAATAAGTACGTTTGAGGAAATGACAATGATGTTGAAACGAAAATCTAAAGTCGGTCTAATCAGGAGGAGTTATATTGGCAATCGGGGATACGTTTTAATTCACACCTCCCCCAGAACTATTTTTCATCCCAATAATATATAACGTTCTAAATAGAAAACTGTGGTCTCCGAGGATCCTACTCACATCGGCAATCTTAACGGCCTGTCCGTCCTTCTCCCATTTGGTTGCAATTTGCAAGGTCTCCGCTGTCTTTTGCTGTATGCTCTTCGAGTCATCCAATAATGTCAATTCATAGAATTCTTGTATATCTGAAATGGAAAAGTAATCCAAAATTAGTATGAGTGTTACTAAAAAAAGCTCTTAAAGCATGTTTAAAACTTATTAATATATAAAGTTTTATAAAAAAAGTAAGCCATTGTAGAAACTGTTTATAAAAATCTCAGTAGATTTATTCTCTTAAACAAATATTCTAAATTTAACGTCAGAAAACCTGAATTTAAAATGTACCAGTTCATGATGTTTTACAGCTTTCAAGAGGATTTAAATCATTTATACTTGATTATTTTAAAAATCTAAACAGAGCATGTAAGTGAATATTTTCATTTCAAAATGTATACATAATTCTTTAAGAATCTTTAAAAAAAAAAGATCTCAGAATATTAATCGTTAAAAGTTAATCATTTCTAACAGTAACAAGATTTGATTTTTCGAATAAATAATTACATTAGGAATCCTTTACGTCATTTTAACGTCTCACTGGCATTTTCTTAATTATTAATTTATATAATAACTGTTATAGTTTTTCCAATAATTAAAAGAAACGTCACATGATAATCCTAAATTATATAAATGTAGGAAGATAAGCAGCAACTCTCTCTTGTCATTTATCATGAAGACATCTTTGCTACAATTTTCATCCTCAACAAAAAATGAAAAGATTCCTCCAATTTTATTAATTATCGATACTCCTTCAAGACCATTGAATATTTCCGTTCTGAAAGAAAACAAAATAAATTAGATATTTGATTCCTTATAAACAAAAATTAAATCACTTACCTCAAAAAAGCCGATTATTCAAGCTTTTATAAATGATCACTCCGAACCTCTATTTGTTGGCACAGCTGCTGGTATTTAATGGATGTATCCGGTCCGAAGGCCTTTAAAATCTGAGTTCTCTCGACTGCCTTACTCAGCAAAAAATAAAAGACCAACTCAAACACAACAGATCTGAATGATTAACTCCTTCACACAAGCACAGATTCTTGAATTGTGAAAACAAACAGGGAATAAAAGTGGCAGTGCGGTTAATAAAGTCGAACACATTGAATAACGATAACGAGCAACTGAAGTGCAGCCGAACGAATAAACAAACGGATCGAAGACTCTGCCGGGAATTTGAAGTTAAATACAGTGAAGAAACACTGAAAGAAAATGTGACAAAAAGTTCCAGTGCCCAGAAAACATTTTTCGTTTGCTTTTAAATGTACAAAGTTTTTAATTATCCAGAGACTTTTTAAACAGCATTATATCTTATTAATTTTGTATTTATATTCTACCCAAAAAAGCATAAATCCCCTTTTACTTTTCATTCAAAATTCGTTGATAATTGGCCAACAAGAAAATACGATTTGTATTTATTAAAATGTCCATTGATTGGTACCATGAATAATGGATTCTCTAAATCCCAGTGCGGGCTTAATGGCCTCTAGCTTGCCATTTATAATTTAACTGCCAACTTAGAATGTATAAATTATTATTTAGTGCGGTTCAGGCTTAAATTCTTTATTTATTACAGTGTCATAGAGGCATTGTACGGCTTTTGCCAGAGAAGCGGAAATCAGAAACTGTCAGAATGCATCTCAAATGCACACATTTCAGTGAAAACTGACGCCGCCACTGACAGCGGAAGGGGGTGTCGGAAAAAGAGGCGGCACAAGTGGGGGAGGCGTGGTCATACCCACACACACACACACAAACATATACCACCATATGCCGCTGCCAATATGTTTCGCTTCAACAGCAGTCAAGTGGCCCAAATGGGGGAAACTGAAATCCGACTGAAACTCGGAACCAAAAAACTGGAAAAAATAAAATTAAAACGAAATCCATGGCGCCCATTTAATTTCCTGTGCCCGACAGCTCAAAAAAGAGAAAGAGGGACGGGCATACAAAGGGGGAAAGAGAAAACAGGAGCATTGAATACCATGGGGCATTGCTTTGCCACCAGTATTGCATGGAAAAGTACGCGCAGTCATTGAAAAGCGTGTACATAAAGTACAGGACACACTCCCAAACTAAACATCACATTGGGCTATCTCGTTATCTATTTTCACAATTTAAAAAACAAATATTACTCAGAAAAAAATTATAAATCATTCGTTAAAATTCTCAACAATTTATGTTGTTTCTTTTTACAATATATTATTTTATAAACGTTTTTACTGTATTTGCAAACATATGTTTATATATATATATTTATTAAAACAATTGAAAATACTAAAGACTGTAAGCAAATGCTAAGTCTATACTATTACTATTTTATGACATAATTTGAGTAATTTAATAATTTAATACCTTGAAATTCTGCAAAAACTTTGACAATAACTTACAGTTACTGCCTAAAAAAGCGTTTTTAACAATGTCACCTATAGCTCTTTTTCCGAGAGTCCACTGTATGTGCACATAAACATCGTAATTTTTTTGCGTTATGCAATCGATTTGGCCACTTGAGCTTAAAATGAGTTATCGAATGCCCCGGAATGCTTCCTGTAAATGGCTTCTTAAGCATTGTTATTTTTCCCTCCATTATTGTTCCTTCAATTTGTGTTCTGCTTTGTTTCCCTCGGATTTTATTTTTATTTTTGTTGAGCCAAAATTTTTTAGCTTGGCTCAGCTGAATGCCAATGCCAATGAAAAAGAGATGCTAAACTTCAGGTTACGCCATCTCTCGTTTTATCTCGCTGTGGGGAATTCCAGGAAATCGATAAGACCCCTCTTGAAAGTATCCACATTACATCTGCATACGTATTCAAATATATACAGTTGCCGTGAAATCAATAGGAGCTTTATGACTTAGTTTTTCTGAGGAAATAATCATTGCCCCAACAATTCTTAATAGTTTGTATAATACAAATTTGGTATGGTATAAAAAATTAATATTTTAAAATGCATAATCTATTATAACTAAATATTTATTTTAACCAATTTCGTTGTATTGATACTAGTATTTCTACCGCAATTGTACTACTCGAATATGTATATGTAAATGTAAGTATGCTACAGATGATTCGAATTCTAGGCCAATTAAATTGGGATTTTGGCCCGCACATGGCTCTTCATGACCTTTCACACCCCTATTCAACCCCTGGCGCGTCCTTATCTTTATCCTTCGCTTCAACCTGAGTGCCAATTGCTGTGCCTGTATGCCACTGAAAGCTAAAACTATGAAAATAAAATAAACTCAGGGACAAAGCCTTAGAAATAGTGTACTGAAAAATACAACTAAGTTTTAATCTAAAGTTATAACTCATACGCAGTGTTGTCCCCTTCACAAATGTTCAATATGTGACAATTAACATTTTGTTACGTATTGAGTGAATCGTTTGCCAATGTAAATACTCATAATTTTTAAAATACAATTAAGTCAGTTTCGGTGTCATACAACCATAACAGATTCAATGCAAAAATTTCCAACAAAGGCGCGAGGGAGATAGCAGAAAGAGAGAGAGAGAGACAGGCAGAGACTGAAACCTAAACTCAAGTTTAACATTATACCCGAAACACACCTACACCCACGTGTTTCGTGTGTTGGGATGCGGCTAATACCTTGTTAATTATTTCACACGCACACACACCTTAAATTTTGTGGGGTGAACCAAAATGGTGTTTATATTCAAGGTTATTGTCTTTCATTTTCTTTTTGGCGTTATATTTTGAGGATAACAAAATGTTTGATATTGGATATTTGTATATAAATAAATGTATCTAAATTATATTAATCTAATATATATAAATAAAAACTACGATGTGAAAGGGGAGGGCGAGGGAACAGAAAAGCTTTAAATTCACATTCATATTATTGTTATTTTATCATCAAAACGATGAAAATATCTATTTGACACACCATATTTATTTATAGCAGTGATCGCTGTCTTTCACCATCTCTAAGTATCAAACATGTCTGATCATGTCGTGACGAGGTGTGACCATACGCCTATTACAATTTAGGTCCAACCTAATGTTTGGCCATATAAAAGCTCCTGTTTTCCAACGTGTCACGTGTTTGGCTTGTTTGCATTTGAGTTTGTGTGTGCTTGTTAGCCGTTTAACATTTCTGACACGCCAAGCGCAGCCAGTGAAACTGTAACGGTAACAGGAGAAGAGGAAGAGGACCGGAGCACCGGAGCAGCGGGATAGAAGGAAGAAGCAGAAGAGGAAGAGGAATAAGAGGACTCTGGCGAAACGAAACGAAACGAAAAGGATTATGCAACTGCCACTGACAGCGGGCAACACATTTTGCACCCAGGGGGCCAATAGAAAGGGACGGGGGCACACAGAGCGAGAGGGCCATTGGGGGCTAGAAAGAGATGGGGCGCGGCATAGGGCAGAACTTTTGCAAATTATACAACAGGCAATCCCCGCAAAACAGACAACTGCAGACCAACCGCCCGTCTCAAAATGGATGGACGTATTATGGACAGGGAGCGAGATGGGGAAACCAACGATAGAGATGGGGCGAGAACAGAATTCAAGCAGCGAGCCAACAGTGCTGCCAAAAGTCCCATAAAAAAAAACTAATGGCTAATCACAGATAAGTCGTTTAGGATCTCTAATATTCTTAAAAAGCTGTTTTTGACGAAAAAGTTATTACATTATTTAAAAATAAATTTTAAAAAGTCCTTCTAAAATATATACAATTCTAAAACATTATATTAATCGATCATTTACATATAAACTGCATACCAAATTTTCAATAGATCCTGAGTTCTTTGAATTAAACTAACTTTTATTAAGAATTTTTTGATCATTCATGTATTATTTCACAAAATACAAATTTTTCTCTGTTCTAGAAAATTTGTATCTCTATTAAATCGAAGCCTATTAATCTGAAAGTTAATCAACTCTATTATTGATCTTTTGGAATAGCCAGATTCGGTGAAAAAGGCTGAATTATCCGCATTACTATTAGACGCCTGCTATTTTCAGCGTTTCTATTGCTGCGCTGCTTGGCCTGTTTGACCCAAATCCTATGCAATATTATCGTTTTGCTGCCGCTGTTGTTGCTATTCCCTTCGTTGCTGTTTGTGTTGCTGCTTGTCAAGTGAAAATAATTTCCAGCAAGAAGAAACAGAGCAGACCAAAAATCGATGAGCGATAGGCAACTGTACAGATAAGAACTACTTTTCAAGGATCTTTCCAGCTCATCAAACACTTTTTAACCATCTTGGCAGAAAGTTTGCAACTTTGTTGGACTTTAAAGTTTCGGAATCAATAGATGTTGATGAGCTTGGTTAGGGTTTATTTTCTATTCAACTTGTTTAAACGTATTTATCACTGTGGTCGGTAAATATAGTAGGAGACTGACTACTATACTTATTTATTATTCTTTTTCTGTTTCTGTTTTTACTCACCTAACAGCGCTTGAAACAAGCGAGATTTAAATATGCGTATAACGCGTTCGATTGCAATACGCAGCGCCCGATCCTGCGGCTCCGAAAGCCTCGCATGATAGTCCTCGAGCAGCTCGAGAGCCCGATGAGCTTCTGTAAAATATAGAAGAGAATATTATTAATATAAATATCTACTGATAATTATTTTCTTTATTTCTATACCAGATATAATATTATCGCCTACGGTTCAGTTATTTTGATCAATTCATATAAATATTATGAGCTTCGCAGTTTCTATTATTTGACTTAAGTATTATTAGTGCATTTTATTCACTACATTTTTATTAATCCCTCTAATGGCAGTTGGCTTTTCATATTTTTTTCCTTTCTTTTTCTTAACTGCACTCATTTCCTATAATTATGCCTCTACTTATTATTATAATCTAATTCTTATTAGTTGGTCCTTTAGTAGCTAATGTAGCTATTCATGTTATTATTTGTTGACCTTCAGAAATCAATTATTACAATGCTTATTACTATTGTTTTAATTTGGGCAATTGTGGTTACAGAGGTTTAAGAAGCTTTTACTTATTTGTGAGATTTATTTAAAAGACAGATTATATTGCATGTATTTGATATTAGGTGAAAATGCCTCATTATAGCGTACTTTGTATATCCGCAATCCGCTCCTGCTCATCCTGGCTGATCTCCAGACCAGCTTGTCCGAAAACCGTTGTACAGAAGCCCCGCTCGGAATCCTTTTCCGAACCCTGATCCGAACCACTCTCCGCCGTCGATTCCTGGATGTGGGATCTCTGTTTGGGCTTTGGTTTTGGCTTGGTTTTAGCCCTCAGTTGCAGTTCCGACTGCGATTTCTCGAGACTTTCCCGCTCGAGGGTCTCGATCATGGTGCGAAATCGACTCAACTCCATTCGCAGGCCCTCGGAACTATGCCGACTCGACGAGGAGACGGAAAGTCCGGATATTCCGGACAGCAGGCGACAACGAGCTGCGCCCGATGAAGAGGACGAAGGACCCTCCCACTCATCGCGGGAGGCATCACTCTCGGACTTCTCGAAGTATCCGGATTCCACGTCTGGAGTTCGAACCATGGAAGTGGAGGAGAGCATGTGGCCGTACTCTAAAAGATCCTGAGCGGAATAGAAGCATTCGACGGACTCGCGGACACTATCGCGTAGGGAGGAAGGACACTTCAGGGGTTCGTGATCGGGTTCGGGTTCCACTTCGGGTTCCTTGTCTATATCCCCATCTTTAATGGTAATTTCCCGATTGCTATCATCGATTTCTTCAAGCACATCTACGGCTTCCGCCGATGACTGCACCAAAAGCACCAATGGTGGCTGGTCTTCCGTTCGAATCTGCGGCGTCTTCTTCTGCGGCAGCAAAGACTCCTCCTCGGGCTCCTCTTCATCGTCCGCCGGGGAAGAGTCCTCCTCCTCGTCGTTGTCGTGGAAAGACTTGTCGTCGCTGCTCAGCAGCCCCTCGTTGGGATCGCTGCTCTTCTCCCGATCCGAATCCGTATCAGAGTCCATGTTTGGGGACCTGCTCTTGGGACCTCTCTTCGGGTCCAAGTACCGCGCTAAACTGGCCCGACTTTTGAGCCCTATAATGCCATAGTTCGGGGGCTGCTGCCGCCGATAAATCAATAAAGATTGACGCTTTCTAAACATTTTTCTCTATTTCTTGGCCTAGTTATTCCCTTTTATGTTTCTGCATTTTTCTACCTCTCAGCTACACTGAGTACAACATCGGATTATCAAGAAAGGAAAATGCCCGAATATGGCTTTTATTTTAAACCAACATTTTCCAAATCATTGGTTTTAGACATTTAAATACATTTTAATTGTTTCCTTATATTTCCCAATTAGTTGTTACCAAAAATCGATGCAGTAGAATTACATATTTTGCAAAGTTGATCTATTAATAATACTTAAACCCATTGAAAGTTTTTGTTTCAACTTTGGCACATCGATACACAATTTATTAAGAAAATCAAGTGAAATGCTTAAATTTTTTCTAATTGATCATAACGTATTATTTAAACGGAGATATGCACATAGTTGGTTGTCGCCTTTCGGAGAGGTCAGGGGTCAAGCCCTATGCTGTCGTTGATTGTCATTCGTCCGACGTTTGCCAAAAAATTAAACACATAATTTATTATTATAATCGAGTCGCATTATGGCCACTCACACACCCTAAAATATATATTTAAACCAACAATGTATCTGTGCCCGTAGTTTGATGTCCCCAGCACGCGTCAAACGCCGACGATGACCTTCACTGACCATTTGCGAGGCTGCTGGCATCCCCATCCCAGACCGTTTTCCCATTTTCCGTCTTTTACAGCTTTTATTCCGCTCTTCGCTTGGTTTTTCTTCTTTTTCTTTTGGCCATTTCAGTTGACCAAATATGATTTGTATGTGACATAATCAAATAAAATTCTTTGTCTGCATTAATTCAGTTTATTTTAGAGGTTCTAAAGCAGTTGGATATATTCCCATTGCCCCAAAACGGAGAAGTTTTTCATTTAAATTTTAAAGGGGAACAACAAACTTTTGGCACCAGCAGAGCTCAATGATCTACTAAAATTACAATTGAAAAACTAATTCCAACTTTTATGTACATGAAGCTTACAACTTTTCCCACAAATCAATATAATGTAATGTTGTACTGTTATCTATAACTATAATTTCAACGCGATATTTAAATTTTTCTGGTAACTTAATTTTTTTCTTTTGCTATTGATAATGTTTTCTGCCTTAAATTTGAAATTCGTTTTCCTCTTAACAATGTTTATCAATTAAATTTACAACAATATATTCATATATTAATAACTTTTAAAATTCCTGAAATGGTTCTTAATTATGTTCTATTGATTATTGTAAAATTTTTTGAGGTAACGAGTTTTAAGTGCTGCAAACTTGTTATAAAATACCATAACCTACTCAACTGTACACCGTTTTGCCTGTACCGCCATTCATAAGGCAGCCAATTAAATGGGTTTCAACGTAATGCTATAGAGTGATATATTGCATAAAAAAAACCGAACAAAATAAAGGGGAATAAAAGTGCAATTTTTCGCTTACCTTGCTTTTTCACTGGCATTCTGTGAGCGGTGTTTCTGCTACTATTTATGGTGGTGCTGGTGGAAATGGCAGCGGAAATGGCGGTGGTGCAGCAGCTTTGAGTGTGGTTCAACGCCGCCGAACTCGGAAAAGCGTGGGTCGCAATTTTGAGAATTTACTGGAGTCGCTTTCGAGTGGAAATATGCTGGAAAATCGCGTTGGCTTTTCGTCTTTTAGTTCTGCGGGCACATATATATATATTTGATATATATTTTTTCCGTATATGGTAGTATATAGTGTGTTTTATGTACAAATATTGTTATTTTGGCTTTCAAACGAAGTTGGAGATTTTGTTTTAATTTTGCGCTTTTTAGTTTTTTTTAGGGGCAGTTTTGTGGTTACATTGACGTGTGCGTTTTCTCTCGATTTCTTTGCGAATTTCACATTTCAGTGGCACTTCCTTTACTTCCGGTTCTATAGCTTTTATATTTCACTTGAAATTCGGCTGTCATCGAAATGTCGTTCTCTTTTCTTCACAACACAACACCAACACAAAAAAAACTCTAATCGTTTTTTCTTTTTTGATTCACTTTATTCTATATTCCATCCAACATCTAGAAGGCGAAAAACAAAATAGAACGATTGAAAAACAATGCTCCTCAGAATTTATTCATCAAAACAAATATTGTTGTATAATCATAAAAAATTACGAAAATTGCAGACACTCACGGGCGCAGTTAAATACGCTTCCGATTGCAACGAAAAGTGTACAGTGATCATTCGATATGCGTTACGGTTTAGTGTACTTTATATGTGCCATCAAACATTCGAATTTGTATTTTAATTTACTAAATATTGATATTTCTTTGATGTTAACACATTTTTAATGGATGAAAATTAAGAAAAGTGTTTAAAATTTCAGTTTATTTCAAAATAGATTTAAAAGATCTCAAAATTTTATGCAAGCCAATATAATATATAATCAATACGACTCGATTGCATATAAAAATATTATTGAAAAACTTAAGAGGAATTTTTTAATGTCAATGTTTGTTTGTTTGCCTTTCCGAGTGACCACTGTGCTTAATTTTTGTTCAGACACTCATATTTGGGAAATAAGAAAAAGTTGAAAAGCAAAAACAAATCGCGTCGCGGCGATGTCGAAATTCTCGTCTGGCCGTTTGTTTCGCGATCGCTATTGTCGAGGTGAATTTATTTACATATTTTCGCCAGTCTGTGTGTGTGCTGGCTGCTTTTTGCTATTTCAGCTAAATGTTTTTTTGTGCAGTTGCTCTAGTTTCACTCGAAAAAAAAATGGCGAAACACATAAAAAAAAAATACAGTAGAGGTAGAGTTGAAATGTCAAAGTTGGGTTCTTTGCGTTTGTTTGTTTTTTTTTCCTTTTTTGGCTCTGGCTCTTTGCTTGATAACTTGTTACATTGGCCAGGTCGAAATTCCGAAATTCCGCACACCCGCACCGCACACAGACACACGTCCAACTGAGGCAATAACGGTGCTCTGCTTTTGGCCCTCGGCCGCCCTCTCTGCCATCTCTCTCTTGGCCCCCTTCTTTCTCTTTCCGACCGAGAATGAGAATCCCGAGCGATTCTCAGTCGTCGGTCGACGGACCAACAATTAGTGTTTGCATATACACCAGATACCAGAGACCAGATATATATCTATCCGCCTGCGTCGGATGCCTTTTTTGCTCCTTTCAAAAGTTCCCAACGCGAGATATTCGAAAATAACTGAGGCATTCGCTTTAGTTTTGGTCAATATTTAGCCAAATTATTTCATATTATGAGTATGTTGTCAACTGAACAAAACTGATATCTAAATAGTTTTACTCTCTTCCCGACCTAATCTTTAAAATAGTGGAACAACAAATATTTTCTTTTTAATTTTGCTTGTTTTTTTCAATTTTTAGGTAACAACATTTTATTTTTATATCTGAGCCTCAAGTATAATAAAAAGCCAAGTATTTACTAACAAGCTTTAAGCCTTAAACTTTGCCATTTAAAGAATGAAAAATGAATAAGAAGAAATGTAATTACACATAACTATTTGATATTTAGACATCAGCTTCAAGAACTTCCTTAGCTTGTTTATAAACAAAAATCTATTAAATATGACTTATATATATTCCCATAATTTCCAAACAAAACAAAAGTGAGATGCTGCAATATAAGCTAAATTATTAAATAGTAGGAAAATTGTTTATACAGATAATAAATAAACAATCCACACAACACAGAGTCAGTTAGGGTAGTCCCGAAATGGATAATTAACAGGAAATCAAATCAAAATAATAATGAGCGATGAACGAAAAAATATACTTGTGCGGCCGTTGAATGTGTTGTATAAAAAAAAAACTCTAATTATAAATGAGACTGTAGTGTTTAAAACAGGTTATAATATTTAGGATATTTAGAACTATTAATTGGTCATGATTTTTGGAAGGACCATGGAATGTTGTTCATTCTGCTAATCTTATTTCAATATAACCAGTAGTTATTCAAGTAAACATGTAATTTTCATGAAAATGGCTTTCTAAAAACCGCAAATGAGGTTTGGCTGCTATGAATTATTTAATAAATTGCCATGAATGGCAGGAAAATGTATAAACCGACAATCCCAACTGCCAGGAACCCATTATTTTGACAGACAAGACAGGATCCTTGGGTCTCTATTAAAATGAAGCCCTGATGGGCTTCACTTTGATTAATGTTGTGTACGTCAGTGACGCGAATTACTTGAAAAACAATTGAAGAACTAGACGGGTCAATACATAACGTCAAGAAAGGCCAGACAAAATGAGAGAGGGCGATGAAGAAAGTGGGCAAGGGGAAGGCAAAAAAAGAGAGCTAACGACTGGAAACTAGGAAACGCGCATCGAGAAAGACAGCAACAATAATAACACTAATAATAATAACAACGGGGGTAACGATGGCTGGGTTCAATCACCTTTGGGAATTACGTACCGGTTATTATGGTTATTATTATTATTATCCGACCCGTACAATTTCCAACCGTTGTACATAAAGTTAAGCTTACACACAAACAAAAAGTAACCACTCAAAAGAAGTTTTTCCATTTGGTAAAATTTTAATATACATTTTTTAGTATGTAATTTTATTTCAAAAATAATGTTATCTTATATATCTTTTTGAAATACTTTCAAAGTAGCCTAATGTCAAGGTTATTTTTAAATGGCTGTCCCTATATTTTCTGTGTACCTACGCATTGTTTAATTTTGTGTGTGAGTTAGATTTCTATACATTTAATTTATGTGCGTCATTTGTTTCCTATTTTTAATGTCTTTCGGCCGGCTAAGCACTTTTTCCTTTTTTCAGCCGCACACACGTCGTATAATTGATATGCACACTCTCGCACACGCACATCTGTGTACAATTGTATTGCCTATTTTTATGGTCCTCAAGTCCTTTTTTGTGGACATGTGTGTGAGAATGTAAAAGCATTGGAACAGTGATTGCTGGTAAGCAAAGAATGTTTTTAAGTCATTAAATATAATTCTAAATCATAGATTGTATTAATCTTTATCATAATCTGATTGTAGGGAAAATTATTCTGTTTAGTAAAAAAAGTAAAGATAGAGAAGTTTTTCGTTTTTGAAACCTATGTCCTGTTTGATCACTAGAATATCTCTTTTTACCCAGCGTTTACTGTATCCCACATAAGGACTGCAACACACACACACGCTTTCACCTGCTGCAGGCGCGAGCCCAGAAAAGTATGCATCAAAAAGGAGAGCATATGCAATAAACACTCAATCCCACGCACACAAACGCACGAGAGCACACACTAGCAGCGAGATATTAACCGTTACGAATTGACGTTAGCTTGGCGGATTTTTGACCTTGACATGTCGCCCGTGGTTGTAATTGTAGTTGTTTTCGGTGGACCGGAGTGCGAGCATGTTAAAAAGCAAGGGGCAAATCGGATGAAAATCGGAGGGAAAAGCGCCCGGAAAACTGGGTCGCAGATAGGTGGTGATTAATTATTCAGCCGCAGCATAATTATTCGAGCGTTGTGGTGTGTGTGTTATTTATAGACTAGCCGAAAAAAAGACAACAGTAAAAACACACAGAAAAAAATCATTATGATGTATGCACAAAAGAGGAATAAAGAGAGAGAAAGCATGTGGGAGAGAGCGAGAGCATTATAATCTTATTAATACTAATGCAAAAATTTGCACAAACCCCTATTTCCCGTTGTTAAAATTTTTTTTAAAGGGATGCTGTGAATTATGTATGCTCCACTCACACACACACTTATTGCAACTGCAGTTCAACACACGTAAAAAAAATCAGCTGGCTGCTGTACCGTTAGACACACTCACGTGCACCTTAGGCAATTAGATTTTTCCTGTATTTCCTTTATATCATCTGTATTTACAACTACATCCCTTGCATACACACATACACATAACCACACACACACACACAGGACCAGCAAAAAAAAAGGAGCACCTTTAAAAAAAAAAACAGTTTAATGTATCTTTTTTAATCCTGCAGTCAAATCAAGGTACATTTTCTTCATGTTTCTTCACTTTATCCTTTTTCTCGCTTTTAACTTTTTTGTACACCGACACCGATTGTATTTTATGCTCCACATGCACACACACTCACTGGCAAAAAGGACATGCGTTTGGCACAGCCTTCAGGCATTTAATGTTTAATAAAAATAAGTAGCGGCAGCACGGTTCCTTTCCACATATATTATATTATATATAGAAACATTACATTCTAGATGTGAAACTATGTTATGTTGCAGTGTGACCGACTGGTTTTTTTGATAGCTGCGCCGCCCGCTAGAGATGGCAATCGAACAAAGGGATAACGCGTTTAAAAATATCGGGTTTTATATCTAAACTTTATTTTATCCTGAAACTTTTTAAAATAAAAATGGCGTATGCATTTTTTGCTTTGTTTTCGACCTTTCTGATTTGAATAAGGTAATAAGGTAAAGACAAAAACACGTTTAATATTTTTTTCAATTGAAGCTTCACTGGTATATACACAGCTGTACTACTTAATTAAACTAATATAATCAAATATAGTTAACAGAATAAGTTTTATTGAACTGTTAAAATTTTAACAGTGCACAGAAAAATCCAGTTGGATTTTTGTTGTATTGGATTCGCATTTTATTCCGTTCCAATTAGGCAGCTATGAACCCACTGCAAATGTATAAATTAAAGTTAATTCACTTTAAAATGGAAAAATCTCTTAAATGGTATGTGTCTTTAACGCAAAATACAGTTTAATCATTATTAACCATATAAATATTATTAATTGAACCTATATCTAAGTTAAATAGAAAAATACTTTTAACAAACGTGTACAAAGTTTGTACTACAAACGTTAATAAAAAACTGAGTTCACTCCTAGTAATATAGTACTAAAATGTTTATATAAGCAAAGGAAAATGTTTTGTAGTATTTCACCATTATCTTAACAAAAACAAGGGTTTTAAAATCCAAACGATTAATTAAAACACTGCCCATTTCTAACATACAAAACGAAAGTTGTATTTATTTTGGATTCGCTAGCGTCAGGCCGTCAAAACAATGGAGTTATGGTACAGGATTTACGGTTTGTCCGGCTGGCACACTTTCTCCGGATGGTGTATTCCGGATTACGGGTCACATATTTCGGGATGGCAGCAGCGCGGAACGCAGCGCGGAAAAAAAGTGCTTACATGATAATTTTTTGTTTAAAAATAGCTTTAACAGTAGGACAGTGGCGGAAGCTCCCCGGATTCCCAGATCCCAGTATGGTAATATGGAGGCCCGCCCTACAGGTCACCGCCGCCGCGTTTTTGGAGCATCTGGGCGAATCGCTGGGTGATCAGCAGCGAGGTGTCGATGAAGCGGTCGACGCAGTTGCTCAAACAGGTCTCGGTGGCGTGATCCAGTTTGGTGCTCGGCTTCCCGATGCACTTTTCCCAGCAGATTTCGTTGAATTCGTGTATCTAAATGGGGGGATTGGATGACCGGTCCGATATACAAATGGGCTCTTGTTATGATGGCTTATTGTATATGCTCACCTGCGCGTTGACCTGTGCCTTCTGTTTCTCGATCATGAGGAACTCCTGCAGCTCCTTGTCGTTGCCGGACAGGTTCTCAAATTCGGACATGGTGTGATTTTCTGTGAACAATCTACAAAATAACCAGGCTCCGGAATTTTATATTTTTTGAGGTTTGAGTTTTGAGGTTATATAAGTGACTGACAGCTGTGCGATGTGGCCAGGCGACTCTGAAAAAATATACACTGAAAACATACAAATTTAGGCAGATGGTGGAGATCCTAGCTAGACATTTAACACTGCCATAAACCCATTTAAAACATAATACAAGGCCCACATATACAGTAAAGCTACATATGATTTTTATTTTTCATAGGTGTGTTGAAAAGTTAAATTTCGTTTTGAATTTATATATTGTAATTTTAATTTCAATATTAATTTTTTTTTTCTTTTTAACAAATATAATTCTTAATTATCTTTGTAAAGAATAGTTTACTTAAAAGTTCGAGTGGGGTAAAAGACTTCAACGTCTTTAAATACTGAATAATTTAATTTACTTAATTCGGACGATACTTTTCGACGTCCTACGGCTCGCGTTAGTCCCATGTTCGCAGGCCATCTCTAGCGGGCGGTGCAGTTAGCAGAAAAACCAGCTGGTCACACTCAGACCCCAAACTTGGGGAAAATATCGCTATTCGTGGCTTGTATTGTATTGTAGCTTCGCAATTGCAGCTTCGCTTCGGCTACAGACTCAGTTTCAGATCCAACGCGAGCGACTATAATCAAGGTGCGACTATATCTTTGGCGGTGGCTCCAAGTTTTCCAGCCGCCCTGCCCCCCGAAAGTTTCGGATCTTGCTTGCGTTTCGGGTTTCTAATTTCGGACCCCCGATTTCCGATTTCTTCTGCTTACGGATCGCGAAGTAATTCTTCAGGGAGTTGGCACATCGTCGGCGAATTCTTGAGGAGATTGCGAGGAAAGCGACGGAATCCAGGAGGTTCTCCACTGGAGGCATCCATGGAGCTCCCGCTGGAGGTCAGGCTATCCTTGCAACCATCGAAAAAGGCTGAGAATGCCAAAGGACTTTAGGAGAGCTCTTGTTAAGGGTAAGACAAACCACTCAACTTTCTCGGGGATCGAAGAAGCAGTAGAAAAAAAGAAACACCTGTAAAAATAACAGAACCCCAAGGAGGAAGTCCCATTAGGGGATCCCTGATCTAACAGGACATGAATGAGCAGCCGCATTAGGTCTCGTTCTCTCAAAAAAGAACCCCACTGAAGGAGCAACTAGAACCTCATCCAGAGGCACCACTCACCCTCAATCCGCTGATGGCTCTGGCCAGCGGAGGAGACGACAGAATGGACGACAGCAGCAGCGGACGCACCTCGCTGGCGGACAGCGCCAGTCTCACCAACTCCTCCATGCGCAGCGGCACCTCCTCGCAGAACGTACGCGTCGATGGCACAATCCGGGTGTTTAACTATATGAGCAACGACTATGAGCACTTCTATCACACGATGTTGTGCGAGGAGATCTGCAATGCGATGTGCCGCGTGCTGGGCATTGCCCCATATGCCCAGCTGCTCTTTGGGATACGGGAGCACGCCACTTCGCGTCGCCAATCGCCGGAGGTGCGTTTGGATCTCACGTGGGCGCTCCCCGGGGAGCGACTCAGCTGCCAGCTGGTCTACTGCTTCCGGATGCGATTCCGGGTGCCCGAATTGGACAGCCAGCTGGAGCAGATCGATGGACGGAGCCACAAGTTCCTCTACGCCCAGATGCGCTACGACATGCGCAACGAACTAATCCCGGAGATACGCTATCCGGAGCACAAGGACGACACCACGGGCCTGGCGGTGATGGACATGCTGATCGACGACCAAGAGCAGACGCCGGATCAGCAGGCGGTGCGCTCCATCGAGAAGTTGTACAAAATGTATTTGCCAGCGAGGTTGTGGCGGGCTCACGGCTTCTTTGTGGGCACCAAAATCCGCGAGGTGTTCCGCAATCTGAAGGCCAACTCGCCAAATGTGGAGCGCCTCAAGTGGCACTATGTGCACCAAATTGCCCACCTGGCGCCCACCTACATGACCGAGCAGTTCACCTGCACCGTTCAGTATCTGCCCAACGAGACGCTGCCCCGCGGCGGTGCGCCCATCGGCGCCAGTCTGTCCAACTCGGTGAGCAACTCCACGTCGACGCTGGCCACCACCGGGTCCACCAACACACTGTCCACGCTCACCGGGAATCCCAGTCAGGGCGCCAATGGCGACGGCAGCAGCGGCAGCGGCAAGAAGGGCAAACGACGATCCACCAGCACCGGAATCGATGTCTATGTGCGGGTCTTTCCACACGACTCCCTGGAGCCGGGTCTCAAGGTGGCCAGAGTCACCTCAGAAGCCGCACTCAAGGTAAATATGCACCATGTTTTCTCCTCATAATAAGCTACAATTATTTTTAGAATAATATTGATTCTTTTTAATATCAATTCAGAAATAGACTATTACATAATTTGGTTTACCACTTTTTCGAACGTGCCTCAAAGCAAATTGATTTTGAACTACCTCATAAAATGTAATGATACGTTTGCCTAGATTAAATTACAAATCTTTAATTCCTAAGAAATCGAATATAAATTGTGAACATTTTTTTTAAGAAAGATTTGAGAGTAAATTTTTAAAGGGGAAAACTTTGTAGCTTTATGATTATATTATTCGCCGGTCCTTATCAAAACTTTTGAGCTTTTTCGAACCGTAGTATATCACAAATTTCGAGCATGCACTCTATATTGTACACACATTTATTGATGTTTCTGTTAAATTATGTGCATTTCCCGAGTGGATTATGTGCATTTTCTTATCGGTGGCAAAAATGTGGGTCATTCAGGGGTCGGGGAAAAAATAAGTTTAAAATAAACGAAACTCACTGAAAACAACGTTTTTCCTGCAGTGGATTCTCGTTGGTGGCGTGGAGGGAATATTCATGATCTCCAAAATGAGCGACACCGATGTAAGGCTCGAAATCGTGGGCCTGCCCAAAGGCTACGAAATGCACTTTCAGACGGAGAAGGAAATGAAGTCGTTTATCTCCTATGTGGGCATCTATATCAGGTGAGTTATCAAGTTATTATGTTGATCGTTTTTTAAGCTAGAAAATTTCATTGGCTTCGTAATTTATATTAAAATTTTATTTTTTAATTCATACAATCATAGTGTTATAAGCGCGATTCTACGAAAACTAAAAAAAAACACTTATCATTAAGTTCATCTGAGTTCTACTCGAATAATTTTTTTTTATTATGAATAATTAAATTTTCATTTTTTATTTCAATAACAAGTTTAAATGTACGTATAATTAAAATGAGGACACTTGAGATTAACAATCTCTTAATTAGAAAATAGTTTTGAGACGGTTCTTGTTTGAGTTTTTTCAAAACGATCTTTTGCCAATTGGTTAATTATATTTCTGTTATACTTCGAAAACGTATTTTATTAGCATTTAGGTTATTATTTAAGAATAATCCTGTCATTTGAAACCATAAATTTGTTTATCAAAATTTTGAATTCAATAAATATCCTGATGGTTTGTTGAATACATTCAAATTAATGATTATATGCCAATGGGATATAAAAATCATGCATTGCGATAATTGGAGGATCACATAAGTAGTTCTCAATAAAACTGATAATTTACAAGGTTTTTTTATTTAATAAATATGTATCAACGTTTTACGGAAATAAATCATAGTTTTACAAAAGAGAATAAATATTTTTAAGAGCTATTTAAGTCCATTGTTGATTGGAACTTATAAATGAGTTAAATAACCCTCGTATCCTTTGCCTGTTCCCCTTGCAGATTGTCCATCAAGTGGATGCAGGACTTGTGCCACTCCTACCGCACGCCCTCCTTGGAAGAGCTGAGCTCCCTCTACTGCCATGGACCAATCGGCGGAGCCTATTCGCTGATGAAGCTGCACGAAAACGGGGACAAGTGTGGCAGCTACATTGTGCGCGAGTGCGATCGCGAATACAACATATACTACATTGATATCAACACCAAAATGTGAGTGCTGTGCTTCAGTATCGCCCAGATAATAACAGCAGGCACATTCCGAGCCTGTGTGTTAGCTTGATAAGCTCAAAAAGTTTATCCGGTTTTTCTGACACATTGCTTCCCTATTGGATATACGCATTCAATTAATCTTTAGCCATGTGGACATTTTGAAATTTTTGCAGCATGTATCAAAATTCCGATTATACAATACTTTGGTCTTGCCATCCTTTTAATTGAGAAAATGGATATTATGTTTTTTTCAGATTACTTTGCAACAACTTTTTTTAAAATCAATTTCAGGATGTTAAATCATTAGCTTTGTCTTGAAAACATAATACTTTTTGTATTTTAGCTCAGCTTAAAAGGTTTAATATTCGTTGTAATCGATGTTTAATAATGTCAAACGACGTCTTTCTTTTTGCAGAGTGGCCAAAAAGACCGATCAGGAGCGTTGCAAGACGGAGACATTTAGGATTGTGCGCAAGGACTCGCAGTGGAAGCTGAGCTACAACAATGCGGAGCACGTGCTGAACTCGCTGCATGAGGTGGCGCACTTCATCCAGGCGGACAGTCCCGATCGGTTTCGCATACCCGCCTCGAAGTACGACAAGCCACCGCTGCTGCTCCTGCTGCTGCCAAAGAACCTCAAGGCCAAAAAGACTGACCTGCAACTCAGCGAGGCGGAGCTGCAGCGCCGCAATCCGCAGATCTTCAATCCCAAGACGGATCTGCAGTGGTATCCAGGTGAGGCATACTCTACAATCGCTTTAAAAAAACGTTTTCTTTAGTCCTTCGCCTTTTGTAGATTCGACTGCGCTTAGCGACGATGACATGATGTTCACGATGCGCGGCGATTGGATCCAACAGAGTCCCGTAAAGGATGTCGCTGTGACATTGAAGATGCTGAAGAGCGACGGAAATTTCGTGGAGTTCTTCCGGCTGGCACAAACCTGGAGCCTCATCCAATCGCCGCAGTTCCTCAAGCTGTACGGCCTAACCCTTGCGGATCCGTACACAATGGTCATGGAGTACTCGCGCTATGGGCCGCTAAACAAGTTCCTGCACTCGGTGCCACACGTCAGTCTGAATTGTCTCCTTGACCTAATGCACGGATTGGTGCGCGGTATGCACTATCTGCAGGACAACATGATTATCCACAACTACATACGGTGCAGCAATCTGTACGTGACCAAATATGACCCATCCTCGTACGTGCTTGATGCCAAAATCAGTGATCCCGGCTATCCACGACCCTACCGAGAATCCGAGTGAGTAGTTCGCAAAGGTCACGTTTTAGATGAAAATATAGGTATGTCGACTAAGAACTGATGTTTAATAACACAGCCCTATTCGTCATACGTTTAGAAATAAATCACTAGAACACAAGGCAGAATTTCAAGATTTGTGGAAATTCTAAATTAAACTTTAGGTGCGAAGACATAAATAGAATCTGCATGCCAAATCCAAAATCTTTAATTTTTAATGACAAGTTATATAATGATTTAAATATTTTGCATACTTTGTGTTATTTTTCACTCCCAGCTCGGCGTGGATACCCACCAAGTATTACCGAAACCTGCAGGCGGCCAAGCAGGACAAGACCACCCAGTTGTGGGCGTTCGCCACCACCATTTACGAGATCTTCTCGCGTTGCAAGGTGGATCTGCGGACCATGCGGCAGGATCAGCTGCTCAGGCAGAGAAATATCGATGGCAACATACTCGTCACACTCGATACGGAACTGTGTCCCGCACTGATGTTCGAGACAATCATGGACGGGTGGTCCGATGTCGAGGAGAAGCAGTTCAGTCACCACGACATCTTCTCCCGCCTCACCAGAATCAAGGAGGAAATACTGCCCAACTATATGCCACCGCCTGAGATCGCAACAAGTGAGTTTCTCAGTACAGAAATCGAAATATATATTTGGCCCTTTATTTTCTGTGGAAAACATTAGCTTTTGATTTTACCAGAATTATATATTTTATTTGTGCCTATTAAATAATTCACAACTAATGGTAATAACTATTGAAAAAATAATTTAATAATACAGCTTAAAAAAATTGTTCGGCATGTGTCTGGCATCAAAATATTAGTCAAAAGTAAATTAATAATAACAATGAGGATGATTGAGGCAATTCTTATCAGCAAAACTTTTGAGTTACATGTACACAGGCAAATAATATTATCAGCTGTGATTGATAAGACAATTCAATGGCAATCAATTTGTAATATAAAATTAATAATAAATAGTAATATTAAAGCTCGATTTAATACGATAAGCAAAGCCATTAGTTCTAATTTGCCACTTTAACAAAGTAAAAGAAGTAAAGAAATGTTTGTATGAGAATATTTTAAAAATTCACATGTTCCTACCCTTTTTGCAGATGGCATTGGCGATGAGGAAGTGGTGGAGGTAAGGAGCGACCTGCCCCGCCACTATCCCTTCCCCGGATCGCACATGTTGATGGTAATAGAACTGGCCAACGAATGCCGAGTGGTCTACAACATGGCGAACAAGATCGGCCAGGGTCACTATGGCACCGTCTACAAGGGCCATCTGGAATTCAACGACAAGGATCAGCCGCGGGAGCAGGTTGCCATCAAGATGCTAAACACCATGCAGGTGTCGACCGACTTCCATCGCGAGATCGGCATCATGCGCACTTTGGATCACCCCAATGTCGTCAAGTTCAAGTACTGGGCGGAAAAGTCGCACTGCATCATCATGGAGTACCTGTCCAACTCCTTCGAAACCTACCTGCGGTTCCAGTCGCCCAATCTCAACGATCCGCGCCTCGTCAGCTTCGCTTTGGACATTGCGCAAGTGAGTGGGTCTGGATTTTAACTTAATTTTAATTTATTTAATTTTTTGTAATGCCATATATATATATAGGGGTTTTAATGTTGTATACTCAACCGTATATCAATTAATCCATTTATTGTTATACTTTATAAAAGAGAATAGGAGAAACAATTAAATCTAGCTGATAAATGTGATTTTATTTATTTAGAATTAACATTGATATTTAGTGATACTTAATCAATTATTTATCTTCCGCAGGGTATGAAATATTTGTCCGGCATGGGATTGATTCATCGGGACTTGGCCGCTCGCAACATTCTTGTGGATCACAACGGCGACCGTGATTATGTCAAAATCTCAGACTTCGGCTTGGCGCAATTCGCCAATTCCGATGGATATTACTACGCGAAGAGCAGACGAGATATTCCCATTAAGTGGTAAGGAAAATCTAACCAGGTCATCTGTTTTTTAAGATTTCTAATTTAAGTTTTGCGTCATCTCTTCTGAGAATCGAATCTTTTAAATGGGACTGTTGACCTTATCTTTATGTGTTGGTAAATCCACCAGAAATGAATTACTTATTCTATTTAGAAAAAATACTATTAAATATATTGTTTGCTAGTGGATTTTTTCATAATTAAACATATTAAAGTAATCTCTTGACACTGGTAAATACCCAAGAAATCAGTTGTTATTTAATGCTTGACATAAGGAACATTTTTAGCTTGCTTTTTCTTTATAAAATCACACCCTTACCTTGACAGGTATTCCCCGGAGGCCATCTCCACCTGCAGATTCTCATCGTACTCGGACGTTTGGAGCTATGGCGTTACGCTGTTTGAGATGTTCTCCCGAGGCGAAGAGCCCAACCTGACGCCGATGCAGACATCGCAAGACGACTTCCTCAATCGTCTCGAGAACGGCGAACGGTGAGTTATCTTCCGGTTTTGCCTCAACAATAACCTTTGATCCAATTGTCACTAATTTGTCACGCGAAAGTAATTCATGGTCGATCTATTCACACACACTTCGTCAGTGCATAAATTATGTTCCTTTGATAACCTTTTAGAATGAACTCAAATAAAAACAAATCTTTCACATATTTGTAGATTAAATCGCCCGAAAAGTTGCCCCGACTTTATGTACGACCTGATGCTGTTGTGCTGGCACGCCACTCCACGTTCGCGGCCCAATTTCGCCGCCATTGTGGACATCATCACACGGGAAGTGGCCACCAAGGTGTCGCACCCGGCGGATGGCCACCAGTCGCCGCCGAACTTGTCGCCGGAGGCCGAGTGAGAGGAGACGAGTGTTCCAAACACAACAGAATGATATACACATATTTAGGAATACGATTTTTTTAAGCTGTTAGCATTTAAACTGTACGTTTTTAAAACAACACAATCAAACCCCAAATCACTTGACGTAACCCTTGGCTTGATGCGCTTTCGGCAGAATCACATTACCCCATCCATCCATCCCCCCATTCACATCAAAACACAAAACACTCACGCTTTTGCAAGCCTTTTCGGATTCTCGCCAGAACTCAGTTTTATTCTTGTGCTAATCATTGACCCCCTTTCACGTCCCCTCGCCCCCACTCTTGACTCAGCGGATGCCCCGACTTTATATATATATGAACATATATAAACAATTCTCAACCTACTTTGTGTTATACATTTTAGCCCACTTTGTTAAATATTGTTAAGCTAAAGCTTCAATTTTTTGTAATGCCCACGCATAAACGCTAAACTAAATATAATGTGTAAATAATAATTGAATTAGTTAAGGGTTTCAACAAAAACGGCAACACACGGCAATTTACACAAAAGATCGAAGGACGGATCGAAAGGATCGGTTCCGCGGATCGACTATTATTAATCTATAAAATCATGTGCACATATAGTCCTAAGGTATGTCAATTAATGTTGATCAAATGCCATTTTAACCTACAATGCTTCGAAACAGAAACGAATTATATATTTACAAGCTATACAAGCCACTATACAAGCCGGTATATGCACAACTACACAACCGCAGGCACAATAACTTATTATTGATGTTAACGAAAATGGATATTTCCGAAATAAATCAATTTTCTTACGTGTTTAAAAATGAACTTTTATTGAATTCCATTATTTATGGGGACTGAAACGAGCGTATGTGGTTGGGTTTGTTTAAACAAAACATTTCTCATCATTGATGGAATTTATGTAGCTTCTAGTTTCGATTTTCGGTTAGTTGGTTAAGATTTCTGAGGCAACCATTTATTTGGTTTACATTTAAACTTCATTTAACCCTAATCACATCAATAGATATATTCAAGAGTTTATGCTTAATTGGAATTTTATAAAGATATTTTATTTGGCTTCTAAGCAATATCTAGCTCATCATCATCGTTTTGTGGTTTTGATCTTAATAACATTTTATTTTCCGAAAAATTGTAAAACTCTTCATTTCAAATTCAAATAATTGATTAATTTAATATTATATTTATATATTTCACAGGGGTGTAAATATATTGAAAAACAGGATATTTTTCTCGAACCACATAAACGACAGAGATGGCACTACTTTTATAGAGAAATTGTATATGTCTATATTGTATAAGTCCTATTTAATTTTTTTAGTTGTGATTTTTAGGCTTAGACATCCAGTTATTTTATTAGGGAAAATAGACGACAACAAATAGATCTTACAGAATTACTTGGAATACCTATGTGTTGATTTCAATTATTTGTATTTACTTTCATACACGATTATAACAGCTTTTTGTGAAATTCAGTTTAAGTTCTTTGTATATACAGATTTACTTACATTCAAACTTATTATTTAGTACTTGTGAACTACTCTCTAGAAAATAGTGTCCGTTGACAACTTACTGTTTGCCAGTGCTTATGGTTAAATTCAAACTTAGAGTTTAAATGGAAAATAGGAATTCCCATAAACTTAATTCTAACTTAGCTAATCTTAGATATACTTAATTCTTAAATGGCAAAAGCCTTTTATCCTAATTACACTAATCTTCAAACGACGGTTTTTGGCAATATTATGAAAAATATTGCCATTGTGGGATAAATAAGAACTCAATTTTTAAATAGAACATAAAGTCCTTACGTCCTACATACAAGCTACTCTTAAAATTTAGATATTTATTAAGGTTCCAAGTTTATGATGCCCATTTACAACTCTCTGCCGGCCAGCACTTGCTTTATTAAATGTAAAATAAACTCGTTAAGATCTAAGCCTAAGTTACTCCTAGCTACTAATTAAATTAATCTCTAAAATAGAGTTTCTCGTTAACAAGATACTGTGTACAAGTCCTTGCTTTCTAATGGAAAACTCAACCATTAAATGGTAAATAAATATTCCATTACAAGTTAGTTAGTTAATCATAATCTAATCGTAGAGGCTTAATATTTATGGAGTATCATTAATTGATTATTATGGACACTTTTTGGTAAATATTTAATGCGGGTGTGGTTCTGCAAGTTTTAGCTATTCGGAAGCTTTCTTGCAAAATTTGGTAAACAGAAAATTATGTGACAATGGAAATTTTTTTATAGTATTTGCATTGTACTACTTTTAAAAATAGATTTTTTTTTAATTTAAGACAAATATATCGCATAGCTGCCAAAGAAACGATTTCTTTTAACTTCGTTCAGAAATACATTTTTAATTTAAGAAATTCTGTGAAAAATGTTAAATGGACTATCGTTTACCGCTGCTCAATGAATTTCTATATTTTTTCAGCTCAATATCATATTAATATTTATCATACAATTTGAATGTTTGAATATATAATTATGTCATATCAACTTTGTTTCGGTCTTCTTATAGGTTTTAAGTACTATTTTATCTCTTAAATTTAAATAAACTAGAAGTGTTCCGCTGACAAAGTAAGCATTTACTGGCAAAAACCTTAGATAGTTATTGGATGATTCATTGGATTAACCTTAGTGCGCCAATCTATGCGTTATTCGAAATCTAAGAAATCCTTAAAGATGGTAAGAATGATCTTAAAGCTGGCCAAAATCCGTTTTTCTAGGCTACAGAGTTACCCAAAGTCGTGCAATGAAAAAGATTTCTTCGTACTCTCTTCTCTAGCAAAATCCAGAAACATCAAGGATCGCGGTGTGCACCCGGATTCGAGGACCCCTATAGACTAATCCATTGAATTATGCAGAGCGATTGAAAGTCCTAGCTTTATCCAGATTTCTGGCTTAGAGATCAGCATCAGAATTTTGGCGGGTGCTAGGAGCTCTCCGCGTTCTTCTTCTTCAGCGTCTCCATGACCCCGGCGAAGTTGGCCGTCTTCTTTTTGGCCGACTTGGGCGTGGATGTCTGACTGCGGACGCGCATTTGGGTGGGGGCCACCTCGTCGCTGAAATCGAAGTCGTTGGCCTTTTGGGGTCTGAAATGGGAGTTAAGGCAGGGGTTAGGTGCCAAAAGAAATCGCCAGAAGTCGGGATAGTCTTACTCCTGTTCAATGGCATCGGTCGACTGCTCCAGTTCCTTGCTATTTCCACCGGATCCGATCTCCGGCGATGGAGCCCGTCTTCCTGGGAATTGCCACTGCAATTCCGGAATAGTTCCTGCCTCCAGCATCAAATAGTAGCTCTCCAGCTCCTCGGCATTGGCGGAAAACTTGTCGGCCGTATTCGCTGTCGGCTCCACGTCGGTGGCCATCTCGGATTTAATCACTTAATCGGAAAATATGCACTTCTACATCCGAATTTTCTGGTAAAATCAATGAAAATCGATTTTAGGTGAACCGGATTGTTGTTGTTGGCTACCGCTTTTCGATAACTCTGAAATCGATTGGCGCGTAACAGTGCTGAAAAACGACTAAGCTGAGCGGTTTATTTGAATTGCAGCCGCTGCCCAAAATGGCTTATCTATTTATAGGTTTCTTTATGCACTTAAGTGCACATCTATACCTGGAATAAGTATGTTCCGCGTACAGAGGCGGTTTTTAGATGCCATTTTGTTTGTTTAAGGGGGAAAAAACATTTACTCGCTTTAAGTGTACGCTTTTGAGTTAAAAACTATATTTTTTGTATCAAATTCCTTAATTTAATTTGTTAAATGCAAATGGGTTTTCGAAAGCCACTTTCTCTTATCCGCCGACTTTTAGGTTTGTAAAAGTTAATTTTCTTTAAGTTTGGCCTGCTAAATAACACATACAGTACAAAACAATAAAAACCAGAGATTATTCACTATAAACATGTTGTATAGTGTATTCTTTGACTATTTTGTTCGCTAATAAATATATAATTTCTAATGTTTTAATGTAATATTATAAATTAAGAATTTAGAAATTTAAACAATCAATCTACGTATTCTGGATATCATATTGTTTTTATCAGAAGCATTATTTTAGTTGTTATCTATATTTCATCATAAAGAAGATTACTATTATTAGATGATAACTATTAAACAATATAATACAAATAACTTAGTTTGAGAACTCATGATAATTTGAATAAATCGGGTAATAAAAGAAACATAATAAACTGTTCGGAAGTTTAATAAGCAAAGAAATATAAAATACAATACGAAATAGAAAACAAAACATAAAGCCAATTTGATGATATATGACCACCAGTATTCGGCAAGTGCAGATAAGACCCGACCTTCTGTACGAAAAGCCATCGATTATTCATTTTATTTGTATTTATTTACTTTGTGATTACTAAATTCTTAGAACTTTATTCAAAATCATCCTCGTCCGTCGTGCTGCCGTTTCTGCTGCTCCATCCGCTCCCGCTCACATATCATATATCTCAGTTGATCTGATCTGATCGTCTCCACAACCGATTAATGCCGGACACGGATATCCCTGTGGTGTTCCTTGTTCGTCCCGATCCTGCTGATCCTTCTCTTTGTGGCTGGCTGTTTAGCGTTCTTTTCTATGACTTACACGTACCATACATATACATAAGTATTATTATAATTATTATATTGTTGTTTGCTGTTTGCTTGCTTTGTATACTCGTATATAAAAAAGAATAATCGTACATATTTAATTTAATTAATTAAAAACACAATTTGATTGCAAAAAGAAAGGTTTCTACAATACGTAATTAAATACGGATACGTCCTGATCGTTGGTATTGTTGCCACCGCCGCCGCCGCCACCTCCCCCGCGATTGGAGGAGCCGGAGGACTTGTTGGAGCCGTGGGCGGCGATGGTCAGCTGGTTGGCCTGATGGATCACCGAGGTGATGTCGCTCTGCGACGCCGAGATGTCCTTGCTGGTGAGCACATCGCTGCTACTCGATCCCGACGAGATGTGTCGCTCGGCGATGCCGTACTGGATCGGCTGATAGCCGTGACTTGGATTGTACGTGGCCGAGTATGGCATGTAGATGGGCGGGTTCGGGAGCGGCCCGATGTCGCTGGTGATGCTCTCGGTGTCCGCATGGCTCAGCGCGTGGCCGCCATGCCCGTGCGGCAGCTGGTGCGGATGCAGATGGCCCTGGCCTCGTCCCAGCAGATTGGGATTGCGCTCCTCGTTCACCACGTAGTAGCACTGCTCCGAGAAGGTCAGCTTGTTGACCGTGTGCTTGATGTAGTTGCTGCGCAGCATGGCCGAGACGATCCTTCGCGCCTCCCGCCTGTCCTGCACATCCTCCACATTCTCCAGCACCCAGTTCACCGCATCGGCCCCGATGAACGCGTTCGGGATCGTGATCTTCAGCCACATGCGGTCCCTGATCTCCAGACCGCTGTCCGGCTTCGTCATCGCCTTGACGATCTCCTCGAGGTTGTTCTGGTCCAGTCGCTCCTTAATCGGTTCCGCAATGTCCGCGATAATACTGTCGTGCGATGTGAGGGCTTGGGTGTGCGCCACCCAGGCACCGGGATCGATGGGCCGCACCGGCTCCGTGCGCGGAATGGTGAAGTAGCCCTTGGGATTGGGATCCCAGCACTTGGCCACCACCAGCTTGATGGGTCCCGGCTTCTGGACCACCTCCCTTAGCACCCTTACCGCCTCGTCGTTGGTCATGTTCTCGAAGTTGACGTCGTTGACCTGAAGGATCATGTCGCCCGGCTCGATGCGTCCATCCAGGGCCACGGCTCCGCCCTTCATGATGCTGCCCACATAGATGCCGCCATCGCCGCCGCGATTCGACTGGCCGACAATGGAGATGCCCAGGAAGTTGACGGCCTCCATGTTGATGGACACGGTGATGATGTTCAGGGACATGGTCGAGTCGGTTATGGAGCTGTACGAGGAGGTGCGCGACATGCTGGGCGCCCGCTTTTTGCGCCTCTGCGGCTTCTTGCGCACCTGCAATCGCTGGACACTGCTGTAATCGGTCAAGTCGCGGTCCAGGGTCAACTCGGATTCGGTGCCAAAGAGGCTGGTCGAGTCCAGATCGCTGGAGAGCACCGAGGCCGATTGATATGTGAGCGGTGGCGGCTGCAGGAGCGGATTGCCCATCATTTTCTGGTGATGAAGCACCTGCTGCTGTTGCTGCTGCGCCAGCTGGACAGGCTGCACCTGCTGCTGCTGTTGTTGCTGCTGGACCTGCTGCTGCTGCTGTTGTTGCTGCTGCTGCTGCTGGATCTTTCTGGTGGTCAGTCCCATGCCCAGTTCACACTCGCTGGTGGGCAGCTCGGAGCAATTGTCCGACTGATTGGTGCCGTCGGCGGAAACCAACCAGGACACAACGCGCCCATTGAAGCAGGGCAGGATTGTCGAGTCATCGGCTATCTCCTCCTTGACCACACCGAAGTCCGCGTCCATCGACTTGAAGAAGTACTTGTAGTTGTTGTTCTGCTTGTTCAGCACCAGCTTGAAATCGCGCAGCGTCACCTGGGCAGATGGAATGGGGATCTTCACCAGATACGGCGTCGTCTCATCGTCGATGTGGTATATCACCTTCGTCTCCTGACCCCCGCCACCGCCGCCGCCCCTGTCCGCGTCCATTTTTTCCCCCCTGACTGTGAAATGCACGGCAACACACACAGGAAAAACACGGGAAAACACAGGAAAATCCAAACGAAAGGAAAACCCTTTACAAAAATCACTCGCTTTTCTCCCCCTGTCGTCTCTGTCTTGCCCTCTCTAGCCCTCTCGCTCTCGCACGCGTTTCTTTTCTTTTTCTTTCTCTTTTTTTTGGGCTGGGTGTTCGGTTCAATGGGAATAGCGATTGTAAATGCTAACAAATCGGTTGTAAGACTGCTCCATTGGCGTCGTTTCTATCGCGTTAGTGTCGGGCGGGCAGTACGGTGTACGAAAATCGGGGGCGAAACAAGCATATTGCTGGTTTACCAATAATTTTGTTAGAATTTTATTTTGAGACTAAAAAAAACTGACCGACGCAGTGTGGTAGCCGCTTTTTACGCACGGAATGCCAAAACGCCTGGCGGCAGTAGGGAGCATTTACAAAATGTCAAATCCCTGGTCACACTAGCAGTACATAGGTGAAAATCGTTTTCCACGATTTGCTGTATCGAATTTTCCTCAAGAGAAAATTGGACAGCAGTTAACTCTTAGCCTGTGTCTTTTTGAATTAAAACAATAAAATTGGTATATTTCCCTGAGGCGGGCTACTTGCCACTGAGGTAACAAGGCTGCCAGATCGTTGAAAAAGCCCTGTTACTCTGTTTTTCTCATTTTCCTTATTGAATTTTCCTGATAATCTGGAAGCCCAGTTAAACTTCAATCAACTTAATTTCTTTAATCGTCCATTCTTTACCTATTAAGTTTATTTCTTTGTTTGAGTGTATACTACAAATTTAACGGTCACACTGCTAGCATTCGAAAAAAATACCAAAAATTACAACAAAAATCGCATTTATCGATAACTAGCGTTAAATTTAAATTGTTTTTTCAAAAAATTATTGAATTCTAAAGTTACTTGAAATTTAGAAGATTATTTACTTTGTATAACTTACACTTTAGCGACGTTTTGAAGATATTTAAGTATTATAAGTATTTGTTTCTCCTAGAACTTGATTTTAAGCTTTCTTTTATATAAATTTATGTAAATTGTTTCGTGTAACGCTTTTTTAAATTAAAGTCTGGATGAGCAAACCAAAATTATTGGCATTCAAAACTGGACAGAGCTCACAAGATAATAACTTTGAATGAAATTTCTCGTCTTAAGATTAAGAAATTAATTATCAATTCAAGAATTTACGAATTATTACTTGACTTTATTAATAGACAACCTATTGGGTCTTTTAATTTTTTGTTTTGGTGAGATTATATTTCACAATAACATACATTTTTGAATTCGAATTCTCTTTAAAGGCCTTATTCTGATTTCCAAAATCTTGAATTCAGAATTTCAGGGATATGGTGAATTTTATATATAGACCTTCGTTTCCCAGATAACCGTTCAGATGCAAAGGCACTCGTTATTTAAATCAATTTTTCTCTTTTATTTGTATATTTTAAAGGGCTTTTCATTAAATATACACTCGACTTAAAAGCTATACCTCCATTCCGGCGTAAACACACATGCGTACGCCTTGTTTTACATATGTATAAATGAACTACGATTTACATAACTGTCGTTTAAAAAAGTGTTCAATTTGTTATCGTTTTAAGGGGGGAGGAAATCGTTTGGGGGGTAGCCACTCCTTGCCAGACATTACAAATAAAACCAGGATTGATTCCTCCGCTGAACTTCCGATTCTTTTCGAATTGCGCGACATATTATGTTAAAATATTTAGTATATAGTACATAGAATACACCCGTCGTCTGTATTTATGTATGTCCGTCTGCTGTTTACGATATAAGATACATATATAATTAAACTAGACTAGCTATTACAACTAAGTTAATGGTTTTACAAAAAAAAACTTGTATAGTATTATCGGTTTGCTAATGCATTAAACAAATTATCGAGTGTCCGTTTTTGTGTGTGTGGGGAGAGGGTGGCGGGGGTGTGTGAATAATTTTTTACAATGTGATACGTGTCCTAGTGGCCCCAAGTGGTCTGTCCCTCACTTGGTGTTCACCATCTCCACCAGGGTGCTGCTGAGCGACAGACGGTCGACGATGTCCAGCAGGATCTCCACATCCTTGACGGTGGCCACCGTTTCGGGGGCGCCAATCAGATTCACATGCTTGCCATCGATGTTCGCATAGAAGCACTTGTTCTTGAAGATGATGGCCCGGTCGTAGGGCACCCGGCACTTGCTCCTGTCCATCACGGAGCGGCGGAAGAGCACGCACGACGGTTGGTACTTGTGGCGGTCCTCCTCGGGTATGTTGTAAGCCTTGAGATCGCCCGTAAAGATGGTCATCGTCTGGCGGGTCATTAGCGAGGGCGACACCTTGTACAGGGTCACCTTGCTGGTCCATTTGCCGGAAGGCACCTTAATCCTGGCCGCCACATTGGCCAGCTTGACCAGCGCCAGCTCCAGGCAGGTGCGCTGCTGGCGTGTCGCCTTCGCCGGCGAATCCTTGGGCGTGCTGACCACGTGCCACGTCTCGTAGCAGGTGATCTTCTTCACCACGCGCCCGTCCTCCTCGCAGAAAGTGGTGGTCTCGGGCGGAAAGTACTTGGGATTGCTGGTATCCTCCGCACCGCCACTGGCCGATGATGGCTCCTTCTGCGCGGCCGCCTCCTTGTCGCGCTGCTCCTGCTGGAGCTGTTGGTTCTCCTTGCTCCTGCGCTGGGGACTCAAGCTGGGCTTCTTGAACACCGGCTGCTCGTCGACTTCGCCCAGCAACTTGGTCAACTTCCTGTCCGCCCGGGCATTCACCGTCGATGCTGTCGTGGAGAGCACATTGCGGCGATTGCTGTTCCACTTGCTGGCTGCGGATGTTGGTCCTCCGCCTGCTGCGGTTGCTGCTGGGGCCGACGCCTGTTTGGGATTCTTTCGGGTCACAATCGATGCCGGTATGTCATCGTCATCGAAGTCCAGATCTGGATCTGGGTCATCCTCCTCGGTGTCCACGTCCGTGGGACACAACTCCTTGCCCATGCTCATCAGCGGCTTCATCGACTGCGTCTTCTTGCCCATCTCCGTATTGAGTATCCTTGGCCTGGGCTTGGGCAGCTGGATTTGGTTATGACTCTGACTCTGGATATGCAAGGGTCCCAATTTGGTGTTCACACTGCTGTTGCTGGCCAGGATCTTGATACGCTTGGCCTGATTGCCGACTGTGTTGTTGTTTGCAGCAGCGGGCGCGGATTTCTCCGAGTTGACAGTGATGGATTTCTTCTCGCCGGCACCCAAATTGCTTGAGAGGATGTTCCTGGTACGCGGCCTGCCCACACCTTGCTTTTTGCTGGGATTACCAGCTGCTGCAGCGGCTGCTGCATTGTGGGATCTGGTAATTAGCACATCGTCCTGGTTGATAATGTCATCGATGTTCACTATGGTGAATGTGGGCACATCGTCGGCCTCAGACTCGTTTTTCTCCTCGCTATTAGAGGCTCCTCCGATCGTCGAGCGTGTGGCGGGCGTAGAGCTGACCGCATTGAAGTTGGAGTTCGTCGAGGAGTTCATCTTGTAAGTGCTGCCCCGTCGCTGTGGCACCATCCTCGCCGGCACGCTGCCCGCCTGACCCACCTTGGGTCTCGTGCCCGCACTGGATACGCTCGTCTTGGTGGTGGCGCCATTCACCACGGGCACGCTGCGCTGCTGGGAGCCAACGGTCGAGGAGATGACCATGCGCTTGCGGGCCACGGGACTCTCACTCTCGCTGGTATCCAATTTGCGTTTGGCGGCAACGGAGCCGGATCCCGATCCCTCCACCATGCTGGCATTGCTCCTAGCCATATTTCCGGCCATGGTGCGGCGCAACTGCTGCAGGCTGCTGGGCGCAGTGCGTCCGCCGGCCGAATTTATGGCTATCTTGGAGTTTACCCCGCTGGAAGTCAGGCTGCCCGCGCTGGGCGTTGTGGCATTGGCATTATTGACCTTCGGTGGACGTCCACGTCCACGCTTCACTGGCGGCAGCTTGCGACGCAGCTCCTCCTCGTACTCGGCTTCGCTCATATCCTCATCCTCCTCGTCGTCGTCGTCCTCGTCGGACTTGTGCAGTTGCGGATTGAAGGCGGCATCCGCAATTTCATCGTCATCGTCCTCGTCCAGGTCCAGCAGATCGCTGATGTCGTCGTTGTTCGTGAACAGCTGCTTGGCCTGCCTGCCATGGCGCCCCGCGATGGAATGACCACCACCGCCGTCGGCCAAGGAGGCCAAGTACTTGGGCGTTACCATGTCCTCGCTGGCGTACTTGGGGTTCGGCTTGATGGAGCGCCTGGAGCGACTGGCCGCAATGGTCGGCGGCGGACTCGTCGGCACATGTTTGACTGCCTGCTTGTACATCTGCTGCTTGGGCGTCTCCGCTTGGGTGGAGCGCCGTGCCTTGAGCAGGCCCAGCTTGTGGGGATTCCCGCCCTGGGGATGCCCGGCGCTGCCTAGCAGCAGGGTGGTGGTGCGTCGCTTGGCCATGTTGGCGGACTCCTTGGAGGTGATCTTTGAACGTGGCGGTGGCGAAGGCGAGGCCGCTGGCTTCTGTGCTTGCCGGGTGCGCGGAGTCGGTTTGTCCTGGATATCGGCAACCAATCCTCCGGAGCGGCGGCTTGTGCGGGTCTCTCGCAGCTCCTGCTGCGACTCCCGCTGATTATCCCTCTTCCTCAGTTTGCCGGCTAGCGTTGCTCCCCGCGACGGCGACTCCTCCTCCTCTCGCAGATTCCTCACGTAGACAAAGCAAGGACGTGTCTTGACGCTTTCAGCTGCCTGTTTTTTTCCAGCTCGCATCTTTCATGGGTAGCTAGAATTGGAAATGGAGACAAAACGAATAGCCTCATTATTGTGACCATATAGGAAGCGGTACAGTGGGGCATGGCCCACGGAAAACCCAAGGCCTAACAGCGGCAATTTATATTTTAATATAATTAGTATTCATTTATATTCTGCAAAAGAAAATAACAATCTACTCAATTGATATTTCCTCTTAGTGTATTAAATGTACAGTGAAAATGTCTGTTATTTTTTGGAACAATGCCATGTTGTTCTTAGAGGGAATATTGTAGACGAACTTTACACGCGTATATTACAGTTTTCTAACAGGATTTTTTATAATAATAAAATATGCAATATCTGATATACGCGTCTATATTTTTATTTTATTTAACCAATTGAAATTTCTCGCAGTGCAAAACATACAAATACTTATAAATGGCGCTCTTTTTGGACACGTATATTCTTAAGTAAGAAGAAAATATTTTAAAAACATTTATGTACAGTTAATGCAAAGCGAACCGCATTATTTCCGATAGATAAAATATCCCGGCTTGTTGGCCACAACACATTGCACATAGGCAGAGCGCACTGTTTTTAATAGATATGTATGTAATGGGTTTGCGGCTCTGGCAACTCTGGCGCCTATTTTCGTCACTTTTTCGCGCGCCAGTCGCAGCACACACACACACATGCACACATGTAGGGGTACAAGAAAGAAATTTGCACTAAATTGTAGCTAAAATTCGCTAGCTTACCTTCGCTAAACGCTTTACATTTTTTCGGGCGTTTGTTATTGCCTTTAATCGCACTTTTCGCTGGCACTTTCACAACGCGGCGCTCTCTTTTCCGCTCTGCTGCAACGCTGGCTCTTCGGCAATGATGGCCACACTTAATTGGCAAATGATTTGTGTTCGAAGTGTGGAAATTGGCTCGCCTTTCTCTTGGATTTATGTTCCTTTCGTCGAAAAGAAATAAAACTCAACTGGCGAAGATGCACAACAACAACCGAACTGCAGAAGGGGAGCAGCAAAAGTGGTGGCAATAGTGGCCAAACCGATGAGAGCGAAACCAGGTGGCAACTCACGATGGCGATGTTTTTCTACCCAACTGTACCACACACACACATGCACGGCGGCTCTGTGTGTTGTTGGTTTTATTTCACGGCGCTATCGGGGCTTTACGCTTTGAACTCCACTTAATTCCACTCACTAATTGGTTGGGTTAACTCTCTTAGTGGTTGCTATTTGTTAGCACTGAATAGTAGTTACAGTTTAACACGATTATCACAATTCCGCTTCCCGCGCTCGAAATTGCTCGCTCTTAGTTAAAACTGGAACTGCACGGAGAGCGGCTTGGTGTTGAGAAGCGACTGCTGGCTAGGGTTGGAAAATGCACAACTGCCGTTAACAGGGTCACACTGAACTTCAACCCCCCGAAAACCCACAATTTTGAACACTTTTGTTTGTTTTTATTAAGCATTAACAATTTGGTTACAATTTGATTGATCTACTTTAAAGCCGAGGGCTGCGGGCAGCGGTACTTGGCCATCTCCACCTCCGCCTCGGCGTAGCTGAAGCGGTTAAAGCTGTAATATTCGGGCACCTTGTATTCGGCCGTGGCCGATGCGCCGGGTCCAACTGGTCCAGTGATGGGCTTCACGCAATTGCTGGTCAGTCCTGTAACAGCTGGCGAGGATGCTCCCTGCTGGGAGGCTCCTGCAGATCCCGATCCTGATGCACTGGGTTTGCCTCCACCGGAAACGGGTCCGCCCTTGATCTGGCTGTAGCAACGGCACAGAGCCGGGCGCAGGGCACGCGTGGGCGAGAACATTGTGGGCTGATTATTTCTCGGGAATCGTTTAATTTGCAAAAATAATTCACGTAATCACGTATCAACAAAGTGCCTGTGTTGGGCAATGCCAAAAGTCTGCTAAACCGCGAAGTATATGGCAAGGCCTTGTCGGGGAACAAAAGTTGCCAGCCTGGCGGAAACTTAAATACTCCATTTAAAGGCCACATTTTAAGTTTAAATATATTTAAATTTGTATTAGATTTGGGACCTCTTTCCAAAGAGGTTTTACAAAGGGGTAGGTCATTAGTATTTATTAATTTTGCTGAGAAATTTGTTTATTATAAAAACCTACTCAGTTAAAGCCAAATATCTGTTAGCCATCAGGGCATCTGGCAAGGCCAAGCCAAGTTGGAAATACTAATTAAGCATATATTTAAATTTATTATATAAAAATAGTACTGTGGATGTAATAAAAGGGAGTATTAGGAACTACTCCAAGTTTTCCGCCTGTCGATAGAGCAAACTTGTGTTGAACACGCGGGCGAAAATTAGAACATTGGTTTGTGGCAGTTCACTAAATTAAGTTTATTGCTAGGTCTAAACTATTCTACGACTATTTTCTCGTCTTGAACTTGGGCTGCGCCTTGCCGTAGTGCTGATCGATGTGGGAAACGGGCGCCCGCTTCTTGTCGTTGCGATCCTTTTGCGATTTACTGCGGCACTTGACGCTGGCTGCGCCCGCTTGATTTTTGCCCAGCTGATGGAACTTCTTCCGCTCCTCGCGAATGTTCTTCAGCCGCTGGCGCTCGTCCTTCAGGTCCTTGTAGTTTTTGGATGGTTTCTTTAGAGGCTTGGCGCCCAGCTTGACCAGCTGGAACATTTCCATTTTGCTCTTGTTTTTGATCACCCGCTGGTTTTTCATGGCAAAGTTGAGGACCTCGTGGCGAGCTCTTTTGATGTCGAACTCGGGATTCAGTTCGTTTCCAGCTTCCTTGATTTTGTGGGACTTCTCGGATCCTTCGTCCCGTTTTTTGGCCGCATTTTTAACAGGCGCCCTCGGTTCGTGGAAGACGAGTGCCTGAAAACCGCTGTTTTCCTGCTTCTTCTGCAGCGCCAGGGCCGCTCGCGTGGGCACCGGTTTGAAATCCTCGCTGACGTTCATTTTCCAGTCAGTTGTCGCCAAATATCAACAGAAAAATGTAAATAAAATGGAAATCAAAATATTTAGGGCACATGTACAGTGCGACAATGTACTAAATTTTCCTATATCGCCTGTGCCTATCTGGCAACGATGGCTGAAGTCCAGTGCGTTCATTTTTGGAAGGTGGTTATGTATTCTCTTTAGTACGTCACAAATGACAATTATTTATAAAACAAATAAATTAATACAATTGCTATTTATTTACTTCAATTAAGAATAAATAAAATATATAATATTCCTAGGACCCAACGAGGAATTAGGTACAGCTAGTTTTTGTTTTTAGGATTTTTAGAACTTCTTAGTATCATTTAAATTCTATTTTTGAGTAGACCGTTAAATGTATGCAAAGATTTAAAGATACACGAATCTTTAAAAATACTTAAAATGGAAATCATTCAATATGACACAAATAACACAAATCACTTATGTTTATCTGTAATCCTATTAATATTCAATATATTAAAACACATTTCCAAATTGGGAAGATAGCCACTTAATTTATTTCACGATTTTACTTGGCCTCTGGATCCGAATCTGCTGACCAGAAGTCTTCTGCCAACAAACCCATCTCCCAGCCAATTGGATCCTGATCTCCGCCGATGGAAATCGGCTTCGAAATGGAGAGGTCATCAAGTTCGTTGAAGGGATTGGCATCCAAAGGGGCTGTGGCGCAGCTCATCCAACTTTGGACGCGGGTAACAGGCGGTGGAACGGGCAACGATTGCCCAAGAAGTCCACCAGGACACCTGGATTCCTTCTTATTAGTCCGATAAACCCGATTCTGATCCCGATCCTCCAGTGGCTTCTGGTCATTACGGAGCACTTCGCCCGGTAATAAGGGAATGGTTTCGTTGGACGAGGAAGAGGCCGCCACATTGACTATATAGCTGATGGGATCTTCCAACTGGAACTTGGGGGATTCCATGGAGGAGCGGCTGATGGGTTGAGACACCTGGGGATTCCCCTCCCTGCGGCGCCGTGGCTCCCGGTTTTCCGACTTCCCCTTCCCTTTAATAATGCTCTTTGCGGATATCAAGGATATTTTCACCTGGGAGGACTTCCTGGCCTGCGGAACACAGCTGGTGCGCATTTTCTTGGTCAACGGAGTGGTCAGGCGACCATCCACGTAGTCATTGCGAGGCTTGACGAAGATTCCCGCCAGATACTTAAGCATTTTCGGGTTACTAACAATTTGAATCGATGCAGAAAATCAGTTCTACTTGCTATAGTCAAGAAGTGAATATGAAGATATATAATACTCCCAAAAAAAATGTCTTTACTGTGACTTATGATTCAAAGAAACATGGTTTACTGCAATGGTTGCTCTCCAAATTTTCCCAAATATGTCTTTTCAGAAAAGGCACATAAGTCCTTCACTTTTAAGATCATAATTTGTCAGAAATCCAATTTTAAAGTGGTATATCTCTAAAGTATTGTGGTTTAATTCTTTAAAAAACTGCATTCAAATATGGGTTTGTAATTTTTTTTCGGTTTCTTGTCATTTTTTATGATAAAACCCCTTTCCAAATTTCCGAAAATTGGCTTTGCACAAAAGTGACCTAAAACTTGCACTTCCAAGTCCATAACTTTTCTAATTTAAGTCCGATTTGGAAGTGGCATACCTTTAAAGTCTTGCAATAAAATTCCCTAAAAATCTGCATTCAAATCTGGGTTTGTAATTTTTTTTCGGTTTCTTGTCATTTTTTATGATAAAACCCCTTTCCAAATTTCCGAAAATTGGTTTTGCACAAAAGTGACCTAAAACTTGCACTTCCAAGTCCATAACTTTTCTAATTTAAGTCCGATTTGGAAGTGGCATACCTTTAAAGTCTTGTAATTAAATTCCCTAAAAATCTGCATTCAAATCTGGGTTTGTAATTTTTTTTCGGTTTCTTGTCATTTTTTATGATAAAACCCCTTTCCAAATTTCCGAAAATTGGCTTTGCACAAAAGTGACCTAAAACTTGCACTTCCAAGTCCATAACTTTTTTAATTTAAGTCCGATTTGGAAGTGGCATACCTTTAAAGTCTTGTAATTTAATTCCTTAAAAATCTGCATTTAAATCTGGGTTTGTAATTTTTTTTCGGTTTCTTGTCATTTTTTATGATAAAACCCCTTTCCAAATTTCCGAAAATTGGCTTTGCACAAAAGTGACCTAAAACTTGCACTTCCAAGTCCATAACTTTTCTAATTTAAGTCCGATTTGGAAAAGGCATACCTTTAAAGTCTTGTAATTAAATTCCCTAAAAATCTACATTCAAATCTGGGTTTGTAATTTTTTTTCGGTTTCTTGTCATTTTTTATGATAAAACCCCTTTCCAAATTTCCGAAAATTGGCTTTGCACAAAAGTGACCTAAAACTTGCACTTCCAAGTCCATAACTTTTTTAATTTAAGTCCGATTTGGAAGTGGCATACCTTTAAAGTCTTGTAATTTAATTCCTTAAAAATCTGCATTTAAATCTGGGTTTGTAATTTTTTTTCGGTTTCTTGTCATTTTTTATGATAAAACCCCTTTCCAAATTTCCGAAAATTGGCTTTGCACAAAAGTGACCTAAAACCTGCACATCTAAGTCCATAACTTTTTTAATTTAAGTCCGATTTGGAAGTGGCATACCGTTAAAGTCTTATAATCTAATTCCCTAAAAATCTGCATTCAAATCTGGGTTTGTAATTTTTTTTCGGTTTCTTGTCATTTTTTATGATAAAACCCCTTTCCAAATTTCCGAAAATTGGCTTTGCACAAAAGTGACCTAAAACTTGCACTTCCAAGTCCATAACTTTTTTAATTTAAGTCCGATTTGGAAGTGGCATACCTTTAAAGTCTTGTAATTTAATTCCTTAAAAATCTGCATTTAAATCTGGGTTTGTAATTTTTTTCGGTTTCTTGTCATTTTTTATGATAAAACCCCTTTCCAAATTTCCGAAAATTGGCTTTGCACAAAAGTGACCTAAATCCTGCACATCTAAGTCCATAACTTTTTTAATTTAAGTCCGATTTGGAAGTGGCATACCTTTAAAGTCTTTTAATTTAATTCCCTAAAAATCTGCATTCAAATCTGGGTTTGTAATTTTTTTTCGGTTTCTTGTCATTTTTTATGATAAAACCCCTTTCCAAATTTCTGAAAAACGGCTTTGCAGAAAAGTGACCTAAAACCTGCACCTCCAAGTCTATAACTTTTCTAATTTAAATCCGATTTGGAAGTGGCATACCTTTAAAGTCTTGTGGCTTAATTCCCTAAAAATCTGCATTCAAATCTGGGTTTGTAATTTTTTTCGGTTTCTTGTCATTTTTTATGATAAAACCCCTTTCCAAATTTCCGAAAATTGGCTTTGCACAAAAGTGACCTAAAACCTGCACATCTAAACCCATAACTTTTTTAATTTAAGTCCGATTTGGAAGTGGCATACCTTTAAAGTCTTGTAATTTAATTCCCTAAAAAAAATCTGGGTTTGTATTTTGTTTTCGGTGTTTTGTCATTTTTAATGATGAAAAACGGCTTTGCAGAAAAGTGACCTAAAACCTGCTCATCTAAGCCCATAACTTTTCTAATTTAAGTCCTCTTTTACCGTGGCATATTTTTAAAGTATTGTGGTTTAATTCCCTTAAAATCTGCATTCAAAACTAGTTTTTTAATTTTTTGTCGATTTTTTGTCAGTTTTTATAATTTAAATGAATTAAAAAGTAATATATTTTGTACAGTGCTGCAATTTTGAGAACAAAGAACTTTCGGGCCCACTGTGCAGGGTTTAATTTACGTGGCCGTAAGCAATGTTATGTTAACAGTGCTCGAATCTAACATTCTGGCAACGCTGCGCGGAATTGAAAAAAAACAATGCGCTGCCAGGAAAGTAGAAGCAGCGGAAAACTCAACAAAAAACCGATAAAGTAGACTAAAGGAAAAGCGGAAAATGGCCAGGAACACGGGCAGCTCCTCGGGCTCCACGCCGGCGTCGGCAGCGGCAGCAGCGGCCGCAGCGGCATCCAATGCCAAACAGAAACGCAGTCCCGGATTCAGTTTGTCCTCCAATCTGATCCTGGACAAGTGGAAAACGATGATTGGATGCGTGTGCCTGGCGATAGCCTCGTATTTCGGCTACCTGGGGTATCTGGAGACGCGGGTGAACACGCCCTTCGACAACCAGAAGATGGTGGTCCACGCCGGGCTGGAGCAACCGGATAGGTATTGGGGCTCCTACAGGCCACTGAACTACTTTGGCATGAAGACGCGGGATCCCCACTCCCTAGTCATGGGCCTAATGTGGTACACCCCGAGTAACCTGGGCCCGGGTGGCCAAGGCATCCGGCATTGGTGCGATCAGGGCGACAAGCTGGACTCCTATGGCTGGACACATCATGATGGCAAGAGCTTTGGCGTGCAGGAGATCCAGGACCTGCCCTTCGAGCTGAAGACCTCGTTTGTGAAGTACCCGGAGGGGAAGCAGTACGGCGGCGACTGGACGGCCAGGATCTCGGTGAGGAACACCACGCGCGCCTGGGACAAGAGCATCTCCCTGATCTGGTACGTGGCCCTGGACGAGCGCACCAATGGCCACATTAAGTACGTTTCGGATGACAAGAGCCCGGAGCCGGGCGTCTACGGGGAAACCCAGGGTCTTGGCGAGTTCCAGGTGCGTTTCCATGCCGTCAAGGGCAAGATCCTGCACAAATCCTACCTCAGCACGGTGGCTCCCTCGCTGGGCAAGCTCAAGGATACACTCTTCTCGCACTTTCGCGCCTTTGCCGACAAGCGAGGCAACCGCTTCATAGGCCTACCCGGTGAGATAGTCTCCCAGAATGGTCTGCCATCCTCGAATCCAGAGCCGAATTTCATAGCCATACAGATCACGGCGGAGGTGGACTTCACACTGGACATAACCTACCAGTCTACGTCTGGATTTTCTCTGGGCGAATCCATACCCAAGCCGCCCACTGGCAGAGCCTATCAGGATTCGTTGCAGGCCAAGATAGCCCAGTTTGAGCAGCGTTTCGAGGAGCGCTTCCAGCTGAAGAAGAACGGTCACTCCCCGGAGGAGGTGAAATTCGCGCGGAACGCATTCAGCAACACACTTGGCGGAATCGGCTACTTCTACGGCTCCAGTCGAGTGCAATCGGTGCATACCAAGAACCCAGTGCCCTACTGGAAGGCTCCTCTCTACACGGCCGTGCCGTCGCGAAGCTTCTTTCCCAGGGGCTTCCTCTGGGACGAGGGCTTCCACGGCCTGTTGATCAGCGCCTGGGATGTGGACATCGAACTGGACATCATATGCCATTGGTTCGATCTTCTCAACGTGGAGGGCTGGATACCCAGAGAGCAGATCCTGGGCGTGGAGGCACTGGCCAAGGTGCCCGAGGAGTTCGTCACGCAGCGCAACAGCAACGCCAATCCGCCGACGTTCTTCCTGACGCTGAGGAAACTGCTGACCAGCCACCGGGCGGAGTTGTCCCAAAACGGACGACTGGCCACGTTGGAGCGTCTGTATCCGCGGGTTCAGGCCTGGTTCAACTGGTACAACACCACGCAGAGGGGTGAGTTACTAGACTATTCTGCTATCCTTGTCTATATGGTGTTTAATACTGCCTTTTCCAGGTGAGCTGCTGGGCACTTACTTGTGGCGCGGACGGAATGCCACAACCGCGCGCGAGCTGAACCCGAAGAGCTTATCCTCTGGGCTCGACGACTATCCGCGTGCCTCGCATCCCACGGACAAGGAGCGCCACCTGGACCTGCGATGCTGGATTGCCCTGGCGGCCAGTGTGATGGCCGAGTTGTCCACTCTGTTGGGAAAAGACGATGTCAAATACTATGAGACGGCCTCCTTTTTAACGGACAACGAGCAGATGAACCGTATGCATTTGGCGCCGTACAGCGAGCAGTACTCGGACTGGGGTCTGCACACGGACCAGGTGAAGCTGAAGCGTCCGCCGGCTTTGGCGCCGCAGCAGCAGCGGCATCAATACCAGCAGCACCAGCAACCCGAAATGCGGCGGGTGACCGGCGAGGAGCCTACCTACCAGTTCGTGGACAGCACCTTTGGCTATGTCAGTCTGTTTCCGCTGCTGCTGGAGCAACTGGATCATGATTCGCCATATCTGACCAAGCTGCTTCACGATCTCCGTGATCCCGAGCAGCTGTGGACCAACTACGGCCTGCGTTCGCTCTCCAAGCGGTCGCCTCTGTACATGAAGCGAAACACGGAGCACGATCCACCGTATTGGCGTGGACCCATCTGGATAAATATCAACTACTTGGCCGCCAAGGCGCTGCATCACTATGGCAAGATCGATGGGCCGAATGCGGCATTGGCGCGGCAGATTTACGCCGAGCTGCGCGACAATCTGGTGGGCAACATCTTTAAGCAGTACCAGCGCAGTGGCTATTTGTGGGAGCAGTACGACGACACCACCGGCGAGGGCAAGGGCTGCAATCCCTTCACCGGCTGGACGGCCACTGTTGTCCTCCTGATGGCCGAGCAGTACTAGATATGATCTGCCTGCCGCTGGAGTTAAAATCTGCTGTGAGTTCCTCAATGAACATCCCTGCCCGGATTCCTGAAATGATCTATATGTTTGTGTTTAGGATAGGTGGGTTTTCTTCGACCCGAGAATCGCAAGAGGCTTTCTAAGCAAGCTACGTTTCCAATTAGATTTAGAATAAATCAGTTGAACCAAATATACCGTCTTTGGCATTCAAAGAAATACTTTTTCTAGTTTAGACAATTAAATTTGTACAACGCATCCTCACCCTGAGCTATATGGATCTAAATTCCTTAGGCCCAGTGTGAGCCTTAGCTCTCTGTTCTTTAAATTAGTTACTTTATGCTTTCAAAATAATGTATCTGCGATTCTTCGTCAAAGAAAATCCAGCTATTCTTATGTAGACTACTGTAATTGCTTGAACTCCTTAGAAATTTCACTCTCTAGTTGCTGTAAAATACTTAAGAAACTTTGACAAACAAACCGAGTGAAAAAAGTTAAGAAAGTGGCAAGTCGTTTTAGCGTTAAATAGACGAATTTTAAAATTATAACAAATATATGAAAAACCAAAATGTGTAGTTCTATTCATTGAAAATATGAATTTCATAAAAAACAAACCTTTTTCGTAGTTTAAAGGTACTTAATCTTTTATGAAAAGCTTAATTTTTGTTGCATTTTTAAGATATTTAAAGATTATTTTAATAAATACTAAATAGACTTTTAGTTTTTTTTTTAGTTTTATTTCATCTTCCTTTTGGAAATTCCTGTCACTTGGAATACTCCGATATTACAGCTATATTATACACGATTTCCTTAACTATATAGTACACACAATCGCACTCACTTACAGACCTGCATACACTCACTCTTTCGTCTTTTCTTTGTTAGCTTTTTGTTTTTTTTTTGCATAAAAAAGGTACAAAAATGATATATGCATGATATACTTAATGCAAAACTAATTAGATAATTGTTTAATGTGTCTAAAATTACACTAAAAAGAAAGAAAACGAAATCAAAAATGGTTAAGGTATTTCTCTTTGTTGAAAACCGATATACAAAATTAAGGTAGAGGTTTTCTTTGTTCGGTGTTTGACTCAAGGGGGGGCTGGTTAGTCTTACTTTAGGGCTAATTAAAACGTTTATACGATCTACGTGTGTATTACTTAAGCAAGTACGCGTCCGGATTTCAATGAACTGGAGAAGTGACTAACAAACAAAACAAAAAAAAAGGGAAGCCATTGGGGCTGGGCGACATTTACAAAGATTATTTAAGATATATGTAAGTATGATCTACTGAGATATATATGGCGCTGCCTATACATCATGAAGTACATGGAACAAAGTCTTTATATGGCCAGAACCAAAGTCAATCTGTTAATCTCTCTATACTCTATACGGAAATGGGATTAACTCGTGAGGCTCTCGATCCGGATCACTCATCCTTCTTCTTGATGCGTCTCCTGAAGGACGGAAGGCGATCCAGCAGGGCTAGCAAAATGCTCCCAGGCAAACGCTGGTGCTGGTTGATCAGATCCTCTATAGCTGTGGCTACCTAAAATCAGAAAAAAAGGAAATCAATTAGTTTGAGACATATAATATTTCTTATGAAAACAAAAGTTAAGTCAAATCGTTTAAAAAGATTGGAGATTATTAAACCGATGTAAAATCGTATTAAAATGTGTTTTCAATTGACTTTTAAGTTGTTCCAATGCATAAATTGAACATTAAAATATACATTAACCACTATCTCACCTTGATCTGCAAATCCTGCGGCGTTAGGTTCTCGTCATACGGAATGGGCTTGCCCAGGTACGTGCGGAACTTGACGGGGAATCCGCCATAGATGGGGTACACTGGAATGCGCACCTTGTTGTACAGCCGCATGAAGAAGGTGCGGAAGATGCCCACCTGGCGGAAGCCCTCCCGCAGATTCTGCGTGAAGCACGGAATGATCGGGGCCTTCGCCTCGATGGCCACCTTGGCGAATCCGACCCGATTCCGCCACAGCAGCTCATAGTAGTGGTCCCCGAACTGCGCCTCGTAGACGCCGCCTGGGGAAATGGCCAGTAGATTCCCATCCCGCAGGATGCTCACGCACGATTGCACGGTGCCGGGACTGACGTGGAATGCCTCCGAAATTGTGCCCCAGCCGGGCAACTTGAAAAGGAAGCGATCCCCGATCGTGTATATCAAACGCTCGCGCTGCAACAACATTCTCGAGTTCAGATAGTACATGTCGATGGGTATTGCTCCGTGGTAGTAGACAATCAGCGCTGGACCCTCCTGCGGCACATTCTCCAGCCCGATCACCTCGTAGCCATGGTAAATCCGGGCGTGGGCATCCCAAATGGCCGCCACAATCTTCCGGCCAACCCGCCAGAAGTTGCGATCCCCTTGCACTGCTCGCATTATCACCTGCCTGAAAATGATAATTAAAATAAAAATATTGATATTGAAATTTGCAGAATCAGAGTCACACTTGTATTCAAGTGGTTAAATGTACCTGTATACTGTATTTTCTTATTTACCATCTTTTAAAATAGATATTGGTGGGGTCTATACAAATATTTTTTTTTCAATTTCGGACCTGATCAAAAGCTAAAATTTAAGTTTAAAAAGTTCACCCAGGTTGGCTTTGCTCCCTAATTAATGGGCAACAACAATGCAAAACTGGCAGGCGCCCACTGATAATTATGTTTAAATTTAGTTGGCTGTCCGCAGGTGTTATCAGCTTAAAATGGTCGTGTCTCCTCATGCATATCAAACAACTTATAAATCAATATACACACAAACAAAGTTCGCCTTGGCAAAACTGCGTTTAGTGGGGAACTGATAACAGGGTTCATTCACAAATCTTTTGGCCCCTTGGCGACCAAAACAAAGTCGGACAGGGATGAAAAAGAATCCATTCCATCCCCTAGTTTTTTTTTTAATTTAATATACTCCGGAAAAAGGTGCTTTGAGTAATATTTATTTTAAAAAATTGTTTAATGCCCAGATCTAAAGAATACCTTCCTCATTTATTTTTGTCATTAAAATCTTCTTAAGACAATTCAAGAAGAGGAGAATTTTAAAGTATAAAATTTTCAAATGTGTACGGAAAAAATTGCATTCTAAATTTGGATCATCAAAAAAATGTATTTAAAAATTTAAGTTAACGCAATCAAAAAAAGTCGTTTAAATGTTGTATAGTTGCTATTTGTCTAAGCCTGATAATCACTATTTTGAATAATTGTTTGGATAAAAATCCTGTTATTCCGCTTTTGTAACAAAAAGAATATAAATTGTCTAGGTACTTAAACCAATAGGTCTGGTTTATCTACTTTCCACTGAGATTCTCTATCTCCCAAGGTCGCTATGCAATTTTGTTACTCTAAAAATTATAAGATAATTATCAGTCGATTAACACTACAGTGATACATTTTAAATTCATAAAAAGAACATCGTTTATGCATTGTCAAGCTTTTATATTTATAGTTGTTTCACTGCAGCGGCGTCGTTCGTTTGCCGATAAAAAAAAGATGTAAAAATATAAATGGGGAATGGGGAATGTGGGGGATCAGGTTGCGGTAGTACAGTTAATTGCATTCAATGCCCCCCTCCTCCTCCTCACGGTTCTTTTATGGACTTATAATTCCAGTGATTACGCGCGATAGCGGTTCGGGCGGGGGACTTTGGGGGCGGGGTCTTCAATGACCATGAACTGATAGGCATTAGTGAAGTATGGCAAATGACGCTATAGGAACAACAATATAATGGCAGGCACAATATCGGGCAGAAGGAATGTCTCATGGCGTGTTTTGGTTTGTGATTTTTTCAGTTCATTTCCACTGCTTATCGAACTGATTCAATTGTGTGTCGTACTTAAAAAAGGCCATGTGTGTGCTGAGAAAAACGTAACTACAGTAGTTATCGCATATATGAACTAAATATATTTTATTTTAGTTTTACTTTGTTCTTTACAAATATCATCTCAAATACATGCAATACTTTGTGACATTGTTGTTCGTGCATATGCCTTTGTACTAAATTTAGGCTTTTTATTGACTTTTCTCTAACCACAGAAGAATATACATATGCTTATAATAGATATTTAATTTATTAATCGTGACCGTTTACGTTGCAGAATCTAATCTTTTTTATATGAACATTCAATGTTTAGGTTCTTTGTTCCTTAAAAAAGTATAATAAAATGAAATCTTGTCTAAGCCATGAATTAACGTTCAACAATAAAATTGTCTAAGCAGTCGTAAAATTGGTAACTAAACAGAAGTCTAATCCAGGGGTGCGATTGAATACAAGATTGCACTCGTTATCAAAACTTAAAATAAATTCTGTAACATTGTGATTGATAAAACTTTTTTTGTTTGCAACCTGTGAACTGCAGACATCGTTAGCCATTATAGTTAAAGCCATTAGGGCTAGTGGTGGTTGTAGCTAAAAGCTTTTCAGTTAATTAGCATGGCCAACCGGTTGAGCATTAGAGAGTTAGGAATAGAAAATAAATAAAAGCACACTAGCGCAGGAGCGCCGGTATATGTACACATATAAGGTAAAAGTCGGTTGTGCCGATCACCTGCTGACCAGCTTTTGGTATTGGTGCAATGGTCAAGAGCGTAATGTTCTTCAAGGGTCAGTTTTTTCAGTGTCGGCCAACAAGCCTGTTTTCTGTCAGTTTGCTACTTGAATATCATTTTATCAATCAGACACAAAAAGCTAATTTATAATTTTGATCATAAATTTCCTGAATTAACGTTGTTCATAAAATCGAGCATTCTATGTGTTGAATTAATTAAAAAAAAAAATCAAAATAAATAAAGCTGACCACTGCGTTTTATTCCTATATAAAAATGAATACTGATATGATATGATAAATGTTGATGACTTTTCACAATTTTGTTTTGATGTCAAATCGGTATTTTAAACATTTTAATAAACACTTGTATAAATATAAATAGCTCCAATCATTACAGTGAATAGCCCATTTTTTTAAAGAGAATTTAGCACTGCCCTGACTTGTGCTGCGTATGTATTTTTACAGTGCACACCCCAGCTTTGTATTAGATTTTTGTATCGAGTGGGCACTGTATTCTTTGGCTTAGTTTTTATCTAGCTTTTTTATTGGCAACACCGGCGGGCTCTCTCTCTCCCATTTCCTCTCTTTGTCTTGCCTTTCTTTTGTGCCCTTTTAATTACAAATGGAGAGCGGGACAGAAGATGCCGGTTGGGAGGGCGCGAGCGGGACAGTTGTTGGGGTGGGTGGGAGAGCGGCCCCAAAAATGCACGATCAGCGTGAGAGAGTTCATTAACAGGAAAGAATTACACTGTAATTGTAATTACCTCCTTTGCTTTTTGGACAATCGACAATTTTCCATTTTCTCGCGTTTTTTCGCTTACCTGTGCAACTTGTAGATAAAAAGCACCAGAAATGAAATGTAGATGAGGGCCACGAAGACCAAAGGCAGCAGAAAGGTGACAATTAGCGGGGTCAAGAAACGGTATAGCCATAGCGAATAATCCAGATCGATGTAGGAGGCTAAAAGACCAAGAATAATAAGAAACCCCATGATTAATCTCAATATTTGACCAATTATCAAGCCCTAATTTGTACTACTCACACAGTAGGCTCTGCAGCGTTTTGTACAGGTTCTCCAGAAATTCCATTTTAAGTGATGTGTTTCATTTGTTATTCTTGTGCACAAAAAAAGAAAACCCACTCAAGGCACACAACAAAAAAAAAACAAAACAAATCGGTTTGGCCTGATTTTTTTACTTTCTTTGCCTCTCTTTTGCGCTTTTTGAATTCTTTCGTTCTTTCTCCTTTTTAAATGGTCATCGTATCGGATGTTAATTTTAAATCATTTATTTGTGCCGCTTTACGTGCATTTTATTTGCATGTTCCATTGTTGTTGTTATTCAAGACTATTTGTTGTGGTCTTTCTGTCAGAATGTAAACAACCGCTCCGCTCACTCGCTAAAAAGACAACCGCCGCCGTTCGCAGTCACCAACATTGTGAGCGCGCCGCGCTTTTTGGTTAATAATACTACAAAGTAGAGTTTCTTTTATTGTTGTTCCTTCATTTCATTTCGCTTTTCTGTTGCTTTTTTTCGTCGGCCCCACTTTCGTGGCACCTGGCAACGCCGGCCCAGCTGTTCGAGCCGTGAGTGCTGCCGGATCTCGGTTCTTAGCACGGGAGAACATGCCAGTGCCGATGTCTTGGCTATTTTATAGCTTTTTCTAGCCAACGCCACAGGTTATGTCAAAGAATACAATACGATTTTAAAGATATAGTCATGCAATATACGTATATATGTTCTCACTAACTCTGAGATTAAAATCGTGTTCCTAAATGAATGCCTTTAATATATTTTCAAATTATTGAAGTATGCCTTTCACTACTTTTTACATATCTTTAAGTTTAGGTAATAATAATAAAAGTTGGAATCGAGAACACACTTGTTAATATCATTATTTTATCCAACTCGGTATTCAGGAGCAAGATAAATTTAATATTTTGAGTAACCACTGATTTGCTGGTCAGCTGCTTAAAAATTCAATAGGGACAATTTAGGGTTGCTCCCTCAGCAATTCAAATATCCAATCGTTTGGGTAATCCCCCAATTAGAAAAGTGATGCCAGATGGCTTTCGAAAATCTGGCAGCACTGTAACTATCGAACAAACGTAGTCTTTTCTTCCAGCCCTAGCTTCAACGGTCATACTAAAATTCGACCAGAAATCGGGAGTCGGATCGCAATCGCATGCAATTTGTTTTGTTATTAATTTTCCAAATAATCTCGGGCTTGGTGCTGCTGCCAATTGTGATCCACTACATCTATTATATAATAAATGCGATTGCCGGCGATTTGTGCGAGCAAAAGAGAGCGCAAAGAGAGCAGCAGCTGCAAAAGGGCACCACTCCGCCTTCGCCCCCGCGACACCCCCCGCCGTCGACCACCGAACCGATTGGGTTTTCCATAAACAATTTGACAAATTCTTACCGTTCGCCAACAACAATGCAAACAAATGATGACGCCAAGTTTATTAAAAAGTGCGTATGTATAGAATTAGCGATTGTGTGCGTGGTGTTTGTTTGTTTTTAAGTGTGGGTGTACAAGTGGCAGAACAAAAGAAATAGCAAAAACACTCATCATATGTACGTCAGAAAGAGAGCCAAAATCACCTTGCTGCTGCTCTTTATTGATTTTCCATTTTGCGTTTACATTCCTTCCTTTTTCTGTTGATAGACAAATTTAACTGTTTTTATTAAGTTTACATGATTTGTTGACATTTCATTCATTAAAGCATAAGTTAAAAGACATCGAATGTAGAATTTCGGCTTCAGCACTGATGTATGCTTGTGCATATGTATTACCTCATTACGCATTGAACCGCATAATTTATGATTGATCCAACAAATTGTTCGCTCTTAATCCAAACAACCGAAAACAACAAACAAACAAACAGGAGGTGGAAAGGCGGATCCATCGAACCGCATCCCACGGATAAGGCGCTTATTGTCAACTACCAACTGGAGGCCACCGTCTTCGGCGAGCCCAACAATCCGATGATCGAGGAAAAGAAGGTAAGAATCTAGACGATTTTAACGTTGCATTGGGAGAAAAGTTCAGAAGTGTCAAACAATTACAATTAAAACGAATACTATTATTAAATGAGGGTTGAAGAGAAGTAAGAGAATTTCAATAGAAAACATTTTCCATAAAAGTCTTTGTTTATTAAAAAGAATGATAAGAATACACCTATTTTATCTTTAAGTAGAAATAGTGAATGTTATAGATGACCACATGTTTGAAAGAATTAAAGAGATGGAAATTACTACAAAATATAAAAAAAACAAGAATTATAAAGGTTATTACTTTTTTTTAACAGTATACCACTAAAAGGGTTAAGGGGGCGGGCTGGGGGCAGTAGCTGACATTGAGCGGGCCAATCGATAACGTAACAACGGGGTCGATGACGGGTCGCGCTCAAGTATCGAGTAGTGAGTAACGATACCAAAAGCGGTTGGCGGGTCTTTAACCTCAATTCACGTTTTCTGGCCTTTTTGTCGCTCGTTTTCGTGGATTGTTCACGACCATAAATAAATAGTAAGCCTTTTTTGACGTTTGTTTGCCAAAAATCTTGGCAACCGCAAAAAGTTTTTACTTTAGATCAGATTCGGTTATGTATATGTGTGTATAAATGCCCTCTGAAATGTGTTCAAACTATTTCCTCAATTTTTAAGCCATCTTGTTGAACAATTCTTGTGGTTTTGAGTATCGTTAAATAAATAAATAATCAACCATAATATGATTTGAATTAATTTTGTTTAAAAATAGTTACAATAGTACTTAAAACCATGAATGATGAGTGTGGTTTAGCTTACTTTCAGATGCATTTAGTATTGATTATATCATCAATCTATTTTTTTAAATTTAATAATATCTATTTCTTCCCCTATTTATACATGGTTGGTTTCTTATGAATTAAGTGAATTATGACCTTTATAATACCCACAAAAACAGAAATATATGAAATATAACATATTTAGTTGTTAAGCTAGGTTCTCAGGAGGTTCTTAAGGTCTGCTTAATAATTTACGCAATATAAATGTATTTAATTATATTAAATCCCCCAGCACTGTCAAAAAATCATTCGACTCCGCTCGCTAAACGCCAAAACGGATCCGGCTGCTCTGGCCCGCGAGGTAGTGGAAAAATGCGACCTTATTCACAAGTCCCAGCTGAATGACGTCGAGCAGATTATCTTCTACTTGAAGAATCGCAAGGATAATGCCAGCAATGGTGAGAAATCAGTTAAAAACGGAACTTTACTTTTTAATTCACTGATTAATTAAATACTCATCAGATATTCCGGACAACAACACTCACAGCCGGCGGTCGGCGGCGCTGCACACCTCGCACACCCGCTCCTCCGCTCGATCGCACAGCAGTGTGGCGGCCATGACCAGCAGCACCGGGAGCGGAGGAGGGTCCACAGGAACTACCAATGGTGTGTCCAATGCCCTGAGTGCTGCCACGCCCACGGCGGATGTGTCCATCAACAATATCGATGAGTATGTGGAGCTGCTGTACGAGGAGCTGTGTGAACGCATCCGGGGCTCGGCCATGATCCTACAAATGGCACGCAATCCAGATAATCTCGAAGAGCTAGAAAAGAACGGTAAGGAACAGCTAAGACTGGTATAAAACATTTTTATTGCTTTATTTGATCATTTTAGAAGCCTGCCTCAGCGCCTTGTCACGTGTTCTCCGCGAGGATTGGCGCAAATCCCTGGATCTCTCCACTAACATAATATACATCTTCTTCTGCTTCTCCACCTACACCAAGTTCCATCCACTTATCGTGCAATACAAGGTGGGGATAGTTCTTATTCTTATGATAAATTGCTAAGGCATTTTCTAATTGAAAAAAAGGAAGAAAGAAAAAGCTTTTAAACGTGATTAATTTAATGATTATCAAAACCAGATGCCATAAACTTTTTTGTTTTTGTGTATAAGAAAGAGTTATGCTTAAGAGCTCTTAAAACAAGAATATTTAAACCAGCTAATCTGTGTTTCTTTTATTTTTAGATTGGATCGCTGTGCATGGATGTGATCGACTACGAACTTCGACGCTACGAGACGATGCGGAATGAACTGGACGTTCGCAAGCAGCCCAATGGATCCTCCACTCCGCACTCGGCGAAGGCCAGCAAGGAGAAGCTGAACCGCAGCACCGACGACTTCCTGGACATCATGAACGAGGAGAAGCCCAAAGAGGTAGATTATCTATTTAATAAATATTTATCCAATAAGAAATAATCCATCATTCACTTGCAGATGGAGCCACCGCGCCGACGCATTCCGGAGCTTAAGCAGCGGCCCAAATCGGGAAACTGGAGCAGCTTCCATGGCTCCATGTCGTCGTCGCTGATCAAGAGCCAAATCTTGAACAGTAGCTACCACGAAGCACTTTGCGCCGGCGGTTCACCTGCCGGCGATCCCCCAGCTGTGCCCGCTGAACTTAAGGCCCAAAGCAACGAGTCGCTGGACAGGAACGATCCCAAGGTTAAGAAGGAGGAGATCGATCGGCTGAACAAGCAGCTAAAGATCTTCGCCAAGAAGCAGGAACAGCTGCTGCGTGTGGCCTTTTATCTGCTGCTGAACATGGCCGAGAATGTAAAGCTGGAGGAGAAGATGCGCCGCAAGCATGTTGTCAAGATGCTGGTCAAGGCGCTGGATCGCCAGAATATTGATCTCCTGATGCTCGTGAGCACGTTCCTCAAGAAGCTATCGATTGTGGGCGACAACAAGGACGAGATGGGCGCGCTAAACATCGTTGCCAAGCTGCCACGATTGTTCCAGAGCACGCACACAGATCTGGTTCAGGTCACCTTGAAGCTGGTCTTCAATCTCTCCTTCGACGGCGGACTGCGTCGCAAGATGATTTCCGCCGGCTATCTGCCCATGCTGGTGATGTTCATCAACGATGAGAAGCATCACGGCATTGCCGTGAAAATCCTCTACCATATGAGCTTGGATGACAAAGTGAAGGGGATGTTCACGCAAACAGAGTGCGTGCAAATGGCCACGGATGCCATAATCCTCAACCTTAATGTTAAAGTCGATCTGGATCTCATTGCCTTGTGCATAAATCTCTCTCTGAATCGCCGGAATGCCCAGATCATGGTGGAGGGCCAAAGGTTGCATAGCCTGATGGATCGCGCTTTCAAGTACCAGGATGCCTTGCTGATGAAGCTGCTGAGGAATCTCTCGCAGCACGAATCCCTGCAGCTGCAATTCATCGACTATGTTGGGGATCTAGCGCGCATTTTGACCATCTGCGATGACGAGGCTTTTATAGTGGAGTGCCTGGGTATTTTGGGTAACCTGGCCCTCACCGACTTGGACTACTCGCAGATCCTGCAGAACTTCCAGCTGATTCCCTGGATTAGGCAGCTCCTGGTGCCCTGCTCCCGAATGGATGATCTTGTGCTGGACACCATCGTTTACTTGGGCACCTGTGCCTGCGACGAGTTGTGTGCCCTGCTGTTCTGTCGCGCCAAAGTGGTTATATCGCTAATTGAATTGCTGAAGGCCAAGCAGGAGGATGACGAGATTGTGCTGCAGATCATATTTGTGTTTCAGCAGATCTTGCGGCACGAGAGCACCAGGGAGTACATGATCAAGGAGACGGAATCGCCAGCCTATCTGATCGATCTCATGCACGACAAAAACGAGGAGATCCGCAAGGTGTGCGACTATTGCTTGGACATAATTGCCATCAGCGACAGCGAGTGGGCCAAGCGCATCAAGGTGAGTTGGTTGTTGACGGCCAGGTTCAATATGGAATCGCTGGGTAAACCCGTTTTTTTGCACTGAATTACAATTGGCATCATTCCTTTGGCAGCTGGAGAAGTTCCGCAACCACAACTCGCAGTGGCTGTGCATGGTGGAATCGCAGCAGGATCAGGACAATGAGCAGGACTACGCCGACCAGGAGGACGAGTGCGACAACGATCTGGACACGTACCTGCGCTCCGAGTACTTGGACAACTCTGATCTCTACAACCACGACAACGCCGACAATGACAGTAACAGCAACAGCAACCATAGTAACAACAATCCGGCCAGCCCGGCCATGTCCACCTACAGCAGGCCTCTTAGCACGTAAGTTCCAGATCCAAATAGAATCGCAGTTCGAATTGAACCTATGCGTGATCGTTTCCTTCGTACAGCTACCGGCGCAGTCAGGATCTCGATGATCTGTACAACATGACCTCCAGTTCGAAGTCGCAGGGCTCCAGCGACAATAACTTCATGTTCAAGTCCAACAAATCCCTGGATGCCGACGGCCTGCACGAAGAGCTGCTGATGGCTTAAAACTGGACAGAGGGCGGTGACCCACAAACCGATCAAATTTTAATTAAGAAGCTTCTGCTGGTGCCCCCCGTGTACATGTTTAGTCACTACCTATTAATGACCTTCTGCTACGATTTATAGGATATATATACAATACTTTCACGCTTGTTAGTCAAAGACGTTAAATGATTTTAGCGACGCGGCAACTTTGTACTCAAGACATTCAATTCGAGCAACGGCGCACAGTTACAAGTCTAATTTTAGTTTGGTTACTTATTACTCATTACGTGTTTACTGATTTTTTTTTGTTATTTATTAATATTTAATTTATTGAGGCCTTGTATAAGTACGATTTACCGCTTAGCTTCTTTTTGGTTGCTCGCAATGCAATTACTGTGCAATAATCTCTCACTCAAAGTATTACGTCAAACGGTTTTAGTTATACTTGTTTAGTTTACCGATCCTTAATTTTTGGTTGTTTATAGCATACCTTACGAACGAAAGTCAAATTGTAATATTAAACGACGGGCGAAAAATGAACAGAAAGAAACCCCGAAGAATATATACAAAGCTAATGTAAATGTTCAACAAGTTTGTTTGGTTTTTTGTCTGGCATTTCAAAAAGGTGAGTTTAAATAAAATCTTTAGGCTCTGGATTTTAATATAATATTTAGCTCGTTTAACCAAGATGAACCTGCGTTTTGAAAATAATTTAAAATTATATACAATTAAACAATTTGAAATTATATTGGTTTTTTATTTTGTGTTACACAATAAGGAATATTAAGTTGCAGTTCGTTTCCGAAACATACTTATGACAGTGGCTAGACCGATCCGATAAACATGCATATATCTATGTACGTGTATATATAAATAGAAGAATATGTTCTCTAGTTCACTATATATCATGGATATCCATAAGGCGAGGCCTCCTAGCGTTCAATGTTAACCTAAAACTAGATCTCTTCTTCAGCATTGGCTTTTCTCATTGATTCCTGCTTCGGATCGCTTTGACTTTCTACGTGTAGTGTCATATACACAGATGGATTGGATTATGTCTCATCTGCCGCAGTTTAGGACTTAGACTAGGGTTTAACAAATTTTTACACAAATATCAGACAAAGATATACATATAAATATAGAAAATATCGAGTAGAAGAGTGGGATAGGTGTAATGCGTACAACAAAGCGCTAAACAAATCTACATATACAGCCACCTAAGCCCTAAACAAATATCGCTAGTCCAGATAGTCCATGGTCTTGATGAACTTCACCACGGATCCGAAGAGCGTCCAATAGAACTCGTCCTCGCCCTCGAGCTTCTTGCCCAGAAAACAGCTGATATACTCCACGGTGGACAGCAGATAGGGGGGATTGGCCTGTGGAACAAGGTAGTTTATTAATGTAGTTAATCGACTTGGAATGGTTTCCAGGGGTCACTCACCATTATCACCACGTATATAAGCACGGGCAGCAGGTCATCCGCAGCGGGCACACGACCACTGGACATTCGCAGCAGGCTCATGATGCTCGAAATGCAGCTGCATGGTTTATAATAAAGTAACATTAATAAAATATATGGAAAATCATTAAGCACACAATACTCACTTGATGATGCATTGCAGCTTCTCGCGCGGCGTCTTGTAGGCGGTCATGTGGCACAGCTGCTGCTGGGCAAACGTCCATGGAGCCTCGCCCAGATACTCCTGGGCGATGCACAATGCCGGATGGGCGGGATGCACGAACCGCTGGAGTTTTCCAATGTGAGCGGAGAGTACCTCGTCTCGCGATACATCGGCATCCTCGTTGGGGAACATCACCTGCTCGTACATCTGCTCCAGCAGCATCCTTTCGATGGCCACGCGTGCCGCATCGACCTGCCACTCGTCCTGGAGATCCGCACTGGAGCGCAGCTCTTGCAGCAGGGACTCCACGAACTCCTCGGTGAGCTCGACACGTTCATCGCTGGCTCGCAGCTGGCCAAACTCTGTTTGGAACTGCTCCAGCTTCTCCTGCTGGCGTGTCCAGGTCAGATACATCCTGACCAGAGCCTGCAACAAGCATCTCTGGCTACTACGCGCTTCGCCACGCAACCGCGCCTCCAGCTGCTCCAGTTGCTCCGACCGGAGCAGGAGCTGTTGCCTGTGTCGCATCAGGTACTGCAGGTAGCTCTGCCTTCGCTCAAGATCCCGTTGCAGTTCGGCCAGCAGCTGGCCATGTTGTGGGCGCTCCAGTTGGGCCAAACAACGCAGTGCCTCGGCCACGTGCGAGATTTGGGGTAGTCTCTGCAGGCTTATGCACTGCGCCAGCTGGATCTGCAGATAGATTTGCAGCGGTGTGGCCATCGTGGTGGTCGTGGCCGAGGTCTGCCGGAAATCGCCGCTATGCAGATCCGTCCGAGACAGCACCGTTCGGAGCTTCTGCTTTACACTGCCAAAAGCCACGCCAGGGATTTGACTGCAAAGTTTATAAATGGTTAAGATGATTAAGTAGCGGGAACCCCATTTACTCACCCTCCATTCATGTGCTTGTGCAGATGGGCAGCCGCTCCTCCGGCGCCCGCCGACCCTACTCCTCCATGGCCATTGCCCGTGGAATCCGAGTTGGTCGCCTCGCTGGAACTGCTCACCTTGCGGCGGTACTTGGCCAAGATGTCCTCGCTCGTATCACAGTAGTGGGTGCCGAAATTATCGCATCCGGCACTGGGATCGAAGCTAACGCTGCGGCTATCCGTTTGGGCATTGGAAGTGGTGGCCACCGGATTGGGCTGATTATTGGGGTTACTTTGACCCTTGGCACTTGTTCCCCGGCGATTCTTGAAGATTCCCTGCTTCAGTTTGTTGAAAATGCCAGCGCCGTGGTGCTCTCGCTCCCGATCTCGATCCCTATCCCGATCTCGCTCCCGATCCCGCTCGCGATCTCTTTCTCGATCGCGTTCTCGCTCTCTGTCCCTTTCTCGATCCCTCTCCCTGTCCCGATGATACGGCTGCTTCTCCTTGTCCGCACTGGCATCGAAACTAATGCTCTTTGGTATGGCTCCAGTGGCTTTGGTGGGTGGCTTCAAGCCCGATCCTCCAGCTGCTGCTGCTGCCGCGCCGCCAGATGCCTCCGCCTCTGGCCTCAATCCACCTGAGCCTCTTCGCTCCTCCAGCTGCAACTGCTGGGTCTGCACACACAGCAGCATCTCCTGCTTGTCATCATCAGTTTTGGGCAACATGGAGTTCAGCATAATCTCGTGATTCTCATAGTTCAAGCTCTGATGGCGCCGCATACTGCCCGCCAGGATGCCATTGCGTCGGCCATCGATGATGGCTGATCGTTGCTCTATCGAGATGCGTCGATGCTCTACATTGGGTGACGAGTTCCCAACTCCTCCGACCTGTTCATCCTGGTTGAACATATCCAGAAGCTGCTGGACCAAGCCTGGCGGCTGCTCCGATTCCCTATTTCTCGCCAGTTCTTCCTTGTCCTCGCTGCAGTCGCTGAAATCGATGAGATCCCGATGCTCCTTCTCCTGCTGCTGGTGTTTCTTCTTCTTGAGGGCCGACCTCTCCCTCTCCCTCTCTCGATGGTGATGATGATGGTCGCGATGGTGGTGCTCCCGGTGGTGATGATGGTGCTTGCCCATAGGGGGCGGCGGTTCCTCTAGGTTCAGGCTTTGATTACTAATGCTGCTCTCCGCGGAAGTTTGGCGACGCATGCAGGAGGTGCCCATGAGCGGGGTGGTCTTACGGCCGCTGGAGTCGGCTCCACTGCACTTGTACTGCTGCTGGAAGCTACTCTCGCCGCCCAGCACATGGTAGCTGGTCCGCACCGAGCTTCTGGCCAGTGAAGAAGCTCCATGGTATAGATTGGCATCATCATAGGAGTTGACTGCATCGAAGAAGGCTGAATCCTCCTGGCTTCGCTCGCTTCCATTTCCCCGATCCGGATCGGGTTCGCCATCGCCACTGCTGCCCGGCGTCTGCTCATCCTCATCGTCGTCGTCCAGGACCGCAGCCAATGGCGCCGCCGTATCCGACTTGGCCGTAATGGAAACATTATCGTCTGTATCTATTTCAGCCAACTTCTCTGAATCGCTGGCCAGGACATCAGTGCTCCAATTGCTCTCCGATCGCTGATCCGAGGCGTCCAACTGGGGCCCGTGGACGCCCGGAACTCGGCCAGCTCTGGCCAATGCCTCGACCACAAAGTTGTTATCACCCGGCAGGACGACGGCGGAGGGTATCAGGGGAGTGGAGAAATTCCTGTCCCTGTCACCGCGCTCGCTCACGGTGGCGTCCAGAGTGTTCTCCGAGTCCGAGGCCAGCACATCCGTGGACCAGGTGTCCGAAATGATGCTCACATTCTCGTCCCCCTCGAACTTTTTCAGCTCGAATTTGCAGAACTTGTCCTCGATGTCGGATCTAGCCTTGGAAAGCAGCATCTTTTGCATTTGCGGATTGGCCGCCACTCGGGCATGGACGCCATGGTGGTGGGCCAAATCCCCGCCAGCGCCATCGCCATCGGTCACTTGCGAAGACGGTGTATCCCGGCCACTGATGTTGGGTGTTCCCCTGCCCGAAACATTCGCTGAAACCATATCGGATAGGTTGTCCTCGTTTTCATGGACATCTCGCTCCTGCTGCTCCTCCAGGTCCAGCGAACTGGCCACGGAATGTGCCGCCTCACTGATGGCCTCCAGATTATCCGAGTTCCCTATCGAGGCATCATCCTGCGGTCTCCTCATGGCCTCAAGGCTGCTCACATCATCGTTGTTCGAAGACGGAGCCAAGGGAGCTGTGGTAACTACCGCTGGCAGCAGATTACTGGCATCCTGACCGATGCAGTTCATCTTCAAGACCTCCTCCTCCGTCAGGGGCTTCAGTTTACTTTTGGCTGCCGCATTATAGATGCTAAATACGAGAACGGGATCGGAGCAAACGGACATGTCCAGAGGATCATTCGTTGTCTGGATGTTGGCTCCGCAGGAACTCAAGCTGGTGTTGCTGCCGCTGTGCGAGGAACACTGCTCGAGATCTGCTCCTAATCCTCCGCTGCCATTCGACGTGTTAGCCTGGCCATTGGTAAGAGGCTCCACTGGAAGGGGAGGATTGTGGTTACTACTACTGCCACTGCTGAAACTCATGCCTTTGGCCAGCTTCATTTTGGTGGCCTTGCCCAGGCTCATCAGACTCTTGTTGCTTTTTTTGCTCTTCTCGGGACTTTCTCGGGAATCGGGCACATCCTGGGGCACTGGCGGCTGCTGCTGTTGTTGCTTCGGTATCCTGCTGAGAATCCTCTGCAATCGCTGCCTCTCCTCGACGGATATATCGTATTCCTCTCTGGCAGTTAGCAACCGAAAGAACTCCACAAGCTGCGCCAGTTCCCTCTGATTGATGGCCAATTGGGCACGCTCAAAGTCACTTTGTTGCGGCAGTATGGCCACCACATCCTCGCCCGTCTGTCCCAGCATCAGCAGGTCCATCAACTGCACCAGTTCGCTATCCTCATCGTTAAGTGCCAGTCGTTGGAGCAACCTCACAATCTGATTGAGATTGTGCCGCATCCGTTCGCTCACGTTTACATCGATGATGCCCAGGAGATCAGCACTGGCAATCGCTGGTGAAATGAAATGTGTGAATACCAAATCGGTGAGCAACTGCCGGATCTCCTGTTCCTCGTGGCGCTGCGTCTGACGAAGCTGCTGACTCAGTGTTTGGAACAGCCATCTTAGGGAACTGGGAAATAGCGCCCAACTCTGCTGAAGACTTCTCACAAACACCTGGACATGTGAGTGCAATTTTCCCAGCGTTTCTGCATGGAATCGGGCCACATTCCGCTGGTACTCCTCATCGCCCTCCCGACCAAAGCGCTTCTCCCGCTCTTTCGTCGTAAAGGTCTGCATTAGCTTGTGAGGATCCAGATCCAGCCAAATCTCGTGCTCACTTAGCACACCCATCAGCGGGGCATGCAGGGCGGCGGTCAGGAATATCCTTGCCGAGAACAGGCTCTCCACCAATCGCTGATACAGTCGGGCAAAGGAGCTGCTATTGGTCCTCAGCAAACGCCTGGGCTGTTCGCTGGTCAGCAATTGGATTTCGATCAGTTCCCGCAACAGTTTAAGCAGCAGTTCCACATCCTTGGTGTTGATGGCATTGCCATACAGACCTGTGGCTATGGTATTGATAATCTGGCCGAGTTGGTTGGCCGAAAGCAGGGATAAACGATCCGCGGTGGCCAGGGAAAGGGCCAACAAATAGGGTGTATTATACAGGTAGTTGAACAGATCCTCGTAGGCCAAGGCGTGCTGGAAACGAGGATAATAAGGACTGTAATCGTATATTTCGTAGATCACTTAAAACCCCTCCCAATCCTCACCTCATAGGGCAGCAACTGCTTGGCGTCCATGAACTGGGCACTGTCGTAGGCACTTGCTCTGCGGCAGGAGAGCAGCGGATCGTGATCCGTTCGGGCCAGGAGAAGCTCATTGAGGATCTGCCGCTGCTGGGCACACACAAAGGCCAACTACGAGAAGGTAGGAATATAAATCACTATTGTAATCAATTCTTTAGATAGCACCCATCAAAAAACCTACCTTGGTTATGGTCCCTGCGTTGGTTTCCAAGGCCCCAGTGAGTTGGGAAAAGGCCAACTGTTCCTGCTGGATGAAGAGCTGCTCCTGGCGAAGGGTGCGGGCCAGGTCCATGATTTCCAGCAGATTGCCAGCAGCTGGTGGCTCCATGGTGTAGCCGTTGCTGGCTGGAAAACGAAAGCATTTAACATTGGGTTATTATCGAAATTTAATAATGGGGAACTCCTCAATTAAATTCTTATAATTTTTTTTTTAATTTTATTTTATATCGCAGTGCTATATTTTATAGCCATTACCATAGGGTACCCAGCAAATTCTTTTAATACCTATGTACGTTTAAATTTTGCATGTAACGATACGACAAGTTAACCATCGAGTAGTCTACTTAAAATAAATGCGAATTATTTTCTATTTCTGCTTTAAACTCATTTTCTTGGATTTATTTCAGTATAGAACAATAGTTCAATCGTTTATCAATTTCCGTAAATATACAATGCCTTTATATAAATCCAGAAATTTCCAGAAACTAAAATATTCTCTGAACTGCATTTGATATGCCCCAATTAAATAATGTATTTATTCATTTTTCAATTAAATCAAATATAAGTTTAAATTTAGGGAGAATCGGGTTCCGCGTGTATCAATCAATCTTCTCTGTCATTTGAACTGCGAATTCAGCTTATTTTTTATTCTCAGTTGCAATCATTTTCCCATCCGTTTTTCCCATTTCCACTGCCTTCAATACTGCGCATTGGCGCAATTTAAATTGCTTTGCATTATTTATGGGAATGTATGACATTTGATATCAGTTTGTTACTGGTCTCAAATAGATCCCAAGCCGTCAGCTAGTTTAATGGCTGGGCGCCAGTTAATTGATGAACATAAATATTTAACACTTAATGGATGGCAATGGGGATTTAAAGCCAAATTGATTTTAAAATAGGCGAAAGCTCCCAAATCGTTTGAATGCGAAATGCATTAGTATGTTTATTTTGAAATTTTTGTAGAATTCGGTCTATATTACCTTTTTTACTTTAATTGTTTTTATTAAATGTTTAAGCGTTTAGAGTCATACAACTATTTGTGAAAAGCGATTAAAGTCACTACTAAGTGGATGAGATGGGTGTGCTAAAATCGTGATTAATTCATTTAGGTGTGGTTTCGAACTTCTTTGTACTTAATTCTCTGAAAGTCCCTATAGCCTGACCTTATTTCCCATTGTTTGCACCTATGACGTCTGAAAACGTATGGGAAATCGTATCACGAGCTCAGCTCTAATTGGGATCACTCGAATACAGTTCATATTGGCTAACAAGAAATATTTGAAATGTCCCTTTCGCTTTATTTAACATAACAATTTTAGTCAGATATGTATTTGAAAATCTGTTACAACACATTTCCCATGTTCAATTTATCAAAAAAATATCCCAATTGTTTTTCAAATAAAAGTGTATTTGTTGTTTAAATATAAATAGTGCTTTGTCAAGAGAGAACCCTCGGTTATATAAAAGTTTAAACAAGTGATGTCACAACTTTACATTAAAAACTCTCGAATTTTAGTTAACAGTTTGGAGCGAGCACTGTAGTTCTTTATAACCGATCTTCACTGCTTGTATGTGCAAAAGAGCAATTCAAAACCGTCCAAAAATCTTTAGATGTTCGCTGTTGAAATGGGTTAAATGTGGCACGGAAAATGGTTTTGTTTGTAATCACGGTTTCGATTTCAGTGCCTCGGCTTTTGTTTTTAGGCCTTGGTCAAGGGCAGACGTCAATTACGAAGCCAATGCCCTGTCACTCGATCCTCCATCCCGCTCCCACGACTCCCCCAAAGAGAGGAGACAGCAACAAATATTTGCGCCTCAATTAACGGCTATTTGTTGTGCAGGTACAGTGACGGTCAAAATAATAGTTTGCCAGAAACCAAACAAATGCGGGGACAATGTTGTAATGGGCACAGTAAGTTTAAGGGGAAAAACCACAAACACTTTAATATAGCGCAATACAAATAAATAAAAAAAACCAATGACTAATATAATATGAAATCATTTTGGTTTTCTGTATAAAAAACATTTTTCCTTGAAATGATATAGCAAAAGAACTAAAAACAATGTTTTTTTAAACATTGTATGCGAAAAAAGCCACCTGGAGTGCGCTCAATCAAATATTAAAGCTCAACAAGAATGCCAAGTAAGCCAACTAATTATAAAACTTTAAAAGTTACTGAGAAAAGAGCCAGCTGAAAACTTTTTAGCACCATTATTTTGACGTCAGCTGTTGCATTTAGTTAGTAAGATTGTCTATGAGCAATTCTATTTGCTTTTAATTTTATCTTATCGATAAGTGTGTGAAAGTCTTTGGGCTTCTTTTAAGATAAACAATAGGTTGGGAATATTGTTTATTGACGGTGACTGTTTTTGGATATGTAGTGAACAAATAAAAACAGTGAGGAATGTGCAAAAAGAAAAACAAAACAAATCTGATTTGTTGCGCTCATTACACTCACACAAACACAGTGGAAATTGGGGGGTGGATTTGCAGTTGTGTGGGTGCTTTAATAGTTTAGTTTATTTCGTTATTTGTTGTGCCAAGCACTCGAAATAAAGGGAGAATTGCACAAAAAACAAAGCACAATATAAACAAGTAACAAAAATGAAAAGTAAAACCAAAGCGTAGGTCCGTTATGTGGGCGCTAATTGCGGGAGTATGTGTGTGCGAGCAAGATGGAGCTAACAATAAGCGAAGGTTAAAATGTTGTTGGTGTTGTTGTTGCTCCTTCTTCTCTCCTCCACATCTTTCTTCTCTCGCCTTCTTTTGCCACCCCACTTTTTGTTGTTGTGTTTTTATGAATGAAAGTCTTGGTTTTTGAACAATTTGTTAAGTGTTACACACTTACGCACAGACACACACACACACACAGCACTTTTGCGCATTCACTTCTACTATTTAATTGTTTATCCTTTTTTTTCGCAATTTTTACTTACTCCTGCGCCTGTGCTAAGAGCTTAACTTAAATTAAAGTGCATAAACAAACGGAACGGGAAAATAAATAAATTATCACACGGGCAAAACACACACACGCGTCTCCAAAAAGGAAAACAACAAAAACAATTAACTGCTATCGGTTTGGGCCAAGACTATCGATAGTCGGCACTCGATATGCGTGCGGGCCGTTGGCCAACACTGGTTTAGAGTGTCATAGCTAAGGTCACAGCTGTTCAGTAATTTAATTTTAAAACAAATTTCCAGAAACTTGCGTTGTAAAAGAGAAATTTAAAAGTTTTAAAGTAATTAATTGGCATATTTAAGATGCCCAAGGTGCGCCGTAGTCGTAAACCTCCGCCAGATGGCTGGGAACTAATAGAACCCACACTCGAGGAACTGGAGCAAAAAATGCGCGAGGGTAAAACAAGCGTGGCTTCTCTTGAAAAACATATTTAACTATTGAATATATTTGTTTTTTGAACAGCCGAAACGGAACCGCATGAGGGCAAACGCATTACGGAATCACTGTGGCCCATTTTCAAGATCCACCACCAGAAGACGCGCTATATATACGATCTGTTCTATCGCCGTAAGGCCATTAGCCGGGAACTGTACGACTATTGTCTAAAGGAGAAGATTGCCGATGGCAATCTGATTGCCAAGTGGAAGAAATCGGGATACGAGAACCTCTGCTGCCTGCGCTGCATCCAGACGAGGGACACCAACTTCGGGACGAACTGCATCTGCCGCGTGCCCAAATCCAAGCTGGAGGAGGGTCGCATCGTCGAGTGCGTCCACTGCGGATGTCGCGGCTGTTCTGGATAGATCCCATATAGACCATGTACATGATCTATGATACACCACCATCCTCACATAGCTCAGTAGGTTCCATTCTAGATTCCGCCTGGTTTCTCCATAGTATGTAAATACCTTTTAATACAAGCCACAAATATATTTAAAAACATGCAAAACATTTGTAAGCCGCTGCAATAAAACAATTGTGTAAATGACAAGGCGCCAAAACTAAATGCTGTTAAATATCACAAGAGACTCCACATATTAAGGGGTTTATAAGGATCAGTTAACAATCTTTTTTTTTACAAATAATTATTCAAAAATAAAAATTTGTAGTATATTTATAATGAAAATTGTACTTCATTCCTGCTTATAAATGTTGTAAATTATCGCAAATCCTTGACGAACAGTCGATAATAATTAATAGACTATTTGTTTGGGAATATAGTATCTTGTTTAGGGATATCTACAAGTACACAACTTTATATAACATTTTCAATAGAATTTCAAGGGAATATAGCATTTGAAAAAATTCCATTTCTTCTACAAATATTTGTACGTAAATTTATAAATGTGAATTATCTCGCATATATTTTAAGTTCACTAGAGTAAATATAAGATTTTTTAATCCTAGCTTAGAAAAATTCGAATCGTTAAGAGAAGTTAATAAAACAGCTTTGCCACATAAACTGATATGTATAAATTATTCCGATGAGTATCCAAAAGCAATTTCTTTACTTAAATTCAAGTACAAAAAAACATTTTTATTTAATGGGTTTAATAAAACTAGGTTCTTGAAAGCAAAGTAATACAAATAATTGGATTTATTTCGACCAACAGAATAGAATAGTAAAATAAGCAATTGAAATTTATACGTCCTCCTAATGCTTTTTTTTGCAGTTTCCCTTTAACCGATATCTACTATACATATATTTTAATTTAATGCCTTGGACAATTTATTGCTGCGCTGACATAATTCAAACTCAATGTCGTTTGGGATGTGGGATGCGGCGGAGTCTCCTTCATGTGCGTGTATTTATGGTCGCTGGCTCCTCGATTTAAAATACTCTTGCTGAGGGTACAACACTTTTTGTTGGTCATGGCTATAAAATATTTAAAATATATTTGTTATATATATAAATAGCTAAAGATATCTACGAACAATTAAAATTTTCCAGCTCAGATAAGATATTGACAAACATCAAGGGTATTTAAAACTTCGGTATACCAAATTAGCCATGCCTTGTTCTATTTTATTTCACTCTCCTCGAGCTGGAAAATTGTCAGGCTTCAAGTGCTCCTGCGGGGTTTTGGACGAAATAGTGGGGGTCGGTCAACTGGGATTTGGTCGAAAATGATTATAAATGGTTTTTTAATTATACTTGTCTGCATATTTTCTCATTTGCCACCCAAACGCAGCGGCGTCGATTTTATTGTTCACATTGAAAATGGATAATGGTGAATGGAAAATGGGAAAAATTGAAAATTATTGTCCTTCTGCCGATGACAGCTTGCCCCCATCTGGCTGAATGAGAGATTTCGAATTAAAACTGCTTTCGGCCACTAAAAATACTCAATTGTTTTGCCAATTATCCAGCGGAGTTATTTAAGCGATTTATGTAATTCGAGTGGCACATTTGGGGTCAAATAAAATATGGTGTGGCATATGGCGTTTTGACCATCGAAGTTAATAATAAAAATGGGTTAAATGGAAACGAAGTTGGCGACTGAAAGGGATGAAACTTTTTACGAACTTTCGTAATATATTTCCAATCCTCTTAGCAGATGGCACTTGGAAATTTGGTTTATCAAAAAGTGTGACTAATATTTTAAAGTGAATATTTTTTACCAAAAATAGTTTAAATAGGAAAGTTTGGTTGAGTTTTATCAAAAATTATATAATAAATCTGTAATTTCGGGGAATTCCATTTAAGTAATATATGTATACATTGGAAATTTCTTAAGCAAAAATTTAAGTAATTAATTATTTGTTTACAAACATTTTTAAATTCTTCTTTAAATGGTTAGTGGGCATAATTCACAGATTTAACCCTTTTATGCCTTTTTAACAGGTCGCTGAACCTCTGATGGGTGTTAAATTAATTATTGCACTAGCTGCGGTCTGATTTATGGGTTAATCCTAATACCCACTCCCATCGCCTGCAACAAGCCGCAACTTGTTTTGGTCCCTATCGAAATTGACCCCTTAATATTGGTTACCTGATTGGGAAAACCGCGCCCAGATGTATTTTAGCCGCAGTAGGAAAATAACAACTATTGCAGGTAGAACGCCAATAGATTGGCCCTTATCTCATAACGCCGGCTGATCCCCCAGTTGAACGGATGTATATTTGCTACAGCAGGTTGATTTTCCACAAGTTCCCAACATTTGTTGACATTTCAGGTCAGATAAGCCAAATCAGTGAGGTTGGTGATAAAACCCCAGCTGAACTTAACCTTGGGATTATTATGGGTTTCAAACACTGGATGGGCATAATAAAAGGGTATTTACATTCAAGTATTTGCATTCGTGTTGTCTTTTCCTTTAACAAATCTATTGTCACAAGCATTATTGTATTGTAGTATAACTTAAACTTAAGTCACTTTCATGAACAGTCTAAATATTTATTTTCGTACAATTGTTTAATCCAATTTTGTTGCAAAGAAGAATGTGTTAGTTATTTATGAATATATTGTATATATTATTAATAAAAAGTTTAAATGACATATTTTTATAGAAATACACAATTATACATTCCTATTATGTTGCAAAGTATATTCATATTCATATTGTTTATGAATATTTTAAAATAGCCAAATATATTATTATTAGTTTAGTACCATTAAATTTAAATTTGAGAGGGAATGTATTTACTTTGTAGAAACTTAAGAACTTATTGAGACACTGTTTCATGTCTAATAAAAAAAATTTTCCTACTGATGTAATGATCCTAAAATGTAACCATTTTACTAGAGCCATTTAAATGCTAGGTACTTTATCAGTTAATACCATTGAACCATGGTGAATCCCAATCATCTGGGTGAATCATTTTGGTCACACTTGATCTTCGTTTTGAACTTTGGTCCCATCATCAGGTAGGTGGAGAGGTATGTTTCCATATTTCCCCTCTAATCCCTTTGTTTACATGTCTGCGATGCGTCGGCCAATCCGAAAACAGGTAGGCGGTGCCCCGAAAATCGACACAAACAAGATCATAAAACCCACTGACCATTCATGAAGGTAGAACGGCGGATAACCCATCATCCATTGGGGGTGGTGCTACCTAGTAATATTACCTGCTAGATGGTATAAAATAGGGCTGACCATTGGGATAGGGCATCATTAGCATTTGAAAGTTCGTCGAGAGCAGACACACATCATCATCATCATCAGCATATCGCAATGGAACGGAGTCATCTTTACTTGCCCACTCTGAGCTACGCGGCCATGGGTCACGTATACGCACCGTATATCGGAAGCACTTCGCCCGCCTCAACATCATCGTCATCATCGAAGCCGGAACAGATCGAGGAGCTGGTGTCCCAGCAGCTGCACCATCTGAAGATGCACTACGCCGACGAGGAGCAGCGCTACGTGGACCAGATGCTGCTGGAGAATCCCATTGTGGTGGAGCGTCGAGCACCGCCGCCGTTGAAATCGGAGATTGTCGTGGATCAGGGCTCGAATTCGGGATCCGGTTCGGGGTCGGATGTCAAGGAGGCCAAGGATGCACAGCGTCAGCGGGCGGAGTCGTGCCGCAAGTCCCGCTACAACAACAAGATCAAGAAGGCCAAGCTGCGCTTCCGGCACAAGTTCGTCAGCGGCCAGCTGAAGAAGAGCGCCGTGATGCTGGACACGATGCGGGATGTGATCGCGCAGGCGGAGCGGCAGCTGCTCGACCGGGGATTCCCCGCCGCCGCCCTCGAGCGGATGCGCACCACCTTCGGCCTGGAAATGGAGCACTGACCATCATAATCACCATTACACTACATCGAACACATACAAATCCGAAGCACCGGAATAGGAACGGATCCCTGACTAGTCCAGCATTAGCCACACCACTTTTTTTTCTTGTTGACTATATTTAGTTACTTTAGTTACTCTAAGCATATTATTAAATTTTTAAATAAACACTATGAAATATTTTGGAAAATCACGGAGTTCTCATTTTTTTTTCATAATTCTAGCAAAATATTCAAATCATAATTTCGACTTACAGAAAAACAAATCCTAGACAGGGAAAAAAGATAATACTGAAACCATTTCTATCAATTTTTATTCGGCTATAAGATCCATTCCATTAATTGTATCTTAAATTCTTACAAAAAGTAAGTACATTTCGTTGTCTTTTCATAAAACTGCACCTGGTTAAAAATATGTAGCATTTGGGAGTACAACTTAGTTTTTTAGCGAAGCTCGTGGAAAAACTCTGAGATTATTAAATAAACATGAGAACTCGTTAACTCAACAAGAATTTGGAATATTTGAAGGGCACTCTGGGAATATTTATCCTGCATTTAACGCTTGGCCAGTCTCGAGGATTTCTTGCCCTGCCGAAGGTAATCCCATCGAAATTGGGCCAATGCAATGCACCCATTTCGACTTGGTTAAGTTCAGTTCATTTGATCCAACATGATTGCACTTTGCTTCCCCCGTTTCACGTTATTTTCGTTTCTTCCTCGCTTGCGAACAATTTGCGTTGCCAAAAGCAGCAAATGCGATGGAAGTAATGGCCTTAAAAGGGGTGTGGTAAGAGATTGTGGCTAAATTTAGTGGGGCTACCAAAAAGGGATACTTCTGGCTGGGTATTAACTTTAAGAGACCACGAATCACACAGCTATTTGAAAATAATATATATTTTTAACTACCCAAAAAAAACACAAAGTAACTCTATTTAAATGCATCTGTGCCTTAAAAAATAAATCTTTTGGCCATTGTATAAATGGGTGAGACTAGAAAATTCGCATACATATTTGTATTCTGTTATATAAATTTTTAAAATATAATTGGTTGCCTTTTGAAGGTATCTTCTAGTCGTTGGCTATTTGTGGATTAATTTTTTTAATAGCAGAACATCGGGGAAAAATGCAGAAAGAAAATAAAACGAATGTAAAAACGAAAGTATGAAACGCCTTCCGCCACAATGGCCAATCGAATTTCAAGCTGATGCTCGCTCAAAAATTTCATTTTCACGTGCCAGGTTACAAATGATTTCATCGCTGCAGTTTTCCTTGCATTTTCCTCGCATTTTCCAACTTTCTGCTGCTTCTTGCCTACGCACGTCTCACTCTTATTCGCTCACTCACTCACTCAAGTGCACACAATGGTCTCAACGTCATCAGTGTGGCGAAAGGTACTTTTATTACACCCTACTAGGGTTACACTTTTATCAAGAACATACAAATAATGTTTAAGAAAATATTTATTTTATATATATGTTAAAAAAAACATTTTTTTAATATTTTTATAGCATTTATGTCCTCTTAATGAGGTTTTCTTTGTCGGTTTATAATAATAGATTATGAATACCTTTCCCATACATAATATATTTTTATTTTTATATTTGTAACTATTGTTTAATATTGTGTTAATTTTAAAAATATTTTGTACTTCCCATCACTGCTCGTCATAATATTGAATGAGTGAAACGTTGCACCCACTTTCCTTTTCCCTTTCACTCCTTTGTAAAGTGTCGGAAAAGAACTTCAATTTGATTTTATCGCTTGGCCATAAAAGCTCAGCTCGTTTGTGTTGAATGCAGTACGCGGTCCAAGAATTTCAGAAATGAGAAGGAAAACTTAGGCGATGGAGGCGGGGGGGTGATGGAGAAAATGGGAAACTGCAGCAGACAGTATTACCAACGATAAATGTCGGTCAAAAATATACCGAAATTATAAACATAAACATAATTTTATTAACCATTGTTTCGCATTTTAAAAAATTGAAAGCTTAACAACAATCTTCGACAACACCATATAACATTACTAGTTAGTTTTATAATTTAACTTAAAGTATATGATTTTGTAGATATTATTATTGCCAATTCTAAACAATCATATTTAAAAAAGGGAACTGAATCTTTTTTAAAGGCCACAAAGATGCAATTTTAAATACTATCTACTCATGTAAAATAAAATACCTTATTAAAATTTAAAAATCTTTAAAGATTTTTGTTAATACTAAACCCTTTCGAGGTGCGAGTGCAAATATACTTTTTATTTTCTTTTCTCATATTTTTTGTTCGGAAACGAGGACCAAGTAGGATGAAGCAGTTTCCCGTTCGTGACCCCCAAGGACTGCCACATTTAAGGGGAAATTAGCAGTGTTGGCAACTCTGGACAGAAGTCCTTAGGAGGCGGAACGTGATGCGGAGTCCTGGACAAGGACCCGCATTGTCTAGTCGACGCACCTGGCACAAAGACGATAAAAACCCGCATTGTCAATGGGACTCGTCGGCGGGGGAGCGGTATCAAAACATCCGCCTTGAGACGTCCCTCCTCCCACCTCCCTTCTCCCACCTCCATCCTCCATTCAGTGCACGTTCCTAATGCGATGAATTGCTTTTTCAATTTTCCAATTTATTTTTCATTTTCAAAACTACACAAGCCGAAGTTTATTGATGGTTTTTGTTGCTGCACTCGGCAGCGTTTATCGGGCACTCGCATATATTCAGTATATAGTATCAATATATATTTATATGTATGAATGGGAAAAAGGAAACGGTGAGCTGAACCCGAAACTTTCTCACCGGACGCACAATAAAACAGGAGCACAGTGGTGAAAGTAATAATTAAATATAACTAATACATTTTTAATACTTTAAACAATTAGTTAAAATATGTTTCGAAAATATTATATTCCCCAATTTTGTATACAAGTTCAAAGGTATTTTAAAATGTTATCGAGTATTTTATAGAATAAACAATCCATTATATCATTTATAGTTTTTACACATTTATAGTTTTAGCAGAATATATCTAATAATATTGGATATATTTTTAAAATTATATTTTCAGCAAAACACTTTTTTTATGTTTTTTAGTTTCGGCAATGTACATTGAAAACTTCCCAAACAACTTTTTATTGTACTGAATTTTATGATTACAATTTAAAAATGGAAACTTTTTTTTTAACATTCCTATAAAATATTTATTAAATAGTTTTTAAAATAGAATTTATAAAATATTACCACTGTGTTACCGTTGGGCCGCTTAGCTTGACCAGCGGAAAATCTCGCTGGGGAAAATCGTCATCTAGTTTCCTTTGCTCTTTCCTTAGATTTCCGCCTTCATGCGAGTCGACTTGATTTGGCATTGAATGAAAAAGCCCAACAATAGGAATAGAAGTGACAATACTGAATGAAAAAATAAAAACTGGTGGGAGATAAGACGGGCCAAAAGGTTTCGTATATCATTAAGAAACAAATAATGTTTAAATATCCTGAAGTAAGTTTTGAAATACAACACATAATTAACATTCCTGGTTCAAAATTTGATAACAAATTTAAAAAATTAATGCGGTGAGCATTGGGCGATTTAAAATCACTTAAAAATACTGATTACATTCAGTTGTCTTTAAACAATAAAATTTCTTGAAAATCTGTTTGAGCAACTGAATTGTTATGTTTAAATTTGTGGTGTCATATTTTGTTTAAAAAATTGTATTATTATATAACAGCTTACAGGTAATATTTGCTAAGATAAAAAATAAATCCAAGTCACTAAAGAACTTATAGGATCCAAAAGTGATTTCCTTGGGAAAGGGACCCCTTGGTGGCAGCCCCAAATTACAGGGTATTATAATGATGTTTGCTTAGGAGCTGTACGACCCACACACCTGACATAACGAGACTCTAATTGCGCGCGAGTAAACAAACAAAATTGCAGGTGTCAAAACAGAAATTGGCTGGGGGAGTTATGGATATAGGATACGAAAAGGATAAAATGGGACTTCTTGGGATACTGGCCAACTTCTCGAGTCATTTGTGTTAACAAAACCCGGTCGAATGGCGGTGCTTGGTTCGCTTTTCCTGCTCCTCGTGCTGGAAAAATCACCGAACTTTACCCAACTGAATGGACTACTGGCGGAACCCATTAGGGATTTGCCCCAACTGAATCTTTACCTGCGGGAGAGTAAACAGCACCAGGATGCGGCAAATCCCTATGTCCAGTGGTTCCTGCATCAATCGAAGAAGCCTTTGAGCATCCACACATACGAGGAAAGTCAGGATTGGGCAGAAGATCCTTTTGGCCGGGACTATCTGGTCCTGGTGATGAGTTTGGGCCAACTCGTATCCAATCGTGGAGCCGCTGCTCCCAATCAGAAAGCTGGTGTTTTTTTCTATATCCTGGCAGATCAAAGCGAGGACTTAAGCGCCCAAGAACAACTTCTTTTGGAGCGCAGTTGCCGCCAATTGTGGATGCTGCACAAAATCTACAATCGTTTCTTTCTAACCAGAGATGGTATTTGGATCTATGATCCTTTCAAGCGTCGTGATTCCGCCTTTGGTCGACTGGTGCGATATTATGGGTCAGAGCCCCTGGATAAACTACTCTTCCATGACATTAATGGCTATCCCCTGCGGATTCAGATGTTCAGGTCCGTGTACACTCGTCCGGAATTCGATAAGGATACGGGCTTGCTGACCAGTGTCACTGGCGTGGACTTCCTGGTGGCGCAAATGCTTAGGGAACGACTCAATTTCACCATGCTGCTGCAGCAGCCAGATAAAAATTACTTCGGGTGAGTGCAATTTCTGAGTTTGCCAATAATAAAGTTTCAAAGTTAATTTTTATATTTATACCCTTGCAGAGGGTATTATAATTTTGGTCAAAAGTGTGCAACGCAGTGAAGGAGACATCTCCGACCCTATAAAGTATATATATTCTTGATCAGGATCACCTCCTGAGTTGATATAGCCATGTCCGTCTGTCCGTCTGTCCGTCTGTCTGTCTGTCTGTTTCTACGCAAACTAGTCTCTCAGTTTTAAAGCTATCGAGTTGAAACTTTGCACACACCCTTCTTTCCTTTGCACGCAGTATATATGTCGGAACGGCTATATCCTATAGCTGCCATATAACTGATTGATCGGAAATGCCATAACTTTGGTGTTTGTTAAGTTAGGAAGTTGGGATTTTTTATGAGTATTAAGAATGCATCATATGAATAATTTTGGAGAATATAATTTACAGAGTATTCTGCAAGGGTATATCAACTTCGGCTCCGCCCGAAGTTAGCTTTCCTTTCTTGTTTTAAATTAAAACCTTCATTTATTTAGTTTCAAGTGTTGACTGTTCTATAATGTTCTAATATTCTGTATAATTTTAAATAATACTTAGCTTATCTTGTTTTACGTTTGTTTTAAATAAAATAATTGGGAGAGCCACAGAAATCTGTAAGGTTTTCAAATCACTTATAAAAGTGCCTGAAAGTATGCAGTACAAATAAGTTTGTCCAATTTCCTGATAATTTTCAATACTATTGAGACTTTTGTAGCATTTTGTAGGTAAAGTTTAGGAGTATAGACTTTATCAGGACAATTTAAATCTGTTTACCAATTAAAGTTCAAGTTTAAATTTATTTCCTGTTCATTAATCACCTTCTATTATCTCTAATTTCTGACAGAGAACGCAGTGCGAATGGCAGTTACAATGGCGCCATAGGATTGATCATCAACGATGGCGTGGACATTTGTCTGACGGGATTCTTTGTGAAGGATTACCTGGTGCAGCAGTACATGGACTTCACGGTGGCCGTCTACGATGATGAATTGTGCATTTATGTGCCGAAAGCTAGGCGTATTCCCCAATCGATATTACCCATTTTCGCAGTGGGTTACGATATTTATTTGGGCTTCATTCTGACCGCATTTGCATGTGCTCTGATTTGGTTTACTTTGAGGGTGATCAACTTGAGACTGAGGATAGTGAGTCTGGGCAATCAGCATCTCTGGGGACAGGCATTGGGCATAGTGGTGGACACTTGGGTGGTCTGGGTTCGGGTCAATTTGAGTCACTTGCCAGCGAGTTATGCGGAACGAATGTTCATCGGATCCCTCTGCTTGGTGAGCGTGATTTTTGGTGCTATTTTCGAGTCCAGTTTGGCCACCGTCTTCATACATCCCTTGTACTACAAGGATATAAACACCATGCAGGAGTTGGATGACAGTGGCCTGAAGGTGGTCTACAAATACTCCTCGATGGCGGATGATCTGTTCTTCAGCGAAACATCGCCGCTATTCGCGAGTCTCAATAGCAAACTCACCTGGAACCGAGATCTTCGGGCGGATGTCATCGATGAGGTGGCCACATTTAGGAGCAAAGCCGGAGTGTCCAGATTCACATCCCTGACACTGGAATCCTCGCGATTCACATTGCTTCGCCAGATTTGGGTGGTTCCGGAGTGTCCCAAGTATTATACCATCTCGTATGTAATGCCAAGGGATTCACCCTGGGAAGATGCCGTGAATGCTCTACTTTTGAGGGTACTCAGCGTGGGACTCATTGTCAAATGGATCCAGGAAGAGAAATCCAGGGTGGACATTAAGATGCGGCTGAGTATCCTGGAGGCCAATGCCGAATCTGATCTTGTGAGGGTCCTAACTATTGGAGATCTTCAGTTGGCCTTCTATGTGGTCATCGGGGGAAATTTGCTGGCCTTTCTTGGCTTTTTTGCGGAGCACTTTTGGCGGAAATCACTAAAGAAGTAGTTATTTAATGGGTGGATGAATTAAGAAGAACAGCTTACGAGTTTGTAATATTTTCCATGTTTACTAACTATCAAAATTGTAATGTTAAATCTAATATTCTAAATATAAAATCCATTACAAAATCATAAAATGCATTTATTAAAAAATATGACTTTAAAATTTATATGGGACTATAGTTCCAATATTCCGAAATGATATATTTCCAACCATTTTAGATTTACCTATATATTTTCAAAAGTATACCAAGCCAAATCAAACGAATATAAAATAATTTACCAGAGGACAGTTTTACACATTTTGTTTTGTCAAATATTCAGTCATATAAAGTCAGCGAATATTTCATTTTCGTTTGCACCGTTTGTAAATTTTATTTTGGAAAGGCCAGCGGCGAAATTGAGGCGGCAATTTGAGCAGCACACACAACCAAAACGGTCAAAACAGCCAAAACAGCCAACACATCGGGCTGATATAATTTGGTCAAGTTAACAATGATACGCTACAGCGGCGATTGCAATTCTGGCCGAGACCAGTCACGGTTCAAATCGAATTGGCAGCCCCCAAAATGCAATTGGCGGTTCAAGGTTGCCATTACAAATGCAGGGCAACAGTCCCAACTGGTTTAACGGAATCCTAAAGCAATATATTTAATACAAAATATATTTTGTAAAATTAACACATTCAAACACATAAGGAATTCATCTTAAATACTTAAGTGAAATTACCACACACAAGGACTTTATAAAAAATTATTTTCTTTAATAATTTTATAAATAGATATTTATTATTCATTTGAATTTGATTTTCATAATCAAAACAAGCCATTTTAAAACAAATATTCTAAACTTTTAATTAATTTATTACTTTTCTAACTGAAAAATGTAATAATTTGACAATTTGTTTTTCCTTAAACGTTTTAACAGATTGCTTTCCAAATGTGGGTTTTTTATTTAAATGCATTAGTAAACAAGATCAGCGTTACAATTCCCAACTTATTATTATGACGATAATCACAGTGGGATATAACTGGGGTTAATTAGATTGTTTCAATACATGAAACATTGACATTTATGTATATTAATCATGATTTGATATCCTTTTCCCCATTCACCACTGTGCTCATCTCAATTACAAACACTTATGCAAGTCAATCGGTCGCTTGCGTAAATTTCTGTTTATTTGGCATTTCGGTTTCTGCACACGAAATGACAATTAAACAGCCGCATTGCGAGTGACAACAACAATTACAGCAACAGCACGTCAGTGAGCAGTTTATTTAAATATTCAAATCCGCATGGAGAATTCGGTCGGAATTTGGCGGTAGCGACACAGTCACATGAAATATGCGCGAGCTCAAGTAATCTTATCGTGACAGAAACAGCAGCATTTAACAACAATCCTGGCCAAAAAGGCAGCAAGGACATTAGAGCTGCAGGAAATGGCAAATGCGCCATTGATAAAATGCCGACTTAACCCAATAACAAAATGTCAGGCAGAAATAATACCGAAACAAAAACAGAAGGTACTAAATATATATACTAAATAAATAAAATATATTTGAAATAATAAACTAATAAAGAACACATATAAAAAATAGTAAATTATGTTCGACAATATTGAAAACTTATCTTTTCTTGAAATTTATTTTAACTATTGTTGTACTAATTTAATGATAATAATAATATTCTTTTTAGGGTTAACCACAACAATGTCATCCTTTTCATGGGCAAATAAGTCGAGTGTGCCAAATATGTTTCCTTTCTTTTCTTTATGATTTTCCATTGTGTGGAAATGCAAGTGAGAGAGTGAGAGGGAGCAATGGAGTAAAGCAGAGGGAGGGGGAGGGAAGACAAGTTGACACATTTCTCCAAAATATTGCGAGTTTTGAGTGCCATATGCACCCCCTCCTCCTCTTTCATTGATCTAATGATGCTCAGATGTCCTGCAATTTCCCCACCATTTTCCTCTCTTTTCCGTTTTCCTTTCCGTTCTCTCACCTTCTGTCACTTTCTTCTTAGGGGCCCCACATTGCCAGTTGACAGGCCATCGTCGCATCGTTCACTTTCTCCCCCAATTTCTTTTCCATTTCCATGCACCTTCGGGAACAGTGTTGTCCGGAAAAAACCTTCAATGAATTAGGATTAAGATAAAAATGTGGTTTCAAAAAAAAGTCATAGAAACATATCAGAGATTATCAGAAAAACATTTTCAAAATTATAATTTTTAAGAAATTAGTCTACTTTAAATAAAGATAAAAGTGTAGAAAACCTATAAAAATTTTTAAATTTGACTATAAAATGTATTATTGTTTAAACATAGTATTGACCAGCACACATGTCGTATGAGTAATATATGAGACAATTTCCCAGCAAAACCGCAAAAATTGAAATGAAGCTGTTTTCTCAGCACTTTTGGAAAGTGAATAATTTGATGAGTCCCAATATAGCAGAAAGAGACGGGCAGAGCGGAAAAGAAAGAGAGGAATGGACTTAGCAGGACATTTCCAGAGACACGTGACGAGCATGCTAATGAAGTACCAGAGACCAGTTCCTGATTTAAATATCAGCAGAGCCACCACTCTCTTTTTCCCAAAGGGAAAAACTCGAATTTGATGATCCCGTTAATGGGAAATTGAAAAGCACGTAGTTTTTCCGTTCGGTAGTTTCGCTTAGTGGTCATTTATGGTTAATTAATGGCTTTGATTGGCTTTTGCTCTTGTGTCCAGATGTTTTATATATTTCCATAAATGTTTTTCAACAGAAAGGAACAATATTTACGACCAAAAGCTAAAAACCAGAGCATCAATTTTTATTACCAAAAAAGAAAAAAAACAAATTCCAGGGAATTTTTCTTTGCACTTGCGGACCACTTTTTGCGAACAGTATTAGGTCCCTATGTTGGACATTTGGCTTAAAAATGTTAAATTATTTTTTCGGTGTTATATATTATATATTTTTTATCATTTTACTTAAGACAATTGCAATGTTTGTTTTAATCTGTAAATGTATACTTTAAATTAACAAATTTAAAATAAATTGAAAAAATATAAAAAAAAAACATACCATCATCATAACTCAAAAAATATTTTTTAGATAGTTTAACTTGGGGAACTTTTACTGTAGGACTTTCCTCATTTTTGTTTTCTGTCTTTACGAAAAAATGCAGCTTGGAGAAATTGAGTAAAGTTGAAATTCTAGAGAGCGGCCACCCAAGAAAAATGGAGTTGCTTCTTCTTTCACTGAAAAATTGTTCACATTCCAGCTAAAAATAAAACAACAGATTCGGACAAAAAATTCGGACCATAAGGAAACGTAATGAAAACTATGTAAAACAAAAAAAAAACAAAACAAAAAACAGAATAAAGGCAAGGCACGCGTGCTCATTGAGAAACATCAAAATTTTTGGTTTATTTTCAACTCATAACTTTTGTTTATCTTTGCCTGCTTTTTTGGATCTGCTGCCGCTTCTCCTTAATATGTTTCTTGATTTTCTCTCTCGCTGCCCTGCATTTTGTTTTTGTCCGCTGCCGCGTTCGGTTCCAAAAAAAAAACTCAGAAAAAATTTCAATAAATCTGTAAGATCCGCGAAATATATTTTGATTCGCCGGCTAAGTGTTTTTATATTAAATATAAAACTAATTCCACAACTTGCTTTCTGGTCAACTGATTAAAGTTTATCTAACTGAAAAAAAACGCATCAAGAAAAAAAAACATTAAAAATACTGCATTGCCAGAATAAAGTGTTTTATGATCTATTGTTTTTCCTTTGTGTTTTGTGTGTGAAATTTATAATACATATATTGTAAATTTTGAAAGAGTCATAAATTCCAACAAACATAATCATATTTTTGTTATTGTTTTTTTTTTGTTTTGCGGTGAGTAGCTTTTCTTTCTTTGGCTTTTTGTCTATTTACCAGTTTTGTATTCATATTTTATTTGTTTTGTGTTTTTAAACAAAAAGAACATTTTTATTACGCCTGATAGTGAAAAATTATGGTAATTTGTTTTGCATGCATTTAAAAAGGCTTAATGTACAGTAACCGACTAGTTGATACCCAAAAATAGTTTAAATAATTTTGAGAGGTATCAAACAATTTTTGTTTACTTCCTTTTTATTAGGCTACTTCATTTGTGACTTAATTGTGTATTGTTGGTGGTATATTTATTAGATAGCATAAATATATTAACTATTTTCAACTACTATTTAATATGCTCAAATACAAATACCTATAGGTATTTATATTTAGCTATATTTATTTTTAAGAGAATTTTTTTTGGATTAGTTTTGCATTATAAACGTTTTTTTTTTTGCTAAAATTAATTAAATTATTGGTAGATCACTCTTTTAATCCCAAGATACTCAAAAATTCAAGGGTATTCCAAATAACAGTGACGGCGGTGGGAAGGCACAATTTTCAATTAGTTTATATTGCGTCGATCATGTTTTGTGTTATTGCTTTAACTTGTTTCTGTGGCGTCAGAGATTTCGATTCGAAAATTTGTCTGCCCTTGTTTATTTGATTTGTTCTCTACTTTTTTTGGCCTCGCATTGCCATTTTTAAATATCAACAGCCACTAACGTATTTAAGGAAATTATTGAATCTGCTCTGCTGGCTCCATTTTGACACCTCGTGTGAGTGGGGGCGGGGTTACGCCCACCGACGTTAAACTTAATTGCCAATCATAATAATTAATGCGGCAATTATTTGCGGCGAAATGGGATTGGGAAATGAGATTCGGAATGGAAATGGGAATCTGACAAAGCGATGTGGTATAGATCCTATAAATATTTCAAACACTATGAGCTATATGGAATACGAATTATCATACCATCTGGTATTTATTGCGGAAGTCCCAAGCAAATTTGTCTATCAAATACAATGTTTGTATTTATTTTACATAATAGGTTACTTATGAGAAAACGAAATGTATTGCAACAAGTAAATTTTTTATACACTTGTGAGGGTATTGTAATTTCGGTCAAATGTTGCCCACTCAATAAATGTGTGCGCTTATAAGGCCACAGAAATACTGGTGGTTTAAATCCCTAAAAATCTGCATTTGTAATTTTTTTCGGTTTTTTGCCATTTTTTATGATAAAACTCCTTTCCAAATTTCCGAAAAACGGCTTTGCAGAAAAGTGATTTAAAACCTGCACTTCCAAGTCCATAACTTTTCTAATTTAAGTCCGATTTGGAAGTGGCATATCTCTAAAGCCTTGTGATTTAATTCCCTAAAAAACTGCATTTAAATCTGGGTTTGTAATTTTTTTTTTGGTTTTTTGTCATTTTTCATGATGAAAACCCTTTCCAAACTTCCGAAAATTGGCTTTGCAGAAAAGTGACCTAAGACCTACACATCTAAGCCCATAACTTTTCTAATTTAAGTCCGATTTGGAAGTGGCATATCTCTAAAGTCTTGTGATTTAATTCCCTAAAAAACTGCATTCAAATCTGGGTTTGTAATTTTTTTTTGGTTTTTTGTCATTTTTCATGATGAAACCACTTTCCAAACTTCCGAAAATTGGCTTTGCAGAAAAGTGACCTAAAACCTACACATCTAAGCCCATAACTTTTCTAATTTAAGTCCGATTTGGAAGTGGCATATCTCTAAAGTCTTGTGATTTAATTCAATAAAAAACTGCATTTAAATCTGGGTTTGTAATTTTTTTCGGTTTTTTGTCATTTTTCATGATGAAACCCCTTTCCAAACTTCCGAAAAAGTCTTTTCAGAAAAGTGACCTAAAACCTGCACATCTAAGCTCATAACTTTACCAATTGAAGTTTGAAGATTAATATTCACTTTTGTCAATGCAAAATTAAAAACAAATTTATCTTTCAGACCAATGGTTTTTAACATGACTATCTGAAATAAATACTGACAGTTCAATGTCAAGCGTGCGCCTTGAACCGAACACTAAGAAAAAATGGTGTAAAAGGCTTGACTAGTTTTAGATTTTGTTAAATGAATTAATAATGACAGGTACACAATTATAATTAAAAATATTTAATAATTAAAAAAACAAAAGCTTTAGCTACATTTCCATTGCTTTTTTTTTTGAGTGTACCTGACATTTATAGCTGCGCATAAATGTCATAGAAGGCAATTTTCTGCCTGACAAATTTCAATGCCAACTTCGGCCTAACTTTTCACCAATTTTAAGGGGACAAATGAAATGACAGGCCAACGGCCAACAAGTTTCGAGCATTTGCTCGTAATTGAAATTCCGCAGTGAAAACCGCAGACAACAACACAAACAGCTGGCGATCGACTGATGCACCTGCGAATGGAAATCCATGAAAAGCTCGGAAAACTCACGGCCCTTTCTCTCGAAAAATTCGATGCACCTCGCTCTGTCTCTGAATATTTGTGTCTTTGCTATCTGGTAATTTCATAGTTTTCAATGTGCCATTTAACGTTGGCGTTGTCATTGCCTTGTCAACTGAAAATGTGAATTGATTGCAATTTTCTATAATAAAATGGAGAGAGAGTCGGAAAAGCGACGAAAATTATGCCAATTTGTCGAGTAGCGTCAGAAATAAATACATATTGGTGGGAAGGAAAGTACATATTTTTAAATGGCAAGGTAAGAAATGTGGTTTATTTTTTGTGAAGTTTGAGTATTATGAACAAATAAAAATATATTTGATAACTTAAAAAAAAATAAAAACTGTGAAAATAGTTTTATATATCCAATATATACTGTACCGATATTTGTTCCTTTCATATTTGTTGCTCAAATGATCTGCTTATTTGGAGTTAATTACAGCTGTGCAGTTTCCTTTTCTCTCTCATTCTCCACTCTCTTATTCCAAGTCGGCAGTCAGCCGAGCGGAACCGAAGGCGCACCCGACCGATCGGCTAGTGCTCTCAGTTCTTCCTCTCCCAATTTATCCGTTTCTCCTTTGGTTTTCTCCCACGCAAGAATTCCAGTTTGAGAGCAATTGAACCCGAGGCTGAGCCAAAGCTAAATCACGAAATGGAAAGTAAAAGAAAACATTAACCGGACAGCCGTCAGCGCAAACAGACGTGATCGAAAGTCCGGGAAATCGACAAGATCTATGCAAATTTTTTTTTACACCACTTACGGTGCACTTGGACATACAAATTATCGCCAGCCAAGTAGTTGTGCTTAATGCCTAAAAAAAAAATAAAATAAAGTGGAGCTTAAAGTGAAAAGTTAAAATTACCATCAAAACTGTAACGAAAGTTCCAGCCAACATTAAGTGCACTTTCCAATAACCCAATTTGGCATATTAATATTGTTTATTCTTATGTCACAAGTTTGTGGATAGTTTTTGGCTCGGTTCTCAGTGTGTGTAATATTTACGCTTGATTTTTTTTCAATTTATTTTCTGTTGTTATTTTGGATTTGTTTTGGTCTTGGTCTAAAACTAATTTTAGCCTTTTCCGAATGCAGTCAACTGTGGGCCAAAAAAAGAAACACCTGCAATGTTCGCGCAGTGAATAATTTTCGGATTGTTAAAGGAGTTTGGCCAGCACATAAAAATAATCGTAAATAAACAGTAATTCGAAAAGTGTGTAGTCAAAATGCCGGAAGTACTAAATGCCATGGAAATGGAGGCGCCATCGGATGTGGTGGACATATGTAAGTTTTTGATATTGATTTATTTGGATTTCATTTAGGAACTTGAAAAATAAATCTAAGATTCTCTACCTTACAATGCAATATATTAATTGTTGAATTTTCTTTTAATGTTTTTCTTTAATTTTAAGCCTTTAAATAGTTTCCCTTTAAGTAGATAATTATATTTTGGTCCTTAGAAATTGCTAAATAATTCGAGCAAATTTCGAGGGTACTCAGATGTTCGGCTATGGCCATCAATTGATTGGCTTCACCCTTACCCTTGTGCAGTATTATCGTTATAGTCTATATTTATCCATTTACTAGTACAAATCCAAAACAAAGAAAATAGCCAGCTAAACAACATTTTGGATGAAAAACTCTCGCAGTCAGTGGTTTTAATTCGATTTTGACCAATTGTTTCCGTATTTTTTGATTTTAAGTTTGCATTCAGACTGTTGGACTTGCCCACAAAATAAGTGAGCAATTTTCCCCGCCGAATTCCTGTTTGTTTGTCCAGCAATTTCGACAGACCGGAATGGGAAGAGGAATTTATTTAATTTCGATTTCAAATGCACTTCCATCTATACTTTATGCTGCCGCTGTTTTGCCATTGCCACCTGCCGACATCAAAGCAATTTTAGAATGTAAAGAAAAAAATACAAAAGGGAAGAGGAAAAAGGAAAAAGAGTTTTCCTCGAAACCAGAGAGGTATGGCCACCCATGGCGCCCATAATGGCCTGCGATTCGCATTTGGAAATGGATTCCGACCTCTGGGAATACGCCATCACATGGCCCCATACCAAACATAATCGCTGCTATATAGTGCGATTATCAAAACTGAATAAATAAATATATTTCGATGTTAATATCATCTAAAACACCTCAGCGAAACTTTTCCGACCATTAATTGGCCTAAAGCAACATGTGTTCGGGTCCTAAAAAGCTGACCAAATATTTGATTTGCGCTGTAAAAAAATGGAAAGGGTAGCAGGTCTAGAGATGAATATCGTGGACGAAAATCACAGATCACACATAAAAAATTTGTAATTTTTTAATTTGTACATCCTTATAATACTGATATTGATAAATTTATAAACACTATTAGGTTTTTGTGTATGCAATTATAAAATCTATTATAATTTTTGTTAATAAAAAATATGATATTTTAAGTTTGTATTATCGAAATGCATTTGAATGCATCGGATTAACTAGAGAAGATAAAGTCTTCCAATGAATATTATTTGTATACTCAGCTCAATTTAGTTTAAAAACTATAATGCTTATAAAATATATTTTATATTTCAATAAATATTAGAAGGTAAATACGAACACATAAATATTGACTTCTTAGAAAAGAGTTTCCCACAAGCTGGTAGAAAATTATAAAGAACTTATCCACAATCTTTGATGTTGCCCCATTTAATGACTCTCTTCGTTTCATTGAACGGAACAAGATTTGCTCGATCGAAAACGGAAATCGTTCGAAGCAAAAAATAAAAGTAGTATCGAATGTGTTTTTGGGAAAACAATTTGCCAAGATTTCCCCTGTGCGTGTGTGTGTGTGTGTGTTTATTATTGTTTATTGTCTTATTCCCGTGCTAGGGGGAAAATGTGCGGGAAAATGTGATATGTGAAATGTGTTCATTTAACTGTCAGACAGTGCTGCCCAAAGTTTGAATCCCAATCTCAGCCCACTGCTGTTTGATCGATTTGCAATGCTGCAGAAGGTCGAAATGGGGCCAATGACAGATGCAAAAACAAACACTATGCTGCAGGGAAATTGTTTTTCCACGAATTAGGAACAGTTTTGAGGTCACTGTGATTTTCCATTAACAAATATATAAATATTTTTTTGGGCTATACAAAACCACATATTTTGTACTATTCAAGAGACTAAAAAACCATGGCTTTTGTTTCTAGTGTTTGCTTTTTTACGTTACTGGCTTAATTTATTGGCTTAGCCAATATTTTTCAAAAACCTTAATAGCTTTTCACATACAATTTAGTTAGAAGCTTACCAAAAAACGGTCTTGTATATTTCATTAAATGCCCTTGGAATGTTTTTAAATTATTTTGCGAATCTGCAAAGTCAATATTTTGAAAAGAGAAGTCGTGAAAAACTTTACGACCACGGAAAAATTGAAATAAATTAAACAGAACTTTCGCCCACGCAGCAAAACTACCCTTTGTTCCATTCAAATGGATTGCCCTCAATGTAATTACCTTTTGGATTGATAATCCGCAGAGTAATAAATCTTGATCGGAAATATATCCGCGAACGGAGTGACCTTCGATCGGGACAATTTACGGCTGATCGGTGTAGTTTATCCATCAAACTGCAATTGCCAGAAGGCTGAAAACTTGAAAGCCGAAGACCAAAACCAGAGATCTAAACAATGTCTGGAACATGTTTCTATTGCATACGCCGATTTTGTTTAGATTTCGTCCCGTTTCTCGTCATAAACATATTCCGCACCGATCCAAAGAACTGGTCTTACAAGGCGGCGGGGTATTTATGCATATCATTAATATAAATATTTTGGCTCTGGCTTCTCGTATGCGATTTTATGAGTTTCTGTAAAGATTGTTTTTAAATGATCGCTCTGCTTATGTTTGGATATAAAATTACTTGTTTTTCAAGCAAAATTATAACAATAATAATTGTTTGCTTATGCACATATTTATATACACATATCGCGCTAAAAGTTATAGACAGATTTTTCACAAGCGGTCTGGAAAATGTTTTTCGTCTGGCTAAAAAACTTCATATTTATTTTCAGACAGGTTTCAAATATTTGTTAGCAAGAAAATCTAAGGCCTTCGAAAGTATACTTTTGGGGATTGCAAATTTAAGGATTTTCTATAAAATAATCCTCTTTTATCAATTTGTCAACAGGTTTTTTAATTTTAATAATTTTTTCAAATTAAAAAGTAGCTTAAATGTCCTATTCCAATTTTCTTCCATAAAAGGTTTATATCATTTATTTAATATTTGGTAAAAATAACAACCAATGGAACTTTGAAATTTTAACCTCCTTTGAACCTTGATTGTAAGTAAATTTATATAATATTGTAAATTAGCTGGGGGCTATTTTAGAAATTGTGACAGTAGTCAAACTGTTAACTTGTTTATCGTTTTCTGTCCAGTTTTTAATGAGGCGTAAATTTACGATCCCCTGTGCTTCGTGCCAATAATCATAATAACAATTGTTCTAATTGCATTTGGCATTTGTGAAATTTGAAAGCACAATTAACGACACTCGAAATAGTGCATTTAAATGGCCACAGAAATGCATTTAATTGAGTGGGTTTCATGGCAAATAAACCAATGTTATTTATGATTTCTGTGCAAGGAATTTGTAAATGAGCCGGTTGAATTACATTCCAGGGTAAATAGTCCCTCTATACTTTTCTGGTCAGCCTGTTGAATTGCCATTGCCATTGTGGGCATGCCATCGTGTGCGACATTTGTTGGCACTTGGGCCACAGTTCGAAATATGCAACAAATAAACACGACCGACGACACCGAGATCGGAGGAGCAACAAAACCTCAACCCGGCACAAAGATGAGCCAGCTGCAGTTGGCCATGAGCCAGAAATTAGCCAGGCATGTCGACGAGACATGGGTGTTGGCCAAGGGGGTCAGCTCTTCACTGGAGGGGACACAGAGCCCTATTCATTTTTTCAAGTTGAGTGGATAAAAATTTAATCTGTGAGAAGTTAAGCAAACAAATTGCAAGTGCTTACCAACAATTCTTCTTTATTCTTGGAGTAGTTATCAGCTGAACTTGCCAAAGTAAAATAAAATTGTTCTTACACAATTGTTGTTAATATATCATATTTTAGACTTTAAAGTATGGGCTGGTAGTAAAATTCGGTGAGATGAATAATAATGGAATCATTTTTTTGCTACTTTTAGGTTTTAAAACTTTCTGCTCTAAACCTTATTACATTGTTTTGGTTTAATTGTCAAATATTTAATATTAGCTCTAAACTCTGGCTTTAAAAAGTATGTAAAATTAAAACCATCAGTATTTAAGTATCTTTACTTTCTTTATGTATTATATATTTTTCACAACTTTTCCCCATTGCCCGGCGACTCTGTTGTATTTGTGAGCACCCAAAAAGCGGCAAGTGGATGTGTGTTTTTGTTTTTCTCACTTGCAACCTCCAAGTCCCCGTAACTTCCCATTTTCCCCGATGCAAGTTGCCCCCTTGTTGCAGCTCCCTTGCAACTTGAAAATAGCTAAGCAGCTGGCAGGGCAAATAAATCAAATGAATTGCATTTAAGGCAAATGGAAAAGGGCTGTCCAAGCTGTTTAGATGATAAGTGAGTGAGCTGAGATTCGTTTTGGGTATTCGTATTTGTTGAGCACTTTTCCTTGTATGCTTTTCAACACTTAATTAAATGGCAGATCTTTGATTGATTGATTTTACTGGCAGCATGAAAATACTCTATTTATGATTTAAAAGTCTCCTTGTTGGTTTAGCTTTTGCCCACTGGCGCAAAGAGTTAATTTACTTACTCGGGAACTTTATGCAGATTTTCCGGATGCTTAACCCCATTTGCAAGCACTCTTTTTCAATTTGTCCAACACTGGCTGAGCCGCAAGCTGCGCAAATTGCATTTTGTTTCACATTTTCCAGCACTCAAATGCATTTGAAGCAGCAACACAAATTCGATTCCATTGACAGGTACATGACAGCCGGGAAAAGTCCGCCCACCCAAACACCCACTCCCCAACCTTGTAAAAATACATATATAAACACAATGAATTGATTCACGAGATGCTGGTGAAAAATAAGAAACGGAAAAGTTTTGCAAAAAAAACTTGTCAAACACACAAATCCACTGAAATAATTTTAAAATTTCTTTTTAATATACATAAAACAAATTAGGCAATAATTCAATAAACTCAGGTTATTCTATGACATATTTATGACAAATCAATATATGCCATTGTATTTGTATTTGTATATTCTTTGCTGCTCTTATTTAAGTTTCTTAACTAGCTTCAAAATTATAATTTATTACTTAACTTATTAAATAAAATAGGCAATTGAAATAGTGGCTTACAAGTATAAATTCACAGTGTGAGAAAATGTAGGGGCGTAACATGGGGAAACTTTTCCATTTACCGATTGAAGGTCTTATTTATGGCTGTGATTTTCTTTATACTAATTGTATTGAACTCTATTTCAGCCGCAAGGGAGCCAGTTGTCAACGTCATAACCATCATTAATAGCAGCAATATAAATAATAACAATAATAGCAACAGTACCACCAATAACAACCACCACAACAGCGGTGAACCGGAAACGGAAATCGGCGCAGTGGAATTGCAGCAACAGCAGCAACAACAACTGCAACTGCAACCGCTGTCGAATTTCGTGGCAATTCCATTGTTGGAACGCCGACGTCGCAGTCGCAGTCACAGTCGCAGTCACTGCCGCATCGCGCCCTTGGCGCCGATCATCTGCATCCAGAACGGATCGCATCCGGAGGACCTCGTCCGCTTGTCCCGCTCGCGATCTTGTTTCCTGCGCTTTCGCAGGACCTTTGCCAAGCGTAAGTAGCCATAAAAAATAGCAATAAAAGGATTACCAATCGATTGATTAACCAAAACAGCTCTTTTAGAGCTCATAAGTTGACCAAATGGTTACTGATTGCAATAGGGAGTACCTCTAAAAGTCCATAGCTTAAATATTAGCATTTAAATTTATCATTTTAATATTGAACATTTTTCTGAACTATATGTATTTATGTTAACTATGGTTTAAAAACTGAATCATTTTCACACTTCATACTTATAAAATTTTGTGGTTTATTCCATTACTAATCAAAATTAAAATGTTAAATCTAGCATATTGTGAAACTTATTGGATATATGATTTTAATAGTAAATACTCAATCTGAGAAAATCAGTATTACTCTGTTGTTTTTTATATGCACAATCACCACATTCTTAAACTTCAAATAGCAAATAATACTTATTCATTGTTTTGTGGTATTTTTAAAGGGAAAATTAAAGTAGTTAATATTTGCATTTTTTTACCGATTGTGATTGTTTCAGTTTTCATTCGACTTTTCCATCATGTTTTACCCGGATCAGACGGCATGTTCCACTTTATTCTGTTCCGTTCATCCGAGTGAAATGTATTTATGTTGCCCAAACTGCATTTCCATTTAAACCTTTTAGCGTCTATTTTCATTCGCCTCAATCTCCGCCAGCTCCACTTCGATTTTCCCAATTTTCCCGCTTTCCCACCGCCTTTTCCTCACTTAGCCATCACTTTGACTCTGTGTCAGCGATTTTAATTGAATTGCTGCGATTCCTCCGTTGTGTTGGTGTTGTCCATGTTGTTGTTAACCCTTTGGCCGCCACTCTTAAATCGCCTTCTTGTTCCTTTTTTTTATTCCTTAACCCGCTTGACATTGTTTTTTTTCCTCCACAGTTTTTGGCAAAATCATGGGCAGCAATAATCCCAGCGAAGCGGATCGATACGACTATTATGACTGTGAGTAAAATGCAAACTCATTTCCATATCATATTTTCCTTACCTATTTCTCCATTTTTTCGCTCGTTATCGTGCGTTATATATTATATTTTTTAAGCATTTTCTTTGTTGCGCTGTGAAAATATAAAATAATCGAAAGGGAGGGGGGTTGTTGAATGAAAATCTGTCAGTCATTAAATATCAAGTGCGCAATTGACGGGGAGATAAATGGATACTTGCTCTATATACCCCATACATTTTCGTTTTATGCGCATTCTGATTTAAATATTTATAATTCTTTAATTCACCATAAGGGGTTAAATGGAATTTATAATTAACTATTTGGCAATAAAAACCACTCTTGTCTGAAATAACAGAAATGGACAATTGTTCGTTTTGTTCTTTAGTTCGGGTCACTGATTAATTATGGTTGTTTAATGTGTATTAAACTGATTAATTATTATTTAAGTAATCTTTTATCTCGTTGGTACATTTAATAGTATTAACGCAATGCTTGTAGCTTGAACCGATTCTGTTTAATCGGTATTCAAGATTTGTAATCTCCTTATTTCAAATAGAAATGCATCCATATCAAAATTCCAGCCAAATAATTAATGGTCAACTAATTAGTTGACTTCAATTAAATTATACACTTTGCTTAATTCCAATTGTAACCACAATCCGCTCTGAATATCGGAGACTTTGGATATATAATATGTCTTTGTCAGCCACAACCAAAGCGGTTTTATTGATTAATTTCGACATTTGTCACCGCCCGCAAAAGTATGCAATAGATTCCAGGGCTCTTCAAGTGGCGTGGAAAATCACAAAAGGAAAATCCTGAAATCTGCGTTCGTCTGTGGCGAGCTTTCACTGTGGTTTGCCTTCAGTGCGGTTTTTAGCGCTCGATGGGTTTTATCGAGCATACGCCCGAGTGGCAAAGAGAACCAAATTGGTTTTGTATGTGCAGATAAAGTCGTAAAACAATCAAGTTTATACAGTCGAAAATTGTTTGATATTTGATTTGAAATATAAAATTAAGCTTGTATCTGAAAATATTCGCTTTTATATTTATTTCGAAATAGAAATTTAAGCTTGTATAATTTAAAAAAATTGTATTGGACATGTTTGATAAATGTATGGTATTTAAAATATGTATAATTACAAATTCGAGTTAAAATAAAACTTGAAAATTGAAAATAGTTTTTTTTTAAATCTAACTTTATATATATTAACATATTTTTTTTAGATTTAGGGAAGGGAGAGCAAAATCGGTAGTTACACAGGAAGAAAAGGCATTAATCCATCATAATATTTACTATTTTTCGATTCTTTTCGCATCATGTCCCTCTTTGTTGCTCCTTCCTCTTTCGTTGCCTTCTTGCTGCCTCCGTTTTCATCTCATTTTCGCTTCTGTGCGTGCCTGCGTCAGTGTGCGTGAGTATCTGTGTGGCACTTCAAATTGCGGCAAGTGAAAGCTATAGCAGAAAATCAATAAGACACCAGAGACACTGACTGCGGAGGAGTCGGCAAACACTGGAGAATTCGGTCCACAGCGACAAATTAAATTAATCGTTCGTTTTTTGAATATTAAAAATGGAAATTTTTAAAATATACAATCAATTAATAAATATTTAATTGAATTGGTGATGCCACAAAAATGTATGAAGACCTTGAATAAACTTACATGTAATATTTTTGGTGAAACCATACATTTTCTAATATATTTTCAAATGGAAAGAGTTTTTTTTCATAACATACCAAGTGTTTTTCCTATAAATAATTTATGTAATATAATATAATAGAAGTGCAGAGGCAAATTGCATTTTTAAACTCGGTGGGGCTAGGTAAAAGTTCTTAAGGTTTCAGTTCCAATTGTAATAAAATGGAAAAAACGTATTTACTTACAAATCTTGGTATACTTTTTCCCGAGTGTATAAAAGGGGGCAGGAGATTTAGGGATAGGGCGGGATCTAGGGGGCTGGCACAACGAATGGTTGCACGGGGTGGTTTCTCAGGGCATAAGTAGTATTTATGTTGGTATCTAAATATCTACACTCATCTGTCAAATATCACGTTTCCTGTTTACACTTCTGCTGCCTTCAATATGCCCTGGGATTCCCCTTCCGACTCCTGCAGCCACGCCCCCTTTTACCACCTTGCTTTTGTTCTTGTTTCAGTTCTGTGTTTGTATTTGGCATGTTGAGTGTTGAGTGTTGAGTGGCATTTGCCATTCTTGGTCTCACTCTTGCTTTTCCTCGTAGTGTATTTGTTGCCACTGCTGATTGCAAACAAAAAAAAAAAACAGCAGCTGAGTAACAAATACAAAAGGACGAAAAACAGCAAACAACAACTGTGCGAAATATATATTGTTTACAATTTTTTTTATCAGCCCACTTCACATTCCAAATAATGTTAATAAAATTGTACTTTCTTTTATCTCCTTATAGTATTATAATCAAAATATGAAAAGAAATTGACGGGAAAATAAAACAAAGAATTAATAATCAATTAAATAAATATTAAACAAATAAACACAATTGTTGAACATTAAATCATAAAGGAAGTTATAGTTTCATGGATATTCTTTAACAACAAATCGATAAACAATAAATTTAAAACGTAGCTTGAAACAGCATTTTCTTTTTATGAAAAAATATTATTGTTTGAGCTTTGTCATTTCGGGCCAGACTTTTCCTGGCACTTGAAGAGGGTCAAGACAGGGAAATAAGAGAAAATGGAAAATCCTCCCACTCGCCAGCCTGTGCAAACATATGGCTCCTTGTTTTCGTATGCTCACTTGAGCTGCCTTCGACTGTCAAAATATCCAAATGACATTTGGCAAATTCGCATGTAAATGAGCTACCGATGATAGCATTCGAGAGGGGCAATACGCTGGTTGTCGAATCAATTGCAGTCGGTAATTCAGGGACCAGCTGGGGAATTATAAGCCAGTCAAGTGCCCCCTGTCTTGTATTTTCCGCATACGAATCAATTAAGTGCCAAGTCATTTGTGGACAATACTCCAGAGAAACATATAAGAACGTGGCAGGAGAAGGAGCTTATTTGCGGAAAAGAGGGGGCAGGTAATTGTGTATTTATTTTGTATATTTTAGCTGGGTATTGGAGTATTTATTCGGATTTTATAAATTACTTACTGTGTTTCTCTGAAATACATATTGTATATGTTACATTTTTAATTAGGTAATAAGAGGAAAAGCTACAATTTTAAAACGTTTTCCGACTCGAGGTCAACAATTAAAAAGTTTTAAAAATTTTTTTTATATGTTCCTATTTTTATTTTTATAAATATAAAAAATATATTTTTGAAAATATAAAAAAAAAGTTGCAAGAAGTTTTTAAAAAGCTTTTTAATAGTTTCGCTACTGTAAGGTAATAGTACAATTTTGAATTGAACTCAAGTGCCCTTCTCTAAGCTTAGATCTTCCTATTTATTATAAAGATTTGCACAATCAAAACAATTGATTTGGTTTTAAAGGATGTACAATTTAAAGGGCTTAACTTTCATTCAAAAATGATCACACTTGTCCCGATTCTATTGCTTTATTGGCAACAGCTGGCAGAGCTACGAAAGTCGAACTTTTTGTTTGGCACCCCGACAATGAAATAATGAGTGCCTCACTACCTACCCCAAGCCAATCCGCGAAAATTCAGCTCCCAGCTCGCAGCTTTTTGGCCGAGTTGCTAAGCAACAGGTAGGCCCACAATTTGGCCAAGGAAAACGAGACCGAGTGATGCGCTCTCCCAAGCCAAATAGAAAATCGGCCCAGATGAAAACGCCAGCCGAACCTTCAGATTCGCTTTCGTTCGCTGCGTCACAAGGGAAATTCCGTGCGCCCTGAGAATTTCCCAGCGCGCCATACAAAAATCTCGCATGCGAGACGATCGGAAAAGCGGGAAAATGGTGCCCGCTCTCCTTTCGTCGCGCTTCGACTCACTTCGTTTCGCTTCTCGCTTTTCGCTTTTCGGCATCGTCCATCGCATTTTCTGATTCTGATTTCAGTTCTCGTTCAGCTTTGCCGACGGCACGACGTGCTCCTCTAGCGAAAATTACTAGAAAACACCAGGGAAAAATCTGGGAAAATTTCTCGTCGTCTTGTCATTTGGCGCGGGCCAAAAAAGCTAAACTCAAAAAAACACTTTCGAAATTGTTAAAAACAAAAATAAAGTACAATTCCTGTTGTGAGTTTTGATTATACTATTTTTTTTCGGTGATCAAATGTAAAACGAAATTGCATTGAAAATGTTCAAGTTCTTATGTATTTTTTTAAGTGCTTAAAAACATTTATCTTAAATAACACAATTGAATTTAAAATTAATGAAATTAAAAAAAAAAGAAATCGATAGAGATTCACTAAAAATGTTCGTCTATTTTTCCCAAACATTGATTCAATAGCTTGGATGTCTTTGGAAATGCCTGTGAAAATTTGTTAGATTTATTTCAATACCGATTTACTTAAATTAAAATGTATGAAATACTTTAAGAGTATTTTGGATGTTGAAGGTTTTATTTTAGTAGGGAAACTGAAAGTTGGAAATGATTGCGATGGTTTTGCAAGTTTCTCTTACAACTTTACTTCATTATTTCTGATTACATTTCTTTACAATGTATTAAACATTAAAGACATAGTTTTGAAGTGCTTTAAAAACATTCGGAGAAGGTTACGAGAGTTCCGATATTTATTAAATCCTTTTAATTGTTCCAAAATCTTGTTAAAGTCTTAACTTAAAACTAAGATTAAGAAATATGTACACAATATTTTTGCCTTCAATGATTTTTTGCTGTTTTAAAATATAAACAAGTTCATTAAAGATTTTAATAATTAAGTTGTTTTTAAATTTATTTTGTTTTGATTATTAGGAGATCCTAGTCTTAAATGTATTATTTCTTAATTGGTTTTCTATCAAAGAATTTTTCATACTGTTGTGGTTTAAAATGTACAATAGCTGTTTAAAAAGTTTTAATCCGAAAATAACTTTTAGCCCGGTTAAAAATGATTTTAAAAGTTGTTTTTTCAAGTTCTTTAACATATCCAATGATTTAATTCTAAAGTGGCCAGAACACGTACCAAAAACACACCCTTTCGGAGGCAGTTTGATGGCAAATTAAATAGTGTAAGCCCATTCAGCAGCCAAATCGGCTTAGCACCTGGCCGCAATCAGACAGCATCGGCTGTGGGAATGGACCATGGCTCAATCCGCTTGCTGTTTGCCCCCGGAATGGAACCATTCGGGCTTAAAGTGTTAATTCCCCGAATGTTTGAGTCGCACCTCAGTGTTTTCCCCGGGCTAGTCCCCTGATTTTTCCTCGATTTTCCCAACGTCCCTGTTGCATGTGTGTGTGCTCCCCGGCGATTTGCTTTGTTCGACAAACAAAAAACTAAGCCTGTGCCCGTGCCAAATTAATTGCAAATGCTTGCCGGGCATCAGGCCATTAGGGCATTCAAAGGATTAGCTCGCAATGTACCCTGTAATTGAGCCTGGTGTAGAGGCAAATAGTTTTGAAAATTGTATCTGCTGCTTGGCTTTAATAATTCTATTTTTAAAGACTGATATCAGTGGAATAGAAATGACAGAACATCAAATTCTAGAATTAAAATGCATTAGTTTAAAATATAAATTGTATTTTTGAAATGATGAGCTGCCTAAAGATTAGTACCAAAAAACTTACTAAAGCTAAAGCTGGTATTCCTAAAATGTGTTCAAACATTCAAAAGTCACCTTTAAATTATCAATAAACTTTCAAAAATCGCATTTTAATCATCAATAAAGGGATAGGACTAAAAAATACGTTTTCCTTAATGAAATAAATACCAATCTTAAACCCAAAGAAAAACCTTAAAATGTCTTTAAGCCGCAGAAAAGCAAGGCGTAAAATGCCAGAAAATAATGAGCAGTTTGCGAAATACTTCTAGACCCACCTCACACCCTGTAAATGTGGCACTCGCCAACTCCCGAAAGTATGCAATGGCATTCCCATAAAACGGAATTTCTTTTCCCATAAAAACTGGCTGCCACACGAGCCAGCCACGCCCCCGCCGCCCACGAAAAGCATTTCTAATTGTCTCCGCACGGGTCGTCTCTTAACCCCCTCACTCCTCACTCCTCAGTCCTTAACCCCACACTGCCCCACGCCATTCCTGTTCACTTGTTTAATATTTAAGCTGCTTGGGCGCTTTAGTTTCAATTTTTAATTAAAAAACAAAACAAAGCCGAAAACGAAAGGCAAGCTAAAAACAAAACCCAAATTTATAGGAAAGGTAAAAGTGGGAAAAATCCAAAAAAAAAAAAAAGAAGGGAAAAAGAAAACACAGGTTGAAGCACTTAATTGCATTTGGCGTGTTTAACTTGCAGCTGCCGTCGCATAATTATAAAAATGTTGCTCATACGCCGTGTGTGCGCTGGAGCATTTTAAGCGCATTTCATTTGGCCAGCTGCAGCGCTTGGGGGAACGCAGCCTTTTCGGGCATTAGAAATATTACACATACGCCGCTTGGGCCGCAGCTGCGGTGCGAATTGCGATCCGAAATGTCTGCGAATTGCGCAAATGCTGGAAATATTTATGAAAACTGCAGCATTAAAGTCTGCGCCAAGGAACGCGAGATATTATACGATAAAGTCCAGCTTAATTGGTGGCATTTGCAAGGGGGACTTTGTGCGACTTTTATAGCTTAGTTAAGAAAGCGTTTAAATAGTTTAATACTTGGCTGGAAATATTAAAAAAATACATATCTTCCGTTGGAATTCCTTAACTAGCAGTCGACTAAATATGCTTTTAAATTTGTGAAACTGAAGCACTAGCATAATTAAAGTTATATTTGGAATATGTAGACATATTTTTACACTGCGTATTCTATAGTTATTTAGAAGAATATTAATTTTGCCAACTTACTAGATTATTTTATGATGTTATGTTTTAAGGAACTGATTAATATGGTTTGAATTAATTTGAATAAAATTAGTACATATTATATATTAAACTAACCTCCAATGTAGTGACAACAACTCAATCAGGAAAAGTATTTAATTTACCATTGATCATGTAATGCAGGCAGTTGAAATTTTTGCGAGTTTTCTGTGTGCCGTTTCCTTTTGGTTGCTTTTTGGCTTTTCCTCTCCCGCTTTCCTTTTGATTTTTCCATTTCCCTTTGCCTTTGAGTGCCACTCCACTTTTGAATGAAGCTAATGCAAATCTGATTGGCTCAAAGGAACGAGATTCGTTTGCTGAATTAAAAGCTCAATGTCCAGCGCCGAAAATGTAAAAAAAAAACGCAGGAAAATTCGTAATTGAGAGTGGAAAAAAATACACGGCTCACTGTTCATGTAATCGATAAACATTATTTGTTGATTTTGGTAATGTGTTTAAAGCGTCATACAAAAACACAAGTCAGCCCGAGAATGGGCAAAATGAAAATATATAGACAGAGAGAGCGACACTCATTCACTTCTGGCCGTTGATTTTCATTCATGAACCATTTTGTTTAGCATTTTCGGCCGTTTTTCATCGTTTTTATGGCATAAACAAAAGGCTTTTTCGTTTGAAAAATGCATTGCTCGGCTGAAATTAAATTAAAATTGCTTTGATTATTCTTAGCGCTTGTAATTTGCGTGTAATTCACTTTTGGCCACCAACATTTGGCGGCGATTTATGTGCATAAATATTTGCCACCTTCAGTCGGTGCTTATTGTTATTATTATTGCAGTCTCGAGTTTAGATATATGCAGGCAACGACAGCCGCTAAGCAGCCAGTTATTATTCTGGGAATTGTATTTCTTTTGTGGCAGTTCGGACAAGAATTTAGTTTGTCATTAAAGATGTTTAAAGCTTTTAATAATCAGTTTTAGATATTTTACTATTCAGGTGAAATAAGACCTTCATGTCTTCTGAAATCAAAATAAATGTTATTTATCCACGAACCCAAGAAAGCCTCCTTCAACAATTGTTTACTAAAGCTGGATACAAAGTTAACATCGTGTTTACACTTGTATTTAATGGACGAATCAAATTATAGTTAATATCCCTTTTGTGGCTATTCAAAATATTTCGTTTATTCTTTTTTTGATTTTCCTGGCTATATAAATCATAAATGGCAGATTAAACAAAACGACCGAGGCAATGAATAAATGTTTGAGGAAATTAATTATGAAAGAAATTTAATAATTTACACATGGCACGAGAAACAATAGTAATGCATTTTTGTGGCATAAATTATAGATGCAGTAACAAAAACAATGTGAAAAGCGAAAAAGAAAGAAAAGAAAATAAATTTAGGAAAATACTTAAATATATATAGATCCATAAACAAACCGATTTATATATATTCGAGTCGAGCGTTTGATTGATTTGTGGCAACTTTTAAACAACAAACCAAAAAACAACAGCAAGTCAACAAAAACAACAAGATCAACAACTACAACGACTGCGGGTGAGTAGCCAAATAAATAAATAATTAATGAAGCCGTGCGCTGCACAAACAACAAAGAAAACAAACAACAGCAAAAAACGAGTGGGAAAGCCACGAAGGAAAATTCCAGCAGCAAGTGCATAAAATTGCTCAATACTCACACACACACACACACTCACACACCAGCAAACTAACGTTGCATTAATCACCACTAAAAAATCAACAACAAACACGTTGTCCTTCGCTGTGATTTATTATCTATTTTTTGTTACTATTACTTCTCTTCTTTTTTTAACAGGCTGCAAAAATATTTGTAACTTTGTGACACGGCAAATATTTGTTTTGTAAGGATGAGAGGGGTCAGCATGGGTTAAGCTGTGCCTGTGCCACAACAATTTCGCTGGGAAATGGGGAAAATTCGATCGGAAAACGATTTAAAACCAAACTCGAAATTCATTTAAATTCATTGCATTCGCCGTTACGGCAATTGAAATGGAATTTACAAATAATAAAACTGGCCGCACAGGCCTTAGCTAAATTAATTTGCGTCTACTCCAAAAGAATTGATATTTATTCATGCGATTACCATTAAATTAAGTTTGAATTGTTCCATTATTCCGACATTGAAAGAAAATTTAAGCTGGAGGGGGAAAATATGAATATAGATTTCCTTTAAATCTAGAATGTTGTAAATTTAATATAAATTTGTTTAATTTAATTCTCTTTGTGAAAAATGTTTAATAATATAAGATTCTTTAAAGAAAATCGAATTACACTATTCTATTATTTGTATATTTTAAAATTGTATTAAATGCAAATTAAAAGAATTTCATTGCCATTTGAACAAAAAATAACTATAGCCAAATGCAAATCGAAAAAAAGTTAAAGTGGTATTTGATAATTAAATAATTGTGTTTAAACGTAAGCTGAAATCCGCTGTGTAAAATTATCTTCAATTAAATTTACGCTCTACTTATTTGCACTGGTTTATTTCAAAGGAATCGAATTAAATTAACTTTTTGCAGAGAGTAAAATAATATTTCAAGGTTATTTTATGGTTTATTAAATTAAAAAAATGATTGCAATGACAACGTTTCGGTTGGGCCATAAAGAAATCCAATATTTTTCTATCACAGCCTTGATCCTTTATGAGCCCATGAAAGTATTCAATTAAAATGTTATGATAATTTTTCTGCCTATATAATAAATTAAATTAAAAGCTGTTTCTTTTCGTTTGTCGAACACGAAATTGTATCTTTCAATGCTCTTGGCAAAATTGTTCACATATTATTTGGCGAAAACATGAATTTGTCAACGAAGCAGTGCACAATAAAATAATATAAATAATAAAAAAGCGAAAAGAGAGGGAGTCGATGATAATATGCCCAAGAGATTTCTGGGATATTATTTATTAATACGACAAAGACATGTTTCTGGACTTGTTTTCTTTTTTATCTCCATTTACTTCTACTTTTTCCTGCTGTTTCCCTCAATTTTAGATTCGAAAAAACAAACTTGTTAATGTTGCCACATAAGACAAGCAAGTAAATACACAAATAAAATAATTTTCTGGGAAAAAAATTCGGGGAATGGTATTTAGAGAAAGCAAAAGCCAGTTATGTTGTAAACTTTTTAAAACCCAGTTCCAATTACTCTCTACGCGCCTTAAAAACTTCTCGAAGTGAAGGCAAATGAAGTGAAAGTGAAAACTTTACTCTATGAATCACAGTTGTTTTTAGTTTGTTTACTTTTCAGCGTGTTTCACGTTGTTTGTCTGATGATTTATTTTACGCAAAATTAAATGAATAATTTATGGTTTATTATACAAATAGGTATTTAAATATTCAATAACGCTTCATTTCATTACGAAATCAAATAAGATAATGTATTATCCTTTTTACCAAATTACTATATTGCAATAAATTTGAGTTTTGACCTGATTTTCTTTGCCTAAATATACCTTAAATATGAGAACAATTATTTGGTTTTATAGACCACTGACATTTTTATGTCAAATCAAAGAAAAACTCTTTTCCCGTCTGTTACCGTAATGGTAGCCCATTCAAATAACCGTTAACCATATTGCGCCATTTCCCCCTAACCACTTTTCTTTGGCATTTTCCCCGTTTTCCATTTCCCAACATTACCAATCGATGGCAGCGCAAAGTGAGTAAGGACTAATAACTGACAATGCCTTCGAGTAGAATCTGTTGACAATCAAAAAGAACAACACAAAAAAAAAAGGAAAGAAATTTGTATATTCTTACCGTTGCAATGGAGCTGGTAGAAAGAGATGGCTTAACGGCGGAGAGAAAGAGAGGCCCTCAGACGGCAACAAATTTAATTTCGTAAGTGACTTTTGGCAAGACAGGTGAAGGTGTCTATAAATATAGGCGATGTCGGCATAAATTTCCCCCGGCTAGAAATGCAGAAAAACGCACACTCAAGAGAGGCAAGAGAGCCCGGGAAAATCCGGGGAAAAATCCGGGGGGGTTGGGGAAATTCGGGCGAAAAATCAAAGCGAAAAAGGCTGTAAAATAATCAAAGCACTCGCGTCAAATCGAATCCAATGAGGAGGCACGCAACAAAACGAGACTTTCACATAAATAACCAGTGACTTTGTTGCCATCGAAAGCTCCTATTACCCACCGCCCCCATTGGAAATCAGAAAAGAGGGCGTGGCAACAGTAGATGGGCCGACTTGTCATTGCCTTGTGCTCGGTAAACAATGCAATAAATATAAAACTACACAACATCAAACTACAAAATGCGAAATGCGAAAAACGAAATACTGACTACAAAATATATGATACTACCACACAAAATACTCTCGTTCGTAAATTTTCTTCCACTTTTTGGCTTGTCAGCAATATTTTCCACAACGCGCCACGCCCACCCAGTGTGCGCCCAAATTTTCCTGGTCACAATTCACCTCTGAAGGCGGGATTTTGCATTTTCCGGGGGTTTACGTTCTCTAATCTAAGGGATTTTATGTCTCCATTTGGGTTGAAATTAAATATAAAATTAGAGAAACATTTTGCTTTTTTTTATGCGGGGGATTTTCATCCTGATTTTTTATGGAGAAAATTTGAACTAAGGAAAATTGTCTGTTGTAATGGAAAATTCTCTAAGTATTATTTCATAGAAACAAGTGATCAGGTTTAATGTAGTTTAAAGTTTGCTTGTTGAATGAAATGAAAAGATTTATGGCTGAAATATTCCATCAACAGTGTTTTCCTTTATTCCCCTTAGATTTGAATTGCTAAAATATTAAGTTCGAAGTCCCTGTTGCGTCTGGCCAAAAATAAAGTGAAACCCATATCAAATTTCTTTACTGACCTTGCAGTTGCTTAAAGTTATTTTGGCCCACCGATCGGTTCATCGATAACAATGGCAACATTTTTAACCGAAACTCCCAGGCTGGCGACTTATTTTGTACAGAAGATTTATGCGTTGGCTGCACTTAATTGTGTTTTTCGCCTTTTTCCGCAATTCCTGGTTCCTGTTTCGCCCCGGCGAAAAAGCTCTGACAAATCCAAGGACATTCCCGAAACTGCTTTGAAATATGAGCGGCATTTTGTGCGGTTCTCGTCCTCGGTTTTCCCACCCAGTTTTCTCGCCCAACGTTTCCGTATTTTTCTTTTTCTTTTTTTTTACCAAACCGCACGCACTTTTTTTATCCCTGTCTTGCTTCACACGCGGCGCCTAAAAAAAAAAGGAAAGAAAAATTGACACAGAAATTGATTTTTGCGCCTTTATCATGTTGCTCAGCATCCCTTTTTTCCCCCTCTTTATATATGTTCTTGCTCGTCGCTTTTTATTTGTCTGCCTTTCAATTTTAGTTGTTGCTTTGTTGCCAGAGCCGCCTTTTTCTCATTCCTTTCTTGCACCCGTCCCCTCCCCCACCATCATTTGTTGCCTTGTTGTTACTCCTCTGCTTTCCCGCCTTTTTTACTTTTTTATCTCGCAAAAAACCAACACACCTGAAAACTGCAAGGTATATTGGACTAGGGCTGAAAAATGAATAAAGCTAATACATTTTAATTAAATTCTAAATTGCTATTTATATATAAACCTAGCTAATTTGCTTATAACAGAGCAAATTGTAAATATTTTAAAAAACAAAAGGCCAACAGGACGTATGATTAATATTTAAAAACAACAGGGCGTATGATTAATATTGAACAAAATAAAGTGTTTTACAGTCTAGAAACTTAAACTGTGAAAAAAATAAAAATAATATATTAAAAAATAACGTAGAGTTAAAAAAACAATTGGGACTGATAAAGAACGGTGCGTATGAGTGATATGAGAATAAATATATTACTCATGCGCAGTGCTTCTCAAAAACAAAGCCATATTTTCTTGCTAATAAAAGGTATTACACATTTCTTTCATTTATTCAAATAAATTAGTACATTCAAAGTTTATTGATCATGTATAAACTTCTCTTTTGAACATCAAAAGTCTTTACTTTATAAGAAAAGCCAGCAGCTCGTCGAACCCTTGACCGCGAAGTCTGGATTTTCCTCTTTTTTTTTTGCCCTTCATTTTCATGTTGCTACTATTGCCGCCCCTTTTTTTGTGTTGACCCACATCTTCCACTGTGCCATCACAGTAAATATTGTGGCTTAGAGGATTTGCAGGCGTTGTCGCTGTCATCGTTTCTGTTGTTGTTCAGTCGTTATCCTGCCGCCGTTGTTGTCATGTAGTTTGGCTTTTTGAATAAAGACATTCTACTTTGCAGGCTTTTTGCGGGCCATAATCAAAACGAACTTTTGCGGGGAGTGACGGAGTGGGTAATGTGTGCGCGGTGTACTACATAGTACCATACATCATAAGCCTAAATAAGTTATGCAGCGTAATTGAGAGAGCGCAGCCTCCATTGAAAGTCAATTAGTTGCTGTGGCGGCCCAAAAAACACAAAGGGCGAATGGAACGACAACATAAACAGGCGAACAGCTGCTGAGCAAGGACAACATGGCGGTGAAAGGAGCAAACATTAGACTCGGGGTATGGCA